CTTTAAGTTATTATCCGAGTTTCGTAAGTATAAAGGCTACGTCCTTATCTTCTTTATTATATTATTTATAGACTACCTATTACTATTATCGATTTTTATTTCGTATATCTTCCTAGAATCGTTTGCCGTTCTTCTTAATCTAGTCTTAGGAGACTCCTTTAGGATAGGGGTATTTTAGTTCTACGAATTTAACTTATTTCTATGTTTTAGGATCCCTTCGTTATATTATTATAAGGGTCTTCTTTAGTAGCTTTAGGAACTATCTAGTACCTTTTTTATCGCTTAAGTATACTATATATTCGTCGTCGTAGTATATAGTCTAACTAAGGAGTTTATACTTTAGTTCCTATCTATTAGTAGCGTTTAGGTGTTTCTTACCTTCTAGGGCTAGTGCCTAGTAGGTTTTCTTCTCCTTGCGAGGTTATCTATATTCTTTAAAGTAATATCTAGGTTTCCCGTAGTTAAAATACTTTCCTTTACTTTTCTATATTATATCTAGATCTATCCTACCTAGGTTAGTTATATAAGCGTAGGCAATAGGAGTTTCGCGCTTCTTTTTATAGTTAGCGCGTCGGTTAAAGTTATTCCTATAAGAAGGGTTCTAGTTTCCTCTTCCTTATTTCTTTTCTTAGCGTCGCGTATACTATCTATCGTCGATTCGTACTACTATAGCAATATAGTCTAAGAGGTTATTAGGTCGATTTTCCTTATAGAGCTCGTCCTTAACTTCTTCTTTAAGCCCGTCGTAGAATCGTAATATAAGAGGTTCGTCGTCCTAATTAAGCTTTAAGGTAACTTAACGGAACTTCGTAGTATAATCCGATACTAAGATCCTTTATCGGAGTTCTTAAAGTTTTTATTCGGCTTCTCGTTCCTCGTTAGTTATTTTAAATACTTTCGTAATAGCTTCTTCGAATCCTTAGAAACTAGTAAAGACTTTATCTATCTTATTATCTCGTCGCGCTAGTTAGTTATCGAGAAAGTCCCTTATAATAGGTCTAAACTAGGCGAGTGCCGTTCTAGATAAATAATTTCCTATATAGAGTACCTTTTCGACTAGGTCCGAAAGTTTAGTAGGGTAAAACCGGTAGTAGGCCTTAAGTTAGGTAAGAAAGTCTCGAAGCATGCTATAAGTACCGTCGAATAGTCTTAGCTATTTTAGTTTAACTACTTCTCCGAGGTCCCTAACTTATCCGTTGCCTCCTCCGTTCCTAAGTAACTATACCTTATATCGAAGGGTAATAATCTCGCGCATTATATCCTAAGGCGATATAGTAGCTCTAGAGTTAGTTAATCTAGCTTACTATATAGGCATATTAATAGTTGCGATATTGCTTAGAGTAACGCGGTATTGCACTAAATAAGAGCTTTTAACGTATAACGACCGGTATTATTCTTAAGGGATAAACCTATCGAGGGGTTTATATTAGTAGATATAATAGGGCGTGGTCTAAGCAATAATAAGTATATTACGTTAGTGATAAGTCGGAGGTCGTAGACCGTAGACTATAACTAGGTAATTAAGTAATCGGAATTAAAGATAAGATCGTAATAGAGATCGTAATAATTATAATATATTAAAAGCTAAAGAGCTATCTATCTAAAGGAGTGAAAGTAGGTGGCTATATATATATCCGTAGCCCCCTTACTATAACGATATTGCCTATTATATTTAGCCCGTTTAGTCTACTTAATACTAATCTAGCTGATCTAACTAATTAGACTAATCGGTGCTCGGTTTGCTTAGTGTCGATCGTCCGATCTAACTGATCTAACTAATCCGTTACGTGACCTTCGTGTTAATAGTTCTTCCGTGGTCCGTAGCGCCTAGCACCCTATGCTTCGGCTATACGGCCTATATTCTAACCGTCTTCCCCTTACGGTTGGCTGGTTCGTAATAGTTAAGGTAAAGCTTATAAAGTTAGAGGCGCTCTAAGACCCTTTATACTTTCTATATATAGTCCTTATAGGAGCCGCTTATATAAATAAAGATATTATTTATATATATAAAAGCGAACTTATTAAAGAAGTCCTAAAGTATATTATTAATATAACGCTAGAAGGTAGCGGGCGCTCTTAAGAAGCTAAAGGGCGTTATAAGCTACTTAAATAAGCTATAGTGTATATAGAACGCTATCTTCTATTTATTACCCTCTAAGATTTATACCTTATAAAACGCTTATTTTATATCTAGCTTTATAAACTACTTTACCTTTAAAAGGTTATAGAGCGTATCTAAGATTAAGGGTAAAAGGTAGCGGTCTAGCCTTATAATTACGTTTAAAGCCTTATAGTCGTAATAAAACTATATCCTACCCCTTAGTTTATATATAAATAGGACCGGCGCTCCTATTTTAGAGCTACTTACTTAAATAAAACCTTTATCTAAGAGGTCCCTTAGCGTCTTCTTTAGTACTAGTAGCTCCGCGTATAATATACTATATAGCGGTCTAAATAGTATAGGTAGTTCCTACCCCTTCTTATTAATATAAAGTACGATCTTATAGTTTACCCTTAGCTTATATAAGTTAAGCTTATTTACTTCCTAGGACTTAAATAGTAGTAGGAGGTCGTAAAAGCGCTTTAGTATCTACTACTATAGCTTAGAGGGCGACTTTAGCTTCTTTACTTAAAGGGCCTTATCGATATCCGCTAAGCTAACTATATAGACCGCTACGTTAGCCGCTACCTAGCCTTCTTCTTACTCTAACTATTATATAGTTCCTATAAAAATAAAGGTAAGGACTTCTTATACTAAGTATAAAGCTTATATACTTAGTTCTATACCTATAAAACTATTATTATAGTAGACCTACTATTATATAGGCCTAAACTATAGCTTCTTTTAATATAGAACTAAGTATAACTTTATATATAATAACTAAGGTTTCCTAAGGATTAAGGGAAACTCTAGTTAAGGGATTATATAGGCTACGATAAGCTTATAGTAACTATCGACCTCTATAGCTAGCTATATAATACCCTTAATTACTATACCCTTTATTACGCTTAAGGCGCCCTTTACTTACCTTAGGGCGATCTTTTCTACTAGTACTTATATTTCTTATATAAGCGCCGCGTTAATTATAGCATAGTATTAATAGCCCTTATCTATAAAAGTAGCGATAAGTAAGGAGTTATTAACTATAACCTATATTAAAGTAAGCTCCTCTTTTATATAAGCGGATAATTCCTCTTTCTCCTTTACTAATACTAGTAATTAAGGCTCTAGAGCCTTTCTTTACTTTAAAGCTACTCTTTTTCCTCTAAGCTTAAGGGAGCGGAGTCCTCTTTATCGTCTAAAGTAAGAAGCGGTTCTATCTTCGCTATTTAAACTATTATAGGCCGCTTAGCTAAAAGGAAGGGGCATTTTAATATAAAGTATATAGACGCGCTATAATATAGGTAGCGGCCGTTAGCCTTCTTTTTCTTAATTTCCTTACTTATTACCTACTTCGCCCGCTACTTAAAGAGTAGGATAGTATAAGGGATATTTAATAACGACTTTCTACTACGTTTAGCTCGGTCTATATAGGTAGCTAATATTAAGGTATCTCTATTAATATTAATAGTTAGCTATTCCTCTTATAGAGGAGTAGTAATCTTATTACTACTATATAGTATATACTTATAAAGCTTTTAAAAACATAGCGTTTACTTATAGCCCTATACTACCTTTATTAACTAGCTTATATACTCGCTATAGTTAGTAGGTATAATTATAAGGATAAGTAGCTCTTATAAGGCTAGCGTAATTAAGTTTTATAACTATATAAGCTTTACGCTATCTTCCTATACTATAGTTCCCGCTACTTATAAGAGCGTCTCTTTAAAGTTAAGGAGGAATTCGCTAAAAGTCTACCTATCCCTTTACTTAAGGGTTTATAGCCTATCCTACGCTTTCTCCCGCTCTTATATATTACTAAACGTATATATAAGGTATTAAAAGAAGTCCTATAAGTCGCGTTTACTTCTAAGGCCGCCCTTATCTTAGAATCTAGAGATCCGCTATATCTAAGGCTCCGGTAGCGTATAAAGGAGTAAATACTATACTATATTATAATAGCTATTTAGGCCCTATTTCTTATTTATTATAAACTTCGTCTATAGCCGGCTAAGAAAGAAGTAAAAGGACTTAAGCTTACTATTTTAAGTTAGCTAAGGAAGCGGCTTCTATATTAATAGTACCGCCGCCGTAACCGGTATTACTAAGGTTATAGGGGTTAACGCTAGTCTTATAGACGGCTCCCCTAGTATAGCGAGAACCTTATTCTTCTCGCTAGCCGTCGCGCTTTTAATCGCTTTTAGGATAGCTATAATACTTCCTATCCGCCTAAGGGGTAGCGGGGTACTCCCTTAGGGAAGCGGCACCCTTTCTAAGGAGATATCTATTAGATCTATTAGTTAATAGCTTATATTATTACGGAGTAAGTAGAGGCGTATATATAGGTGCCGTCCGTAGGATAATATTAATAAGCTATATAGAGCTCTTCTATGTGCGGCTAGCCCGCCCCTATATATATAGGATCCGGCCCTTTATATATAACTATATAGCTTAGGCTATAGCCTAAGCCTATTACTTATAATAGTTAAAGACTCTTATAAATACTACTATTAATATTTAAATATATATAACTTATATAACTTATATATATAACTATTATAATATTTAGTATATAGTAATATTATATTTATATTAAAGGTAAAAAAGTAAGAGTTTAAAAAAACTACCTTAATAAAAAGATAATAATTATATAAGCTAAGCTTAAAAAGCTAAGTAAATAAATAATATAAAAGATAGCTAAAAGGTAGTAACTTTATTATAATAATATAATTAAGAAGAGCCTCCTTATAAGCGGGAAGAAAAGAGTTAGATTAATAACCGATAAATAAGAGGATTTAATAATTTATTAGAGGGCGGCATTTTTTCGTTACTACCATTTCTTAAGGCATAACCTAAAGGCTTGCCTGCTCGCCTCGCGCCTTGCCCGCGAACCACAATGCACCCTCGCCCCGTCGTCCTCTCGCCGGCCACGCCCTCGGAGCTTCTCGATTACATCCTCGCCAGCCACACGCATCCAACCACTCTCCTCGTCTGCTGGCCCAAAAAGCAATTCCTCGACGCCCTCATCCAGGACGTCAAGGACAAACTCGTCCCCCACGATGGCCAAGACGACCAGCACCCACACCACGCCCTCCTTGGAGCGCCTCTCATGCAGGTGGCCATCTCCCGGCACATAGCCATGGCCTTTGTCCCCACCGTCACCCATCTCCGCTCCTACCTGGCCGCCTTCTTTACCTGCGACTCCAAAGCCCCGCCGCCGCCCCTCGACGCGGCACCGTCGTTGTCGTCGGCCGGTCCTCAGCCGCCGCCACCGCTGCTCGTCTACGGCTTCCTCGAGTTACACCGCGATGGCACCGAGTGGTCGGCGCAGGGCCTCAACACGTCGGCTGCCGGGCTTGTCGAGAGCGCCGCCAGGAACGGGCTGCGAGCTGCCATTGTCGAGCCCAGGAAGACGGAGAGTCGGGACGAGCTGGAGGCGTCGCTTGGCGAGGGCGTGCCGATCCTGAATGGTAGTAAGATGAGAGACGATGGGACCTGGTCGGGACGGGTCGTCCCCGTGCGACGGGTCCTCGGGCGGTGGTTCGTACTGGAGGCACCCAGCGACAATCCAGGTGGCGAGGCTGCGTAGCTGTTTATAGGTTCCGTCCCCCTCTTGATTCTTCATGGTGCCGAGCCTCCACATGCCAAACCGACCGAAAACCAGGCCCTTATCCAGCCCAACGCCAAGCTATGGTATCGCGTATCATGAGTCTCGTCCAATATCAACGCCAAAGCCGCCTAAAAGGCAGCCCAGGGAAACCTCGTGCTAAACAATGGTCTGCTCCATCTCGGTAATGTACAGCTTGATGTGAGCCTCCATCTTGAGGTACTCGTCGTGGGCGGCGTGCACTTCGTTTTCAATGTTTTCCTTGAGGTCGAGCATCTGCAAATATTGTTAGCATCTACGCCGCCATGTCAAGCGTCGACCTGGAAAAGGACGAAGGAAACCAAGCCCTTTGGATGGCCAGCACACACGCACCTTCTTCTCCGTCTGCTCAATCCTGACCCTCCGAATCTCCATCTCCTTGGTCTTGTCCGTGTGCTCCTCGGTGAGGCGCTTGTGGACGGCGCGCAGCTCGTGCATCTTCTCCTTTGCCTCATGGGCCTTTTGGCTGCTCTGCTCGCGCAGCTTGTCGGTGCGCTCGGTCCACTTGGCCAGCTGGCGGCGCAGCATCGTCTCGGCCCTCTCGACCTCGCGCGCGTTGTTGCCCCGCTCGGACAGGGCGTCGCGCTGCTTGGCGTTGCGCGCCATCTCCTCGTCCTCCTTGGCCAGCTCGGCGGCGATCTCGTCGAGGATCTTGATGCACGAGGCCACGTCGGTCGACACGACGGCAAACGAGTCGGCCGACGTCTGCAGGGCGCGGGCGCGGCGGTCGAGGGCGTCGATGTGGGCCTTTTCGCCGTTGAGCATCTCGCGCAGCTCGGCCAGGTTGTCGTGCAGGGCCGAGGGGCTCTGCAGCATGTAGGGCCGCAGCTTTGCGCTCTCTTGCTTGAGCGTCAGCTTGTCGTGCGTCTTTTGCTCGAGCAGGCCTGTCAGATGGCCCTTTTTCTGCTTTGCGTCCTCGAGGCGCGCCGCCACCTTTTCCTGGTTGCGCCGCAGCTCGAGCAGGCGGCGTTTGAGGTCCTCGTTGCGCATCGTCTTGTCGCGTACCTGGGCCTCCATGGCCCGGCGGTTGTGGCGCATGTGCTCGAGGCGCGCCTCGTTGTCCTGGTTGTCTGCGTGGAGCGTCTCGATGCGTGCCTTGACCGACTCGGTCTTGTTGAAGTGCTCGTCGATGACGCTCGTTTGCGACTCGCGGAAGCGCACAAAGTTGATGAGGTAGCTGAAGATCTTGACGAGGCGGTCGTACGTGGGCTTGTAGAGGTCGTTGAAGCCAAAGTCGTTGACGCCGCACTCGACCAGCAGCCTCCGCAGCGACACGTAGAAGCCCATGAGGTTGCGCGTGTCGACGGGGATCACGTCGGCAAAGTCGCCGCACACGTCGTCGGCCGCCGCCCGCATGGCCGGCTCGACCGTCTCGCGCGTCGCGTTGAGCAGCAGCTCGGCGAACCACTCGAAGATCTGCTGCACGTGCGCCGGGTTGGGCTTCTGCAGGTCCGCCACGGAGAAGTTGATGCCAATGTCGGTGATGCAGCCGACGATCTCGCGGTCCGGCAGCCGCATGAAGGCGTCGGCGTCGTCTTCCTTTTTGCGCGACCGGCCCTGCTGGTGCTGCTGCTGGTGCTGCTGCGAAGGAGGGATGATGCTCATCCTCGGGTTGTACGCCATTTCTGCGAGCCGTCTTTGCGCTGGGCGCTCTTCGTGTTTGCCTTGTCGCGTCGCTTTGGCTGTATGGTTGTCGAGGTTGAATTCTTCGAGGTTGTTGGTGGGGGCGTTCAGTGTCAAGTCAGGGTGGTAAATAGGCGCGGGCGCGTCGACGTTGGCGCGGCAACCTGGAACCACTCACCACCACACACGTTTTTGAATCCCTTGTCGCCACGTGCTGCTTGCAACCAGCAAAAGCCGGACAGGAGCAGATTACCTAGGTATTCGTCCCTGTTGCAGATATACGTCTCTTGGGTACTTGCCCATTGGCTTTGACGATGCTGCGCTGCATCGGCAGACAGACATCCTGTTGTCCACGTCAACAAAGTCTCCACTCTGAAGATGTTACATTTCGTCAACCCAGACATCTTCACACCGATGCTCCCATGATAAGCCCTCTCTATCCCGCGTAAGCCGTACATGTACATACATTCAGCCCCAAGTATCCGCCAGCTTGCTCAAGCACCAGCCAGCTTCTTCAACGCCGCCGCCAGCTTCCTCGGATCCGCACCCACCACCTCGCCGGCCGTGACGCCGTCCTTGAACATGACAAAGGTGGGCATGGCTCGCACACCCAGCTCCTGCGTCACCTGCGGCAGCCTGTCGACGTCAAACTTGACAAAGTGCACCTTGTCCCTGAACTGTAGCTCCTCCGACATTCTATCTCAAGGCAAGAGACGATTAGCCGGATTTTTCCAACCCGGTTCAAGCCAACAACAAGGCATCAAGAGGGCACATACGTCTCTAGTACTGGCGCAATGGCCTTGCACGGCCCGCACCACGTTGCGAAGCAGTCGACAACGACTCTCGGCTTCCCTTTGACGGCCAACCAGAGATCATCGGCGCTAGAAACGGGGGTGCACTGGCGTCAGAGCGAACTCGGCCCATGTCTCTCTCCCCCTTCTCCTTATCAGGACGACTCGCCTTTTTGCCTCGTGGACTTTGCTGTTGCGAGGCGTTGCGTGCAGGGCTCGCGTCGAGGTCCAGGCCGCTGCTGACGACTGCGTGGCAGACGCCAGCGGACGGGAGAGGCGCAACGACAACATGGGGCTGTTGCTGATGTTCAGTCGAGTGACGCCCACGTGTAGGTCTGCGAAATGGACCGGGCGGAAGAGAGAGACAAAGGTCGTTGGACTGACAATGGCGACGTTTGTCGTGGTTTTCATGTCGACTTGGGTTAATAAGCAAGGCGGATTGCGTCACCCCTCTAAGCAGCCATCTCCACGCTTGAGACAGTCGAGACACGTTCACGTCATCGGCATTCATTGCAACAGAAAGTTTTACCTTCTCTATTAAAGAAGCCGAGGAACACTAACATCATCTCCTCAGGGGGCAAAAACCCGGCAGAGTAAAATCAACAAATTTCATCAAATAGGCCAAAATGCCTCATGCGCATGCACGCTCGCTGAGTGTTATCCTTCGCCCCCTCCCCATGAGATGCCCAATGTCCTCGCCCTCTTCTTCTGTCATCAAGGCAAGCTAGGTCGAGTTCCCTTTCCGGTGAGGGTTGCGCCGAGCAGCGCGGTATGCTGTTGCCCGTGGCCGCGACAGTGTCCAACTCACCCAGCTCCACGGGTGAGGTCAAGCCCGGATGATAAAAACCAGCCCGAGATCAGATCAACGGGATCACTCGTGTCCAACGATGCCGCGGGTATCTAATGCAGTGTATGTACTTGGTGTGGAATTGCGAATCAAGAGTGCGCCGCAGCCGTCGCTACGTAAATGAGAGACGCTGTGGTGTATTGCCAAGGTTCGAGGCGAGCAAGCTAAATCAGAAGAGTTCCCTTTTCATACGTCTTTTCTGTGTTTTATATATTGTGTCGTTGATACTGGGGGGTGTCAGGTTTGGCCCAGCCAAAGTTTTGTTTTCGAGCAAGCCAAGGGAAGGTCGTAAAAGAGTGACTTGGGTGAGTTGGTCGACAAAAGAAACGGTTAAAGCGAAGGCTCGAGGCCCGTGGGGAACCGGTCTCGCTCAGTGTTGCAAGGAAAGCGTCGTAGGACTGTCGGCCGAATTTCCGTCGGCGGCGTTCAGGTTGTTATTTCGGGAACTCTTCTGGTTTGCTCATCGCCAAAGGCATCATAATCAGCAAAGCAGGACTGCTTCTCCTGCCTTGCCAGTCTCACCACGCCCTGGTCCGTCTTGGTTACCAGGGCCGTCGCCATCATACCCATGTCCACGCCCTTGGCGTGCTATGGGTCATCGGTCTTGTTGTCTTCGACAGGCGAGACCGGATCATCGCCGCCAAACTCAACGTCGGACTGCATGTTGAGCAAGCCCTCGCGGCTGCGCATCGTGTCCCGGTCGTGCCTGTGGAACCGTATAACTCGCGGCTTAGCCCCGACGGCTCCCCACCGCACGTCGCCTTCTTGCATCGGCTCGTCGTCACTGCTCGGGCGGCCATCTCCAGACTGCCCTTCAGCCGTCATCTCACCGGACTGCCGGTTGGCCGCTAGTCGAGAGAGGTAGTCGTCGTCGCCGGCAGCCACGTCCTCGTGAGTGCTGCTCACGGGGGAATCTGACGGGCCCTGGTCGCGACGGTTGGCCCGCGCTATGCTGTCGCGCATTGCCGATCTTCGCCGGCTGCCGACCCGTCCCGAGAGCCAGGAACCCTCCGAGTCGATGGACGCGAGAGACATGGAGAGCTGCGGATCCGGTGATATGGCGCTGTACAATCTCTCCGCCGACGTCGGCATATGACGGAGGGCATCGAGGGAATGGAAGCCCGAGGTGGGTGGGTCGCCGGGCGCAGTCGTCGGCCGGGACTCGGTCGCGGGCGTCTTCACCTCGTCGACCACAGGCAGCGGTGGCTCTCCTTCGGGAGACTGCACGAGGGAGTCTGGGGGCGACAGGGGGTAGTCTGGAAGATCTTCGCGGAACCGGGACCGTGTCCGCTTGGGGCCCCCGGCTCCGGGCTTGCTCGCCAGGTAGTTGGCCTGCGGAGTCGCGTCGTCGCCCTGTAGCCTTGCCAGGGCATCCGCCTGCGCCGTGGCAGCAGCCTGCATCTCCTCGCGCGACGTGTTGGAGAATGACGACGGGCCCGAGTTGCGCCGGTTCCTGACGCCCCGTCGGAGAAAAGAGACAAAGGAGAGGCGACTGCTCTTGTGGCTGCACTCTGGGTCGTTTCGGGGGGCTTCGTCATCAACCGTCGTTTTGTCCTTGTCCGAGCTCAACGTCGACTTGGACTGCGACTTCTTGGACCGCAGGAGGCCGGCGAGGATGGACCCGTGCGGTAGGGCGGATACCGGCTCGTCGGCCTCTGTGGGCGGCGTCGGGCTTACTCTCTGTACCGCCGCAGACTCGTCGGCCGCCAGAGACTCGTTCTGGGAGTGCGGAGATGTGGGATGGAACAACTCCCGTGGCCCCCTCGGCTGGTCCTCTTCGATGCCCGACATGCGGTCGGACGTGGGGGAGTCTCGCTTCTTGGACGACGTCACGACTGCCGACGGCGGCTCGATTCCCAGGCCGACGAGTTCGCGGCCCAGGACGCCTCGCTCGAGGTTCCGGGGCGACTGCATTCCCGACTGCCTGGCTTCCACCTCTTCTCTCCGTTGGCTCTCGGCCTTGCGAGCAAGTCGACGCCCCATTCGATCCTGGTCATACTGCCGTTTCCTCTCTCGCCTTCGGTTGTCCCTTTCCATGAGCTCTCTAAGATCGGTGGCGTCCAGGCCATCGGCGAGGTCGTCTATCCGCTTGCGCGAATCCAGCACTTCCTCCGGAATGACGTCGCGTTCGACAAGAGACTTCTTCTGCGAGCCGGATCGGGTTGGCGCCGAAGCTCGTGACGGCGTCCATCGCGACCCGGACGCACACCGCAACGTTGGCCGCGGTGCCAGAGAGCTCAGGGTGGAGACTTTGAAAGATACGCAATCCGAGTCGGACGACTGGCTCGAGTGAATGGAGTCAAAAAGCGGCAGAGACACATTGGAAGGGGGCTTCTCCCATTGCCCAGCGCCGCTTGCCGTCTTGGCCCGCTTGCTGCTCCACCGCGTCAGTGTGCCCGCGGCTCGTGCCGAGGTCAGGGCGCTCATGGCCTTGATCTCGGCCTCTCTCTCGTGGTCGTCTCTCCTCCTCTTGCTGCTCTTCCTCCTTGCCGGGTGCTGGCTGTTCCTGTGATGCAACGTGGGCATCCGTTGCCAGTCGTCTGCTCCGTCGTCGGTCGCGTCGCCGTCTCGGTGGGCTACGCGAGGCTGGTCGACGCGTATCGAGTCGCGGCGGCCCGGGGAGAAGCTGTAGGCACGGGGGCGACGCTGCAGCTTGGCGTGCTCGGTGCGTTGCTTCTTCTTGGAAACGGCTCTGGCCAGGGCGCCGTCTGTTCGGGTCGGGGCAGCGGCGGGACAGTCGCCATCCGAGAGGGCGGCGCCGCTCCGGGGGCGCTTGCGGGCGCCCCTGCGCCGGAAGGGCCAGATGGTCATCGTGGGTGAGGTTGGTGGGATGTCTGTCAGTTACAAGCCGTCGTGATGGGAGCGTGGATTATGCTAGGCGGCTTGTGAGGCAGCATCGTGGTCGGCTGAGGGGGCTGCGGAGATGCGAAATCATGTAGAAGAAAAGGGTCGACGAGGTTCAAGAGGGAGGGAAACACGACGACAGCCAGTGGCGGCCCGGGGGGGGGAAGAACACCAGGGGCGCGCTGGCGGGAGGGCGCCGTTGCAAATGAGGGAAGAGGATGACGGGGTCGGCTAAAGGGCGAACAGGCGCGTTGGGCGTCAAGGGAAGGGTCGTGAGGCGTGCAGCTGTGGCACGCGGCGAGAAAGCGGCAAGGCGTCGTGAAGCGATTTTCTGCCCTTGGTTTTTTCTGCGCCTCCGCCAGCGTATGTATGGAATGCACGAGCCAAGCCGGCCAGATATCGAGTCGTACAAGCAAGCTTGCTCCGGGAGAGTCAAGGGCGCGCCGAGTGCAGGGAGACGGGAGACGGATGTGGGCGATGGTCCGGCCTTGTATGGAGGCAAGGCAAATGCAGCAGAGCAATGGTGCCAACACAAGTACAGTATTGGAAGGGTGCGAGGAGGGGAGGGGGGGGGGGCGACTCTAGGGCCGGAAGGGAATGCCATTAAAAATGACAGTCATTCCGCCGGGTGAGTGCCTGCTAATAAAGCATGTATCTACTCTAAAAAGTCGCTGCTACGCACTTCCCCGTTAGTGGCAGTACATCCCGAGGGCCTTTTTTTCGTCATCTCCAAGGGGGGCACTTGGTTAGCAGCAATCTGCCATAGAGCCCTCGATGCGTACCGCGCTATCATGTCCGTCCCGCAGTCGAGTCGGTCCCTGGCTGGCAGAGCACCTTTTGACGCCTTTTCGTATACCGTGCCTCGAGTACATCGAGTCGCACGCCGTGTCCCGGTAAATTAAAGCCAGAGAGGTACCTCGCGCGACAAGGTACTGTGCACAGTGCATCCTGGGTCTCAACCCAGCAATTCGTACAGTACATGGGCCAGCGCAGCAGCTTTTCATGCATCCCCAGCGTGCGTGTAAAGTCCACATGCGGAGCAGCATGAGAGGCTGTTCAGGTGTCAAGGGTATACGCAGCCAAGGGGCATGCATGTCCGTACAGTATGCTCGAAATGCATCGTGGGCATCTCACATAAAAGGCATCGTCAATGGTTGCCGTCGATGTCGAGCATCATGCACCGCGTACTGTGCACAAGCAGCACCCTGTACAGTGCGGCGAGGCACACCAGAGGCACCCGGGCGGTGAGAGGCTTGGATTGGCTGTCACCCTCGACGCATGATCTCCCACTGCAGGCTAGCGGGGGGCACGGCGCGGGCCAATCAAGGCCCCGACGTCGCTCGTAAAGGAAGCCTCAGCAGGGAGGCTTTGGAGGAGAGAGCAACATGCGTGGGACGAGCTGACATCCCCGTACAGTGCAATGGCTGCCTCTGCCAAAGTATAAGGATACCTTGCCTACGCTCATTTACCGTCCGGCCATTCAGTTGTGCTGGCCAAGACAGCGCTGCATGTACTGTACCTGCTTTGCTCGCGCAAGGTACGGATACATATCTCGGTAAGTGCTACCGCAGGTAATTAAGGTGAGTTTCCTGCGAGTTCCTGCTTGGTCGACACCTTACCCACGTACTAGTACCTTGTGGGCAACGCGCGCCGCATCTAGTGACAAGGTACAGAGTACAATGCTCGCTCTCGCCGACCCAACCATGGCCCCCGTCGCCACCACTAGTAGCCGCCATCAGCCCTCGGACCTTGATCGAGAACCTTTACCGTCGAGAGCCTATTGAGACCTGTTTCCCCTAGTCTCTGTTGGGTCATTTGATAATTAGTATCTCATCTACGGGCAACACCAGGTGTCGCTAGCTCCAACTGCTCTGCCCCAATGGTGTAGCTTCACGACAATACGCCCCACTGAAGAAAGATACCTTTTCCAGAGGATACAGCGCCGATTCGAGCAAATCTTCTGCCAAGCGCCGGCTCTATGATGACAACACCCAAGATTAAAGTTGCGGGTATCCTGCGAGAATGGAAGACATAATACATCCGCCCCCCGTTGTAACGCTGGGAAAGTCGTCGAGATACCGCACGTCCGCCGAGCCAGAGCACCTAAAGTACACGGAACAATTCAAGAAACACCGCGCGAAAATGCAAACAAGAGTGGCGTTGAGGGTAGTGCTGGACAGCGTCAAGCTGGGCGGGCGTGATATCGCGGTCGAGGTGCGGTTCAATGATTGAAGCACCGTTGCGCCCTTGTATACGGGCACGGCGACTACCCCTTGCCGCGACTGCCTGCACCAGGTCCAGCTCCATCCAGCTCGTCTGCCTTTGTGAGGCAGCTCATGCCAGAGCCTGGCCGTCGGCTCCCGGAGGTACTGGGACCTAGGCAAGGCGTCAGTGTCAGTACGAGGCACATGGCCGAGCAGCGCAAGCTTTCGGTTACCCAACTCACCTCCAGCTTTGTGCTTCCTGCCAGCATCTTCTGGAACCCAATGCCGACGCCCTCGATGACGGCAAGCAGCACGGCGCACCCAATAGCGCCGTTCCTCGCCGCCCGAAAGCCACCTCGTATTGCCAGCGACCCGCCCGTCAGGAACCCCGCCGCGATGGCATTGAAGGGATCTTCCTTTCGCCGTACGCCCCTGACTGCGCAGTCAAAGGTGCTGAAGAGGCCGCCCCAGACGCCGAAGTTGCCGCCGAGCACCGGGGCGCGCATCTTGACGGCCGTGATTGCGCCGATGCGCCGCTCGCCGTAGGGGCTGTTGCGGAAGCCCTTGATGCCGTGCCAGACGGTGCCGCCTATCGCCTGTTGGAGGAGAGTTAGTCGTGCTGCATGGGCTGCAAGGTTCGGGCTCGAGTGGCCGGTGCTCGGCCATCGGGACGTACCCCCATGGCGAAGGCACCGCCAAAGTCATTCAGAACGACCCAAGGACACGGGTCCCGCGTGTGATCGAGAGCCATTCTGGGTCGCCTAGGAGAGAGATGTTGATGGGTTGATGATGAGATAGGGATTCAGAAGCTATCTAACGAATCCGCGAAGTGGATTTTTCCGCGATACGAGTAGATAAGATATCGAGATTTTTCCCGGGCCCCTGCGGCACGTGACACTTGACTTCCTGGCCCCGGCCAAATGCGGTTAGTGAGGGGAATTGACCTCGACTCGACCCATTCGGCCTTTTTTACCCCGTAAGTTGCAAGCCTTGAAGACTACGAAGATGCTGACAGAACAAGACAGGCTTTCGACCTTGATGGCAGCATGACAGGAATTCAATTTCAGTATGTTGACGCCTTGCTGAAGATGAGACCCGCCTTTCCCGATATCCTTCCGCAGTGGGAAGCTTGATCCCACCGCGCAGCAGCCTTTCCACCCTCAATACCATGGGCTGGAGGACGACGTCTAGTGGTGCCTCTCCTATTGTGCCGTCAGCCGAGCCTGACGCTGCCGTCCTGCTCATATCATGCTTCGCGGCAGCTTCTGAGCCGCGCCTGGATCTGTCCGGAGCGGAGCGCCTCTCAAGTGGAGGGCGCCACTGGGGCATCGAGTCACAACACGATGTATTGGGCGAAGCAAAGCACCGACAAGTGCAGGCAGGCGGTCAAGGATGGGGAATCTCTTCCGCCCCCCACGTCTCTCTCCTTTCAGCTGGTCGTCGACGATGACTGCGCTACTCCGTAAGTACGGCACGCTTGACGACGCCTTGCTCCCCGCACGCGAGTTGGCGGCGCAGAGCCCTCGGCCACGGAGCCCCCGCGGCTCTATCTCGTGGTGGTGATGATGATGCTGGAGGGTGGTGTGGCGGCGACGAGACCAACCAAGCTCGAGGCCAATGAGCATCGAGCCTCTCTTTCAATGTCCAATGACGTTGGCATATCACGCGGTCAGCCTTTCTTTTGTCATCCATGCGGCCATGAGATGTATGAAAAGGCCAGTTCAAGCAGGGGATCGGGTGTTTCAGCCGTGCTTTTTTGGAAGAAGCAAGGAAAGGGACATGCTGGTGCCTTTTTGCGAATGAAACGCTCCTCTTTTGCTTTTTCTTGTCCCAAGCGACCAGATGACCCCCTGGCTCGGACGTCCTCGATCCTCCACCCCCCTTTGCCCTGTCTTTGGAGCCGGGCCGCTGGGAGAGTCACCCGAGATCTACAGTTCGTCTGGATGGACTTTGGCACGCATCACTTGCGTGACCGTGCCCCGTCGCTTGGCATCCTGTACGTGTTGATTGTGCAAGGTGTACTGGATGCTTTGTACAGGAGTAAAGCAAGCTGCATGCCACTACTGTGCGTGCATGAAAGTCGCGATACTTGGTACTATACATATATATGAGGCACACACGTATCCTACGCAACCCGGGTGACACTGGGGGTTTGAGGGTTTGGACTGGGGAAAGAGAGCCTCGTATCACCAGGAACTGTTTGCGGCGGACCCGCTGTGGCCCCCTCGTATTCGCCCGCCGTCTTAGTCTGATGCCGCCCATTCAGACAGCACCGTGTATGTGTATGTACTGTACAGTTGATCCTGTCGTCGAGGTGGTAGAAGTATGAGGAGGGTTTCTTGCTGGTGTCGTGACGAGTTGGCACATCAAAGCAGCGGCCCCTCCCCCTCACCACACCATCCATGGTCCAAGAAGATGGCACGGCTAACGCGCGGGAGCAGCCACACTCGGCAAGGGGGATCCCTGTCTGTCCAGCTTTCAGAGGGCCGCCGAAGGTTCTGTTGGGCGCTCGTCACCACCAACGGCCAACTCATCAGTCACCAACCAACCCGAGTCAGCCCTGGGCGAGGCTCGGCTCGCGTGGACGTATGGATGCGATGGTCTGGCTGGGGGCTACGAGAGCTCGCGACATGGCCATGGTTGCTACATGCATGCGGATGCTTGTGACTCGAAGAAACAAGCTGACATCGTCGTCCGTCTGCACCCCGCAAGGCGCCGGAATGAGCGAGCAAGTCGGTGGATGGATTCTTGGCTTGTGCTGCAGGTTCCCGTCCAATTTGCGCCGTGCAACGCCGTCGAGCAACGTTTTGCACGGGAAAGCCTTCCGGGCGGCTGCGTTCCTTGGCCGGGGGCTGGAACCGTATATTCCCCTCGTGATGAACTCAGTCCCGCCATGTGCATTTATATATGTACAGTATTCACATGGGCGGCCCTCTATTGACTTTGGGCGTCCCTTGCGCAAAACTCAGTGTGCTCCTGTTGGCGACGAGCAACTGTAGGTTTCCGGCAACGGAAGACGTGCATGTCGATGCCACTTGTCGTAGGACTCGGTTTGATTAGGTGCCACTGGGCTCGGAGATTGGCGATGCACGCGCTAATAAGCTTCCATGGCGCCGTCGGTGAGCTCTGCAATCTCTCTCATCCGCGGCTTGATCCCGACTAGCTGCAGTGAGTCGCGTCTGGCCGCCTGAATCACGGACCGTTGGTGGACTACATCAAGCCAATGCCCGCACCTCTCCCAAGCATAGGTAGACATGCCATGACGCGGTAGGTACAGTACGGTATCTCTTCCCAAAGCCAGATGCTCTCATGCAGGCAAGAGACGTGTGCTGCGTCCATGACAAGTCGTCGGCATCTCCGATTCCATGCTCGTAAGGGGGCTGCCGGCTCACGGTGCCGCACACAGCGCAAGCACAATGCAGTGGTAACAGAGGCGCCGTTTCAAAGCCAAAGTGACACCCGTCTCTATGTGCACCTGGAGAGTGTCCAGACGCCAGCATCGACCCAGGAACGAGGCCTCACCGGGCGCAGAGGATGCGGATGTCAGGTATAGGGTAGGCTGCCGACCTGGGGAGACCAACCAGGTATCCGTAGAGGCGTAGACTGACTTCGCCAGGCCGATGAGCTGGCCCAGCGTGTCGTACGACTCGCGCCTCGGAGCCAGCAGCCTGGGCAAACATGCTGGCTGGTGGTTGGCTGATTGGCCGCCCCCGTGCCGGGCGCTGGACCCGGATCGCCGAGAGACGCAAGGCCCGGCCCGCAGCCTCTCGTCCCTGCTCCCCGTCTTTCCAGATCCGGGCGTCCGTTCCCTCATCTCATTGTATGTCTCGCGGCGCCTCGGAAGGCGTCACATGCAAGGCCAAGGACTGGGCCAGGAGAGAAATTGCCCCACATGTTGCATCGACGCGGGAAAAGACGGCCATGGCAGGCTGGCGACGCCGATGTGATCCGCGTTGTAGGCATCCGCATCGTACCTACCACCTTCCGAAGCCTATATCTTGCCTTCACTGTCCTCGTCTGCCACTGACCTGTCTTGTACAGTACATACAGATACGAGATGAACCCGGGATCCGGGAGCCCCCGGACTGCATCGCTGGGTGTCGACCACCGCCACCAGGAACAAGACAGCGGCGCCATGTCACTCGGCAGGTTGCGCCATCCAGAGGAGACGGCCAAAGGGGCTGTCGTCTGCGGCCAATCGCGTGGCCCAGCCGGGGGGCTTGCGAGCGCATGACGAGCGGCCACGTGGATGAGTGAGTGACAGCAGTGCGTCTCGTCTCTGCCACTCCCCTCCATGCACAGAGCCGGCTGCGGGCACTTGCATGCCTGTATGTGACCATCTACGTAGGCCTGCCTCCCCGTCGACATGTATCGTGATGTGTGTATATGTTGCACTTGTAGAGCCTAACCCAACACTCTGAGGGTTACCGCATGCCCAAGATATCTTTCAAGCCGTCTCCATGCTCGTGGCAGGCATTGTGAACTTGGGGAAAAAGGTCAGTGGTCGACAAACTATGACGCTCATGAAGCTGTTGTCTGGCGCCCTTATTTGAGACCATTGAACTCTCAATGTCCTTGTAAGCCGTCTTGCAGCAGCCGCCGATTTCAAACAAGGAACAGCAGAACACGCAGCGCCGGGCGATGCGAGGGAGGATTCAAGCCCTCAAGACGAGCATGACGAAACCGAATCCATCCCCTTCTCCCTTGTTCACCCTTCCGTCCACCATCGCGACCAGGGCCATGGACGTTTGGGCCCTTGGGGTATAAAATCCAGGGCGAGTGGAGGGACCGGCTCGACCATTCCTGATCGTTGACTCGAGCATTCAAATCCCAATCTAAATCCAAATCCTTGACTCTCTACACGATGCGCTTCTCCATCTTCGTCCTCTCTTGCTTCGCAACCCTGGTCGTTGCCGACCCGTTCAATGCTTGCTTCGTACGACTATCCACCCACCTATCTACTCAAGTCATGTTCGGAGAGCTAATCCAAACCCTGTCCAGGGCGGGCACAAGGCCACAGGTGACTTGTGTGAATATCATCCCCCGCAGAACGTTTGATCGTCTGCCCGGAGATGAACATGAATGTGCTTCACTGACAAGCCGGTTGCTGCAACTGAATGCGTCGGTTGGTTCTGCCATCCTGACCAGTGATCACCCATGTGAGCCCAAGTAGTCTGGCGAAGTCAAAAGCTGTTCCTTAATCCCATCTCATGACCTGCGGCACAGGTTTCGAAATTCGAACGAGGATATCACCCAAAGGGCCTCTGCTTAGGACGAATTGGGAATCAGAAGGCAGTGGCAGGAAGGTCGAGAGGACCGGCAATACCAGAATAGCACTTTGTGTAACCACTGGACCGACGTCGGCGCCATTTCTGCCGCCGATTGGTTCATGGAGTAGACTTGACCTGGCCATACCGTGCTTGCGCCTCTGGTGACTCGTCGGGCCTAGGCATCGCATGAGTGATGACAAGTCGTCCAACAAAAGAGAGGGGAAAATCAAACACGACCCAAAATTACCAGAGACGGACACTGGCGGTCCATGGCTCTCGCGTGAATGAGGGTGAAGGATCAACATGGCCGACCTACCGTAACTAACGCCTGGTGCTTATAGCCGACCCACTAAGAGGGGAAGCAGCAGGCGGGCGTCGCCGTCATCTGGGCAGAGCCGCCTCTTTCATGCAGAAAAGAGCCAAAAGAAGACTGCCGTCTCAGATATCGCAGCACAAAGCCGACTCTGCAGTCTCCCTCGCCAATTGTGGAAATGTCCAACGTCATCGTCGTTGTAGGGTGAGTCGCCTCCGAACCCTGCCTCATGGTCGGGGCGGCCGGCTCACTCGTCCAGAGCTGGCGTGAGCGGCCTGACGTCGGCGCTGCTGCTCTCGAGGAGCAAGAGAAACACCATCACCGTCCTTGCCAAGCACATGCCCGGCGACTATCACATCGAATATGCATCGCCGTGGGCCGGTGCCAACGTGTTGCCGTGCGTCTGCTCCCCAGGCCGCCGAGGAACCGCGACTCACTAGACAGCCGTGTCCAGGATGGCCGACGACGAGAACAGCCGATATGAGCGGCGGACCTGGCCCGAGCTGAAGCGCCTGGCCGAGCAGGCCCCCGAGGCTGGCATTCACTTTCAGAGCAAGCAGCAGCCCACTTCTCCGTCATGACTTGCTGCAATGACTGACCCGAGCGACGCCGACAGGGAGTCGCGTCTTTAGACGTCAAAAAGACCTGGTGAACCCGGCCGGCCTCAAGGACGCCCTCTTCGACATGGGCCCCTGGTACCAGTCGCTGCTGCCCGACTTTCGCGAGCTGGGCCCCGACGAGCTGCTGCCGGGCCACGAATCGGGCTGCGAGTTCACCAGCGTGTGCATCAACACGGCCACCTACCTGCAGTGGCTGCTCGGCCAGTGCCTCAAGGCCGGCGTCGTCGTCAAGCGAGCCGTGTTGTCGGACATTGCCGAGGCCAAGGTCATGAGCCACACGGGCTCGGCCGCGTCCATCGTCGTCAACGCCACGGGCCTGGGGTCCCTCAAGCTCGGCGGCGTGCGGGACACGACCATGACGCCGGCGAGGGGCCAGACGGTGCTGGTGCGCAACGAGTGCGGCCCCATGCTGACCACGTCGGGCACCGACGACGGCGACCTCGAGACGCTTTACATGATGCAGCGGGCGGGCGGCGGCGGCACCATCATCGGCGGCACCTTTGACTTGGGCAACTGGGACTCGGACCCGGACCCCAACGTCGCCATGCGCATCATGAAGCGCGCCGTCGAGGCCTGCCCGGACCTGACGGGCGGCAAGGGCACAGATGCCCTGAGCATCGTCCGCCACGGCGTCGGGCTGCGTCCGTACCGCAGAGACGGCGTGCGGCTCGAGGCGGACAAGACGAGCGACGGCACGTGGATTGTCCACAACTACGGCCATGCGGGCTGGGGATATCAGGCGTCGTATGGCTGTGCCGAGAGGGTCGTCGAGCTGGTCAATCAGATTCGCAAGGACAATGGCGAGGATGTGGTCAGTGAGCCCAAGCTCTGAGAGGACGGAAGAAGAGGAGCCAGTGAATAGTACCGAAGCAGTGGTCCAATGGATTTCATCAAGTCTCAGTCTTTGTTCGCCGCCAAACGAAGCGAGCTTAGTCGAGAGGTTCGGGTTCGAGGCGGACCCAAGTTATGCAATCTTGCGGGGCCCTCTCCAAAACACGCAGCTTGCCCCCTTTCTCAACCTCTCCTCTCCCATTCCTCGTAAAACGCTGCTCCCAGGACCGTGGGCATACAGGCTTGCGCAGACCAATCCACGATGCCGCAATCCTCCGACGCGTGCGCCGCCCTCCCGCAGGCCTGGCGCTTCGCCGGCGCCGTCGCCAATGGCCGCCACCCGCTCTCGACGCTCATCGCGCCCGCGCTCTGGCTCGTCGACGCCGTGCTGTGCTGCCTGGTCATCTGGAAGGTCCCGTGTACGTCTTCGATGCGTTGCGTCGCTGCGACCCCCGCTGAAGCCTTGCTCGCGCAGACACCGAGATCGACTGGGTGGCGTACATGGAGCAGGTCGCCCAGTTTGTCTCGGGACAGCGCGACTACACCAAGATGGAGGGCGGTACGGGGCCGCTCGTGTACCCGGCCGCGCATGTGTACACGTACACGGGGCTCTACTACCTGACGGACCGTGGCGAGAACATCATGCTCGCGCAGAAGCTCTTTGCCGTCCTCTACATGGCCACACTTGCGCTGGTGATGCTGTGCTATCGCCAGGCCAAGGTCGGTTCGCATTCCGCCGCACTCCACGACAGCCGCGACACCTAACCTCGGGTCACAGGCTCCGCCGTACCTCCTCCCGCTCCTGATTCTGTCGAAACGCCTGCATAGCGTCTTTGTCCTGCGGTGCTTCAACGACTGCTTCGCCGTCTTCTTCCTATGGCTCGCCATCTTCTTCTTCCAGCGCAGGCACTGGACCTTGGGCAGCCTGGTGTACAGCTGGGGCCTCGGCATCAAGATGTCGCTGCTGCTCGTGCTCCCGGCCGTCGCTGTCCTACTCTTCCTCGGCCGGGGCCTTTGGGGCAGTCTACGGCTGGCCTGGCTCATGGCGCAGGTGCAGCTTGCCATGGCCATTCCGTTCCTGGCGACCAACTGGCGGGGATACTTGGGACGGGCGTTTGAGCTTTCGCGGCAGTTCAAGTTTGAGTGGACCGTCAATTGGCGAATGCTCGGCGAGGACGTTTTTCTCAGCAAGTCCTTTTCACTGGCGCTACTCGCCTTGCATGCCATCGTCCTCTCCATCTTTGTCACGACGAGATGGATGCGGCCTGCACAGCAACCCTTGCCCGCCATGATCCGCGCCATGCTCCAGGGCAAATCTCCCTTTACGCAGCAGGAAGAAGGCCGCGTGTCGAACCGGGTCACCCCCGCGTACGTCATGACGGCCGTGCTCTCTGCCAACGTGATCGGGCTGCTGTTTGCGCGGTCTCTTCACTACCAATTCTATGCGTACCTCGCCTGGTCGACGCCGTACTTGCTATGGGTGGCCTTGCCGCATCCGCTGCTCGTCTTCCCGCTCTGGCTCGCGCAGGAATGGGCCTGGAACGTTTTTCCGAGTACCGACGTCAGCTCGTCCGTCGTGGTCAACGTTCTCTTGATCACAGTCGTTTCAGTGTACATGAGTACCGCGAAAGATGGTGACTCGGAGGCGCGGCGGATAGCGATAGAGGAGAAGAGCAAATGATTGCGACGTGCAGTAGAAGCGATCCGTCATTCGTCGTCGTCGCTGGAGGGCATCTTGCCGACATTGGAATCGTCGTCGTCGTCGCTCATGTCGTATGCGCTCTTGGCAAACTCCTTTGGCCTTGGGGTTCATCAGAGCTGCTGCGTGGGACGTCTGCGCCGTGGGCTCGTACCAGTATGGCTGTTTTCTCCACAGCTTCTCGTCGCGCACAATGTTGACAATCTCTCCCGCAGGACGCAGATTATCATCGTAGCGTTGGGCGAGGACGAAGCCCCCGCGCTTGATCCATATCGTGTTGCGAAACCGCTGGGCGAGCTCGAGGACGACGGGCTTCTTGTTGGGGAACTCGCAGGCGTAGAGATTGTTCCCTTCGGGCTTGACGACGCGGACAACGGACTGGTTGGGCAGCAGCTCGTCGGGGGGCGTCAGGGACTCCTCCGCCGCGGCGAGGACGTTGCGCTTTGGGCGACCCATGAGCGCTGTGTGGTGAGAGTTGCCTACTAACGCATTTTGTTGCGCTGCTCGGGAGAGCCACTGGTGACGATGAATTTTGGTGCATCGGCAATCAATTGGTGGGGGTTTTCCGATTGACGATGAAAAAGGCTATCGATAACGTCCCGCGCGGAACTGCCGCATTGGGCGGCCCCGGCGGCCCGGGGTCAACGGCGACCCGGCATCGGACCACGTCGAATTCTCGGGCAATGCGTGCCCAACGACTCGCAATGGATGGGCGGCGGTGACCAAGGGCCCTTTCAATGATAGGCTGGCCAGCCACATGGCCGAGGAGCCCAAGCTGCTCCCCGCGGGGTCGGCGGTGGACATTGAGCACTCGCCAGCCGACGAGCCAGACACAACGGGTGGCCCCCCATTCTGGCCCGTAGAGTTTGTTAGCCGTAGATGGATGAGTGGATGGATGAGTGGGTGGATGGCTGCAGGTGGAGGGCCTCGTGGTGCTGACGGCAAGTCATCCAAGGCCTGGTTTGAAATCATCGTCAATCCCCCGAGGCCGCTTCCCCTTCTTTCATCCTGCCAAACACCCCACGTTTATGACTCGTCCACCAGCACCCCGTATCTTCAACATGGAAGCTGCAATGCTGCGAGGCCTCGTCGAGGTGCAGTCTCGCACGTCAGACGGCCCCCCGTCACCGCCCGACGAGGGCCTCGTTCCTCTCGCCGCCCCGGCCAAGGCGGTCCACAGGACGTATCCGGGCGCTCCTCACCAGGCAGACACGATTGAGATGCAGAGGGCCCCCGGGCAGCACGACGCGGGCGAGTCCGGCAGCGTGACGCCCCGGGCCGACAACGACTCAGACCTCGAGATGAGCCCGCCGGCGACCCCGGGGCCTGCCGCGGAGCCCGTCGAGGCCATGGCCAGCGTGTGGGAGCCGTCCATGAACCGCTTCCGCCTGCTGGCCGTGTGCCTGGCCAACCTGGGCAATGCCCTGAGCGACGGCGCTGCGGGTGCGCTGATTCCTTACATGGAAAAGTGCGTCTGCCTTGTCCAACGGATGGCGAGGGACAGAGCTGACCAAGGCCATTTGCAGATACTACCACATCGGCTACGGCGTCGTCTCGCTCATATTCGTCGGGCAGGCCGTCGGCTTCATCGTCGCGGCCGTCGTGCTCGACACGCTCCGGGCCAAGCTGGGCCAGGCCAAGGTGCTGGGACTGGGCCAGGCGCTCATGACGCTGGCATACATCCCACTGGCGGCGGCGGCACCGTTTGTGCTCGTGGCGCTGTCCTTTTTCTTCATCGGCTTCGGCATCGCCATCAACGTGGCCATGGGCAACATCTTCTGCGGCCGCCTGCAAAACGGCACGCTGATGCTCGGCCTCTTGCACGGCAGTTACGGCGTCGGCGGCACGACGGGCCCGCTCGTGGCCACGGCGCTGGTGACGGCCGCGGGCGCCGTCTGGAGCCGCTACTACCTGCTGACGCTGGGCATCGGCGTCGCCACCGTCGCGCTGTCGCTGTGGTCCTTTTGGGACTTCGAGCGGGAGCTGAGTCCCGCGGCACGGGAGCGCGAGGAGCAGCCCGCGTCGTCGTCGATGCTCCTGCTGGGCAGCATGGTGACGGCGCTGCGGATGCGGGTGGTGCTGCTCGGCGCCGTCTTCATCTTCGCCTACCAGGGCGCCGAGGTGTCCATCTCGGGCTGGGTCATATCCTTCCTGATCCAGGCGCGCGGCGGCGACCCGTCGTCGGTCGGCTACGTGTCGGCGGGCTTCTGGGCCGGCATCACGCTGGGCCGCTTCTGCCTGTCGGGCCCGGCGCAGCGCATCGGCGAAAAGGGCTTTGTCTACGGGCTCGTCGTCGGCGCCGTCGCCTTCCAGGTGCTGGTGTGGTGGGTGCCCAACATTGTCGGCGAGGCCGTCGCCGTCTCCATCGTCGGCCTGCTGCTCGGGCCCATCTACCCGTGCGCCGCCGCCGTCTTCATGCGCGGCATGTCGCGCCGCGACGCCCTCAGCGGCATGGGCACCATCAGCGCGTGCGGCAGCCTGGGCGGCGCCGTGGCGCCCTTTGTGACGGGTCTGCTGGCCCAGGCCGTCGGCACGTATGTGCTGCATCCCATTGTCATTGCCCTGTTTGTCGTCATGCTGCTGTGCTGGTACGGTGTGCCGTCGCCGGAGAAGAGGACTGAGTAGAGTATTGGCCGTCAGTAAAGGAAAGAGAGTGGCACAAGCACGGCGGTCTGGATACATGTAAGGGTCTCTATCGGCATCCGTCTGCTATGTTGAAAAGTATGCCGACTAATATACGATTTGATTCTATTTCCCCCTGATATCGAGCCCCATCATCTTCTAGCCGTGTCTCTACTCTATATCGCAATGACGAGACGACGCGCTCTATCGAAGCCCTCTCCAACCATCTAGTCTAGCTAGGTCTATATGTGCGAGCATCAAATCAAGCCCAACCAAGTTCCGCGGTCAACGTTGAACCAAAAGTAAACATGCCCAATACTTTTAGAGATCATCCCCTGCATCGGCTCAAATGCGCCCCTTTGCGGCGTCTTGAACGGATATCTTGCCTGCGGCAATGTCCTTGCACGTCTGCGTGATGCTCGTCCAGTCGCGAAAGGTGACAAAGGGGACATTTTCCCTCTCGCAGTACGTCACGAGATCTGAAGACGTGGTCAGTCACATGGCTTTCTGGGTCCCGAGAAAGAAGGAGCTCACCCTTGTCAGCCTTGGCAAAGAGCAGGTCCGTCTCCTTGGCGGCGGACAGATCGGAGACGCCGTCGCCGGCGTAGAACAGGATGGGCCGGTCGGGCCGGGACGAGTACTTGCGGATCTCGATGGACTTGTCGTGGCCAAAGACACTGTCGTCGTGGTACTGGATGGTCCAGCCATTGACGTCGTTGATGGACCTGCCGTCGCGGGGGCAAACGTCGTTGCTCACAATCTGAATGTCCCAGCCGGGGCCGAGCAGCTTGTCGAGCAGGGCGCGGATGACGGGCTCCATACCGCCGCTGAGAATGACAATGGGCACGTTGCTGGCGCGGGCCCAGGCGTAAAAGTCCTTGAAGCCCGGGTCGAGCTCGATGCTGCGCAGGAGGAGGGCGAGGCACTCGTCAAAGGGGGTGGCGACGCTGTCCATCATTTCGCGGAACGAGTCGCGGAAGTGGACGCGCCCGTCGAGCGTGCCCTTGTTGCCCTGGACGCGGCGGTCGCGGCCGAAGCCGAGGTTGTCCGTCATGAAGTCGTTGGAGTCGGCCGTCGTGACGGTGCCGTCAAAGTCGGTGAAGAAGATGAAGGCTGGCTTGGTGGCCAGGGCCGGCGTGTCGCTCGAGACGGAGCCCATGGCGAGCAGTCTTGGCGTCTATCTGTCTTTGGGTGAGCTCGAGACTGGTCTATCGTCGGTGAAGAGTCGATGGCGGAGGCAAGTGAGTGTATTGTGGAGAAGAGTTCGAGACGAAGCAGATATACGGGGAGGATGTAGATGGTGAAAAAGACTGTCCAATTGACGACAGCCCAATCCGAGTGCGTGGCTATGCATCATGATCGCCCATGGGCCCAATTTTTCCCTCTCTGTAAAATGAAGAGCGTTTCCAAAACCGCAATCCTCAAACACCATGAGTCGCTCCAGTTGGCCGCTCTCATTCGGTATCGGGCGTCATCGAAGGGTCGCTGTCCAGTGGTGGTCTAGCGCACGAGCCCTGGGAAGGGAGCCGAAAAGGGCCCCCAGGCCCCTGTAAACAGGGAACCGAGGCGGGCGGTCAGCAGCTCCGGGGCAGCGGGCGGCAGAAAGCGGAGCGGACTTCGGAGCTCCCCCCCCCCTGGACGGGCACCACCAAGAAACTTTTCCCACCCGTGAAGACGAAGGAAGCTGCACGCCATTCCCCCAATCTCGGCCACGACTCCAGACGGACCGGGTTTGTTCGTGATGCAGCCGTTTGGCCGCCCCGTTGCGCGGGCCGCCTGGGCGCACGGCCGCCGGCTGCGTCTTTCGGAGCTGACCCCAAGAGCCTCGGCCGTCGCCGGCCATAGGCAGTCTATCCTGTGTCTGCGGTGCAGCATTACCGTCCGGGCACGGCTGCTTTCCACAAGGCCGCCGCCGCCGCCGCCGTCTCGCGAGGGCGCAGAGGCTGATGACGCGTCGGAGCCAGCGAGTTCCAGCGGCTCGCAGAAGCCAAACGACAATCATGGCCCTTCTTCCCCTGACCCCGAGCTCCCTTCGATGGTCGAGAGTCGACGAGGCGCCTTGGACCGGAAATTCAGCCACGTCATGGACAACCTTCAAGCCCGCGTCCTCACCGCCTCCCACACCCTCAACGACATCACGGGCTACTCGTCCATTGAGGCCATCAAGGCCGACAACGAATCCCTCGAGGCGCAGGTGGCGGCCGCCCAGGCCCGCGTCCGCACCGCGCGCCAGGCCTACAAGACGTCCAACACCAAGCGCGCTACCACGCAGCGCGAGGTGACGACCCTCCTGGCCCGCAAGGACAGCTGGTCCCCGTCGGACCTCGAGCGCTTCACCGAGCTGTACCGGACCGACCACGTGCTCGAAGGCGAGGTAGTTGCCGCGCAGGAATCCCTGACCGAGGCCGAGGCCGAGGAGCAGAGCCTGAGCCAGAGGCTGAGCGCCGGCATCCTCAAGCGCTATCACGAGGAGCAGATCTGGAGCGACAGGATACGCAGGGCCAGCACGTGGGGCACGTGGGGGCTCATGGGCATGAACTTTGTCCTCTTTGTCGCGTTGCAGTTTGTCGCCGAGCCGTGGAGGAGGAAGAGGCTCGTCAAGGGCGTGGTGGAGCAGGAGCAGGCGGTGCTGCAAGAGGTACGCAGCGAGCTCGAGGCCGTCAAGCTGGGCCTGGAGAGGATGGCCGAGGACGGCCCGGAACTACGGCAGGCGACGGCTCCCGAGCCCGCCCACGCCGAGCAGGCGGCATTGCCCTCGGCGACGTTGCCCCCCGCGGAAACTACGTGGAAGGAGGTGCTGCTGGATCCGACCAGGTGGCGGACGGTTGCGGCAGACCTGTACAGCGAGAGGCGGGTGAACTTGCGGATGAGAGACGCCTCCATCATCGCGGCCGAGGGGGCTCTGGCCGGGGCGGCCTTTGCTGGGGGCTTGGCCTTGGTGCTGCTGCGGCGGACGTGAAGGCTGCCCCGTCAATGGGGCTTTGCCTTGTACAATTATATCTACCACCTAGACATAAGAGCGTGTGCCGCATGCCAATGTTGAAGGGTTGTCGTATAAGTGGGCAACCAAAAAGCCCGGCTATGACCCGAAGCTGCGCATCCCGAGTTTTGGGCACGAGCTGGGCAACGTTGAGATGTCATGCGCAGCAAGCTACTGTAGGGAGGAACTTGAATGGCCGCGGGAGCAGGTTTGGCAGGACAGACGTCACCGCTGGGGGACTGTGGGTTTCGGCCGTGGCGCAGCAAAGAGCCCCTATCCTTGTCACTCCTACAGGCGTGCTTCGGTTTGTCCGGCTGGCGTTGAATCGAAAAAAAAGAGAAGTGGGTTCTACTGGCCTGGCGTCATTGCGTCAGGCAAGGAGAGGCCGCCGATGAAGGGTGCAACGTCTTTGCATCGTCTTTCCCCACGCCGCCATGCAACATTCGGACGGCAACACGAGACGGAGGTGAGAGTGATGCCTGTTGCTTGTCCGTGAGTCAAGGCCCATCCGAGGCGGACTCGGGTTATCGTGGCCGGCGGTACTTGGTTGTCCTCCGCAGCCTTGATTGGCCGCCGCATTGTCATTGTTGCCGAGGTGCTGACGGAGACGAAATGGCGTTTGAACCAAGGGTATTGTCCCTTCTGTGTGTTGCGAGGTGCGCCTCGCGGGTGAGAAGGGGGTGCGCATGTCGTACATGTACACACACGCCTCTCCAGTCTTGTCGGTTAAAAGGAACAACAAGAGGATACCAAGTTGGTCGTCAAGATGATTCCTACAATATATTGTATAAATATATACTGTAGAAAAGAGGGTTGGTGAAGGCTTCATTTCCGGGTACCTCGGGCCACGAAACGCTCCATCGGCGCGTCCCAACAAAGAGTGTTGCCATCCACTGCACCCGAGTGCCGGGCAAGCTTCCCACGCCCAGGCCACAGCGCCACTGCGGGCTCAGCACTGCGTGGTCGTGGGTACCTGTCGGTACCTCGCCAAGCTGCCTGCGCGACCGACGTGCCCCAGTCAGTGCTTCCATGTCTTTGTTCCTTGATGCCTGTGTGTACCCAGCCCGCTGCGGAGCTGTCCGAGACGTATGAACAACTGTCCATTGGAGATGATGCAGGATATGCCCTCGTCCGACCAAACCCGGGGGAAGCGTGAGGAAGAAAAAGAAGAAGAAACTTGAGCGCCCCAGAGTTCCTCTTGCCCCCGGGGCCTTCTATCGCGCTAGGCGTCCTACGTGTCGAGGCCTGGCTGTAAGGTACCCTCGTCCGCCCGGGCAGGCGCGGCAGGTACTTGGCTCCTTGGGGGCCTAGAGGTAAGGTAATACAGTGGAGGTAGGTCCCCCAGAGCTTCCAGGTTCCAGCCCGCGCACCCCCTCCATCACTGACGACATCTTTTCCCACCACCCACCACCACAAACAGACTGGTTCCGACTCCAAAACACACTCGTCGACAGCCTCGCTCTCCCCGCCAACACGCTCGCTTGCCTGCTCTGCCTCCCCCCACCCCCCTCCGGCGCCCCCCGATAAAAAGGCAAAGCACTCGGCAGCAGGCCCCTTGGCCATCCTTTATCTCTCCCCCCCACCTCATCTTCTTCTTCCGTGCTGCTCCCAGAGACCCGACCCGACTCCTCCCCGCCTCCGCAACCGCGCCGTTTTGTTCTCGGCCGCCCTCCTCCTCCCCCTTCCCCACGCTCGTCCTGCGCATACGCATTGCGCACCCGGCTCGCCCATCATGAATGATGACGAGGCTATCCGGAGCATTCAGGCCAAAATCGAGCGGGAGGAGGCCCTCATGACGGCCGCCATCAACATGCGCTCCCTCCCCATCAACGAAGGCCATCGCTCCAGGATCGACAGCGAGCTGCGCGACAACGAGCGCAACATCAAGTTCTTCAAAGAGAGGCTCGACGCCATCAAGCAGCGCAAGGTCCAGCAGGGCCTCGGCGCCATCTCCCTCGTCGAAGCCGGCGGCAGCCAGTCACCCCCCGTGCCTCCGCCCAAGGACGCTGGCGCTGCTTGGGGGGACCAGGGCTCCTATGCCGCCGGCTCCGCCCAATACAGTCAGCCCGGCCAGCACGGCGACTTGATGCCGCCACGCCATCCCTACGCCCCGCCCGGCCCCGGCTCCGGCATGCCCAAGCCCCGGCCCAACTTCACAAAGCTAGGTTCGTGCGAGACCCCCCGGCGGGCCCCTCGGCCAACCCTTTCTGACCGATGCCCGCCTCAGATCTCGTCAAATACGACACGCCACACCTCGGCCCCCGAATCCAGCTCATGCTCTCCCAGATCCAGTTCAAGCTCAACGTCGAGGAGCAATACCTCAAGGGTGTCGAGAAGATGGTCCAGCTGTACGGCATGGAGGGTGATCGCAAGAGTAAGGCCGATGCTGCCGCCCGCCGCGTCGAGAGCAAGCAAAAGATTGTCCTCCTCAAGCAGGCCCTCAAGAGATACGAAGAACTCCACATCGACATGGACTCGGCCGACGCCCAAGACGGTAAACACGATCCTCCCTCCCCTACTTACCGTGCTGATGCCTCGCCCAGATGACTCCATAAACACGCCCAATCTCCGCAAACCCCTCAGCGGCCGGCTTTGCATTCGAGCAATGGGCGTCAAGGGGGTCGACCATGCTGCAACCGGCCGCTTCGCCCGCGGTCCCGAGACGTTCGTTGCCGTCAAGGTCGAAGACTCGGTCATGGCGCGCACAAAGGTCTCGCGAACCGATCGATGGGACAGCGAGCAACACACCATCGACGTGGACAAGGCCAACGAGATCGAGGTTACCGTGTACGACAAGCCCGGCGAACACCCCATACCCATTGGTCTGCTGTGGATCAGGATATCGGACATTGTCGAGGAAATGCGCCGCAAGAGGATCGAGGCCGAGATGAACTTTTCCGGCTGGGTTTCGGCCGACCAGATGGGCAACCCGTCGTCGCCCCCGACCCAGTTTCCCATGGGCTCCTTGCAGGGCCAAGCCGGGAGCTTTGGCGGCGCGTCCGGACCCCAGGGCCAGCAGCAGCAGGGGACACAGCTTGGCGCCCCCGGGCCTCAACCCCAGGTCAACGTGGGGCCCATCGATGAGTGGTTCAACCTTGAGCCCACGGGCCAGATCCAGCTGCAGATGAGCTTCGTCAAGCAGAACCAAGACCGTCGCCAGGCGGATCCGGGCCTGGGCCGCAAGGGCGCCGTGCGACAGCGCAAGGAAGAGGTCCACGAGATGTACGGCCACAAGTTTGTCCAGCACCAGTTCTACAACATCATGCGCTGCGCGCTCTGCGGAGATTTCCTCAAGTACTCGGCCGGCATGCAGTGCGAGGACTGCAAGTACACTTGCCACAACAAGTGCTATCACAGCGTCGTTACAAAGTGCATCAGCAAGAGCAACGCCGAGACGGATCCCGAAGAGGAGAAAATCAACCATCGGATCCCCCACAGGTTCACGCCCTTCTCCAACATGACGGCCAACTGGTGCTGCCACTGCGGCTATATCCTGCCCTTTGGCAAGAAGAATTGCAGAAAATGCTCAGGTATGCCGTAAACGAGACGCCCTGTTGGGGCCAAACGAAATGAGTTGTCCATGACTGACTTTGCCACAGAGTGCGGCCTCACGTCTCACGCTCAATGCGTCCACCTGGTCCCTGATTTTTGCGGCATGTCCATGGCCGTTGCAAATCAGATACTGGAAGGCATAAGGATCCAAAAGCAACGGCAAGCCAAGGCCTCGCCCATGTCCGACCGGACTCTGCGATCTGGCGCGAACAAGATGAGCCCGACCAGCGCCACCCACTCGTCCTCGCCTTCCTTCTCGAGCTCGACCCCTACTCTCTACGGACAGAGCACTCCCTCTACTGAGGCGACCGAGGCCGCCAAGATCATGTACGCCAATCAGACGACTCCGCAGCGGCCGGCTCAGCCATTGCGTACTTCCTCGAACACGCCGGCCGCGGCCGCAGCAGCCTCCGCAGCCATGTCTGGGTCGGCCTCCGTCCAGGACCTACGATCGCCCTCGGAATATGGGCGCTACAGTGGCGGCTACGACCAGCAGCGCCCTCCGTCTCAGCAACAACAACAGCAACCGCAGGAGGATCTATACGGCCACGGCCAGTATGGAGGGCAGCCGCAGCAGCGCAAATACAATCCTGCCGACTACGCCAACGTCAACCCGCCCTACGCCGGCCAAGCTTCTGGCCAGGCGAGGCCCCCTGCTCAGCAGCAACAGCCGCAACAGCCCCAGGCGATGCAACAACCGCCCCAGCAGCAGCAATATGGAGCGCCTGCTGCTGCCCAGAAGCCGGAGCCTTCAGCGATCCAGAGGCTGTCCTCGGGCCCGGTGGCGGGTCAACGCAAGCAGCTGCCTCTGGCCACGGATCCCGGCACTGGCCAGCGGATTGGGCTGGACCACTTCAACTTCCTCGCGGTCCTCGGCAAGGGAAATTTTGGCAAGGTCATGCTTGCCGAGACGAAGCGATCGAGAAAGCTCTACGCCATCAAGGTGCTCAAGAAGGAGTTCATCATCGAGAACGACGAAGTGGAAAGCATCAAATCGGAGAAGCGTGTCTTTCTGATTGCCAACAAGGAGCGCCACCCCTTCTTGACGAACCTGCATGCCTGCTTCCAAACGGAGACCCGGGTGTACTTTGTCATGGAGTACGTGAGCGGAGGCGACTTGATGCTGCACATCCAGCGGGGGCAGTTTGGCACAAAGCGTGCACAGTAAGTCGTGCCCAAGTGCTCATCTCCAGTGAGATTGCGACTGACGGGGAGACAGATTCTACGCTGCCGAGGTGTGCTTGGCGTTGAAGTATTTCCACGAAAACGGCGTCATCTACCGTGATCTCAAGCTCGACAATATCATGTTGACGCTCGACGGCCATATCAAGGTTGCCGATTACGGTCTCTGCAAGGAGGACATGTGGTACGGCTCGACGACGAGCACGTTTTGCGGGACACCCGAGTTCATGGCTCCAGAGGTGTGATGACCAGGCGCGTTGGGTATAGGAACCCATGCTAACTGGACTGCCGCAGATTCTGCTGGACAAAAAGTATGGCCGGGCGGTTGACTGGTGGGCATTTGGCGTCTTGATATATCAGATGCTTCTGCAGCAGTCACCGTTCCGAGGCGAGGACGAGGATGAGATCTATGACGCCATCCTCGCAGACGAGCCTCTGTACCCGATCCACATGCCCAGAGACTCCGTCTCGATCCTGCAGAAGCTCCTCACCAGGGAGCCCGATCAGCGGCTGGGTAGCGGCCCGACAGACGCGCAGGAAGTCATGAGCCAGCCTTTCTTCCGGAACATCAACTGGGACGACATTTATCACAAGCGCGTGCAGCCGCCGTTTAAGCCGACCATCAAGAACGCAACGGACACGAGCAACTTTGATTCTGAGTTTACGAGCGTCACTCCCGTGCTCACTCCCGTGCAGTCTGGTAAGTTGGGTTCGGTGGATGAGTACTACGGTGCCAGGCCCAGCGTGCTGACTTTTCCCACAGTCCTGTCGCAAGCCATGCAAGAAGAGTTCCGTGGCTTCTCGTACACGGCCGACTTTGAATAGACGGGGCGAGACACGACTTTGACGTTGATGCCAATGAGACTGACGAGTCGGCGACGCACGGCGATGAGGGGACACGAAGTCTGCAACGAAACTTGGCAATGAGGAGTTTGGGGAGCGCATCTGCGCAGGGCACCGTCGGAAAAGGAGAAGCCGGCTTCCCTGAAGACTGGCGGGGGGGCAGTCGGGTTCGCGGCTGGCACCCGATCTTTGATTAATTTGTCCTTTTTGAAAAGATATTATCCCTAACCCCTTTCCCCTCCATGGCTCTACCCCTTGGGTTCGCACGGAAGCTTTGTCTGCGTGGGAGGATTGTCATGGAAAAGCGGACTCGAGAGAAAGCGAGGGGAAGAAAGAGAGTGGAGGGGACGCGACGGGGAGATTCGACAGCGCAAGAAGAATAGCAGCAGTGAGTAGTACAGTACCCAGATATTGGACTACGTGTAGCTCGTCAATGCAAGACCAAGCGGGAGCTTTTGCTCCAGGAGCACGAGATACGAAGCGACCCTGAGGAGGCGCCACAGGCCAGATCTGGTGGTCAATACTTTGTTCCTTCATATATCAAAAACACCCGGCCTCGTCTATGATACAGGTCCGCCTCTTTAATGCCGCCACCTCACCAGGGAGGCACGTTAGTTGGTGTACTCCTTTTGCAGGAGCTTGGCAATGGTGTTGAGCCTGTCGAGGCCCGAGGCCGTTAGCATGCGGTGCGTTGATTTTTTTTGATCAGCATGGGATAGGGGACTTGACGCACTGGATGTTGCTGGTGCCCTCGTAAATGGCACCAATCTTGCTGTCGCGCCAATACTTCTCAGCGAGGCCCTCGCGGACAAAGCCCATACCGCCCATCCACTCGACGGCGAGGCCGCTGACGCGGCCGGCGACCTGGGAGGCATAGAGCTTGGCCATGGCGGCATCCTTGACAAAGTCCTGGCCGGCCTCCTTGCGGCGGGCGGCGTTGTAGACGAGGGCGCGGGCGGCGGCGATTTCGGTGTAGGACTGGGCGATCTGGTGCTGCATGCCTTGGAACTCGCCGACGAGGGCGCCGAACTGCTTGCGGTCGTTCCAGACGTAGCGGACGGCGTTGTCGAAGGCGCCGAGGGCGAGGCCCGTCATCTGGGCGGCGATGCCAATGCGGCCCTCATTGAGCAGGCTGATGGCGTACTTGTAGCCGTCGCCGCGCTGGCCGAGCAGGTTCTCCTTGGGGATGTCGACGTCGTCAAAGTTGAGGACGCAGGTGCTGCTGGCGCGGATGCCGAGCTTCTTCTCCTTCTTGGCAATGGAGAAGCCCTTTGTGCCCTTTTCGACGAGGAAGGCGGTGATGCCGCGGTAGCCCTTGGCCGGGTCGAGGTTTGCGAAGACGATGAAAAGGTCGGCCTCCATGGAGTTTGTGATCCACATCTTGCCGCCCGAGATGCGGAAGCCGTCGGCCGTCTCGGTGGCGCGGGTGGCGAGGGCAAAGGCGTCGGAGCCGGAGACGGGCTCGGAGAGGCAAAAGGAGGCAACCGTCTTGGTGGCGAGGCGCGGCAGCCACTTCTGCTTGAGGGCGGGCGAGGCGTACTTGAGGATTGCCGTGTTGCAGAGCGTGTTGTGCACGTCGACGAGGACGCTGACCGAGGGGTCGGCGCGGGCGAGCTCCTCGATGCCGACAATGGCGGCGGTGAAGTTCATGCCGGCGCCGCCGTACTCCTCGGGGATCTCGACGCCCATGAGGCCCTGCTCGAAGAGCTGCTCGACAATGGCCGGGTCCATCTGCTCGGCCTCGTCCATGTCGCGGGCGCGCGGGAGGACGACGTCGCGCGCGAACTTGGACACGGCGTCGGCCATGGCGGCCTCGACTTCGGAGAGGTGGCTGATGGGCGTGGGTGGGACGTCGGAGATGTCGACGGTGGAGGAGGAGGAGTCGGCGGGGCGGCGGAGGGGGGGCGTCGACGATAGAGGCCGGATCCTGCAGCAGAAGCGTGTCAACATTGGTTCGCGCTGTGAGGTGTCCTCACTCGTACATGTTTATCCTCGACACCGGGCCCGGAGCAGCCGTGTTCCTCGCCCTCTGTCCGAGGCCGCGCAGGGCGGGGCGAATCATCCTCGCAAACGACGGAGACGCCGACATGTTGTCACCCTAAGCCGACAGACTACGAACAAGAGACTCGGGGGAGACAGGCGTGAAGGTGAAGTCGGAGTGAAGGTGAGATTGGCGTGCAGGTCGGGGGACTGGCGAGCGTTGGTGAATGCAACTCTCTCTCTCCCTTGCACCCTGTTAGTGCCGCGGGTATCAAGCCGAGGATAACCATGAGCCGCGGGGGGAGTGGATCTGGCCCGGCAATTACCCGCTGACGTCAAGATCCCGATTGGGGGTGTGTTTAACTAATTACTGCATACTGCATGTGACAGCGCTGCTGACTAAACACATGGCTGGGACTTCTTGGAGCTCCTCGCAAGTCGACATTGTCCACAGTCCACAGTCCAACGACTCCAGCCTCGTCTCAATACACGTCGTAGCTCCTCATATCATTGTTGTACAGGCCCCTTACCCCCACGCTGACCACGTCAACGAGCTTCTGCCGATCCACCTCAACGGCGTCAGACTGCCACTGGTGGTCGCCCGAAGCATCCCCGTGCATCCTGGCATGGGTGCGGATGAAGCCCATGCCAAGCATCTGCGCCAGGTTCCGGAAGCCCTTGTGCTGGAACCCTTCGGGCAGTATCTCGACGACGGTAGACCCGGGCTGGAGGAACATGAGATGTGTAAGCCCAGCACCGTGGACGCCCACTAGCATATCTGTTCTGCGGATGATGCTAAGCTGCTCGGCGAATGGAATGAGTTCTCACGACTATATACATTGTGCGCGGAAGCTCTCTAAATTATATAGTTCGCTCGAATATGTAGATCGCACGACGGACATAGCGAGCGTGCAAGCCTTTGTCCGTTTAGATGAGGCTGTTATATGTTCTTTATTAGGCAGGTGGGGTACTGCGGCGGCGGATGAGCTATTTTATTTGCTAGGGACGCAATGAACCCGGAGCCTCCCTCCTATGTTGAGTGTCTCTGCTCGTATCCTCGCTTACCCCTTGCACGCTATCCTGACCTTGGAAATGCGCTGGCGTTCGTCTGATCGTGAGCGGATAGGCTTTCTCCTTAAAATAAAACGCGGGGTATTGCGTGAGATGCCTTCGGCGGCTACTCGTGGTTGGACACGAGCGTTCACGGTCAGAAGCGGGGTCCGCCAATCCCAGGTACCACCAATCAGCAGTTGGCTTGGCATTGCCTCGTGTCCTCCGTCGCGCCATCTAGCGAAGCTGTCTCTTGTCCTGGTCCTGCATCGCCAGACATAAAAACGTCACTCCAGCACCTACATATCAACCATGGCAAGTATTGAAGGATGGTTCCGACAAAGGGTCCCCATAACCGACCAACCACTCCTGGCCTGCCCAAGCGTCGCATCCCTTCGTGTCCGAGTCAAACGCCAGAAGACGACCGAGACCATCGTCCGTCAAAAAAGCAGAAACCCAGCCATCCGGCATTCCCACCTGCAAGGTTCTGGGACCACCTGTCAGAGATCCCTCTCACGCGGAACGCACTACGAGAGCTGAACGAGAGGAACGGCAAAGTCTCTCGCGGCTCGGGACAACGATCGGGACAACGACGAAGCCCTCGGGGGCGTACGCGACTAAGTACATCCACCCAAAAGAAAACAAGCAACCTTCTTGCCGATAAGTTCCTTTGTCGGTGTTTTCCAAATTGTTCGGATCAGATCAAGTGTTTTGCAAGTCGGGGCGGCCCAGATCTGACAGACGTAAGAGGAGTATGTGTGGATATTTGACTCTTGTCGTTCCGTGTTGACAGCCAGTAGTATTGGACATCGGCGGAGGCCCAAGACGGGATGAGCTCCAGCCAGTCGAGTCTCCGGCGCCGAAAGAGGTCACTGACGAAGAGGAGCTCGCCGTCGCCGTCGAAGTGCAACGTTACCCCCAAAACAACTAGCACGAGGAGTACGGGCCCATATGATCGGGCTTTCCAGCAACACCTGATCGATCACGATGTTTTCCCCGACGGCTATGAGTACCCAGATGGCCGATTACCGCCGGAGCCCGAGAATATGGACGAGATACTTCGTGCACTGGCCCAGCCTAGGGCATCTCTATCTCCGTCTCGATTCACGAAGGACGACTTCCGCAAGTTTAGGCGGGCAGATACCCATGCGTCTAAGGAGAGAGAAGTTACCACAACCGTTATTCCAATTGTCGGAGGAGACGTTGGCGATAGGAAGTGTGTTGCCGGCGAGATTCCGTTCACGAATCTTGAGCAGTTGACCGACGGTACGCTCGTACCAGGCAATCCTGATCTATATTACGGCGCACGTCCCGAACAGCTCGATAGAAACATTCGCAGAGAACTGAATAACCAGATTATTCCCTCTACTCAACACGGCCTTCCTATTGCTCCAAACTATCTTTTCCAGGCTAAGGGCCCTGATGGCAGTCTGTCGGTCGCAACTCGACAAGCATGCTACGACGGTGCGCTGGGAGCGAGAGGTATCCACAGCCTACAGTCATATAAGCAATCGGAGCCACAATACGATAATAAGGCCTATACACTCACGTCGATATACCATGGTGGCACTCTGAAGATGTATACTAGTTATCCGATAGCACCATCAGTTCCTGGAGAACGACCCGGCTTCGTTATGGCGCAGATCAAAACGTGGGGTCTAACTGGTGACCTCGATGCCTTTCGACAGGGAGCTGCTGCTTTCCGGAACGGGAGAGACTGGGCCAAGCGAAAAAGAGACAATGCGATGATGCAGGCGAATGAGAGAGCCGTTCAAGATGTTGCATCTGTCCCAGGGAATGATGGCTTGGGATTGAGCTTTCCAAGCGAGGCGTCGGCTGATGAAACAATTATCACCAGCCAAGAGACGATTCTAAACCTCGACTTCAACATACCACCCTCACATGAGTCCGACACGTCCGCAGATGAACTATCACGAGAATTTCACCCTCCCAAACGCACAAAGTCATATTCTCCGCAGAAAAGGTCATAGGGTGCAAACGTCATTTGGCTTGGAAGAAACGGAGAGCTTGCGAGGATGAAAGTGGTAGCCATGGCAGTGTTGTGCTCTTCCTAGTACCTGTTGTGAGAATGTATTATTTGCAACGATATTGCGTGGGGGAACAGAAGGTCATAGGATGTGCTCGGAGCCGGCGGTTCCCCGGGGGCGGTTGATATGCTTAGCTCAGGAGATGTAACCTTGGTCAGGGTTGGGTCCAGGCGGCAATGAGGCATCATTGAAGCAACCAAGTAGGTTGGAGCAGATGGTACGTGCTACCACAGATGTCCCATTGGAGCGTCAATACACGACTAGCCAATCGGCTGCATGCCCGAAAACCTCGACTGATAGGGCGTGACAAGTAACGGAGACCGTGGCACAACCCAACTCGCAATCCACCACTTATCACTAATCCAATACCAACTCTCCCTATCCTACTACTCCCTCTAGCTTACTCTACAGAGACTACACTCCTCAGCAAACAATGAAGAACCTGTATCGCCATTTCGGGGCTCTCACGGTTTGGTCCTTCGAATAATACACATAACCGATCCCAACTCGCGCCGAAACGCCATCCGACGTATGGAGACCAAGGAAGATTGACTGTGTGTCTGGTGGCTTGGTAATGGTGTTTGTAACGACAAAAGCAACTAGTTCATCCACCTGCCTGACGTCTCCGTCAAATCTGAACCTACCCCGGTGATCAGACACCTCTAAAGAGCAGACCTGCTGTCCCTCAGTTGAGGAGAGTGAAAACTCCTCAAGGCCGACGCATGGTCCGAAAAAGCCAAGCTCTCCGCAGGCTAGCGGCCTGCCAGGCTCGGCCGTCGCGTTTTCCACCAGCAGGTCAACGTCGATTCCAACGCGGCCAAGCTCGCCCTTGGTTCGGAAGAGCTCCTCCGTGGAGATGCCTCTGGCGATAGGAGGGCGCTCGTCACACGCGGCCCAGACCTCGCGAGACCAGACAGGCCCTGTCGAGACCCCAAAATGCCACCGGGTGATGGGCACATGGAGGGGTACACCCTTGATGGGGGCTTGCGAGATATTCCGCGAGAGCCATGCGCTGTCAGCGAAGACGAACTCGATCGGGCCAGTCCAGGAGGCCCTGTTGCCAAGTCAGCAGTGTACGTCAATATCTGGATGTCACCATTCATTATGGGTCGATGAACACACATGGCGCCCCGGCTGTTGAAGATGCCCTGGGCGAGATGATAAGAGAATATACAACATTCGAACATACCAGGACCAAGTCGAGAATGACTCGGCAACACCCCCAGGTTGGCTGGGCAGGCATGTGCGCTTGCGAGCGCTGTCCGAGGGAAACCAGAGGATCGCCTGGAAGAGTAGATGGCTTGGTAAGCCCTGCGTCTGGCGGATGTCCAGGTCCGCCCTATGGCCCCTATCTACGGACTTGCTGAAGCGGCTGAAGATGCCCTCAAAGGCGTTGAGCACGTCGGATGCAAACGTGAGATTCTTCCTGCCAAATTCCTGCACTGCCCTCTGGTAGTCCTGCATGTCCAGCCTCGCGACGTTCCCCAGGTAATAATACGGCGTCGGGTCGAGATCCCGCCGGAGCTTCACGCTCCACCAGGGCGGTCCTGTCCTGACCTGAATCTCGATGCCTTTGCGTTTGTTCTCGCCGAAATCATATCCCTCCCTCCACTGTGTCTCGCTGCAGTTGAAGAAGACCTCGTCGGGCGTGAAGTACAGGCAGCGGCGCGAGAGACACTGCTCCTGGAATGTCCAGCCGCGCATGTTCCACGTCGCTCTCCTCACCTCATCGCACAGAGAGGGCAAGCAGAGGGAGAGGTTCAACGTCGTTCCGTCCGAGTCGACGATCTTGTGTGATCGGATTGGGTGCCCCCGACGCGCGCGTATCCCGCTCAGCCCGGCATCCGCGTCGGTTCCGCATGCGGCGATGACGGTCACCGTCGCCGAGTTGTAGACATGGTCCATCCTGCCGACCAGACGCGCCTGGTCCACCCTGTCGTCCTGGACTATGCACAATGTGTCGACCCACAGGTATCGCATCCCGATCTGCCGGGTCAGCTCCATCGTGTCTCGGACTGTGTGGGGGATCCTGCCGTTGTTGCGCTCGGCTTGGCGCGCAAGGGACAGACTTCCCTTGATTCCGAGTTCCTCGATCATCTGTTGGGTGGAAAGCAGGATAGGCGTCTGGCCGGTGGCGTTTCCTGGTCTGAGAGTCGTGGGGAGCGGACCCCAGACGTAGGACAAGGCGACGTAGTCGCACCGCTCCGTCCGCTGCACCAGGCACTCGTCCGCGACGTCGACGAGACGGAAACCTGGTCCGGCCGCGAACAAGTCATGGTCGTCGCGCCGGCTAGCGGCCTCCCTGGAGTGCTTATGCTGCTGGCACGCATCGAGCCAGCCCCTTAGCTGCCGGGGTTTAATGCGGCTGCCAATCTCGCGCCGCGGCAGGAAGTGCGCCTCCTCGTCCCTATGCGGCAGGGCCTCGAACTCGGCGATGAGGAAGCGGTTCTTGATCTGGTCGATCTCCCTGAGCGTCGCCCTGTTGCGGTGCCGACCGGGCGGCTCTTGGCTGATGGCCAGCAGCAGGCGCGGATGGGGGTGCTCGGTGCGGCCGGCCTCCTTGACGGATAGGGGGCTCCGGCTCATCATGAAGAGTTGGGGCTGCTTGTTGGCTGCGGACCGGCCGAGCCGCGCGGCATCCCACCCGGGGCCCCAGGCTCGGCCGATGGCCTGCGAGACCAGGCCGCAGAAGGGGCAGCTGGTGTCTATGTACAAGGAGAGGGCGCCCATGGGTTCTTCGTTGACCTCGTCCGCGAACATGGCCTCGAAGTCGAGCATCTGGCAGCGGTCACACAGCTGGCCGGCCTGGACGAGCTCTGGTGGTTCTTGAATATCCGCCATGCCGAGACCTGTTGTCGATGGTTGTCGTCTATCCGACCAAGACGCCGTTTGCGCCGGTGTGCAGCCGGGATCCGGCAGCGGAAATGGAGAAGAGACGCGTCCCGGCCGAGTTCGATGGTGAGCAGACCGCAGTAGGTGTATGCGTGTAGGGTGCTGTCGACGCCTAATCTCGCCGGACAGCGCCCGGACGGGCTATTGGGCGAGACGAGATGAAGGTGGGTGGATTTCGGCAAGTATCTGCAAATATCGGCCTTCATCCTGGCCACTTGCCGGTGACGTGTCAATGAGCGAGGATTTGGCGTCGTATAATATCACATGGTGCATGCGGCAACAAGTGTCTGTCTACGACTGGCTGGGGTTTGCCTTGTGCGTCTTGGACCTATCCGGTGACGAGACAAGAGCTCCTCTCTAATCGGCCCTGAGGGGAAAGCTGCAGATAGGGCCTCTTACCGAGGGACGGGACTCACGGGAGGAGCTCTATAAGTCCGAATCACCAGCACTCCTTGGCCTCTCGCCCGTGCTTGGCTAGCTGGCGACAGCAACTCCCTCCTGATAATTATCCTCTCGGCTCTGGCTCCGCACCGCCGACAATGCCGTCAATGACCGACACGCCCACGCCGCCGTCACAGTTCCTGGCGCACCTCTTTCGTAACCCACGAGAGCCTACGCGCGAGCTGGTTAAGCCGTATGTCTCGTACGAGACCGGGCTTAGGAAAGCCTTTGCGCGCGGGGATGCCGGGATCGACGGCCTGGCCGGCCTCGTGCCCGTCTACAACGGCGCCGAGAAGTCGTTCAGGATCCGCACCGTCGACCGCCAGCCCGCTACGTTGAGCAAGTACATCATGCCGCTGCCCGATGACAAACGGGAGGCCAACGATGTGCCGGCCATCGCCGCGTCTCGGGACGAGTTCATGAAGAATTTCGATGCCTTTACACACTGTCCGTGCCCCAATCCTCTCTTTCTTTGGTCGTGTTGCTGATGACCGCAGCCATGTTGAAGGGCATAGGTACGCCGGCCCATACACCAAACTGCGAGATGCCTCGTGTCCGCTGACACGCACACGGATTGGTCCAACATCGTCATCGCCGGGTCGGCCGCGCTTCTACCCCTTTTGTCACGTAGGAAAGACATAAAGATCGAGAACGACCCGACGGTGGAAAACCCTCACGAGACATACTACCAGTACGGGCTCCCTCCGCGCTGGCTGGGTCGCTAACCTTAGCCTTCTCCAGGACCACCGCGCCGGCCAGCGACATCGACGTCTTCTTCTACGGGCTCGGGGACGACAACAGCGCCATTGCGCGCATCGTCCAGCTGGAGGCCGAGCTGCGAGTGAACCAGCGCATCGCACCAGGCTCGGGGCTGACTCTGCGGTCCGAGAACGCCGTGACGTTTATCTCGCCGAGGTGGCCGTACCGACACGTCCAGGTTCGTGTTTTACCACGCATTCGTATACGACCGGGACTGACGGCATCAGGTCATCCTTCGGCTGTACAGGTCCGTCAGCGAGATCCTGACGGGGTTCGATGTCGACTGCGCGTGCGTCGCCTTTGACGGAACGAACGTCTACTCGAATCCGCGGGGCGTCACGGCCATCGCCACGCGCACCAACACCATCGACCTGACCCGCCGAAGCCCGTGTAAGTCCCCGCCATATCAGTCTCCGGGATTCCCAGCTCACCTCTAAGCCCTGTTGTCGCAGCATACGAGAACCGGCTGTACAAGTACCGCAACCACAACTTCGACGTGTTCTGGGATGGGCTGGAGCGCGAGCGCATTGATGAGCAGTTCTTCCGCGACTTCGCCGCGGACTATCGGAAACTCTCGAGGCTCACCGGCCTCGCCCGCCTGATCTTCTCCGAGGCCGTTCTGGGCAGGGGCGCCCAGGAGTGGTACCGCTGGAGGCGGCTGATGCGGCGGCTCGACAGCGGTGGCGAGCCCGCGCTCGCGGCCCCGAGCGGCTACGCCACCCTCGATATCCCGTATGGGCGGCTATTCACTGCCAAGAGGTGCGTTGTTTTACTGGCGAGATTGCAGCCGTGCTGGCCAAGTGCTGACGGGGGACGCCGACAGCGTGTGCAAGTACGTCTCCAAACGCGCCAAGGAGCCGTACCTGTTTGGCTCCATCGAGAAGGTGACCTCGTGGGGCGCGAAGCCGAGCAAGAAGATGAAGGGGAAGCTGGCCGGGAAGGTGACTTTTATCAGGGACAACCCGGGCAGGCAGATGATTGGCAGCTTTTATCCGCTGACGGATGATGACTGGTATGCCTACTTTTGGCGTCGACCGTGTCGCTTCACTCTTCCGCCTAGATCGCTGACTTGAACCCGGAGCAGGACGAACATGGCATATGAGCCGCCATCTGATGTGAGTGAGAACGAGGACGAGTGAAGGAATATTATATTAGCTGGATTGGAGTCCGGTCAAGATTGTACCTCTCAAGCAGAGGCTTGAGAGCACAGTGGAAGTGAATTAAGTAATATATATCTTAGTCTATCTATTAGGATAAGAGAGGGGCTTATATAGGTATAGTAACTATATATAGCTAGCTAAAAGAGGGCATTAAGATATTCCTATACCTAAGTTAGGTCCATATTATATCCTTAGGCTAAGGGAGTTATATTACTTAGGTAGAGCTCTTCTATATAACTATTAGGTCCTAAAACTAGCATTGGACGCTTCCTCCCTAAGAGCCCTTATAGATCTATTCTCGTTATAGCTCGGGGTCGGCAGGTGGGCGTCTTCGCTACTAAGCATCGGACTCGGGCTGTGGAAGAAATCTGCAAGATGGACAAGCACGAATCTGATCGGTTGGTTCGCGCAACGCTCGATGCAGCTTTGCTCATCCTCCGTGAGACACACCCGGCCATATTGGTATAAGCAAAGGAAGGAACTAGACGCATAAAGAGCAGTCGATTACCACTGGGAGTCCCTATCCGGCATATGCCTCGATTCCACGAGTGGCAAGCTTGTCCCGGCAACTGTTACGAGACAACGCCACACATCGCCGCTTACTGCTATACACTGGGTAGGACTAACCTTACTGGCCGCCCTAGCCTCGCTTGAGATTGCCGATATGGCGTCACCAGCACCCGGTAGCATCTTCTGGCGAAGTTGCATGCACCACGTCCGCCGGTGGCCAAGTTGATTAGGTCTTGTGGGAAGAGCTGAGATGCGCTGCGTCATGGCCTGTCTCCTCTCGGCTTTGGCTTATACATCCACGACAATCTCTGGTGCAGTGTGGCACGGAGCGCTTTCACACCAACTTAATATGGCTTTATGTGTAAACCTACGGAGATATTTCGCTATTCAGTGCACGCTCGCACGGCCATCGGGAGCTCGCTGGTGGTCGATATGAGAGCACCAAAGACTGAAACTTGCTGCACCCTAGTTTGTGGCGTTATATCCAGCGAGCGGAGATAAAGTGACCATTCTTATATATGACAGACGAACCAATGAACAAAGTATTGACTGTGGATAGGTGTAGAGCCCAGTGCCGTGATCAGTGGCGATGGTCAATGTTCCCAGGGCATGAATCCAGGCGCGCTGCGCCGTGGACAACTGGGAGGAACTGACGTCTTGCGAAGCATTTTGGATTAACATCAACAAACTTGACTCCTCCCAGCCTTGGCTGTGCTTCCAGAGGGCCTTTACTGGTCATTGGCCTCATCCTGCACTCGGAGAGTCTCGGCATCGGCGCTGTCAGTCATGACAGCCACCGCTAATACAGACGCCGCGTGCTCCTGGCCTGAGACATTACACCAGCGACTACGGCAATATCGGAGCACCGCAGCATTCCAGTTGGCGAATGATTACATGATTTACTCGCGCCCTAAACAGCAACGATTGCCGTGCTGGTTTCTTGGCAGATAACACGGCGGCCGTTTCTGCCCATGGGGGTGAATACCGGGACCCGGCCTGTCATCGGCCAGGCACATTGCAGCCTCTTATCCTGAGGCTCGAGGCAAACGATACATATCGGAGCTCTCCCTATTCTCAGTGGCGTTGAGGAATAGGTGACGCACAGCGACGAAGATTATTGGCCGAATGACGTGGTTCCTTACTCCAGCATCCACCACACGATGGCTGTAATTCTTCAGGATTATCTACACGAGTGACCACACTGACGCCTCTTGTATAAGTGCCGCCCGCAGACAGAGTCAGGGTGTTTGGGGTCGGAAATGGCTGGCCGTCAAGCAAGCCCTCGGCAAGGAATGAGACTCTCCAGCCGGCACTGGAGCAACTGATCGAGCTATACGAAGTACCCCCTTTTCTTCTCGTCGCCGGCAACCACGACTCGGCAACCGTCTGCCGCCCACAACTTGGAGCCCGTCATGTCTCACACCTCTGCCTTCTCCCAGCTGCAAGAATGTTGCGGGAGAGCGTTTCCATCATCGACGGGTGCTATTGATCCCTGCCATCTCCAATGCGTCTCAACGGATAGCCCTTAACAGGGCGCGAGCTGCCGCGTTCTATCGCACATGGATATAAATGGCCTCTGGCCTTGGCGTAAGCTCCTCATGATTGTCTATGCTCCGCCTCACCCAGATTCATATCAAATGCTGCCAGGACCCCAAAACGACTTTGAAGCTGACTTAGGTAGTTAGCGTGCCCTTTGCCGGACAAGATGAGGTGGGCGGAAACCAAGGAAAAGCTCCGCCAGCATGGTCGCGACGACGAGTCTCAGCCATCGGCCGGCGACCATGACCTCGAGGTCAGCGTCTCGATGGACGAGGACACCGATGCGCGGCCGCCGACCAAAAAAGAAACAAAGAGGCTGCTGCGGAAAATCGACCGCAACCTCATTCCGCTCATCTGCGTCTTGTACCTGATTTCGGTCCTCGACCGCGCCAACTTGGGCCATGCCAGGAGGATGGGGCTCGGCGACGACTTGCATTTGGTGGGCAAGCACGACTTTAACGTGAGTAGCCATTGTCACTTGAATCCTTGCTTCAATGGGTGGTCTGAGGCCAGCGTTTGGTTAATGTCGACGAAGTTTAGATTGCAAAATCAATCTTCTTTCCATTTTTCCTCATTGTCCAGATCCCGTCCAACCTCCTCCTGCAGCGAGTTCGTCCGTCTCTCTGGATTCCGTCGCTCATGATCGGCTGGTCGGCCGTAACCATTTTCCTCGGCCTCGTCAAGAACCTTGCCGGCCTGCTGGCCCTACGGTGCTTACTGGGCATTGTCGAAGGCGGCGTCTTTCCGGGCTTCGTCCTTTAGTAAGATTCCTCTGTTGTGTTCCCGAGGGTCACCTTCAGACTCAACTAACGGCCGTCACAGTCTGACGAAATGGTATCAACGCGACGAGTACGGATACAGAATATCCCTCTTTTACTCGCCTGCCATCCTGAGCGGCTCGCTCAACGGCTTCCTCGGCAAAGCCATCACTGGCATAGGCGACATGTACAGCTGGCCCTGGGTATTTTTCATCGAGGGGATTGTATCACTCGTCGTCTGTAAGGGTTCCTCTTTTCATTTGTCTTTTTGAATCAAACTCTGACGGACCACAGCCGGGTTTGCCTTTCTGCTGATGCACGACTGGCCGTGCACCGCCAAGTTCCTCAAGCCGGCGGAGAAACAAGTCGTCCTGCGCCGGCTGCACGATGACGCCAGCCATCTCTCGGACCGCATCGATGCCAAGTTTGTGAAGCAGGCGCTCCTGGACTGGAAGATTTGGGTACACATGGCCATGACGGTGGGCGTCACGGTTCCCCTTTACTCCATGGACGAGTTTTTGCCCGTCATCATCGAGGACCTCGGGTATCACGGCAACCGCGAGCTCTTGATGGCCCTGCCGCAGCAGCTTGCTGCCGCTCTGGCAACCATTGGCGTGGGCATCGCGGCCGACCGGTGCCGGCAACGGGGCGTTTTTACCATAGGACTCTGCGTGACGGCGTACGTGCCCCTGGTGTTGATTCTTTGCTCCGATGGTTGCTGAGAAGACAACAGAATGACTGGATTCGTCATGCTCGGCGTCTCGGAGAACCACGTCGTCAAGTACCTGGCGTGCTTTCTCGTCGCCATGGGTATCCATCCCATCGTCCCGCAAGACGTCGGGTGGAACGCCAACAACATTGGCGGCTCGACCAAGCGCGCCGTCGGCATTGCCATGCACTTTGGCTTTGTAAGTCTCGTCCAGTTCAGACAACGGGGCGTACCTTTGCATCTGATACTGGCCCCCTGGCAGGGCAATCTGGGCGGCGCCGTCGCCGCCTTTGTCATTCGCGAAGACAATGCGCGCCGGTTCATCTCGGGTCACGGCATCCTGTTTCTCACGACGGCTGTCAGCTGCATGCTGGCCACCTTTATGACGTGGTACCTGCGGAGGGAGAATGCGCGGCGAGACCGCGTGTACAAGCGCCGGGAGCTATACACTACCGAAGAGATGCTGGCCGAGTCGGACCTGGGCGACGAAGCCACCTTTTTTAGGTACTACTTTTGAGATGAGCATTCTGGCGATGAATTGGACTAATTCGTGTCTGTCGCGTTCAAATGTATACCATTTGTTAAGGAAGAATAGGCATAAGATGCCAGAGTCGTGCCTAGTAGACCTAATAATTATGCATAAGAGAGCCTGCCTAACTAATATAACTCCCCTAACCTAAGGACATAGCTAGCCAAAAGATGACATTGAGATGTTCCTATACCTGAGTCAGGCCTGCATGATGTCCTTGGGCTAGGGGAGTCATGTTGGTCAGGCAGGCTTCCTTGTGCATGATTATTGGGTCCACTGGGCATGACTGTGGCCTCTTATGCCCCCTCTCCTCAACACCTCTCAACCACCCAAGATCCCGGGCTACATTCAGAATGGCCAATCCACACATCGACGGCCTCATCACCTGTTGCTACAGTTCCAGTAGGTCAGTTGCACTACAACGGGCGGTCGTTTGGCGTAGTCGTTGTAGCTAGGCGGAACGACGAAGAGCTGTTGTTGCGCTTTCAGGCAGCGTTCGAAACCGCGTCGAAGCCCCGTCCATTGCCTCATCTCCCAATTTAAGGATTGCTGTCAATAACTAGCCCGGTTCATATAGTAGATGGCGCTTCTATTTCATACGTAATAGCAATTAGGAAAAAGTTATAGTGAGTTAGGAGCTTAAGAGTGCGTTAGGGCTCTCTAGAGTAAATAAGCGCGAAATGAAAATAACGTTAATTAGAAAGACGTTTGAATTTCTTCTTGGCCATGCTATAATTAGGGTTGGCGTATAATAGCTGCTAGAACCAACAGCGAGGGACGGGGTGGCAGTGCGGCTAAAAGAACACAGGGGTTAGCGTAGTCAACATCTGCTCGAGACACGTGACCGCACCCCTTCTCAAGATTTCGGAAGCCGCAGCATCACTCCAAGAGCGAGGCCCGAACCCATCGCGGAAAGCCCCCCGTCCTCCCATCCACCATGGCCGGCACGATACTGCGGCACCTCCTCTGGCCCGCCCCTCTCGCGAGGCGGCCGCTCCTCACCGCCGCCTCCCGCCACGCCAGCACAGCGCCAGCCTCCTCGCCCTTCGCCTCCTCGACCTCCTCGACCCATGGCCGTCTCGCTCTCGCGCCCTCCCTCCAGCAATCCGCCGCCTTCTCGACAACAGCCCCCCGCGCGGCGACCATCAATCAGGTCCTCCGCGGCGCGCGCAAGGGCAAGCGCGCGCGCCACGCCGTCTCGCCCGCCCTCGCAAACATACACTGCCCGGCCCTCAAGGGCGTCTGCCTGCGCGTCGGCGTCGTCCGCCCCAAGAAGCCAAACTCGGGCGAGCGCAAGACGGCCCGTGTCAAGCTCTCCACCGGCGCCGTCGTCTCCGCCTACATCCCCGGCGAGGGCCACAATATCCAGCAGCACAGCGTCGTCCTCGTCCGCGGCGGCAGGGCCCAGGACTGTCCCGGGGTGCGCTACCATCTCGTTCGCGGCGCCTTGGACTTGGTGTGTTTTACCTCTCCAATCACCTGGAGCCAAAACTAATTGCCGCTCTGCAGGGAGGGGTGGCCAACCGAACGTCGAGTCGAAGCAAGTACGGCACCAAGAAGCCCAAGAAGGCCACCGTCGGCTGAGCTTGGCCTCGTCCTCGAGCACCCAGCCGACTTGGCGTCCGGAAATGGCTTGATTACACTCAGTCTACACACGGCCCGGGCCCCAGACAATCAACGAGAAAAATATCCCGAGACAGGGCCAACGGAAACAGAAACTCAATGGCTCGCGGCTTTTATAGCTTTATTTTATGTACATGAGCCCAAAACAACTCGTCTCTAGCCTTTGAGAGGCAAACTCAGATAGACGCCGTTCCTCCCGCAATGCCAAATTTCATATGCCGTGATACCTTCATGCCTGCCAGGGCTCGTCCGACTCAACAGCAAAGACCTTGAAAACTCCTTTCCCAACGTGACTGCACGCAGAGGCGAGAGCGCCGATGAAAGCATGTCATCACATCGGCCCTCATGCCATGGCCCTCGATGAGAGCACGAGCCACCCATCATTGCTGGTTTTCGTAACTCTCGGGCTTCTCCATGTCATTAATGTCAAAGTACTTGGAAGTGCCTGTGTAAGCGGTTAGCCAGTGTTAATGCAACCAGTTTCGGAAACACAAGGGGATAGAAATTCGGCAGGGGGGGGGGATAAGTACAGGAATATCCCTTCCAGTCAAAATTGTCATTGGGGTTACAATGGCAGCGGAGGGCCAGCCGCGTCTTCTCGCCAGTCGGACAGTGGGTAAAGGGAATATGCCAGTAGGCAATGTCGTTGAAGAAGTGAATCTCGCTCCTGTTAAGCAGGATGCCGGCAGCAATGGAGTGCACTGGAGCGTCGCCCCAGCGCTCGTAGAAAAAGCCCCCGTCACGGTCAAGCGAGTCAAAAAAGTCGAGGTAGGCTTGGCTCCGCAACCAGTTGAGGTCGCCAATCTCAAAGTTGGACCACTGTGCCCCAGGGTTAGTCATTTCCAGGCATGCGTGGGTGAGCCCAAGACTTACAAAGTGACAGTTGTTGTACGTGTCGCCGCCGTCGTCGCTGAGGAAGCCCATCGAGTTGTCGGCCGCAATGTGCTCCGGGTGGTTCGTCATAAACTTCTTGGTGCTGTCCCAGAGCGTCTTGATGGTCTCGACGTACTCGTAGAGGCTGAGGACGAAGCTGTACTTTTTCCCGCCCTCGGCCATGAGGCGGAAGGGGTCGTAGTGAAGGTCGCAAAAGAGCTCGATCGAGGGCTCGACGCGCCAGTAATAGTCGTAGTTCATCATCAATGGCTGGCGGAAAAAGAAGCCGGATTCGAAGCGGCACATGTGCCGGTAGCTGACCGAGTCGCCGTAGATGATCCTGCGCTCAGCCATGTCCTCGCGCACCTTCTTGGCCTTGTCCTGGTCGATCCACTCGGGAAACGACCAGTGCTCGGCGGGGATCTGTCCGTAGTGCGCCTTGCCCGAGACGAGCGAATTCGTCACCTTTTTGAACGTGGCGTCAAAGGGCTTGTCGTTGAGGAAGACCCAGTCGTAGTTGTACCGGCGGTTGAAGCGATCCTCGACCTGGCGAATCGAGCGAGCAATGTCCCAGACGTCGCTGTTGCGGGCGAGGGTGACAAAAGTGGCGTTCACGCGGGGGCCGGGCGCCGTGCCGACCAGATCGTTGTCCCAGAGGGGATCATCGGGGCTCACGGCCAACGGGAACTCCTTGGCATTGACGACCGGAGGCTTGTTGGTGGTGAAGATTTCGCCATCCTCGGTGTCCCCGGGCGGTGGCCGCGACGGCGTGTGGGCGCTCGACTCGCGGTTCGTCGGTGGCTGCTGGGCGCCTGTGCGAGCAGTGTCGACCCGATGGGTGGTGCCGCCGCGGGTGGTGACGGCCTGGTACTTTGAGTGGGAGACGTAGTAGAAGATGGTGAGGGTCTGCTGTCGACGTTAGTGGCACGGCTCAAGCGAGGAGCATCATCTGTGGACGCACAAAGATGGCGATGGCGATGTAGCGCACGTATCGCGCGTTACCGCCAACCATCATGAGGGACAACAGTTGTCGATGACGGCGTCGAGAGGGCAGACGAGAAGGGCGGCTGGATTTGGCTGCGAGGCTGTCGGGGACCAAGAGTGGGAGCTCGTGTCAGGGGCAAGATACGAGTCGAGCGTCGCATGCGTGGCAGACGGCTAAAGCAGACGGAGGTTCGATGGAGGAGATGTCGGCGCATGGAAGGTGAAGTGATGGCGAGTCTAGACAATCATGGCTCTCAGCGGTCAGAGGAGACGGCGGAGGAGGCGGGAACCAGTCGCCGGGGCGCTAGTGAGGAAAGGGCTGGAGGAGGATGAAGAGGGAGAGATGCGGATATTCGGTAACGGGAGGGACGAGAGAGAAGGGGAGATCAGCGGTGTTGTGTCTGGGGTTTGAGATAGAAGGTACCTGGACGTTGGAGCAGCCCGTCCGTGTGGCACCTTGGTACGTTGAGCGGGTATCTGGAGCTTGTGCCAATTCCCGGCGGGTCACCTCCAGGGAATCTTTCCAGATGCTTCAGGTGCCTGGTTGGGGCAGCTCTAGCGGACTGCAGGGCAAGGTAAACTGGATGGCTTCGACAGAGTACTTTAGGTAAGGCATATACTCTAGGTACCTTGTTCAGTATTACTACCTAAGGTAGTTAGCAGCTCCCCGCCCGTTTCATGCGTACGCGGTCGCAAAAAGAAGTGATGAGAAAAGTCGGCGTTCGTCAGCCACTAACTTAGTGCAGCCCTTGCGCCCCGCCTGTAGCACCTCTTGATACCTTGTTTGGGAAGGCAAACTGGGGAAACGTGATGGAGCCGGCCCCCTGGTTGGACTCGGTGCCGCGGATGGGTTTCATGGACAAAACATCTGCCCCAATGGGTAGTTGATAGATAGTGGACAGTGGAGTTTTCTGCAGTGGACAGGTCTGCGCTTATTACGTGCCGGTCCCGCGGATGTGTTGCCCTGTATCCTATCGCCTGGGCGACGACGGCAGAGAAGCGTGCCAAGATACTGTACTGTACATGCCCCGGCTTCTGTTTAGGCCAGTGGCGGTTGCAGGAATGTTGTGCCTCAGCAGTCAGGCCAGGCTTGCATCGGCACAGCGCAGTATCCCCTCGTACCCGGTACCTCGAGCCAAGACACAATCTTCGTATCTCTGGCTTCGCTTAGCCGCCCCCTTTTTAACCGCTCACTTCTCACCTGTACGCTTTGCCTCGTGTGTGCACGACAACAGTGCCGTTCGACCTTGCCCTTCGTATCCGGATCCTCGGCCACGGCCCTTGAGCAGATGCTGTGCATGCCACCGGCCAACGGGGATAAATACCTCGAGGCAACCGTGGCAGCCGGACATGACGATGGATTTCTCTGCAGCTGTGTCCAAAGAAAAGCCTTGCCCCACTGGCCGCCCATTTTGCGGATCTCGGCGGCTGAACCCGGCAGGAGCTTATTGAAACGACAGACGGCGAGAGACGGCGGCTTAATTAATTAATTATCACGGCAACTTGTTTGGACGCACCACACTTGGGAGTTGCAGCAGGATGCTATCACGGCCCCAACAAAACCCCTGTGGACCCCTGTGGAGAGCCAAATGCGCAGCCGTCTTGACTTGAGTTGCCTTGCGGCGTGGCGCTTCTCCAGCCGATGGCCAGTCAGATGTGTAACAAGCAGCAGGTAGACAAGGGACGCGCGGCTGGCGTCGACCACCTAGTTTAGTCCGTCGTGGATCTCGTGGCATGGTGACGAATCGTGCCCTAATTAGCGCTCCTCGTCCGCGCCCCTGTGGTTATTCCCGCGTGCCAAGGCATGCGAGGCTCCATCCAGCCGTCCAACGTCGCATTTCCTCTGCACTGCTTGCCTATCCATTCGCCCTCTTTGTGCTGCATTTCAAGCCTCTAGTGCAACCGACGATAGGGGCTGAGGTGATGGAGTCCGGTGTGTCTTGAAAGCCTAGACGGGTGCGACAATCGCCAGAGGCTCGGCTACCCGCCTCGCAATTCGGGGCAAAGACAGCGAGAGACAAATGGCCACCATGGAGATGCATTGATAGAATCCGTCCGCCAATTAGTCCCTAGCCCGCGCACGGCTTGCAACGTGGACCGGGACGCCGCCATTGACACGAATCCTTTGTCCAAGTACGGCCCAGTTTTGGTCGAGTCTCAAGAAACCAGTCCGGGCGCAGGCCCCGTGAGCGCCGTTGCTGCTTCCGCCGCCTGTCTAGATCTGCAACAAAACACCGCAAAACACCGTCGAGCCATCACCACCGCGGGTGTAAATCTCACCGGCCGCACCCCGCTGCATGCATTGCCCAAGCCTCGAGGCCAAATGCGAGCGCTGCGACTCCCGAGCCGCGTGTAGCAGCGCAGGTCGTCGATGGGCCAGCTCTTTCTCCGATTCCTCGCGCGCTCGGTCAAGATTCCTTCCACGCCGGCGTCGTTGAGCAACAGTCGAGCTCAAGGCCCAGAGTCAGGCATCCACGCCAGATGCATCTTGGGCTCGGCGAGTGCCTTGGCAATCCTGGCTGCTCTGTCGGATCGACGAGGACATTTTATTGCCCAGTCAAGCGTGCGCGTAGGCTTCGTACGGGTGGTATGGCCAATTGATTACGTATGTATTACTCTGTACTCCGTAGGCCGTTGAAGGAGGGACAATCACGTGACTCGAGGTGGGGACGCGAGGGATCATTCTCAGGAGCACAATCGTCAAGTCCTCCGTCTCCAGCATAGTCAGATCAGCAGCTCGCCGTTCCTCCCCGGCCGCCTGCCCCTTCTACCCCGGCCCTGCTTTGCTTCCTTTCCTGTCTCTTGACTCTGGCGGTTCTTGGATTTGCCCGTTGCCGTCACGCTCTTCGCCCGACGTCGGCTTCGTCTTTTGCCAACTCCGCCCTCGTCTGCAAAGACACCATGTCAGATTTGTGTGCTCTTGCCTCTCCCGCGAATTGCTCATTCTTTTAGTGGTAAGTCGCCATTCTCTACCTCGGAGCTCTCCTGCGCTTGACACCAGTCGGGATGCTGTGAGTTTGTGTTTGCGCGGATCATCATGTCTCCTCACTGGTCGTCTTGCGAAGCGCGGGACCAAGCTTGCAATTCGCGACTCTGAAAGCGCACAACCGTGCTCTTTCTTGTCGCACCGCCCCTACGCATCCTGCCTGGACCAATGCTCTGCGTGATCTACCTCACACACGCCTCCAGTCGGCGCACACTAACCCCGAGATATAGTGCCACGAAAAAAAAAACTTATTGTTCTCCTCAGCCTTCACAAAAACGACTTGGCACAATGTCCTTCTTCGGCTTCGATGCCACTGGCCGCCACAACACGGCGGCTCCTGGCTTCTCTCAGGCCCAAGATCCCTTTGCCGGCCTCTCTAGTCGCGATGATGCCGGCGACGATGCCCTCGACTTTGAAGACACCTATGATGGTCTCGGCGACCAGCTCGACGACACCGAAGATGCCTTCAACGACGACACGTTTGGCGGCGATGCCTCTGGCACGGGCAAGGTCGGCAAGGACTTCGACTTCTTCGGCCAGACTGCCAAGGTAGCCGATGCTATCGAGGAGGAGCATCTTCGCTTCAACCGACAGCAGCCGGCCCCAAGATCCAGCATTGCCCGAACTCAACCCCTAGAATTGCCCGCAGAACTGGCCGCTCAATATCAATACTCGGGTTCGCAACCTACAAGACCGAATCGCACTGGATACGAGAAATACCGAGAAGCCGAGCCGATGCCTGATTTGCACGTCGACCAAAGCATCTGGGGCATTGGCTCCTCCAAAGCTGCAGTTCCTGCCACGACACAACAAGCTGCTCAGCCGCAGCCCCCGAGTAGTAGAAAGATCATGAGCCTTGAAGAAGTGGAAGCGGCCATGCGAGCCCAGTCCAAGCAGCCAACCCATGCGCCCACCCAGGAGCCTGCTCCGTACTCTACGGGACAGCCAGGCTACCCGAGCCAGCAGCAGCCGCCGCCGCCGCCGCAGTACCCTCAACAACACCACGGACAGGCGTATCCGGGACATGGACCCGCCGTCACCATCTTGCAGCGACCTCAGAGCCTACACGCAAAGCACCCCGTGTCCACGGACAAGTTCTCCGCACCCCCGGCACACCAGCATCAGCAGCAACAGCATCGCCAGCAGGCTCATCCTAGCCAGCCCATGCAAATTTTGCAGAACCCAAATCGCTTGCCTGGAGATGCCGACAGGCTGGGACTGCATGGTCATCGGCCAAGCCGATCTCATGGATCGGTGCCCAAGATGACGCAGATGCATGCTCATCCGCACATGATGCAAATGTCAGAGGACGAAAAGGGTGCGTTTTTGGAGCAGGAAACGAAACGCGCCAAGCGCAACCACAAGATCTGGCTGTTGTCCAAGGATAATGGCTTGATGACGCCTCAGGACAAGAACTTCATCACCCGCATCCAGCTTCAGCAACTCGTCTCGGCCACTGGAAATCCAGTAGACAAGGGTGGTGATATGTCCCTCTCGGAGGACTTTTACTATAAAGTCTACAGCCACATTCGTGCTGGCCAACGCCAAAATCCCAGCCAACCCCTCAGCAACTTTGCCCAGACGTACCTGTTCCAGACGGGCACTCGCCACGGCGGTGCGCGGAGACACGGCAGACCGGCCGAGAACCATATACAGCGCATGGAGCAGCAGGTGCAGAGAGCCGTAGAGGCAGCCAAGAACAAGCCCAAGAATCCACAGCTCGTCATCGCCGGCAGCCTAGGGAAGATATCCTTCAGCAACGCCAAGACCCCGAAGCCGTTGCTCAACATCAAGCGCGCGGAGAGTGAAGCGCAGCGCCCAAGCACCGGCAAGAAGGCCCCGGAAAATGGGCTTGATCGCAAGAGGATTTTGCGAAATGTCGAAAAGGTCTACGACACTTTAATGAAGATTGAGGACCACGCCCGCTTCATCCCTCCGCCCCTCAGCGGGCAACATGACCCGGAGTTGGAGGAGAAGCACAAGGAATGGGCCGTTGGTCTCGACGCCCTCAACGCGAAGCTCTGGGACGAACTCAAGGTGCACGAGCCGATTGGCCTGACGGTGCCGCACCCCTTCATTGCGTTTCTGTCTTGCGCCAAAGGCAAGAAGGCCATACCACGCATCTTCCCTCACCTCAGCTTTGAACAGCGCACCACGATTTTGACCATGATCATCTATCACCTTGACCAGTTGGATGTTATCCAAGGTGCCGTCGACGACAATGGCGAGACGAACCTCAACTCCAGGATGCGCGAGAACATTGAGCTGTTCATCTCCACCGTCATGCCGTCCCTGATGCAGTACTTCAACGACACGGGGCTCGATATTGTAGACGGGGTCCTGAATCTGATTGCCACGAAGCTAAACGTGGACCTCATTGCGCGCACGAGGATCGGTGTCTCCATGCTCACGCTGATTCTCAGCCGGGCTGTGCTGCTGAAGCAGACTGGCGGAGGAAACACCGAGCAGTGGGACAAGTGGTCCGTCGCTCCTCTTCCCTTGCTCACCGCCTGGCCCCTTTTGCTAACTGCTCGCAGGGACCAAACCTTTGAGATTCTATTCAGTAAGCTCGAGCCGTCGCTGTCGACCATTTTCCCCGGCAGCGTCAACGCGGGCGTTGACGTGCACGTCTGGCAGCTGCTCGCCGCCATGGGTGTCAGCGCGACGCACGACCAGCAGACACGGCTTGTCCTTGCCGTCAAGGATAGGGTCCTCGATACTGTTGCGCTGTCCAAGACTCTACCGCCAGCCATGGCGACGGAGCGGCTTGGAAGCGTCAACCTGTTTATGCGCGCCATTGGCTTGGATGTGGAGCTGCTCCAGTGACGACAGCCTTGGTCAAGGGGCCCGGTCGAAGAGCTGAAAACATGTGATGCTTACCGCGGGTTTCTGGGCTAATGGCTGCGAAATGGCATTGGGGACCCTACAGGTTGGAATTGTCATGTGCGAGGGCAGGCCGGTTCGTACGAAATTTCCTACCAGTTTTTGGGCGGAGAGGAGCAGTCGCATGTACAATCAGTGGGTGCTCAAGGCGAGAACGTTGCGCGGCCTGGTTTGATAATAGCACATCATGTCGCGGGCATTGATGGGAGCTGCTTTATATAGTCCTCAAAATAGCGTGGACTACTTGGCTGTCGATCAGGCGAAAAGGGAGCGCAGTTGCGAACTATCAAGAGGATACTTTGTTGCCCATGATACGGTCTATCTGGACCATGTGCAATGATTCAGTGTTCCTCGCCACGCCAGGCGCCGTCCCATGCAAGTCATGACCATGTAAAAAGCAGAGCAGACTGGCGCACGATCAATCGATGTTGACCGTGGACGCGTCGGCTTTGGACGATGCCGGCTTGGCCCGGCCGCCTCTCCGGGTTGCCGCAGATGCGGCACCCTTCGGGTGAGCCCTCGGCCTTTTCGCCTCGTCGGCAGGCGGGTCGGGCAGCTTTTCCTTATTCGGCTCGGGCTTGACCTCGACGGGGGCCGGCTCGGGCTCGGGCTTGGTGATGCCGCTGACGGCCTCGAGCAAGCGCCTGTCTCCCCACTTGGTGCCGAACCGGGGGACGGCGTCGTTAAGTTGCCGCTCAGGCCGAGCGTCGGCGGCGGGCGTGGCGTCGTCGTTTGCGCTCTCGGTGGCGGGGGCGGTCTTGAGGAAAAGGCTGTCGTTGTAGACGTCCCAGGCGGCCTCGACGTTCTCGTCGGTGTAGGGCAGCTTGCGCCACGGCTCGGACTGGACGAAGCGCAGGCGGTCGGCCATGGTCTCGGTGGTGACGGCGTCGCCGTCGGCCGTGGTCTTGATGGTCATGTGGATGGCGCGGGCGGCGGTTGCGGAGCCGGAGCCGGCGGCTTCCTTAGCCGAGGACGAGGCGGCCGAGGCGGCGGTGCGCTCCTGCTGCGTGGTCGCGTCGATGTGGTGGAGCTGGGGGCGGAGGAGGACGAGGGAAGAGACGGGGGTGAGGTGGATGTCATCTGTGCGTGCGTGTTAGTTCGATAGAGAGAAAAGAGGAGAGAGAAGAGAGGGGGGAGGGGAGAGGGGAGAGGGGAGAGGAGAGGGCGGTACGCACTGCCTTGGAAGACGCCGACCATGTACTGGACCTCGTCGGCGTTCGGATACTGGCCCCCCAGCGTCTGCGTCCGCAGGACCTTGTCCTGATTAACGGCATCTTTCCAGTCGAGAAAGCCGCCTCCCAACCCGCCGCCGCCGCCAGCCTCATCATCAGCATCACCACCGCCCTTCTTCCCACGCCCGCCGCCCCTCTGCTGCACGGCGCCAAAGCCAAAGCCGCCGGCAAGGCCATGACTGCCGCCATTCTTGGCGGCCATGGACGACTTGAGGGCACGGCCCCAGCGCAGGCCCTTTTCGCGGTCGTAGGCGGCGCCGGCGTCCGTGTTGAGCGGCACGTCGACCTCGACCATGCCCGAGTCGGACTTGAGACGCAGCTCCGTGGGCTGCGGGCGCGGCTGCGTGGGCTCGTCGTCGGTGCGGTTGGGGTGTTGCAGGACGAGGAGGCGGCGGCCGCAGGGGAGGGCCGGGTTGAGGAAGATGTTGTACGAGGCGGTGATGGGGTCTGCGTCTGCGTCTTCGTCGGTCTCGGCGTCGGCGTCGACGTCCATGTCCACGTCCATGTCCGTCTTTGGCGAAGGCGGCTGCTCGTCAGCCTCGGGCTTGGCGGTCGTGGCCATGGCGAGGGCGGCGGCGCGCTGGCCGGGGGGCGGTGACGTGGCGCTGGCGCGGAATGTGCCGGGGAATGGAGTAGTCCGCCTCTTGTGTGTTGTCGAGGTGGGCGCGTAATATGAAACTCGGCTGGACAATGGATTTGGTGGTTTCGTCTTGGGTCGTCGCAGTCCGTCGCCAAAAGCCTGGCGGCGGGGCTTGCTGCCAAATCTTTTGGCGGGGTAGTCTTATCTTATCTCCTCTCCCTGCTTCAGCGACTCTCTCGTCTCTCGACTCTCAATGCGGACAGCGCTTGATCTGCAAGTCTCTACTCTGCAAGCCTGTGCAATTTTCGAACAATCGGTGACGTGTGGCACTGGGTAAAAGCCATGGAGAAGAGGGTCTCCGCATAGGCACCTGATGCATCATGACCGCGTTGCACCGCGCCAGGTTCTTGGTGATAGACTGTGATATGCACATTTGCTTTTTCCGTATGAATTCTCCCCGTCTTTGCCATCACACATCCCCAGCCACTTCCGCAGCTACCTCTTCTTTCCCCTGTCTCGTCGACCGGCTTCCAGCATCTTGACTTTCTTCTGGAACCTGTCCCCAATCTCGGCTCCATGGCCGCTGCTCCGGGGCCCATCGGTGGTGTCGAAGCCGCGTTTCCTGCTCTTCTCCAGCAAAGCGCGCACACCGCCGCCAGCGGGCCCCTTGCGCTTGGTCAGCCGGTCGATGCGATCGACGCCCTCGCCCAGGTCCCTCCACTCCTCGCCGCCAAACTGCATGTGTCCGCTGCGCCCGGCCTCCTTGTTCTTTTTGGCCCGCTCCTTCTTGCTCAGCTTGGGCAGGCGGACAAGGTTCATTTCTTCGTAGTCGCGGCGCTCAGCCTCGTCCTTGCGCTCCTGGACCGTCTTCGTCTTGCGCCCGCCCTGGACAATCGTCGTGCCGATGCTGGGCTCGGCGACGGGCGCCGTGGCGAACTCAGACTGCACAAACTCCTCCATGGTGTGAGACTTGTGGGGTCTGCGGTCGGCCTTTTCGCGCGGCCGCGTCGTCTCCATGGCATGGCGATCTCTCTTGGGAGGGCGGTAGATGCCAGACGGCCCATCTTCGTGGTCGGCGCGCTTGGCCGTGACGTCGTCCATCAGAGTGCCGAGTCTGGGTGCGGCAGCTGTCTGTCCCGGACGGTGCTGCACGGGTCTTCCCTGGCCAGACAAGTCCTCATCCTCGTCCTCGTCTCCTTGGTCCGAAGAGGCGTCCTCGTCGTCGCTGCCAGAGTCCTTGCTGCCATTCGCTTTCCGCCTCTGCCGTATGTTTTGTGTTTGGCGCTGCGCATCTTCTGCGGTCCTGAGGAACCGCTCGATGGAAAACCTGAGCTTCTCCTCTAACGGCCGGGCCCCCCTTTCGAGATAGAGTCGCAGCTCCACGAGCTTTGCGCGGACAGATTCGTCAAGCCCATCGCCGCCTTGATCCGCATCGTCGGAGGTCGACCTGGAGTTTCGCAGCTTGAGGAGGATGAGGAAGACGAGGTTTTGTAGGTACGAGAGCAGCAGCTCGTTCTTGACGTCGAGGAGTGAAATGCCGTCTTTGGGGCTCTCGATGGCTGCAATCTTGGGCGCGGCCTCTTCGGTGAGAGACAGCGACTGTGTCAGGGAGGCCAGCAAAGCCGGCAGCGTTGTCGGGGCCGCCATTGCTTGGGCTTGAGAGATGAAGTTGTCGCCGGTCTCAACTGTCAGACACGGGTTGCAAGAAACAACTTTTTTTAGCGGGGCCCCTTTTCGCATGTCCCTAATGGTGCGCTGAAGATTGGGGCCCAGGAGGCGCCTTGGTACCGTCGGAGGGGCCGGCGGGTTAATGATCCGCCTGTCTTAGCCCCTTCGCCTTCTCTACAACACTTTCCCTGACTAAGCCACTTCTGGCGATGCTGGCCAGTCAGAGCGCGACTCAGCAAAAGGATGAGATCCTCCTCTCCCCATCCAATTCATGCCGGCTCACGCGGTTTTGCTGCCACTCTGTCGATAAGCCCAACCGCCTTGCCTTGTCAACCGCCCTCGTCCGCCATCGGCCATCGCCCTTTAGCCCGTTGATGCGCAGCCAGAGCCAGTTCTCGATACCGCATCGAGTGGCATCTGCTCACCTCTGCAGGAGCCTGTTCGGCGCCTCGCCTGACGGCCTCGTCCGCCCGGCCAAGACCACCCGCGACACGTGGCATGAACTGAGCGTCTGAAAAATGAACCTCAGAGTCGCTGCGCCGTCGGCGCTCCTCGCCGCCCTCCTGGCGACTCCGCAACTCGTGTCCGCCTTCTACCTGCCAGGCGTCGCGCCGACGTCCTACAAGCAAGGCGATCGCGTCCCCCTGTATGTCAACAGCGTCAGGCCCGTGGCCGCGCCCCAAGACAATCGACTGCACTCGGTCGTGTCGTACGACTATTACCACCCGGCCTTTCACTTTTGCCAGCCCAAAGGCGGCCCGGAATATGTGCCCGAGAGCTTGGGGAGCATCCTGTCCGGCGACCGGCTCATGACGTCGCCCTTCGAGCTCAACATGGCCAAGAACGAGACGTGCAAGCCTCTCTGTAAAGTCAACTACGTCGAGCAGATGAAGTACTTTGTCTACGAGAGGATCGAGGAGGCCTACAGCCTCAACTGGCTCGTCGACGGATTGCCTGCCGGCCAACAGATCCAGGATGATCTGACCGGCACAACCTTCTACAGCCCCGGCTTCCAGCTCGGAGGCTTCACCCTGACGGACGACGAGGAAGAGGAAATCTCCTTCAACAACCACTACGAGATATGGATCGAGTACCACGAGGTCAACGGCAAGGAAAACGAGCTCCGCGTCGTCGGTGCCGTCGTCCAGCCCAGCTCCAAAAAGTACACGGGCAAGGCCGATTGCGCCGAAGGCCACCCGCCGCTGATCGTTGCGGCCAACGAGGCGGACCAAGAAGTCCAGTTCAGCTACAGCGTTTACTGGAGGAAGTCGGAGACTGCCTGGGCCACCAGGTGGGACAAGTACCTTCACGTCTTCGACCCCAAGATCCACTGGTTCTGGCTCATCGACACGGCTGTCATTGTTGTCATTCTCGTCCTCACCGTCATGTCGGTCCTGGTCAGGACCCTCAAAAAGGACATTGCACGATACAATCGGCTGGACCAGATCAACCTGGATGACCTCGGCGGCACGTCAGCCGTCGAGGACGGTGTGCAGGAAGACTCGGGCTGGAAGCTGGTCCACGGCGACGTGTTCCGCATCCCGTCCCACCCCTTGCTGCTCTCCGTGCTGCTGGGCAATGGTGCGCAGCTCTTTGTCATGACGGGTTGCACCATCATCTTTGCGCTCCTCGGCTTCCTGTCGCCCTCGAACCGCGGGTCCCTGGGCACAATCATGATCATCCTCTACACGCTGCTGGGCTTCGTCGGCGGCTATGCCTCGGCCAGGACGTACAAGGCTATGCAGGGCGAGCAGTGGAAACTGAACATTGCCCTGACGCCCCTGCTGGTGCCCGGCATCGTCTTTGGTGCCTTTTTCCTTCTCGACCTTTTCCTGTGGGCCAAGCAGTCGTCTGGCGCGGTGCCCTTCACCACGATGCTGGTTATCGTCGCCATCTGGTTCATCATTTCGATTCCCCTCTCGTTTGTGGGCTCGTGGCTGGGCTTCCGCGGCCCCCAGATTGAGGCGCCGGTGCGCACCAACCAGATTCCGCGCCAGATCCCGCCCTGCACCACCTACCTCAAGCCGATCCCCAGCATGCTCATTGTCGGTCTACTGCCGTTTGGCGCCATCTTTGTAGAGCTCTACTTCATCATGAGCTCCATCTGGTTCAGCCGCATCTATTACATGTTTGGCTTCCTCTTCCTCTGCTACGGCTTGATGATTGTTGTCTGCGCGGCCGTCACCATCCTCATGACTTACTTTTTGCTGTGCGCCGAAAACTACAACTGGCAGTGGAGATCGTTCCTCGCGGCCGGCATGAGCGGTGGCTACATCTTCTTCAACTGCCTCCTGTATCTCTTGACCAAGGTGAGGCTCGGAGGCCTTGCAGGAATAGTGCTCTACGTTGGCTACAGCGGGCTCATCTCCTTTCTCTTCTTCATACTCGCCGGTACGTCTCTTCTCTGGCCAAGTGATGACTCGGCAACATTATCTGACAAGAGGGTTTTCGCAGGCTCTATTGGCTACTTTGCTAGCTGGTGGTTCGTGAGAAAGATTTACTCCTCCATCAAGGTTGACTAGATGCGGATATCCCAGTTGGGGCGTGAGCCGGAGGTGAAATTTTTTTATCGGGAGCGAGGACGAGCCAACCCAAGCGATGCTGTCATGGATGGGCGGGCTGTAAGAATACCTGTAGGGCAAGTATCTCCAATTTCCAGCATCGGCATATCAGACCAGCGTGAGGACAATGGCGGGAACTAGCTGAATTCCGCGGGTTTGCAGCATCTTGAGAATTTGACACGGCAGCACACGCGAGTTGTTGGTGAGCGGAGGATCAATGCCAATAGACGTAAAAGATGTTGTTTTTTGTCAAGAGGGAGAACGCTCGCCGCTGGAGCGTGCTGCTTTCTGAAGAGCCGCGTGAGCTTGTATGACGCGTCACCCAGGCAGTGCTCTGCGTCGCTCAGTCGTCGTCGTCGTCGTCGTCCAGGTCGTCAAAGTCTGTGAACTGAAACTGCTTCTTCTCGACAGCGCCGGCACCGGCTCTCGCCGGCACAGCTGCGTCGGGCTGACCAGTGGCGATGCTTGCTCTGCGCCACTCCTCCAGCTCCTTTTCTCTCTGCCTCTCTCTTTCTGCCCTGAGCCTCTCCCTCTCCACGCGCAGTTGCCTCTCGCGTTCTTCTCTCTCGGCCTTTTCGCGCTCCTCCTTGGCTTTGCGCTCCTCTTCCTCCTTGCGCTTGCGCTCCTCCTCGGTTGCGGGGTCGTAGTTGCGAGGGTCGATGCCCTGCTCGGCGAGGATCTGGTACGACGCCAAAGAGCCGGAGCGGATCTTGTCCTCGGGCGGCCAGGGGAAGAAGAGCTGGCCCGAGAGGGGGTTGAGATACTGGCTCATGCCCTCGGGGAGGCTCGTGTTCATGGACGTAAGGGTCTGCTGCGTCGAGGGATCAGAGACGACGTGCTGCGACGTTCCGTTTGCGACGGGGCTCTGCGTCAGGGACGGGGTTCGTGCCGAGGGCGTCACGGCGGACTGGGGCTGCGGTTCGGGCATGGGCGTCTGCGTTTCGGGAGAGGGCGAGCCGCCGCCGCCGTTGATGGTGACGGCGGGGGGCAGGGTAGTTTTGCTGATGCGGCGCGCGTAGCGGAGGAGCTCCTCGTAGGCGACGGGGTGGTTTGGCTCGGCGGGGAACTTGGCCGTGTGGGTGGTGACGATGTCCTTGCGCGTGGTGGCGAGGCTGGTGAGGGTGTCGCGGATCTGGGCGTCGAGGGCAGAGGATGTTTTCCGCAGCCGCTGGATGCGGAGATGGTTGTTCTGATGGGTCTGGACTGCGTACACGGTCAGTGGGATTAGCAGACTCGGAGCAGAAGCGGGCTACCTTGTTCCAGCCCTTGGCTCAGGTGCTCGTCGGCGGCCTTGAGCTCTTCGGCCTGGATGGCTGAGGGGTGGTACTTGGTGACGGAGTCGATCAAGTTGGACAGAGCCTTTTCCAGTCGCTCGAAGCGACCGTCGATGCACGTGTCCATGGCGGATGGGCTTGAGCGCGACAAGGTGCAGGAAGAAGCTTGTCGGGAACAAAAGCTGGTGTTGTTTTGGCGCAAGGCTGAAATGAGACGTTTCAAGCACCCTCATTGGCTGGCCGGGGCCGAGCTCAGCGAGTGCAAGCCTGAGGCCACCGCGGCCCCACGAGGCCGGCCTGTTCCGTCGGCAAAGTCACAAAGCGTCACCACCATTTTCGCGACGAGCAATTCAACCACACAGCCGGCGTCGACTGCCTCTCTCCCAGCCAAGATGGTCTCGCCCGTAAGTTCGACTGGCCCTTCCGACGCATATCCCGACCGACGACGCGCAGATATACGCCACCCGCTCCCCGGGAAAAGGAATCGATGGCACAAGACGAGCTGACCCGACCTTGTCCCGCAGACTCCTTTCCGCGCTGCCGAGTTCCGGAGCGCCTACGGCCCCAAGTACGTTACAAATTTGTCTCCGATGCCAATGCTCGCGCTGCCGAGACTTGTCGACCTTTGCGCTGCCTCAGTCGCTTGGCCTAGGAAAGGAGCCTGGCTGACGATTGGACGTCCAGATACCAGTTCCAGCCGAACCTCAACGGGATGAACAAGACGGCCCTTACAAGACTGTGAGTCGAGTTGATTTGTTCTTGTCCAGGAAGATTGGACAGGAGGCGGTACAGAGGGACAGGGGCAGGTCTCTGAGGGGACGAGTGCTGGAGCTGTCCCTGATGGTAGGCGTGTCGCTGACACTTGTCGGCAGCGGCTTCAGGACTGCCTTCTTCGGCGGTGCCGCCGGCGTCGCGGCCCTGCTCTTCGTTTCCGGCATCCCCCGCGTCCGCCAAGATGTGCTGCAGGTAAGCTGCTCGTGGCCTTTGCCGGCAAGCGTCTGACCGTGGCTTCAGAAACTTCCCTTCGTCGGCAACTTGTTCATCAAAGAGGAGCCTCCCGCCTCGGACAACGTGAGTCGCTGCTTGAGCAACCGAGTGTTTGCGAAACTTGACTGCTGACTAGTTTTCAGCCTTTCTAAGCGACTCTTTGGAGGCAAGGAATGTAATACTGCACGACACCCTTATTGACAACTCGGGGATCCTTCCTCATGTATAAGATACACAATAGACGTTTTCGGGGTGGTTGCTATTTCTTGTGCACGTTGTCCCCGGTGGTTCAGGGATTGCTCGTTCGCGTCGGCCGTGCCCTCAATTTTGCTGGTATTATGTGTCGAGGAACTGCTCCCAAGGCTACGACGACTTGATGCCTCTGATATTTTTTCAAAAGCTCACAATGCTATAGAGTGAAGTTGCTGAGAGCTGTTCAGTGGTGTACTGCGAATCGAAAGGATAGCATATGCACAGTGTGCGTGTGCTTGATATACACGGTGCAACTTACTCACTTCACCTCTTGACCCTACTCCGTATTTACCATCTGTCCAATTCTTTCCCGCCCCCCCGCTACGTTGCGCAACCACGCCGACTGGCCCTGAAACTGATGGAGTGAGCTGTAAGTCTCTGGCTGCCTAAGCTTCTTTTGAGTCGGCCTCTTGTTGACACGTCTCCATCGCCAGCCGACCTCGACTGCTCCAGCAAAACGGCGCGCGTAATGGCAGCCTGCGCAGCCGTCGACAAGCCGCGTGCGGAGGCGGGACAACCCGGAATTCAGGCCTGGGCCGTCTGTACTCTTCCGCTTGCCTTCCTCGTCCACCTCGTCGTCTTCCATAAGCAGTCCGTCTCGCCCAGAACTTGGACCCTGCTTATGCCCATCTTCCTGGCCGGGGCCTCCTTCGCTTGGCTCAGTGCCGTCTCCAAAACGGTTCCGCAGCCCTACTTGGTAAGCTGTGTCATGGTTTGCTTTGGGGCTTGGAAAGCTCACGAGGGAACCAGGATGAGGTCTTTCACATACCTCAGGCTCAGAAATACTGCCATGGGCGGTTTGGAGAATGGGATGACAAAATCACCACCCCCCCGGGCTTGTGAGTTTACGTCGCCTGGACGTGGAAAGTGCCGGTGCTGAATTTGTCAGGTATCTGTTTTCCAACTTGCTTCCGCACGTCGCCAGCAAGACTGGCCTGAGCTGGGCGTACAGTTGCGACGCAAACAACCTTCGTGCCGTAAACACTGTCGGCTTATTTGTGTTGGCCTACTTATTCTTGCTCTGTCGGCACCAGATCGAAGGACTCGCCTATGACAGACGCTCATCATCACCCCAGAAATGGCCCTTTTCTGAATACGCGTTCCACTCTGCCTGCAATGCTGCCCTGTTCCCTCTGCTCTTCTTCTTCTCCGGCTTGTACTACACCGATGTCATTTCCACGGCGGTTGTCCTCGGTGCATTCCTGAACCACCTCAGCCGCGTGGGATGCGGCAGCTGCTCGATCCAGGGTGACATTCTCACCGTCGGATGGGGAATCCTCGCGCTGCTTATGCGGCAAACCAACGTTTTCTGGATCGTCGTTTACATGGGCGGCTTGGAAGCCGTTCACGCCGTCAAGACCTTGAGACCAAAGAGGGTTGATCAACCATTCATGGCCACACTGTGGGAGCAGCAAAGGTATTTCGGTTGGAGATATTCGGCTGGGGATATCCATGACCTGCCTCTGAGCCGGGCATGGCCGGACGGTAAATGCCCCCCAACTCGCCCTGTTGATGCACTTCAGCTCACCTGGCGACAGACGCCCTTTTCACCGCCATCAGCTTGGGAATCGCTGCCATATGCAACCCTGGCCGGGTCCTGAGGCAAATCTGGCCATACTTGACGGTGCTCGGAGCCTTTGCCGGATTCGTGGCGTGGAATGGGGGTGTTGTCCTTGGTGAGCTTCTCCCGTGCAAAGCTTGCCGGACTCTGCAAGTCTGACCAGGCACAGGCGACAAGTCGAACCACGTCGCCACCATCCACCTCGCGCAGATGCTCTACATCTGGCCCTTTTTTGCCTTTTTCTCGCTGCCGCTACTTTTGCCGTATGCCCTATCTGTCGTCAACGTGTCGAGATGGGTCGCCACGACAAGAGGCGCAGAAAGCGGCCAGGTGAGCAAGCTAGACTCGAAGCAATCGCTATCTGAAGTCTCTATTGCCTTGCGTCTGGCTGAGAATTCGAGAATCTTTGTCTCGAGCATCGCTCTCCTGGGCATCATTGCGCTGTCAGGCCTCATTGTGCGATACAACACCATTATCCACCCCTTCACATTGGCCGACAACCGCCACTACATGTTTTATGTCTTCCGGTACACGATCCGTCGCGCCGCGTGGATCAGATACCTACTCGTTGTCCCGTACATGATCAGCGGCTGGATGATCTTGGACACCTCGGCGGGATGCAGCCCAAGGCCTAGTAGCAGCCAGGAGGCACTTGGTGACAACTTGCGGTCTGCCTCTTTCACAAGCCATCCGTTCTGGATAGCTCGCGGTGGACGCACAAGACAGATACATGTCTCTTATCCCGCGAGCGCACGCAGGGACGCAGAGAAAAAGTCGCCGTCGCCGGCCGAGCTGTTGCGAGCCGATCCCCTCAGATACTCGTCAGAGCCAATGTCAACGTCGACGGGTCTGATATTCCTCGCGGCAACATCGCTGTCTCTCGTCACGGCGCCCCTGGTAGAGCCACGTTACTTCATCATCCCCTGGGTGATGTGGCGGTTACATGTCCCGGCGTGGCGCCCTGCAGCTCCCGGCGGCACGTCTGATGGGACCAGCAACCAGTCTACTTTTGGCAGGGTGGCCGAGCACCTCGGACGGCACGACGTGAGGCTCGTTATTGAGACGGCCTGGTTCTTGGCCGTCAACCTGGCGACGTGCTTCGTCTTCCTCGCCAAGCCCTATATCTGGAGAGCCGAGGACGGGAGTGTCCTGGATGATGGGCGTCTACAGCGGTTCATGTGGTAGACGGGCCGGGCATGCGGGTACGGTAGACACGTATGTACGGCAATTCCTGTTGTGTGACGACAAGATGAGGCAGCAAGGTCAAATCGTTGAGTTATCTTTAAGAACGTGATGTGACATGATGTGACAAGTACATATCTGTGCACTTTCCTCACGACTAAGACGACGCCATTGTGGTGGCGGAATTGCTTCTTCGTCTTTCCCTGCTCGCCCACCTTTGTAGCTATGGTTGTTTGCTTTTCTTCGTTTCAGCTGAAAACTCTGCAATGCCCCGTGGATGTCTTGCAAGTAAAATATGAATGCGCCGACAAAGGGAATCCCACTCTGCTTCACAGACTGAGGCGATCGAGACTCAGGCCATCGTTACTCCTCACTCTCCTCATCACGCCCAGCTTGAAGAATCGCTCCTCGCCGCCAGCGGTCCGGCCTCCGATGTACCATTTATCGGCCCCGAGGGCGTCCCGAAAGCCCTCGCTACTGCTGTCGCTGCCGCGGCGACGGCCCGGCGAGGGATTAGGGATGGGGATCCCGTTTGCCGCCGTCGCGGAGCCGCCGCGCGGGGAGTGGATGGAGACGCCGGTCGTCGGGGGCGAGCGACCGCGGGCATGTGAAGAGGACGATGAGGACGAGGGGATGGCGATGCTTGAGGTTGCGCGGGCGGCAGAGGAGGACTGATGGGCGTAATTTGCGGTGGTGGAGGAGTTGGTGCTGGCGGCGGCGGCGGCGGCGGCGGCTGCCGTTGCTGCGGGTGGTGGTGATGATGAGGCTTGTGTTGAGTGTTTGTTTGGCTGTTGGGTAGTCTGGAGAGAGGGCGCCTGCTGGCGGAAGGCGGCGAAGAAGCTCGAGAGGAAGAAGGGTCGTTGCGAAGGCATCGTGGGGAGATGGATGAGTAGGCCCTTTGGGTCGAACGATGGATGGGTCGATGCTTCGCGCCTCAGTATGGACCGTGCCGGTCGGAGCGAGTGCGAGGTCGGTACAGGATGTCCCAGTGGAAGGAACAGGATGGCGTGCGATGCAGCGTCGGGAAGAGATGCCTATCGATGCGATGGACGGCTTCGCGCTAGTCGTAGTCGTCGTCGTCGTCAGGCAAACAGTCGAAGAAGCATGACTGATCTCTCGCCTTGTGTCTATCAGGGTCGCTGAGCGAGCGGAGAGGATACAAGCGTCGTCGAGCTACCGGTACGGAGGCGGGGGGCGCGAGGAGGGGCCGATTAGCCTTTTCCTTTTGCCGGTCGGTTGTCGCTGTTGGCGGTGAGGAACGCGTGAGTTGAGATGGAGGAAGGCGGAGAGTGACGATTGATTTCAGTTGGTGTGTGTGGAGGCTGACGTGACGTCGAGACGAGACTCGGCAAAAGCCGGGGCAGGCGATCAGTGGACTTGGATACCACGGCGATACTGTAATGGCGGGGCTGCGATAGGCTGCCTGGCCCGCGCTGGCCGCTAGGCTGGTGTGCCAGGGGGCCAGGGGAGGGGGTGAGTATTTGCTTAGCGGTCGGGTATCTTCGGGACGCACAGATTAGGCGGCGACTTTGTTTGCCGTGCGGGTGTGTGGGCTGTTAGGGGCTACTTTATCCGCTGGACCGACGAGCCGAGGGCCGTTGGGCAAAGCCGACGCTCTTCGAACTTTGAGCAGCCTCTTAGCTTACAGTACAGCGCGCAGCCCGAACAGCTGCCCAAGTCACCCCCCTGTCACGACGTCTTGGGTGGAAATGGAAGCGAGTGGCCAAGAGGACCGGTCAAGTGGCCTCCATCAAGACATGGCCTCCCCGTCTGTAGCCGAAGCCGAAGCGACGGGCTCGTGGAGAAGCAAATCGCCACGCGACTCGTCTGCCTTGGTGCTCTTCTTCATCAGGAACCGCTATTTAGACTGGCTCGTGGGTACGTGTTGAGGTGCTCGCTGGTTGGTGAACAGCAGACCGGGTCGAGTATTCCAGCTTCCTGTGTCTTTCACACACACGCAACAAGACTCGTCCCGTCATCGAACCATGCCTTAAGTCATCTTCATGTAGGAATCTGTCGTAGCTGAGCCTGGAAACATGGTTAGAGCCGTCATCGTGTTGGTTGTGTGCTTCACGGGACGCGGAGTGCCGCCCGTCAAGAGACCATGGCCCCCTCGAGGCTGTCAAGCACGGGCAAGACCACCAGGGCTGTGCGCACAATTGCGCTGGACTTGTCTTGTGAGAGTCGCAGCTCAAGGAGGCGCGGAGGGGGAGGCGCGGGAGGGGGAGGCAGCGGCGTGTCGACACGGAATCGGGCTGTAAAGAGTGCGAGTGATGGATTGGTGTTGGTGTTGTTTCTCGTTTACGAACATCGACGATGGTTGAAGACGACTGGACCAAAAGAAAAAAAAACTGAAATGCACCGGCACCGGCGCTGAAACTGTCGCTCATCGTGTCGGCGTCCATTGCCAAGGTCACAGAGGTGTCAAGGATGACTTGCATGATTCTCGAATATTCCATAATCAAGTAGGTACTGGATGCACGAGGCCGCATATCGCACAAGCGGGCCCATTAGTAATGCTGTGCTACAGCTATTCAGCGCTCAACGGCCGTGGTCCATTTGACAACATCCGTCTTCGTCTCTGCTCGCCGCCTCTACTGCCCCGTTCATGTTCGGAGCGCAGCAGGTGCTTGCAGCTGCCATCAATCAGACCGTCACCATGGGCCGCCGTCGCTGCTAGAATAGGGCCTTTTTGCTACTCCATAGATACCCTCGAGCCGCAATACATCGTCAACCTGCTTTTGCTCTCTTTTGCTCCATCACCTCGCCGCCATGTCTCGGGCAATGCAGCTCAAGGAGGAAGGCAACCGCCGCTTTCAGTCGGGCGACTTCGTCGGCGCCGACAGCCTCTACTCCAAGGCGTCCGTTCTCGCTCCCTCGCAACCTCGAGACAGCCGTTGACCCTCTCCAGCATCCTGACCGACCCCAAGAACCCGGCCCTGTACACGAATCGCGCCATGGCCCGTCTCAAGCTCGGCCTGTGGGACTCGGTCGTGGCCGACTGCAACGCGTGCCTCGCCCTGTGCCCCTCGAGCATGAAGGCCCACTACTACCTCTCCCAGGCCCAGCTCGCCATCTGCGACTACGACACCGCCCTCGACAACGCCCGCCGCGCCCACGAACTCTGCGCCGCCACGAATGACAGGTCTCTGGCCGCCGTCACCGCCGTTGTCCTGCGCTGCAAAAAGGAGCGCTGGGAGGACCGCGAGAGGAAGCGTGGCAGAGAAGCCCAGGACCTGGAGCGTGAACTGCTCGAGCTGCTCGACAAGCACCGCGACGAGGCGCTCGCAGACGAAGAAGACGAGGCTGAGGCCGGCCTCATCCGCGACGAGAGCGCCCAGAAGGCTTCCCGCCTGCGCGACGTCTTTGAGCGCGCAAGGGCCCAGTCGGACCAGAGGAGACAGGTTCCCGAGTGGGCCATCGACGACATTTCCTTTGCCATCATGGTCGACCCCGTCATTGTCAGCCTCTTTGCTCCTATTTCCCCCATGCACGGCCACACGGACTAACGGCCCGCAGACAAAGACTGGTAAATCGTACGAGCGGGCCTCCATCCTAGAGCACCTCCGTCATCACCCGAGCGATCCCGTGACCCGCGACCCACTCGTCCCCTCGGAGCTCCGCCCCAACTTCGGCCTCCGCCAGGCGTGCGACGAGTTCCTGGAGCTCAACGGCTGGGCCGTCGACTGGTAGTTTACCCTGGTTGCCAGTAGCGTGTGGGTTTTCGGCATTCGGTCATTGACGATTCTACTATTGTGGCATGGCGTGGCGTTTCGAGAACTGCGAGACGTTGGGCAGAAACGTCGGTCTGTTATTCTTATCCCCCTTCTCTTTCTCGTCATGTCTCCTTTCCATTGCTTGCTTTTTTTCTTCCGAGGGCTGGGACCAGCGGTGTTCAGATTATGCACGACTGTGATGAGATACGAGATAGCATCTTCTCAAGATATGTTTTTGGTCGCCTCAATCAGAGACTGTGGTTGGGCAACCGTGGAAGAATTTATATCAAGGACCCGGCTTAATATGAACAGGCTGTTTGTACCGTGATAATGACGCTGGTTTGTACAAAGTACCAAGATACGCTGTGCTTTGTGTTCTGGATGCTCTGCGAGGTGAGCGACGTGCAGCACAGTCCGCCCTGGATGAGACCCTTCACCTGGTCTCTTGGAAGAAGGATCAGTGCGTCAGCACCTCTCTGATGTGCGCTTGAACGGACGTCCCATCGAATGCTTGGCGTGCGCTCTCGCGATATGCCTCCAGTCTTTTCCCCAACCTGCGGGCCCAGGCCGGATTATTAGGTCTGGATCTGACGTGATTCAAGACATCGATCTCGACGCGTTGCAGCGCCGGGAACATGCCCGTGGCGACTTCTTTACCAAGGTGGCAAACGTCGTTCAATGCTCGAAACTTGTGGTGTAGCCTGATGCCGAGAAGAGTCATAGTCTGCGGCAGGAGCTCCGTGAGGCACGTTGTCTGGTCGTCGGCATAGCCCCCGAACTTTGCCGGTAGCCAATGGCGGCAGAAGAACTGCTCGTCGAGGACCAGGGTGGTGAGACAAGGAAACTGAAGCATGGCGGGCTGCGGGCCCGGCATAAAATCCCACCGTGAGACCCGGACGTGGCTGAGGCGAATCGTGAGGCTGGTCAAGGTCTCGCTGGCCGGCAGGAGGCTGTCGAGCAGCCGTGATCGGGACAGGTGGTGGCCCTTGGCCAAGCTTGCGTCTCGCGAGGGCAAAGGGCGCAGCGTAAAGGCCTGCAGCGCGGGACAGAGGCGGATGAGGTTTTCGAGGGAGCGGTAGTTTTGCCTCGTTGGGTCAATGTAAAGATTAAACTCGTCGAGGACAAGCTCCCGCACCTGCTGAAGCGAGGGCGGCAGGAGATGTCTTTGGTCCGGGTGGCGTTCGAAGCCGCGGACTTGAAACAGGACCAGGCACCTGAGGTTTGTCGCGGCGGAGAGCATGGTGACGAGGCCTATGAGGCTCATGGTGCGACAGGCGCGCGTGTCTCCGCCATCGATGATCACGGTCCGCAGATTGGGGAAGCGCCGGCTGGCAGGGTCGAGGTCGATGTGCTCGAGGACATCGAAGCGCCACTCGAGGTTGTAAAAGTTGGCGCGGTGCCAGTCAACGTAGTCCCTGCCCCTATCCAAGCGGGTGTCGACGTAGAAGATCTCGACCCGCGGGAGCAGTGAAACGAGGAGCTGCGTGAAGAAGTAATCGACCCCGTCGTCTCCGCGGCACGCGTCGTTGAAATCGGGGTCGAATGGGAGTTCGAGGAACAGCATCTGGGCGACGCGCTTGCAGAGGGCAAGATCTTCCGGGTATCTACAGACAGTGGGCGTCTCCAGCCAGCGTCGGCCGGGCAGGTAGCGGGTATGAAGAGCCAGGTCGGGACGGGCCATGACGGCGCGGACGAAGCGGCCGTGGTCGCGGATGGTGGGCGCGTGCCAGAGGAAGGTCTGGGCAACGTCGCGGAGACAGCGCGACGTCGAACACAGGGCCACGAGGGCGGCCTGTGAGGAGGCGACGTCGGGGCTTTCGCCTTGGTTGACGAGGGCCAGCACGGACGGCGGGTGGCAGTGGCGGCATAAATGCGTGCATATCAGATAGAGGATGTCCGAGGGGAGGCTATCGAGTGACGACATGGCGCTGGAGGCCGGGGAGGCGGATTGGAGAGGTGGATGTTGATGAAGAACCGCGTAGGTATTGGTTGATGAAGAAGTGGACTTTGATGAAGAAGGGTATGTCGATAATCAAGCGAAAGTAGATGGCCAAGTGGCTGTTGATGGACGTCGATGAAGAAGCAAAGGTAGAGAGCGGCAGCTGGCTGCCCCTGAGTCTCCAACAGTCACGATGATGAGGGGGGGCTTTGTTCCTTCCTTGGGCAAACAACTGCTCTTGCATGCAGGTGCCATGCTGGAAGAGAAGGATTCCTCTGCGTTACACGTACTCCACGATGAATGCACAAGATACGATATCACAGAGCCAGGATCCAAACACAGTCTCAAGCCTCGAATGCCAGATGCAGCTTGCACTCTGACATGTATACCGGACGTGATATCTTCCCTCTTGCCATCATCACATCTTATTGAGCGTTTGCAGAGCGTAAAGCCAGTCCTTAGCGGAGGAGGTTGTTTTATCAAATGGAAACGTCGCTCATAGATAGGCTGTCCTCGGAATAATTGGCTGCAGGACATACTACTATTAGGCAGAGTAGACAGGGAAGACTGCTGCTGTTGCCTCAGACCTCTATGTAGCCCATGGCACGTACGGGGTTCTAAATCTCTACTTTCCTCGGCGCTGTCTTGTGCGCGGCCGCAGTTGCTTGATTAACCACTCGCCCGACAGCTGGACAATAATAGACTGTGGTTTTGGAAATGGCTTCACAGTGCCTACCTTTCCCAGCATGAAGCCAAGTCGTAGAAGACGTTCCATGAGCCTATCTCTCGTAGCGGGTGCGCTGCGGAGAACATCGTCGAGGGAGTCTTCCGCTCCATGACTTGACGGGCCGCCAGCTCTCGTCTCGTATGCAACACTCCTAGGCGACCTTGGTGCGGGTACGCTGCTATTGAAGAGTCGCCCACTTCGTTGGGTGCAAGATCATACAGGGCGTCAAAGTCGGACAAACACTTCCCGTAAACTCGCGACAGACATGTTCGCTTGTCGGCTCGTGGCACCGTTGTCCTGAATGTCGGTTCTCTTGCCAGTGGCCTCACTCTTGAATGTTTGTTCTCGCACAAGTCAACGGCATCCTTGGGCTTATATAGGCCACAGGATTTGCTCCGAGTTTCCACCTTCATTTCCGGTTCCGGCGGTAATTATGGCTTGTTCTGGTACTGAAGAATCTCCTCTCACACACCAACAGACTCAGATCGCGGCTGCTTCGTGAACAGGTATGTGGTGGCATGGCAGCGGGTGCCGATCAAAACGTAATGACGGAAAAGGCGGCCGTTGCCTCTGTCATTAACCCATCGTATTCTCACGCATCTATATGTCTGCTTCCTACTATACATGCAGCCACCCGTTTTATAGAAATGGCAAGCCAGTGTCATCAGACAGGAGTATCATGGAACACAGTTTTTTCAGATGTGACTGGTGCCTATACACGTGCTGGCCAGCCTCGCCGGCGGCGACTACACACTGCATGCATGGAACAGGCCGCATCGGCCTTTGCAGTCTTGGCTAGAGTTCCTGCGAGACGCCGCTGTACGCGACATGAGCGTCTAAGCAAAAGGTTCAGAGAGTATTGAGCTAAAATCTAGGAGTACAAGTCTTCAATCTCTTATTCGAGACTTCCACGGCTTCTACAAGCTCGACAAATGAGGCTGGGTCTTCTATCGTTGCACTTACGGCGACGATGCCGCGTGGGCACGTTTCGGGGAATACCTCGCCCAAGAGAAACTCCAGTACGCCGCCATGTACAAGTCGCCAGGAATCGCTGGCCACATAGAGTGGACCATCTTCGACGATCAGAGCAACCGGGAGAAGGTTTCTAGGCAGTAGCTCCGCTCTCACTTTCGAGCATGGGTCGCCGAGGGCTTCGAAACCGAGCAGCCGAGGATCGAGGATCCAGCCAATATGTGCAGATGGGACATTCCGTGATACAGATACTTTGTTCAAGTTGATGACGGGGCCTTGGACAGTGCCGTCTACAAGTCTGGGCCCGACGACTGGCAGGTACTCGGTCACGTCAACTTGGTCGCTGCAAACTGGAGGTCGCTGCAGGAGACGCACCCGGGGGTTCACGTATCTGAGCTCCATGGCAATTATGAACCCCAGGATCCCTTCGAGCCCGTTGACGGCTGCATGGAGTGGGATGTTGGCTGGATGAAGATACGGCGCCAGCTTGTTGCATGCCAAGTTTTACGAGGACTTATGGGCCATCGACCTGGGTTGTTCATATCAACGGCCGCTAGAGATCTTGTATTGACAGCTTGCTTCATGCTTCTCAAAGCTCCATAATCTTTTGTTCCACAAACGGGTACTTGATATTCTGCTAAGCTAGCGAAATTTCGTTTAACAGCTCCTTTGCTACACTGAGATTGAAATCTATATAGGAAAGATAGGAGAGCTGGGGGACGCCGAGGCATGGGGGGCTGTCGTCGGTGTAAATTCGCATGGAACAGAGCGAGCCGTCCGGGCTCCAGCCGTCCATGTGAGTCAGGCCCAAGTAGGGGGTCGAAGAGAGCTGTGCCCGTTGGCCATCCCCGGGAGTCGTCATGTTCACGAGGACCTCGTCGGGGTTGACGCTGGCAAACATGGTCTTACAATGCTCTTCCGTACGGCTAGCACAATCCTATTCTCCTAGCCCGACTTAATTTCCACCGCATATCCGCTGACCCATAATACTACTGAATAGAGTATTTATACATGGGCCGCCATGGTGCCAACTCCAGTTCTCGCCATGTCGTTTTAGCTCCTCTAGTAATGACTGTTATACTGAGGCTTGGGAGCGTAGCCATACTGAGGCTTGGGAGCGTAGCTATGCTGAGGCTTGGGAGAGTGGCCGTACTGAGGCTTGGGAGCGTAGCCATACTGAGGGCTGGGAGCGTCGCTGTACTGAGGGCTAGGAGGGTCGCTATAGGCAGGGGTAGGAGGCTTGGTGTGGTGAGGCTTCCTGTACTTGCCAGGAGGGCCAGGGGGGCCAGGAGGGCCAGGAGGACCAGGAGGGCCAGGAGGACCAGGAGGGCCAGGGGGACCAGGAGGACCAGGGGGGCCAGTCTTGCCATCGTAGCCGTCCCTCCCATTATAGCCATCCTTTCCATGCGGACCAGGTTTGCCATCTTTCCCGTTATAGCCATCTTTACCGTTGTAGCCATCCTTTCCATCGTAGCCATCCTTGCCATCCTTGCCATTGTAGCCGGGCTTGCCGCGAAGGCCAGGAGGACCGCGAAAGCCAGGAGGACCGCGAAAGCCAGGAGGACCGCGCTCGCCGTTCTTGCCATCCTTGCCATCATAGCCGGGAGGACCACGTGCACCATCTTTGCCATTATATCCGTCCTTTCCATTGTAGCCGGGCTTGCCATCCTTGCCATTGTAGCCGGGCTTGCCGCGAAGACCAGGAGGACCGCGAAAGCCAGGAGGACCGCGCTCGCCATCCTTCCCATTGTAGCCATCCTTGCCATCCTTGCCATTATAGCCGGGCTTGCCGCGAAGACCTGGAGGACCGCGAAAGCCGGGAGGACCGCGCTCGCCATCCTTTCCATTGTAGCCATCCTTGCCATCGTAGCCGGGCTTGCCGCGAAGACCAGGAGGACCGCGTTCGCCATCCTTACCATTGTAGCCATCCTTACCGGGCTTACCATCCTTACCATTATAACCATCCTTTCCATCCTTGCCATTATAGCCATCCTTGCCAGGCTTGCCAGGCTTGCCATTATAACCATCCTTTCCAGGAGGACCAGGTTTACCATCTTTGCCATTATAGCCGTCCTTTCCAGGAGGCCCGTGTTTGCCGTCCTTGCCATTGTAACCGTCCTTGCCATTATAGCCGTGCTTGCCGCGAAGACCAGGAGGACCAGGCTTTCCATCATATCCGTCCTTGCCAGGACGACCAGGCTTTCCCTCCTTTCCAGGAGGACCAGGCTTGCCATCATAGCCATTCTTGCCAGGAGGACCAGGTTTGCCATCGTTCCCTGTCTTTCCAGGAGGACCGGGCTTGCCGTCATAGCCATTCCTGCCAGGAGGACCAGGCCTGCCCTGCTTTCCGTCATAGCCATTCTTGCCAGGAGGACCGGTCTTGCCTGGGGGACCTTCCTTGCCGTCGTAGCCATTCTTGCCAGGAAGACCTTGCTTGCCATCATAGCCTGGCCTGCCGGGCTTGCCATGCGGGCCGGGAGGGCCGGGCTTGCCGTCGTAGCCATTCTTGCCGGGCTTTCCGTGGTGGCCATTTTTTCCGGGCGGGCCGGGTGGGCCAGCAGGTCCACGTGGGCCGGGCGGACCAGGGGGGCCGGGTTTGCTATGGTAAGTGGGCTTGGTCGGGTATCCGGTCTGGGTCGGATATTCGGTCTGGGGCGGGTAGTCTGGCTTAACGGGCTGAGGCCGGGGCGGGCCGTAGTATTCGGTGGCGGCTCCGGTCGAGCCCCCCTCTATTAAAGGAACGGCGAGCGAATTGCCCGTCAGGGCTACAAGCGCCGCGACAGCCTCGAACTTCATTTTGCAAAAGCCGATAGGAACTTGGCCCAGGGTGCTAAGGAAAACGCGGCTCCAATATATAGCGCTGACCGGTGGTTACAGTTACAAAGAAGAGATAGGTTAGGGGGGATTTATAGATAATAAATCTCCTACCATTCTAGATACTTTACAAGGCCGGAATTCATACCATGCTTCTCTCGGGCAAAACTTGTACAAGAATCCATGCCGTTTGTGAGCAATCATAGAGTCCTCATACGATTTTTGCTTGGAAGAGCATTGACTCTGATCTTCGAGAAGGAAGGAATTTGAATGGGGGAGTCTGTCTCCGAGACAGCAGACGAAAATCTGATCAAAAAAAAGGAATGCGACTAAGGAACAGCTATGGCGAGCTTGCAGTAGGAATGTTAACAGCAGTTGTCCATAGCAATGAGAGGCTGACTGCTCAATATACGACGCTAAAGTCGTTTACATGTACCATTAATAGAGAGCAGCCTAAGACTATGTAACCGGGCGATACAAAATGGCACTCTCGTCTACCGGCGCCTGCGAATCCATGCCATGAACCGTTGGTCTAACGTTCTCCTGGTTACGCTGTCTAACATAGGGCTATTCAACAACTAAAAGCGAGCTAAACGAGTCCGATAGCAACGTGCACCTGTACTTGGCGACATGGCTTAACGAACTCTGCGGAAGAGCCACATTTAAGGAATGTTTAAATTCCGGGCTGGATGAACCTCGATCACTGCCTCACCCTCACCGACGATAGCACTGCGTGTCTCGCAGCCATCGTCCTCTCGTGCACTGCGGCGTTGCCAGCCATGTGCGCGTGATTGGGCAGGCTCGAAAGCATGGTAGAGACACAGGCCGAAGGCCTAGTGGTGGCTGTTGCACACAAATTCAACGCCTGAGTAGCTTAAACATGATGAGACAAGTATCTGTGGTCTTGTCTTTCTTCGTCCGTCCCTTTCCACAAGTCCAATGAGATTGCCCGATCTCCTGTCTCTCGCGCGGCAAACGGCCAGCGCCATTCCACCGGTGCCTGAAATTTGTTCTGTGAGGCAGTCTTTCTGGACGAGCACCGTCTATAAAATAAAGGCCCAGGCTTGCAGGAACATGTTCAGCTCACGTCTGGAACGTAGAGACAAAGTGAGTGTCGTCTGCGTTGGTCTTCTACGAGGCAATGGACGTGCAAGCCAGGCGGGAAAAATCAGCCACAGCTCTGAAGAACTGGTGAGTGAGTCAAGGGCGGCCTAGCTCGCTCTCTCGCGTACGTGAGTTCCCGTCCAGGCTCCACGGGGGGCGCTCTATCGTATAGACGATGCTGGTGATGGCTTGCTCGTTGCCAATGATGCGATGGTGGTCAACCCAACCAGTCCCGACGGATATTTCCTTGTTTTCTTGATTGTGCCCGGTGATGTGTCCACGTAGGCCAGGGGCTGGAAAACATGTTGAGAACTTGGGATATACCTAGCCGTAGCACTTGTGCAAAGGGGTGCTGGGTGGTCATGCGTTATGAGCATAACAAGAAGTACGGTGGAGGCTTAGGAATAGCGTTTTCGCGGCCACGGACAGCACATTGAACCAAGTTAAATAGCTCTCCATTGCTTCTAGGAACTTGGATGCTCTCGACTCAGGATATATAAGAGCCAGAGGTTGTCACCCCTGCTCAAGTTAGTAGAGGGCTAGAAGCAGAACTATAAGGCGGAACACGTATATTATTTGTCTATCAAGTTATGTGCGGGCCGGGAGTCAAGATCCAGTCCCTCGTACTAGCTCAAGTATGTAGAAGCTGGGAAAGGGCCTCCATATGGGGGATAAGTCAAGCGGAAGACGGCCTTCCAGACACTGTACGATAAACCCTGTACGGTCACGTGAGACGCCATGAATCAACCAGGTTCAGACTGCTCGAACTGCTCGCCTAGTTACTTTGTCCTGCAAAGGTGGCTATCAAGCTAGAAATACCGCTTGACCAGGCAAAAGTGGAACACTCCAACCGGTGTCTCCATTGGTGCGAATAATAGCTATTGGCATTTGCTATTCCCTGGTCTGCTCCGTCTGGCAGCAGTGATCTTGTTGGACTGGACTAGCATTGGAGTGGATTTGGATGGACTGGATTTGGCTGGACTGGATTTGCAGTTTCAAAAATTTGACTGACTGATCGAGAGGTCTGGAGGCTCCTGAGCTCCAATGGACCATGCCTAATTAGGAAAGAAGAAAACCTCAACGCCAATTTTCGTTTCAGGGCTACCACAACAACGCGTTATTGATTGAATACAGCGTGCTCATGACGAGCAGTGGTAACTACCAACGTAGAAATTCGCCAGACGGGAGATGTGACCGACTGCCGGTATAACTAGCAGCAGGAATCCCATATTTCCATCTGGCCAACAAGGTAACCACCGTAACCTTAACTTGATCAACGTTCCAAATGGCCGCATCGACAATCACCCAATTCTTCACTGGCGCTTCTAATAAGCCCTCTAGGTCAGATAATGTTGTTCTCGCCCGGAATCGATCAACAGTCGTCGCGATCCGGAGGCCCTGATCCAGCCAGATGAGTTCAGGCTTCAGGGAGAGGAATATACTCGCTGTGCCGTGCTGGCAAGAGGCCCTAAATCAACAAAGAAGCGTACATCCGTCATATGGTTATACGGTGAGGACCTGAAGTCAAAAATAGATGATAAACGTGTCTGGTACTGCTATCTCTGCGAGAAGCAGCGTCGTCAACAAGACCTCCCAGCTATCTCAAGTGGCAATTCTACAGCGCTTGACCACCTCCACTCGAAACATGATATCGACAAATCTACTGGGGAACACAAGAGCTTTCGAGGAGACTCGGTTGACTCGAGCCAGCCCTCGATATCCGACTACCAAGACGTGAAGTCGATCATCTTCTCCCGCCGCTTAGATAGGTTCAAGGAACTGCTCGTCCGGTGGCTGGTCGGTTGCCATATCGCCTTCTTCCAGGTTGAGAATGACTACTTTCGCGATCTCCTTTTACCTGTTCCCGCCCTTGACGAACTTTCTCCCAAGGGCAGCGTCAACTATTCGACAGTGGGTGATGAATTCGTTCGAGGTGAGGAAGGAGAAATTGCGGCAGGACATGCTCGACAGTCGGAGTTCCATTTCGTTGTCATTCGATCTATGGACGTCGCCAAACTACCTCGCAGTGCTTGGGGTAGTAGCACACTTCATAGACAAATCTGGGTTGCGTCGAACTGTTGTCTTAGCGCTGCGCGAAATGGAAGGGGAACACTCGGGAGAGAACATGGCCGATGTCCTGCTACAGGTCATCAAAGATTATAAGATTACGGACCGGGTCGGCTATTTCATGGCCGATAACGCGACGGCCAACGATGTGTGCGTTGACTCGGTGCTGCGCGCCGTTTACCCCAGTATGTCGGACAAGCAGCGAAGACGCAGGCGCCTCCGCTGCTTTGGGCATATTGTGAATCTCTGCGCGCAGGCTTTCCTGATCGGAAAGGACGCCAAAAAGATCTGCAAAGATCTAGACGCTGCATACAAAGAAGGCGACATGACGCGAATCCGGGAGCTCTGGCGGAAGCGCGGCGCCATCGGCAGGCTTCATAATATCATCAGATATATTCGAGCCAGTCCTCAGCGCCGTCAGTTTTTCAGATCAATTGCCTGTGGGGGAGCACTGTCGGAGTTCGATGGCTTAGAGGTGAGTTGCCTTTGTACCCTCTGGGAACCAGCAGATCGATCAGGACTAATTTAGCCCAGCTTATCCAGAGCCAGCAAACGCGCTGGAACTCATACTTCATGTCAATCGGCAGAGCTCTCAATGTCAAGGAGAGAATTCAGATATTCTGTGACCAGTATGAGGCTGGCCAGAGCCAGAAAAGTCTCGCTGAAGACCGCCTGTCTGAGCAGCAGTGGAACGAGCTTGCACACCTTCATGATCAGCTGGAGACGTTCTACGACGGAACCCTGTCGACGGAAGGCAGGCATTCAACGCTAGCAGATCACTTTCAGACGCTCGACTGGTTGCTAAATGAGATCCAGCAGGCCAAGATTAAATTCGAGGAACTTCACAGGGCGGCTGTTCGAAGGAAGACCAGTCGTGGAGCTGCCGCTGCTGAAGCCGACAACTTTGCGTTTCTTGCCGCTTCGGCAGAAGCTTCCTGGCGTAAGGCCGAGCAGTATTTCAATAAAGTGGACGAGACACCGGCATATTATACCGCCATTTCGCTGAATCCGACTCTCAAAAGTCAGTGGTACGTCGAGGCTTGGACAGACGAAGAAAAACGGTTATGGATCCCGGCGTTACGAGGCTTGTTAGAGAACTCTGGCTAGAGGAGTATCGGGGCAGGCATTCCACAAAGCAGGCTTCGGTCTCCGCTTCGCCCGGTCCAACGTCGTCTGTTTCAGTTAGGAAGGAGAAGCCTTTGCGGCTGTTAAGAGCCATAAAAGACTGAAGCTTCGTCACGAGGTCGGATCAACAGACCTGCCCGCCATCGACCTTCTCGATCAGTTCCTGGAGACAGATGTTATCCGGCTTGGTGAGGAGGAAAGCTTTGACGTTATCAAGTATTGGAACGATCGCTATCATACACAACCTGATCTAGCACGCATGGCACTAGATGTTCTATCTGTTCCACCAATGTCGGATGAATGCGAGCGGTTATTCAGCAGCGCTAAGATCCTGCTTTCTGACCGGAGGTCGAGGCTTAAGATCGACATCATTGAAGCTAGCGAGTGCCTCCGGTCCTGGTACGGCCCACCTGCACGAAATACTTTTGAGGATATCAACATCGGGAGACTAGAAGGGGAGTCTGATCTGCAGGAGGCTTACAAAGCTGGGGATGGATCTGAAGCTAAAATGGACGACGAGGACCTTCGGATCGTGGATCAAGATGATTACCTCCATGATAATACTCCTCAGCCCCAGGAGGGCTTGCGGTAGTTAACCAGCGTTATTGATGTCAATCACACACCGCACAGCATTGAACAAGGATCGACTCCGTGGTAATCTCGCGATGACTATAAAATACGGAATATCGACTACCTTGAGCTAATCCATTTAAGGATTGGATTTGCATTGGCGGTTCTGGAGTCCTCAGCGCTGTGCATTGGACTGGACTGGATCCGACCTCGAAATCCAGTCCAGTCCAGTCCAACAAGATCACTGTCTGGCAGTGACTGATGATGAGAGTCTGTGGCAGGGCAAGCATTCCAGGATTTCCAGCCCTCTGCAAAAAGCTCATCCTTGGACGAGCAAAAGTGCTCGTCTACCCGTCTGGCTCCCAGCCGTCACCAATTACGAGGCATCGTCCTGCCCGCCTCTACTCAGCGGAGGCCCGCGTGGGCAACCAATATTTCCCGGAAGCAGATGTCGAGGAGCTGGAAGGGTATGCCCCTGGCGGCTACCACCCAACTGCCATAGGCGACAGCTTTCACCATGGACGCTACATCATAGTCCATAAGCTCGGCTTCGGCGGCTACTCAACCATCTGGCTGGCGCGCGATGAGCAGCTCCATCGTCATGTGTCCGTGAAGATTATAGCGGCTCACGCGTCGGCCGACACCAACGAGGCCACCGTTCTCCGCACCTTGCAGCAGACACCAGCCTCGGCCCATGTCGGGCGGCCGTTCATCCCGGCCATCCTCGATCAGTTCAGCTTTGATGGGCCAAATGGCCACCATCTCTGTCTGGTTACTGAGCCTGCCGGCTGTAACGTCGCCCAGTCCAAGGAAGACAGCATAGACTTTATGTTTCCGGCCGAAACTGCGCGGTCTATCGCTGCTCGATGCGTCATGGGATTGTCCTACTTGCACTCCAACGGCGTCTGTCATGGAGGTATGCCTACATCATCTATGCTGAGTGCCATTTCGCCCCCTCTAACCTCCCCTTTCAAGATCTGCACATGCGTAACATCTTACTGCACGATTCCGAGCTCAGCACTACAAGCACCACCGACATATATAAGCGCTTTGGCGAGCCCTATAGTGTTCCAATCCGCCGCCTGGATGGAGGCGCACTCGAGCTCAACGCGCCACCTCACGCCATCTTCCCAATGGCTCAAAACATGCGAGGACACGAGATGCATGACCCTGAGATCCTCATATCCGAATATGGAACCTCTTTTCTCGTCAAGCAGGCATCATCGCCAACCTTGTATACCCCAGAGCCGATGGTAGTTCCTGCGTTTCCAACCCTCGCCGCCTCGCTACGCCCATGTTTCGGCCCCTGCTTCAGCGGTTGTGGGAAATGGGCCGCGGAGAGACGACCGAAACATGCCAATGGGATGTGGCCGGTGGAGAGCTCCGTGCGCTACACCATCTTTGCGGGCGATGCTAACGTTCGAACCTTCAGAGAGGCCGGAAGCGGATGACTTGCTTCGTTCTGAATATATGACAAATTGGGCTAGGCCGGCGTGGGAGAGACAGGTTTTAAGGAGCGGCCATTGTGGGACGGAGACTTGTCACAGACCATAGGTGATCCCATATCACCGCAACCGCTGCGACTTGGCCCCAAGGGAACCTCAAACCACTCGACATGCGGAGCCGTTTGGCTTGGAGTCGGATTGGGATCCGTCACCCTTCAACATGCGATGACTGAGCTATATCAACGTGAGGTGGACGCCAGCTCGGCGGAGCTGTTTGCACAGACCTTCTCCGTGGACCCATTTCAGCTTCGCCTATATTTGCTAAGCCCCTGGAGAAGACTTCTCGCTTCCAGCGAAACCCCCAACGCAAACCAGCATCAGAAATGACGACTGCTGAAGTGGGCTCAGCACCGCCCCCGGCTCTTGACTACCCGGACCCATTCATTTGCGACATGTGTACCGAGCTCGAAAGCCCGTCCTTGCGAAGAACTCGTGTCGGAGTTGCAGATCATGTTTCTATGGAGCCGGCTCGACAGGACATATCGAAAGGCGAGTGGCTGGTGCAGCGATGTATCAAATTCAACTCCGGGGCAAAACGTCGCAACTCCGATTTGTCCTGCCCAACCCCCGTCAGCAACTTTCTGGCTTGGTGTATGCGCCTTTTGACACTGCGAAGACATGTTACGACGCTTCAAGAAGCCGTTTGTTCGGGCCGGAATAGGATATCTAGGCCCAGCTGGAATTTATATTTGATTCAAGAGCCCAAGCAGCTACGATGGCTGGCTACCAGACGTTGGCATTGGGTAGTGTCTTAGAAATACGCCAAGGACAAGAACTTGGAGAGTCAATCTTCTTCATATCCTCTGCGATGCGTATTCGTCGTGGCCGAAAGAGCAGGACTGGCTCGTTAGTCCCCGGCAAGAAATTCAATCACGGCCTTCCCCTCTCTGCCTCGCTTGCGTGCGTATGCCCAAGCGGCCAGGGCGTCCTCAGCCGGAAACACTTTAACTGGCAGCGGCTTGACATCGCCCTTTTCGAGCAGCGCCGCCACTTTCGACAATGTGCTGCCCTGAGACGTGACAACAAAGTACACCTTTCTCACATCAGGGTACCGGCGCAGTTCCTCGGGCTCTTCCTTTCCGAGGGCCCATGGCGGAGGCGGATCGGCGACCGTCACGACGACGCCGTTTTTCTTGACCGTGTTCCACGACTTGGCGAGGGTCTGCCCTCCCACCGTGTCAAACACGGCGTCCATTTCGGACACGGCGCTCTCCCAGTCCGGGCTATTGTAGTCCAAGACGTGGCTTGCGCCCAGGTCTCGAACGTAGGCGTGATTGGAGGCCGCGGCGAGGCCTGTGACGTGAGCGCCCAGCAGCCGACTCGCCAGCTGCACGAGCATGACGCCCACGGCTCCCGAAGCACCGGTGACGAGCACCTTGGAGCCGCTGGCCAGCTCGGCGTGCTGGAAGATTGCTTCCCAGGCCGTCAGGATGGGAATGGGCAGGGCGGCGGCCTGCGCGTGGGAAAGCGATGCCGGCTTCGGGGCGATCTCGTCGGGCAAGACGACGGCGTAGTCGGCCTGGGAGCCCTGGTCCGTCGAGGTGCCAAGCATGGCGAAGACGCCATCGCCGACGACAGCAGGTCCGTCGTATTCAGGGCCGACGGCCTCGACGATGCCGGAGACGTCGTGGCCCGGCACCCGGTTGGAGGAGTCGTACAGCTCGGGCCACGTCACCTCGTCGGCGGTGATGCCTGCCGCGCAGACCTTTATGAGGATATCACGACCCTGGGCAGTGGGCGCGGGCAGCGAATGGGTCAGGGTGATTTGGTGGCTGCCTTTGCTGCCGGTGATCTGCACCGCCTTCATCGTGTGTTCAGTGGCAAGCGTCAAATAGGTATAGACAGAGGGTCGACCCGCAGCCGCTCCACTCGGCGCGTTCAGCTCCGACTAGGTTTCACGAAGAAATAGTTTGAGGGGTGACAGAGGGAGGCTCGCTTCGCTGGCGAGAATAACGGGAACGTAAATCGCGCTCCCGGCGGGGACGTTTTGGACTGCTTAGTCGGTTGGTCCCTCTCTGTACTCTGCCGTGCATGCGTACATGCGCCAAGTAGGTACGTCTATCGGGTCGGCAATGGCTCGGGTGGCGCGGCCGTGATGCTCGGGAGAGTCGCCCGCTTATACCGACAAGTGGGGCCGTTCGGCGGTCCCGACCAGCCGCCTGCTTGGGAGCGGCTATCGGCGGGTCCTGCCGCATACGTATGCGAACGCGAATCCACAGAAGACTTTCCTTAGCCGTCTGTTGGTACACGGGTGTTGGAGTTGGACATGGCTTTCGAATCCTCGCGGAGTGTTCGCCGGCTTAGGGTTCGACTCGGCTAGAGACATGGACTTGACGTGCAACTGACGTCTCTTGACCCTCATTCTCGCAGCTCGGCTATTCATGACCGATACTGCAGCCCTCAGGAGTCAGAGATCGAGAGGTAAAGGTGACGGCTGAAAGCCCTGATTCATACGTGAACCGAAAGCCAAGAGTACAGTGTCCAGGCGCCGGTTGTTTGGGCTCTGCGGTGTTCGACTGCCCCCTGCAACCACTAAACAAACAAACCTTGTCTCGACTTTGGGCTTAGGCCGGTTTCACTTCTCCTCCCTGGACGAGGAGTGGAGTTGTTGTATGCCATCTTACTCTCATCGCCAAGAAACAGGGACTGTGGAGCTGAACGCGGCTGTACAACGTCGCGCAGACGACCCCTATGTGCCCTCCTGGATCAAGCAAAGTATGGTTTTTGAAAGAGAAGCCCAGTTTCTCCATTGGGTTCTGTGGACGCCCGAGGCTATGGAATGCTAAACCGAGAGCGAGGTGCCACCGCTCACACCAGCCAATAATATGCGCCACATCATTACGAATACCCATCGTCTGTACAAGAATTGCCTCCATAGACGCCCCAATGATTTCGTTCAAGCCCTTAAAGCCAGTTTAACGGGCGAGTGGCCTGGCTTTGATCCGGGTTCCAAGTCCGCCACTCCTCCGGCTCATCCGACGCCGGCATGGACCGGACACGGTATTGATCAGCAGGAGCCCGCTCCGGAGGATAGATGTGGAGGTTTTGGGGCGGCGACGGCGCCACGTGGACAGGTCTTAGCTCGGGGTTCTCCGGCTCCTTGACCGAGACGCGCAATGGGGGTGGCACCCCGGGGGTGGGCTTGGCGGTGTAGGCGTCGTCGTTGGCGGCGTAAGCGGCTTTCATGGCCTCGTCCATGATGTTGGATTGGGTCCGCGGCGGCGAGTTCATTCCCGCGGAGCCCTTCTCCGAGGCCATACGGCCAACGCCGCGCTTTTTGGATCTTTTGCGGCGGTAGCAGACTATCACCATCGCCAAGAGGGCAATGAAGGCTAGTAACGGTTGTTAGCTTCCAGAGCCTGCTTTAAGGGAGCCGTGCAAACACACCTAGCGTTCCAATCACGATCCCGGCTTCTGCACCTTGGCTGAAGCGCCCTGCCCGCAGGTCCTTTTCCCCGCCGTCCTGCTCCTTGGCGGCCTCCACCCCGGGGAAGCGAAACCCCGACTCCTGGGCGGCTGGCATCTGGTTTGTCTCCGTGGACTGCGAGGGTTGCGGCGCCTTGATGTCGGGAATGAGGGGGGGTGCGGAAGAAGTGGCGGCTGGGGGGGCGGCCGGGGGAGTAGTCGGGGTGGTGTCCGGAGCGCGAGAGGGAGAGGGAGAAGACGAGTTCCCAATGGCCGCGACGCGATCCGACGGACCAGGCTGAACGGTTGAAATTGGTCTTGCGGTTGCGAACACCGGGATGGGTTTGATCCGTTGCGGCCTCCCAGTCACTGCCGCGTTGACCTTGTTGGCACGAGTCGTCGTTGGTCTCGGCTTTGCCGCCTTCTTGCTTTCCGATTCGGACTCGCTGCTGCTGTCGCTGCCGTTTGCGCCGCCGGTACGCCTCACGCGCCAAATCTTGGGACTTTCTGCTGCTTGACGCCTGGCGTGGGCCTCGCGGACGAAGAAGGGATGTCGGGCGTTGAGATGGCTGTCGATTTTGTCTGCCTCGGGGCCCCGGGTGCGCATTCTTTTCCGCCGGAGCCGACTCTTGGTCAGGAGCTCTCTATGGGCTGCTGTTAGATAACCTTTTGGTCTGCTGCCGATGGAGTTGTTGAACGTCTTGGACATACCTGCTGTCGAATGCCAGTGCACCCTCGTCGTCACGGAAGCCGTCCATGGCGGCTGCGATGTGACAAATGTCTCACTGAAGTAGACGAAGGTAATGAATTGAGGGCATGAAAGAGGTGACGAAGAGAAGCAAGGAAAGAAGTGCAAAATTAAAAGTATATGTTAAGTCGAAACCAGTTCGAATATCGAATGCTAGAGGAAAGGGGAGGGGGGGCGCTCCAAAAACACAGCAACGACAACATGAACCACAAAATAACCATGGACTAGGAATAGAAGGAAGAGTTTGAGAGCCTGTGGACAGAAGCGCCGGGAAGATCGATGGCAGCACGCTCGATTATTCAAGTTGCTGGTCCACCACCGCAACGCCGCGGGCCCCCTCCCCGCACGGGACTCTTCAGGTTGTTAGAGACGAGGGGTTTCATCCTTCTAGCCGGTTTGCAATTCCTAGGCTCTCTCTCTCTCTGACTGAGCCCGAGACTCAATGAGGGCTAGCGGCTGCTGCAGAGACGGTTTCATCCACCCCCCTTCCTTTACCCGGGGCTTGCTCTAGTTAGTTAACTTGTTTCTTGCTATTTATTTTCCCTACTTCTATTTTGGTATATTTTCCCGACAACCGCGCAGACCTGCAGTCGCAACTAGCCAGTCGGATGAGGTTGCAATTGATACGCCGAGAGCGAGGCTGGCCCGGCGCCTGCTACTATCTCTCTCTCCCCGTTTGGCCGGGCTCAGGTGTTTGAGTACAGTCTCAAGCTCTTCACGTCACTGCAAAGGATGCCATGATGAAAGGAGGGCGGGATGGTGGCCATGAGAGTGGCCCAACTTATTAATTTCCAACCGGCCCGTCGGCATTCAGTTCAAGTCATGTCCAGACGATTCGCAACGGGACGGGGTGGAGACGCAACGAGTACAGAGCCTGATGCTATTCAAACTGCCGACTCAGAAAGGCATCCATAGATTGATTAGCGAGAGCTTAGAAAACGGAGGGTGGAACTTGATCTCAGGCGTCATCATTCTCAATGTTCTGTGCCCTTTCTTCAACGTCCGTGGTGCCCTACACTGGTACCCACGCAACGTCGCCGAGGGCTCTGTGCGCCTGTATGGAGCCCATTATCCCCTTACCCCAGAGCCATATATTTTTGGGCACCGGTCACAGATCGACGGCACGATCCCAGGGGTTGGCTCTGTCTGGCTGAGGCCCGCTACAACGCGGTTGAAGGGTTCATAGACTCCATTCGACCAAAACAAATGGCTCTGCGAGGCAAAGCGCTTGCTGGACCAAGTCATGCTGGCTGCTATCAATCGTGTCAAGAATTGGTGCAAGCTGTCCAACCTGTCATATTTTTCACATCTCCTCCCCCTGTCTGAATCAGCCGCTCAGCCCTTGCCAAGCCGCTTTTCTTAATCGCGCTGTTCGTGGAGCCGAGAGCATACTCATGTAAACGTGCGCTGTAAAATAAGAGGACTTGCGAGCCACGGTCCAGGGTCCGACGCAAAGTCAGTTTTGTGAGAACAGGTGGGAGAGGTGCCACTCTGAGACTCCTTCACAGGCCGCATGTGCAGCGCAAAAGAACATGTCAAGCCAAATGCAAACGCAAAATGACACACGTGCGGCGATGTCGAGTAGCAACAGGCGAGTGCGGCTGCGCGTCTGGCAGCACGTGCGCGACCAAGGCGGGCTTGCTTGTAAAACGGCAATTGTAGAATGGCATGCTCTTGTTACAAAGGGGGTCGCGACGGTGTAAGAATGCATGTCAAGATGAAGATGAGAGTCAGGACATAAGCCCACCGACGGTAATTATCAGCGCAACACGCGGGCAAGATCCAGGTTGCAGAAACATGGGCGGCTGAATGGCCAAAAAGCAAATGCATGCAGTAAACAAGGCCCAAACTACATACAATGCGCATCTGCGTGCAAGAATGATGAAACGATTTGCATCTCGAACCCCCGAAGTGTTCGAGATGTTGCATGCCGTGAACCAAGAGAGGGGGAGGGAGATAAAAAAAAGATCGAGCGCTCAGGGACAGGTGATTCAAGAGGGCGCTGTGTGTCGGCTTCTGCGATGCCGGGTCACGCGGGCAATACAGCGTGCTGTCGATGCAACGCTCAAGATTCGTGGTTCAAGTGAGGTCCGCGGGCAATCCTGGCTTTGTGATCTCCGTGATTCTACTCGATGTTGCCTCATTGCTACACAGGGAAGGGCGATTGATCCACGAATCTGTCCATGGAGCCTTTTTTGCACTTACGTGCCACCATCATCATCGCACCTTTTTGGAGGGGAGGGTCCCTCAGTCTTCGTTGTCATGGACCCGAAGGCCGTGCCGTTGCGCCGCTTGACGCTCCCACGAACGACACCACGGACGCCCGGGTCCGGCGTCGGCATCTGGCTGCCTGATCAGCGTGATAGGCAGACACAGAAAGGGAGAGGAAAAGAGCTGCCTGGTCCATGGTCGAGCCAGGCCCGAGATGGTTTCCCTTTCCGCACTGTCCGGGCGAACAGCTTCCAATACGGACTACCTGGACGATGTGACGGCCTCCGACGTGGACTCGCCGGGCAAGTCCTTGAACAAGTCAGTTCCTCGCATTGGGATTTGACCTGGTGCCAGAGTGGGTGCGATTCGAGCCGTCTGTAAGCTATTTGTGAGCGACAAGCAGGAATCATGGGCAGCTCATCAATCGCTGACGGTGATTCCAAGGAGCCGTCGGGGTAGTCAGTCGCCTGCAGTCAAGATTACTGCATCTGCTGGGCTCAGCTGTGAACTTGCCGCCTCGCCCCGTCAAGTTCAGGCGTTCCCTCCTGAAGCCTATCGATGCGTCGCTCGAGTCGGTCATTTGATGACTGTGGCAGGACTAAACATGTGAGGTCCTGGCGGCCTTGAAGCCTGGAATGCCTTGTCATGCATAAGAGCCCGGAGAAGAGCTCGAAATAAACAGAGCGCGTGCTCAATGAAGCCTCTCGCGCAGGCCATGCATCGAAAGAACAGCAACGCCGAGTAGGCTGATGCGGCATCACCGGCCGTTGGCCTCGGCCACAAGACAAGGCTGTGCGATCAAGAGCGAAGTGTCGACACAAGCGAAGAAAAAAGTCGCTTCGTCCAGGGCGATGAGCAGTGCAAAGAGCCAAGATCGACGGCACAGATCGCCAAAGAAGATCTCCAAGATGGCAGGACAAAACGCCGACTCCCCCACCCACGAGCGGTCAGGGGCACATTTTGTGTGGCTTGCTGCGGATCAGGCATCGTGACGGGATGACAGAGAGCGCGTGGCTTTCTCTTGCTGCTGCTCGAGGTGGCTGCGCATCTCAAGGTGGACGACGGATGCTTGTGCCGAGGACTGGAGGTTGGAGCTGAGCATCACGTGACTGGGCTCTACGGAGGTTGGCCGGGCCCGTTACGAAGGGCGAAGCCCGAAGAGGCCGCGTCGACGGGATATGCCGCGGCTGCGACCAAGCCTGTCATTATCATGCCTAACCTGCTGAAACAAATCAGGCTTTTTCAATAACCGACGAGAATTATAGGACGGCGACTCGGCCAAGGTTTGGTCAAGTTGGGCCCATGTACGGACACCTATTCTCCACCGTCTGACCCTTGCCGGGTGTTAACCTGCAGGAGCCATGGCCATCATCTGTCAAAGCTTCTTTTCTTCCATTGGGCCAAGCAAACATGGCAGTCAGCCTCATCATCTGCATCAAATGTCTCACTTGGTCCCGCGCAATGGCCAACGGCTGGATCCTGATAATTCAAGCACGGATGGTACGATTGTCAGCTTCCAAAAGAAATGTGGCAAGGGATGGGAGCGCCTAGACATGGGAGGAATCTAAAAGCCAAGGCTAATGACGGGTTATTGGCAATGGTTGGCCCCTACTGTAAAGTTCGACAAGAGCAAAGAAAAAAGAGGTGGCTTACGCATGCTCGCCCGGTTCAATGGTACAAAGAAGCAAAATTACGGATGCGAGACGTGAGTCAGATCGCAGGTGAAACTAACCTAGATCAAGGCGAGACAGGGTTTTCTGCATCGCTTTCGCGGGCGTAGACTAGCTTGTTGGTCGACGAAACAAAAGGATGGGCCACGTCTGTGCCTTGAGGAACGAAAAGGCTCTTCTGGACGCGAAAAAAACCCCAAAAACCCCCAAACCTACTTTACCCTCGAAACCCTTGGCTTCTGATTGGAGAACCCATCTTGGCTGCTGATTGGAGAGCTTTTAATCCCGGCTTCCTTTGGTCGCTTAATGATTACTTACCCTTTCGTCCTAGCCCTTTTGTTTCGCCTTCCGGCGCAGTTCGCCCTCCGGTCCTGCCAGCGACCTAACCTCGCGACTAGGACTCAGCTCCTCGTGAAACCGGTTTTTGGCCTTTTCCGACCAAACCCCTCTCCGCACCCCTGACACGAGCATGGTGCCGTCCAGCGCCCTGCGCCCGGCATCGCGATAGCTACACGTCCAGGCCCGTGCCTTTAGAGTCCAGGGAATCAACGTCTAGCCATCCCGAGGCCTCGCGGACAGTCTTGTCGCTCAGCTGGCCCAGCCTCGCTTCTGCGTCTGTCATCTCGTCTGGCACCTTGTTGCCCACCAGGTCCCTCTCCCGCAATTTCGAGACCAGCATAATGCCGTCCAGCGTCGGGCAGCGAGACAGCTGCACGTACAGGCTGTACGGGTCGCACTGCGAGGACACGGCGCGTCCGTCGATGTTTGACGTCCGCGTTCCCCGCAGCTCCAGAGCTACACGCTCGAGCGTCCTGCCCTGCACTTTATAGTCTGTGCACGCGAAGGCTGCCGTACAGGGCAGGCCCTTTCGGCTGACGTCGTTCTGCTGCCACGGCCTCTTTCGCTGGCACTGTATTTTGACCGTCATGGGCGTCAACAGGACCGTGCCTGGCGGCATCCCGACGAAGTGAACGTCGTTCGTCGTCTCCGACTCCAGCATTATCCGCCGGCGGCCCGAAATGGACCGTCGTGTCTGCCGTGATACGATGCCCGGGTACGACTTGTCGAGGACGACCTCCAGCGCCGTGTAGCCGGCGCCGTTCACCAGCTTTAGCCCCTGATGGGTGTTATGGTTCACGACGACCGGCATCCCCGGCACGAACATGAAGACGGCCGGCACCGGGATCGCGCTGTCGTCGCCCTGGTTCAGCATCATGATGGCCTCTTCCTCCGTCGGCAGGGCCTCCTTCCACGTATGATCCGAGATGAAGATGCGCATCACTGACCGCTGCTGGGCCCGGAACGCCAAGCTGGCCTCCATGTTGAGGTTCCACCGGTTCCTGTTCAGCGGCGTCACCACGGTGATGCACGTCTCCCACGGGATCCGCCTGCCTTCCCGGTAGCATCTTGAGTTGAGGAGGTCCAGATCCGAGCGGTCCTGCACGCCCAGTCGAATCCGCCTTAGCAGCCTCTGCAATTCCGGATCTCCCGCGGCGCGCACCTGCTCGTCCAGCATGACCGTGGTCGTGAATCTCTTCCACAACGCGTGCGCCTTGTCGTGCTGGTGCCGTGTCTCGGCCTTGAAGGAGCTGTCTACGTCCCACGAGACGGCGGTGCTGGGAGGAGGATCGAGCGTTCTTGGACGGGGCGGAATTGGTGGAAGTCTCCGCAGAAGAGGACGATCGGAATACCTCCAAAATCCTGGTGCGACCCGCGCAGCCGGCAGAGCTGCTCGTTCACCGCGTGTAGCGTCCGCGCCCCGAGCATGCTCACCTCGTCGATGACGAGCACGTCCTTCTCCTGCCAGTCCATCCGGGATTGCCCGTCGACGAACCGCTCCGCCTGTTTCGGCAGTCGCACCCCGTCGAGATCCTTGGCCGCGTTTGCGGCTGCCGCGAGATCTTTCGAGAACCCGCAGGCGGAGTGGATCGTAATGCCGTTGATCCGCGCTGCTGCCGTCCCCGACGTCGCCGTTATCATCAGACGATTCGATTGATCCTTGACGCGAAGAGCTCGACGAGCGCCTCGATGACTCGTGACTTGCCCGTTCCGCCCTCTCCACCGACGAACTGGCACAGCTGGCGTACGTTGCTTTTCTCCCGCGCCGTATCAGGTCAAGCTGGCGGCATATAATTAGGAAGGCGATCGCCTGCTTCTTGTTTAGCGTGAGCCGCGCTGCCAGGGCCTTGCCCGCCTCGAGGAAGGAGGTTGAGGCACCGAACCGGATCTCCATTCCCGCGCTGGCCCCCGCTACTCCTTCCTCGAGCTCCGCTGCCGTCATCTGGACGTCGTCATCCCCGAAACCCGTGAGCACGCCCCGCACCGCCGCGCGGCGACCAGTCACCGGTGCCGTGGACAGGCTTTGTATGCCCCGTATCATCTTCTCCTCTCCCTGGATGCGCGGATTTGCTGCGACTTTATGGCCCTAACCTCACTTTGCGGCGGTATGGTGGCTCCGGAGAATGCCCGCCCGGGATGTTGATTCGTCTTGGGCCCCGTTCGGGTAGTATTGTGGCCTGGACCTCGGAAGAAGAGGACAGCGCCGATTGCTGAAATCGGCTGAGCTCCTGCATCATCGCCGTGAGCTCCGGCGAGCCGGCCGTGATTTGGTTCGGCCCGATCGAGCTTCTGACAACGTCGATTAGGCGATTCGTGCTTCCCGCACTGTCGGCCTGGTATCCCGATCCGGGCTCGACACCCACCTCCCCGGTGCCGTCCTCGTCCGGACGTACTGCCGTGGGGTCGCCGTCACCGGACGAGGCCGCCCACTGCCGTGCGTCCCGCTTTGCATCTTCGGCCGACCGTCGCAGCAACTGCACGTTATCGACGAAACATGATATCCTCGGGGCCAGGGCTGCTCGTTGCCGCCCCCATATGCAGTTGATGTCGCCCCTTTCTTCGTCTAAGAAAGACTCCACGGCACGAACAGCGCAAGATGCTGCACAGCCGCTCTTCGCCATGGAAATTAGCCTTCGACCCGGCGCCTCCGGCCCGTCGACGACAAACGCACCTTCGGTAGCACGACCTTCGTCGTCTTCGTCGAAATCCTTGCTCAAATACCCGTCGAGGCAGACCGTGGCCTGCTTGCCCGGTCGCCTGAGCACCTGCGCCCAACGGCCTCCCGGAGCCCAGCCGCTCTCGAACGGGACCTCCCCCCAGCCGGCGGGCCCCTCGTCCCTTTCGTTGCGCTTCAGCCTGACCAGCGAAACGTAGTCGTAGAGACACAGCCCTCGAAGGACGTCTCCCCGATGACGGTATGCCTCGACACGGCAAATCCTCTGGCCTGCTTCTTCGACGAGTATTGACTCGTCCACAGAGCCATCTGCAACGGCTGCGCCGCTTTCTCGTCGAAGGTGCGGCCATTGTCGGAAGACTTGCCAGTAGAGCAACGATACGTTCAGGAACGCCCAAGCACTGCCATTCGTCAGTTCAGTCGCGCATCCCAGGAGGTCCGCGACGACCTCGACCTGCGATAACGGCCTCTCCGTAAACACGCGATTCGCCACCTTCATCAGGAACTGCCGTGTCTTATTCTGCCTGCCATCGTCACCGGCACCACTGTCTCCACGAACCTCCGCGCCGTCGGCCATTCCGTCACCTGCCCTGGGAGGCAAGAGATCCGCGGCGGCGGCGACGCGCTTCCATACAGGGTCCTCCACCTTGGTCGCATAGTTTGTGACGTAAAGATGAGGGCCATCGTCTTACGCTGTGTGACGATGAAAGATATGTCATGGTTGTGGCGAAGCCCACGGCAATGGCCTTGTTCCACCGATTCACCATGCTGTGCGACCTCCGAATCCGCAGCACGCCGTCTCCCGTGAAGGCCGTCTCGTCGACCAGTCCCCACGGCGCCTTGAAACGACATAAATCGCCCTTGCGCCCCCCTTTGCCCAGCGAGTACTTGACGCAGGTCGGGCTGTGGGTATGGATCTGCGTCGCGCCGGCACAGAAGTTCGCTTCCTCGTCGAACGAGGCTGAAAATTGCCGTTCGTCGCCCAGAAATTGCGATATATCTGACGTCACCGATCGCTCGGCCTGCATTGCGCAGAAGCCTTCCTGGTCCAGATCCTGTCTTGTTCGTCAGCTTTCTCGGCTTTGACAGACGGAGGACGCAGGTCAACACGCCGGCCCCGCTCATACCTCGGAAAAGACACTGTCGACGTATCTGACGATGCGTTCTCGGTATGCCGCTTGATCCTCGCCGTCGATATCGGCAAGCATCGAGCTTAGATGCACGTTGCCCTGCAGCCAGAGCAGTCCGTGAACATGGAGCGCTCCACGCTCGTTGGTCTCGACGGCACCGTAATAGTGGCTGATGCGCCCGAACACCGACTCCTCGCCCACTCTCACGTAATGTTCGAAGAACAACGTCATTTCTCGGTGGAAGAATTCGGCCGAGCTTAACGGGTCCGAGATGGCCAGCCGCGCACGTTTGAACGCCTTGTCGAGGCCTTGCAGGAATGCCTCGGCCGCTGCGGGATCACGTGTGCGGTATGCCGCCAGTCTCAGCTTCACCGGGTTCGTGATGTCGTTCGGGTTGAGCGTGAACCAGATTGCAGGCACGCCACGACATAAGATGAGTGACTGGATCTTGCGCCGCATGCTCAGACGGAGCTCCCTCGACATGGGCTGCCGATAGCCGTACAGCGAAAGGCATCTTAGAAGCTCCTTGACGCCATCGTCGGTAGTCTTGCCCGACGTCTCCAGCTCCGCCCTGGCGGCCGCTAACCTATCCGCTGTCAGCGACCGTACGATGCGCTCCACCTCGGCGAAGTTCTTCCGCGTCGCGCTGAGCATGCTGACCCGACGATTCTTCGACCGCACATCCATATTGAAAACGAGAAACGAGAAGATGGTATGCGTCGCGAATCGGCCACCATGGCGCCGCAGCACAATGCCGGCCCAGGTCCGAAGGCTTATGTTCCGAGACGACAGAAGATCTCGCGCCGCCGTCTCTTCTCCAGCAGCCGTACCCGCCAATTGACCGGCCCTCGGGTCCTAAGATGACTTCCTCCGCGAGCCGTGGTCCTCCAAATCCGAACGGCAGTAGGGTGGGAAAGGTCTTGGCGAAGAACGAGGCGTCGAGCGAGTCGGCGAATTCGTCTCCGCGACAAACGTGGATGTATGGCTCGCGGACATCCGTGCCTTCTTGACCCGCCTCCGCCGACCTTATCCATGCCCTCGGCCCCTTGCGGTCGTTCTCGGCCCCATCGCCACCCACGGCATTGCACGCAAAGCGGAGCTTCTCTGCGTCCGACACTTCCGGCGGTCCGTCCAATGCAAACATGCCGGAAGAGGTGATCTCGTTGATCGTTTTGGCTCTGTCATCGGGCTCAGCATCGTCAGTCCCGTCCGCTCCACTCCTCGGATTCTCGACTCCCCTGTCCAATACGTCTTGTCCTTGGAGGAGCTGGGCGAGGACTCCTTCGATCTCCGCCGGACTATCGTCGTCCATGGCCCGCTCTGCGGGCGGCACGACCTGCGCCGTTCGCGTCTTCTCCCACGCAGACGGCTCGTTCCGCTCCATGCGGTCGTAGACCACCCGCGGCACACCGTGTGATGGTGTTCCCCAGCTATCCATTTCCGCCCTATCAATCTCAATATCGGCGTAATGGGGGTTATTCTTCTTCAACCAGATAAGCGCTCTCGACGACTTGACGCCTCACCGACAAGAGACCCGATAAGTCGCACGGTGCTGGCTTCTCCGCGCCCTGCCACGAGACGTGGATCTCGTCCATTGTTTGCCAGAGCGGGTGCGGAGCACCCTTCTCGCCAGCTCCTGCACGTTGTTTGAAACACCGTGATGTGGCCCTTGACATGTCTCGGATACCTCACTGCCTGCGTCTGCCCGCCCGGAATGTTATACCTCGTCACAAAGCCGTAACACGAGTTCAACGAGATGAGCTTCTCTTCGACCGGCGTCAGCCCCTTCAGCTCGTCGGGGAACATGTGCTCGCATCCGAGGCGACTGTGAAGGTGGACCGCCGACGACAGGCTCCCGCGCCCCAAGCATCGGGCACACTCCACACAAACCGAGACGGGCTCACCCCGGAAAGCAGCTTCGGCACGCAAATGGTGAGCGCTCACCCCGAGGAACGGGACTTGATAGCCACTGATCCCACGGAATCTCCTCAACTCCTTCCTTGTACGCTTGCGGTAACACAGCCTGCAGGTCATTATCGGCAAGGTGCTCACATCGTGGAACGCCCGATAAAACTTTCGCACCGTCGATACCTTCCTCTCATGCGGTATTGGTGTGCACCAGGTTTGCTCCTTAGACAGCCTTTCCTTCGCGACGAATTCCCTTCGAGGTAAAGCAAGACACTGGCCAAATCCTCTGCCTGCAGCTCACTCCTCCTCTGCCTCGGATGGCTTCCTCGAGTACGTTTCGTCGGGGTCTGGTCTCGGTCACGCTGGCGGTTCCTCTTTCTGTTCTACGGCCTGCGAGGATCTTTCCGCTGCCTCGTCTCGCCACGGCCGATCTTGTTCTCCCGCCGCCGCCTGGCGTGATGGCCGTGGTGGCAACCATCCGGATGACTGCGTATCTCCTGCCCTGCCTTGCATCTCTGGGTTGGGTTGGCTGAACGAGGGCCCTGACGACTCCAGACGACATCGTGACAGCGGTTGCCGGCCAATCCTGTCCCGCCTGGCATCCGGATGACTGTATATCTCCCGCTCTATCTTCTATTGCTCTAGGTTGGATTGGCCGAATGAGGCGCTCCTGACGGCTGTAGACGAAATCCCGACACTGTTTGCCGGCCGACCCTGTCCTTTCTGGCGTGATGGCGGCGGTGGCCACCGTCCGGATGACTGCGTATCTCCTGCGCCATCATCCATCTCTTGAGGTCGGATTGGCCGAACCAGAAGCTCCTGACGACTCTAGGCGAGTTCCCGACAGGGCTTGCCGGCCGATCCTGTCCTCCTGGGCGGCTTGGGTGTCCTCGGAGCCCATTGGCCCTGTCCGCGCACCACGGCTTCGCCTTCCAGACGTGCCCTCTGACGCCCTCCACGAGCCCTCCTTCGAGGAGGAACTATCGACGTTAGTCGTCCTTTCCGCGGCCAGCCGCCTCGCCGACTTCCCTTGGGCAACGCTCTTTTGAGTGCCTCTGCCTGCTCTCTTCGTGAGGCATCGTCGGCCGCCGCGGCCGGCTTGGCCTCAATAGGCCGGAACCTGGGTGCCGCGTTTCCTTGACTTTTGTGGCCCGACGCCCGCTTCGGCCCTTCGTCCATTGCGATCGGTCTCGCCGCCGCGATACTCCTCGTCGCAGCAGCGGCCGCTGCTGCTGTCCCCGTTTCGCACTCTCCTGCCACCGATCTTACCTCGCGGCTACGATTCTCCCCCATGCTGGTGCTGTCTTATCGGCAAGGCTCCGCAAACGAACGATAGATTAGGAAGCCTTCGCCCGGGATATACCCCGAGATTGTCTCGCTTCCTGGCAATGGCGTTCCGCCGCGTTGGCATTCTTCTTGCTAACGGTTATATCCTTCCTTGTTAATATCCCTTTCTGCATTAGACCTCTCCTCTCTCGGACCTGCCGGGCTTCCTTTGTACCTATCGACAGGCCTATCTGCCGACAGCCCTAGTTTTCGCCATCCTATGCCGGTAGCCCTGCCGGACACTTTAATCCGCGTCGCCCTTGCTGCCCGATCAGTACCCAGCTCCGCAACACCACGACGCATCTCTTTGACGTCTGCTTACTTACAGCGGCAAGGCTCCTCGCTCTTCCCGGCGAATCCATACCACTATTGATCTACTATAAGTGCGTCTACGCTCGACTTCTTCCCTACTCCTTTCTTGACGCTGAGAACCCGTCCTTTAGTGCGTGCAAGTGGCCTATCGACCTGCGCAGATGCACTATGTCTTCCTCTCTACTTCGTACCGATATGCCCGCACCGCACCTTCGAAAGCCGCTCGATAGCCAAAGGGCGCTGGCGGTGAGATGTCTATGATGTCTTTTGTCCAGCCGGACTGTCCTGCTAGATTTTCCCACCAGGACGACCACCGCATCAGGGTCTTAACGCCGAGGCCATGGCCCGCGTCTTCCTGCCTCCTCCCGCCTGGCTGCTCGCGACGGAATATGCGCCCCTCCGATCGGATGCCGATGATTCCCGACATCCGTCTTTTTAGCCTCAACCTCTCCATCTACGGCCAGCCTATTGATCCTCCGACTGGACCGAAGAGTGGTTTTTCATGCATGCCCGCGTCCACCCCTACGCGCTCGCATGGGAGGTTGAGCAACGCGACGGCCTCGAGTCTGACACGGGCCGCACCTTTCTATACGATGCCCGCCCTTGTCGTCCGCGATCAGGGCTACCAGCCGTAAGCCGTGCCCTGACCCTTCGCGAGTGCCGACGAAACGGTATATGGCTAAGATGGGCTTGAAGTGTTCTCCTAGGCTCTTTGCCTCCATGGGCGACTTCCTGCATCCCGCCTATTGTTTCCTTTACCGGCCTTATCGTCGGCACCGGCCACTCCTCGCTGCGGCGGGACCTACTGCCCGGTCCAGGCGCCGCCCAACTTAACTGTTGCGGATTTGTCCGCCTTTCTACCTATGTCGCTCCTGGGATGCCTAATAAGGTCCCCTTCAGGGCTTCCACCCGTTCCAGGTCTTCGTTATCTTCCTGTTCGCGCTAACCCCTGGGCCATCTTGTGTAGGAAGATGGCCGAGAGGCAGGACTCTCAATTTCAGCCTAACGTCCCCTTTACCTGCACAGGCAAGGTCGCTGGCCTGCTCCGTCATGATGTCATGCTCTACCCCCCGGGCTCGGACCGGGACAACGTCTTTATCGTCGTCCCGGATTCCTGGACTTTCTCGACAAGGCCGCCGCCGCCGTCACCACGATGGCACCGCTTCTCTACGCCACAGAGGCAACAAGCTTCCTCCGCTTCCGCGGCCTTCCGGGACGTGCGCGCTGCCTCTTTGTCTTTGATCACCCCTGGCACCCTCCCGCTCAGTCCTCCACCCTTGGCTTCGGCTTCGCCTCGACCGGCCACTTTCCGCCGCCCGGGAAACGATGTTCCCTTGAGCCTGCCGATACGCCGACGAAGCGACCGTGTCTGCTGCATAAGGCCCCGGTGATCTCGTCTTCCCTAAGCCCGCCTCCTCTGCTACCCACTCGTTCTCTGTTTCGGCTGCCTCCGCCGCTCATGAGCCGGACAGCCCTAAGCCGGGTCCTGGCTTACGGACTCTTCCTCGATTCCATTGTCGCCCATGGCTTGGGCTCGCCGGCCCGTCCGCTTCGAAACCGCCACCTATCTAAGAAAGCTACGGAAATGGAATAGCGTACGCTGCTATAACTCCTTAAATGGGAAGTGTTTTCGTCCAGCCTGGCTGCCCCTTGGTCGTCGTTACCTTTCTGCCTCTGTACATCTGTCTGCCCCTTGTCTAGACGTTTTTTTCGTTCCTCAAGGCTCTTTGCGCAACCCTGTTGGGTTGCCTCTCCCGTTTGCCAGGATTGGTGGAGGAAAGCAGACATCCGATTGGACGCAGCCACGCCGCTTCGGAGAGAAGAGGGTGGACTATTGAAATGAAACGGATCAATGCGTACATGGGACGCCACCGGACGGGGGATCCACGCGAGGAGGAATAGGAGAAGAAGAAGAAGAAGAAGAAGAAGAGGAGGGGGAAAAGCAAAAGGGTGCAAGCGACCGTTTGTTGTCAAGAATTGGCAGCGACAGCCATATGGGATGGAGGGACGGAACGCGATGCCCGAGGGGCTTCTCTTTTTTCACTGGTGTACAGACTAGTCGCGGTCGGCGTCATGCGGCACACACTAGAAGGACTTGCCGAGGCGATGCCAAGAAGTGATGATGTGCTCAGCCGGAGTCGGGCCGCCGTTGGGAGGCGCCAGGACGGATCTCGCTCTAGCCCAGTTGTTTCAGCTGTCGTGGCCCAACAAGGCAGAGTCTGTCATGAACAAGGTAAAGGAAACGAAAGGAAAGGAAGTTACGGATGGTTGAATGAGAGAAAGGCCAAGACGGGGTCCAATCAGAGAATGTCCTCTATTCCCCGATTCGGCACGCCACTGCACGTCTCGGCTGGCTGGCGACGAGGTAAGACGCGGCGGGCCGGCAGCCAGTCAAAATGATGATGATGTCCGGGGCTGAACTCTGAAAAGAGGGCGGGTTTCTTGGGAAACTGTCAAAGTGTGGGAAGAAGAGCCGTCTTGCCGGCCGAGGACGACGGATGAGAGCGCGAGGCACAGACGGCAACCCCGGAGTCCGTGCGAGGCCTGGCAAAGGGCTCGAGCGACGATGGCCATGGGACGCGCGGGGTAGGCAACAAGGATGGCGTGCATCGGGCTGCAAGGTACGCGAGGGATGATCAACGGCGGCGACATATGCAAGTCTGTGCAGCTGCCGTGAGGAGAGCCGACGGCCAACCGGTTGAACACTGACTGCCAGTCTAATAATAATTCGATGCTAGCTGACATGTTGGCATGTAACCACTGCTCCCGTGCAGTAGTAAGTGTAGTAAGTAGTTGGCCAGCACCGCGTGCCACGATCCATGCCAACACGCACACACAGCCCCTTTTGTTCGTTCTTGCTCCGCGGAACGGCAATCACATTGCAATATTTCTTGTGTACTGTACTCAGTGTACTGTACTCAGTGTACTGTATACGTTGGCGGGGCCCACGGGTGCTATCTGTCGCCTTGCCCAAGGCGTATACTATGCTCCACGTATAGGGCAGGTAAGTCCACATTCGCACTGTGCACGCTGCGCTGTGTACCTGAGCACGTGCACGGCCTCCGCTTTTCCCCCATGCCATACGGGCTGAGGGCCAATCCGGGGTGCGCAGCTCCGGCTATTCGTCGGCTAGCCGGGGTCGATTGGCGCGCCCGCGGATCCCAGACCCAAGGCGAGGATTCTCTTCGGGGGGGTCCAAAGTACACAGTGCAAAGCTTCAAGCCATGGACCAGGCAGGCAGGACTGGGGGCAGAAATGACGGAAGAAAAAGGTACAGTATATTATTATACAGTGGAGCAATCAATAGCCGGACTGTGCCGTCAAGGCCAGCTCATACTGTGTCGTGCCTTGCAGCCCCGACGCTGCCAAAACGCGGCGAGTTGCAGCCAACCGTCCACCCCCTGCCTGATCATGGATATACGTACCACGTAGTTATCAATCTGCACAGAAACGGCACTGTATGTACGCACGGTCGCCGTCATCCTGCACCGCCAACTAGTCAACTTACTTAGCCCGTAGTTTCTTCACACAACAAGGTCTTGGTACGGCAAATGTCAAAACACGGCATAGAACAGCTGCCGAGGACACAACTTGGGCACCGCTCCGCCTCGCCAACCACGTACAATCTCAATTCACCCACCTACTGTTATTCCCCCTACCCGCCCCGGCCACACCAATTCCGACTAGCCTCTCTTGGCCTTGTATTTGTTATTTTCTCTTGCTTTTCTTTCCTTTCCCGCCGCCCATTTCTTTGGCTTTCGCGGCGGCTCTCGGCCATGATGGGGGAATTCGAGGACATGCCGTGCCCCGAAGCAGGGGTCGCGAACCGCGGCGCATGAACCAAACTCCCGCCAGCAAGTGGAGACGTATGTATGGGTGTGTAGGGGTGTGGTGGGATGGCCTTTGCTTGCCCCGACGAGGATGAGTAGGAGAGATGAGTAGGAGAGAGATGGTTGAGCCCATCGAAAACGCTCAGAGCGCCGTCCCAAGCAAGGAACCCCATGCTTCCGACAAGCACCCACCATCACCCACCATCACACACCATCACACATAGCCCTCGTTAGTCATGGCACGGACGCTCTCGTGCTCTCTTCGCGCCTCCCGAGCCGCGCCAACGCACTGAGATGGACAAAGTTAAACTCCATCGCCGCCCTTCAACTGTCCTCGGCAACCCTCCAAGCCACCACCGCCTAGCCTAACCCAACCTAACCTCGGTTGCCAAGAGGGAGAAGAGTGCCGTCTCTTTAATATCTCGTCATCTCCTTGCCCTTATCTTCTCATCCGCCTCATGCCTTGAGACTCTCCACCATGAGCCATAACCTGCTCGTGTCCCAAAACAGTGTCCATCGCCCCTACAAATCGAGCCAAGCACCCTTGATTCCGCCCCAGGAGTCTCTCGCCTTGGACTTCAAGGAGGCCCTCGGTCTGCAGCCGTCCAGTCCTACCTTCTCGCCCGCCACCAAGCCCTCGGCCGCTTCTCTCATCCCACCCACCGCAAAGCCCTCCCTCTCCTCTCTCGCTTCTCACCCTCCGGCGAGCAAGCCCTCCTACGCCTCTCTCATCGTTCCGGCAAGCAAGCCCTCCTACTCCTCACTCATCCCTCCGGCAAGCAAGCCCTCCCTCTCCTCTCTCGCCCCCAAGCCCGCGGCGCCAGCGGCACCCTCGTCGTCTTGGCCTGGGCCCTTATCCGTCCCGCAACGGCCACAACCGGTTGACGACGAGCCCGGCCCTCCCCAGCGGACCCTCACCATGGCCACCTCCAACAAGGCCCAGGCGCAATGCCTCCAGCTCTGCAAGAACATCGCCGCCGCCGGCGACCGCGTGGCTGAGCGCATGGCCGAGTACTCGACCTTGGTCAAGCACCTGCCCAGCGGCTTCGACAACCTCGCCAATGGGCTGCTCGACGCCTGCCAGATCCTCTTCTACATTGAGGCCGGTCTCGACGAGGCCGTCCGCAGCGCCCACCCGCTCCCTCTTGAGATGGTCACCGTGCTCGAGAAGCGCTTCCGCGCCGCCCAGGCCGACTTCAGGGTCCTCGACCAAATGGTCGGCAAGTACCTCGAGTACGAGCAGAAGGGCGCCATGGGCCGGATGCGCCGCGGCTTCGCAAAGGCCTTTGGCGACAACGGCATCGAGAAGATGACGCTCGCCCTGCAAAAGAGGCGCGAGGACCTCAAGATGAGCGCCCTCATGTTCCAGTGGAACCTCGGCACAGACAAGATCGAGAGCGAACCCGGCATCGGCTACATTGGCCTGTCGGCCGCCCTCGACGAGACCACCGTCCGTCGCAGCCGCAACGAGTCCATCGCCTCGGACGACAAGGCGTCCATCCACCGCACCGCTCCGACCTCGCAGCACCGGAGCATCGAGGACCACCGCCTCGGTGGCAGCCCCTACACACATCCCTTGCCGCTCCTGCCCCCGCCCAAGGACAGCAGCAGCAGCAAGATGACACCCTTCAGCCCCGATTCGCTGAGCGGCGAGAGCAGCAGCTTTGCCGCCCACTCGTCCGAGTTTGGCCAGGCCAGCCCCTCGACTCGCTACACAATCAGCTCCACGGCAAGCTCGTACGACGGCGCCCACAACAAAAAGTACGGCATGCAGGACCGCCTCGACACCTTCGAGGAGGTCCCCGAGCCGAGCCGGGAGCTCGACGCCCTCATCTCAGACGTCACTAGCATGGACCTCGACAGCTCCAAGGTCGTCAACCTCAAGAGCGAGCCCTTCACCATGCCTCGGCGCCGGCCCCGCAGTAACATTGACGGCGACAAGGTCAACTCTAGACACGCGCTCGTCTCCGCTGCCCGGAGCAAGGACCACAAGCTCGTTCAGCAACTGCTTGACCGCGGTGTCTCGCCCAACACGGGCCCCGATGCCCACGCCTTGAACGAGGCCATCCTCGGCCAGGATGCTGAGTGTCTGCGTCTCTTGCTCATGTACGGTGCCGACCCCAACGGGACCGACAGAGACGGCGTCAGCCCTCTGGTCGCCGCCGCGGAAAAGAACTTCTTTTCCGCCGCCGCCGCTCTCCTCAAGTACGGCGCCGACCCCAACATGTCCACCGGCCCTGAGCTGGAGACCCCCCTGGCCATCGCTGCGGCCGCCAACAACGTCCGCTTCGTCCACTTGCTGCTCATGTATGGCGGCAACGCCAACCAGACGACCGGCGAAGGCAACACGCTGCTCATCAGCTCCATCAACAAGAAGACGCCCAAGAAGCTCATCGAGATGCTGCTGGGCTACGGGGCCGACCCCAACGACAAGAATCGTGAGGGTAAGACGGCGCTGTTCGACGCGATCCAGAGCGCCAGAGCCGACATTGTCACCGCCCTGCTCGAGAACGGGGCCAACCCCAACCTGCCGGGCCCGAAGCACATGCTGTGGCCTGCGGCGCACCACCCGGAGTGCTTGCAAGTGCTCCTCAACCATGGAGCCGATCACAAGAAGTGCCCAGGTGTCCTGGAGCTTTCCACCAGTATCAACAGCATGGAGGCCATCAACATCCTCCTCGATGCCGGCGTGGACCCCAACGCTAAGAAGGACGGCGTCTACACGCCACTGTGTACCTCGATCCGAGACAACCGCAGCGACATCTTCCAGCTCTTGCTGACCAGTGGCGCCGACCCCAACGTGCCGGCGAGCGAGTATCCGGCCTTCAAATGCGTGACACACCATCGGGAGCACTTCCTGCCGGCGCTCGTGGCCGCCGGCTCCAAGTTGAACAGCCCCAAGGGCATTCTGGAGACGGCCGTCACGTCCAACAATGCCGAGGCCCTGCGGTGGCTGCTCGACCAAGGCCTCGACCCCGACGAAAAGAACGCCAAAGGCCACACGCCGCTGACGAGCGCCATCCGCGAAAACCGCACGGGCTTCATCGACACGCTGCTGGCGCGCGGTGCCAACCCCAACATCCGAGGCCAGGACTGGCCGGTTTGCATGGCCGTCAAGAACCCAGACGTCCTCAAGCGCATCCTGGGCGTGCTGCCGGAGCCCCGCGCGTTCAAGGGTGTCGTCGAAATGGCCGTCGTGGCCAACCAGCTCGAGTCGGTCAAGCTGCTGCTGGCGGCCGGCGTCTCGGTTGAGGACCGCAACGGCGGCGTCTTCTCGCCTCTGACGACGGCCCTTCGAGAGCACCGCCGCGACATTGTCACCTTCCTGATCAACGAGGGCGGCGCCGACGTCAACGCGCCCGGCGAGCACTTGCCCATCGTCAAGGCCCTCCGGAGATGCGCCGACGAGCACCAGGACGTCATCGACGAGTTGCTCGACAAGGGCGCCGACCCCAACAAGGTCTACCGCGGCTGGAACGGCATCATGCAGGCGCTCGAGAACGGCGACGCGGGCATGCTCAAAAAGCTGTGCGAAAAGTCGGGCGTCAATCTCGATGTCAAGGACGAGCTCGGCCGGACCGTGACCGAGATTGCCGTGTCGCGGCGATGGGAGGAGGCCGTTGGCATTATGCTGGCAAATGCCTTGTGAGGGTGGGAAAGAGAGGGACGAGAAAATAAGCTGTAATAACGTAATCAGTCCTTGCTTTCAACTTTTCTATGTATCTAGACGCGATGCGTATACCACTAGTCAATTCTCAGGACACATGTTCCTGATTCACTTGCTGGTTTTTGACCGTGGCTCGTGATCCTAGCGTGAAGCATCGCTGGCGGCCGTTTGTGGGCAAAGCGCCCCCGGGCTGGCGAGATCACAAGGCACGGTGTCGTAGCATCCAGGCTGTCTAGTCACCTCTTCTGAGGGCGACCCAGGGGCTGTGAATGTTTGTTGGCCAGCGGCAGCAGTTCCAGCTCTCCCTCTCTCGTCTACCGATTTTTCCCCACTGGTCTTGGTGTGGTTACGTAACACTCCCTCCGCCCAGGAGCGGCCCCATTCTTGGACGACATTCTCCGTAAGGATGGCTACCTGTAACTATAACTTAACTACCCCGACTGCCTGTGGCCAATGAAGCTTACAGCATTCTACAGTCGGCATTTTGCTTCAGCTCGATGCCGCCTTTCATCAAACGAGGGATATATCGAGCGCCTTAATCATGGTGTCTTCTTTGGCTCTTGGGAATAGCGACACCTGCAGGTGCTGATGCGACCGCTACCCTAGATGATAGAGATGGAAATCAATGAAGAAGGATGAGTAATAATTAATACGCCCGGCAAAGAAGGGGCAAGTGAGACAGCGGGGTGAGCAATCGAGATGCATGTGCCGAGACTACCAAGCACTGTAAGTACTTCGGAGAGTCTGTCCGTCGCCTCGTAGGACTCAAGCCACGCATTAGACAAGACAGCTATGTGCATGAGGTGGAATTCCGTGCTCGTCACACACCGGCGCCTCTCGGATCTCATTCGTTGTCCGTGCCTCAGCTCGTTGGCCGTGAAACGTCATTCAGCCCGACCATTGTCGTCCTGTTCCACCAGAACCGACCACTGGGACGGATTCGGCGGGACCGAAAGAGAGAACGAAAACGAGATGCATATCGGGAGAATCATAAAGCACACCGCCCCGTCCCTGTCGACTCGTCCCCAGCCATAAAACAAGCCAAGTCCCTAGCCGTCGTCGCCGTTGAGGAGTGGAGGCACCTTGCCGCTCTCCACCACCTCCAACGGCCACTTGGTCATGGCCAGCCAGTCGCCCGTCAGCGACTTGGCGATGCAGCGCACTTCATAGACGCCGGCCCCGCCAATCCACCAGACATTCTTATAGAGGGAAAGCAGAGCAAAGTAATACGACAGGAGCACCATGGCCCGCGGGTGCCCTTCTTGAACCAGCTCGATGAACCTCCCCTTGACCAGCATGGGAAAGATGATTAACCTCCTGCAGACCTCGGCCACCTCGTCCTTCCTAACGGCCTCGACGGCGCCCCCGAGGTAGCTCAGCGTCGTTTCGTAGGCGTCCTGAATCTCGGCATCCCACGGCTCGTCGGCGTCTCGCCTGGCATCGCGCTGCAGCATGTACTCGAGGCCCTTGCGCCGCATCTCGCCGAACCGTTCGCCCTCGTCGTTGATGACGGGGCTCGTGTGCAGCAGCTTGTACGCCACCGACTGTGGGTTGTCCCCGACAATCTTGAAGGCGGCAAGGAAGACGGCCGTCGTGCTCGCATTCATCATCAGCCACTCCACCGGCGGCTCGTACGGCTGCCTCGGGCGCTCCTGCAGCAAGGTGAAGGAGCAGACGCGGAACAAGCTCGACGTCAGACACACGACGTCGGCGTTGGCGGCGCAGATGCTCGCCAGCGCCTTGTTGTGCTCCCGCAGCGCCATGGAGAGGTACCTGCGATGCGCGTCGGCGACGGCCGGCTCCTTGTTCTTGTCCGAGGCGGCGAAATGCAGGGCCGCAAGCGAATACATGCAGTAGAGCAAGGCATCCGACTTGAGGGCCAGCTCGGGAATATGGGTGCAGTACAGGAAGCGGGTCTTGTCGTCGATGGCAATGGTGCCGCCCGTCTCCGTAACGTACCGAAGCATCAGCTTGAGCTCCATGAGCCGGCGATCCCTCGTCTCGGGCGGATCCTCCGGGTCGGCGCTGCCGGCCGGCCGACTGATGGCCGCCGCGACACGTGCTTCAGCCGTGCCAGAGCCAAACGGGGCGGCCGGGACCATGGAGGGCTCGCGGGGGGGAACACGGTCGTAGAAGCAAGCGGCCCGGTGCCGCTCGCAATTGTCGCAGACGGGCTTTGCTTCATTGCACTAGGCACAACGCCCGGGCGCCGACAAGCAGCAGGCGGGCCGAGTCAGAGCCAGGACAAAGTCCGGTGCCCTGGCTTAGCCGGGTGACGGAGCGAGGCTGCTCACCTTGACTCTCCGTTGTCGGCATCGCTGGCATCCGTACCGCGACTTTTTATGGCTCAGCTTGGGAGCCCGATGGGGAGCGGCGGAGGCGACGCCGACGTAGTACTGGCTGAACATGGATGCGACTCGGCGGAGAGGGATGAGGGATGCAGTCCCTGCTGGGGCTCGCGATGCCGGGATGGGTTCTGGTGTCTATCACCGCAGAGGACGAGAGGAGCAGGTTGGGCATGGCGTGGGGACGGGGGCTCGAAGGAGACACTCCGGTGTTGGCCTGTCGCTGGTGCCATGCAGCTCGCCGCATTCACGAGACTGCGCAGCCACCCCCAGAAAACGACTCTGACGGGACTCCCAGCTTTTTGGTTAGAGCAAGCTCGGCGTGCCGGGGAGCGGGAGAGCTTATTTCCGCCACCTCGGAGGTCAGTCAGGGCGCTCTGAGTTGGATGCCCACGAGCACTGTGGCATGGAGCAACGACGGCATGTCAGCATTTGATGAGACCGAGACTCGATAGAGGTGGTGGTAGGTAGCGGTACGGCGGTGATAGGCGCCGCGAGGTCACATCATGGACTGTGTCAGGGACAGACATCGCAGGCGAGGATCCCGACGCGTCAGACTGGCACTGCAAGGCAAGGCACCGACAAGCATCCGACAAGCATGCCGTGGCTTGCTCGGTACTGTACAGTACGAGACGGAGTACCGCTCCGAAGAATCGTCAGCTTAGCAAGTTCCTTCGCTTGCCCTGCTTCGAGACGTCTCCACGCCCGCCCGTGATTTGTGATTGGCTGAGGCTGCTGCACATCAACCACCTTCGCCGGGGTTCGCCGGGTCATCCTTGCTGAAAAGACCGACGAGACGGTAATCGGCGTCGTTGAATTGCACGTACTGTACGTCGTCAAAGGGGGTTTGTTCGTCTTCGTGATGCTGCAGTCTCCGGTAAGCACGAGCCAGTTCCCGCACGGGGGGAGGTGGTTCCGCACACACGGGATCCTGGGGACGCGCAGAGGCCATGGGGATTTGGGTGCACTGGACGAGCTGCTGTTTGCAGAAGGTCGTGGCTGGCCATGCAACTTGGAGGCTAATGTAAATGGTTGGCCCACGAGATGGAGATGGGAGACACAGTGCGGACTGAAGATCAAATGACCCAACACTGTGCCACGGTAGGCGCGCTCTGCTAGTGGGGTTCGATCTGGCCGGAAGCCGACAATGCTCCCGAATCATCAGCGACCAACATCGCCGACTGCCAGCCATTGCTCGTCGCCGGGAGCCGACACGGCCCCGTGTCCACTGCCCATCATGCCAGCCTCAACGGTAGCAGCACGCGTCGGCTTCAGAACCGCCGAGTCGACCTCCCGTCTGCGTGCCGCCCGAGCTCGATTGCAACCCGCGAGACCCCCCTGTCGGCATGCCTCGACGTCGTCCGCCAGCAACTCGGCAGGGCGTGCAAAAGTCGTCTTGTACGGGAGCGCCCTGGCGGCTTCATTGTCCATTGTTTACCTCTATGCGACCGATACGCGAGCCAGCATCTACCGATGGGTCGTGCCGCCGCTGCTACGACTGGCGTATCCCGATGCCGAGGATGCCCACCACGCCGGCACATCCATGATGAAGCTCCTGTACCAGCTGAATCTTCACCCTCGAGAGCGCGGCTCTTCGCTTGATACGTCGCAACTTTCGGCGCCTGTCTTTGGCGCTCAGCTGAGCAACCCCGTCGGCATCTCGGCGGGCCTCGACAAGGACGGCGAGATTCCCGACGCGCTCTTCGCTCTGGGCGCAGGTGTCGTTGAGATTGGCGGTTGCACGCCGCTCCCACAAGCCGGAAACCCCAAACCGCGCGTCTTTCGAGTGCCCGCGCTCGACGGCATGGTGAATAGGTATGGACTCAACTCTCGGGGGGCCGACGACGTGGCCCATCGCCTTCGAGATCGGTTGCGGAGATTCGCGCGGTCGCTAGGATTGAGCGAGAGAGACGTGCTCGATGGCCAGGCGGGAGTCCCCCCGGGGAGCTTACAGCCGGGACGCCTGTTGGCCGTGCAGATAGCCAAGAACAAGGAGACCAACGAGAGGGACGAGAGGGCCGTCGCCATGGATTACGTCTACTGCGTGCGCAAGCTGGCCCCCTATGCCGACGTGCTGGTCGTCAACGTCAGCAGCCCCAACACGCCGGGCCTCCGAGACCTGCAAGCAACCGAGCCCCTGACAAGGCTACTCAGCGCCGTGGTGGATGAGGCATCAAAAACGGATCGCAAGACGCGGCCCAAGGTCATGGTCAAAGTGTCCCCGGACGAGGATGAGGACGCGCAGATGGAAGGCATCGTGCAAGCCGTCCACGTGAGCGGCGTCGACGGTGTCATTGTGGGCAACACGACCAAGAGACGGACAGGTTTGGTCCCGCAAGGCCTCAAGCTTACCGGCAAGGAGCAGATGGCCATGATGGAGCAAGGGGGCTATTCCGGCCCCGCCATGTTTGGCCGCACCCTGGATCTGGTGACGAGATATCGCAAGCTCCTGGACTCGCAGTCGCTCAGCTCCAAGGCGGGTGCGACAAAAGGCGGCGGCAGCGACGGGCGCAAGATCATCTTTGCGACGGGAGGCATCACAAACGGCGAGGAAGCGTTAAATGTGCTCAACGCCGGCGCGAGCGTGGCCATGGTCTACACGGGACTTGTGTACGGCGGTCCCGGCACTGTGACGAGAATCAAGGCAGAGATGAGACAGCGGACGTGACTTGCGAAGCCCAAGGCCAGCCGCCGGTTGTGTGGACGGGCTAGGATTCGTCCTTAGCATCCCATGCTGCGTCAAGTCCGGTTCACATTGGGGCAAACTTTGCTGTGCCACACATACGCGCGGCCGGGGAGTTTCTGTTGCTGGGACCGACATTGACCGACAAAATGGGGCTGCGCTCCATCTCGATGGCAAGGAGAACGGGGTTTGGTCAAGGTGTTGTCACGAGTAAGAGGCGTCGGGTATGAACATCGGAACGATAGAGAGATCGGGAGCAAGAGGAGCAGCAGATACAGATTTAGAAACGGGGGCTATTTAGCTTTGCCTGATGTCGCCTGTGTTTTGGTTTGCACCTTGTGGCGTTTGCAGATGGACCAAGTAAAAGAAGTCACAACCCCGAAATAGAATGCGGAGTCGTTTGCTTGTCTGGTGTTCCCCACTCAGCCATCGTTCACAGCCACAAAGCATTGGAAAACACCAGAGATGAATCGAGGCGGACTGGCCAAGCGGTTGAGGGTGGGGAGGAGACGACAAGACGTCGCATTTCATGACCCTTTTCTTTCCCTCTTGTCGCACATTTTGGCAACGGGCCACGATCGTTGCCCTGGGAGGATGGGAGACTAGCGATGACAGAGGACTGGGGAATACTGTACAAATGTTGGGGGCCACGATCGCCGCCGTGCATGTACTCCGCCCTGGACGCGTGGATGATGATGGAATGCGTGACGAGGACATGAGGGGTAGCCTACAATGCTGAGGTGTCAGAGTCCCTGGGATATTGGGCAGAAACAAGAGAGGGTAAAAAAACCAGATGGAAAAGAGGATTCAGCTGCAAGTCGGCGACGACTTCGTCTCCCGATCTGCAAGCCGGCGGACGGACGTGTTTTGGCCCGACGAGCAGGAAGAGCGAATAGTCTTTTCGTGTATGACAGAATCCGCGATGTTTCGCGTGCTTTTAGAGTCCCAACTGGTCGAAGAGGAAACGGACAGGAGCTTTATTTCGAGAATAGATGGAACTGAATAGGGAGCGAGTCATGCCATGTATCTATCACGACTGACTCTCCGCCAGCGAGTATGTGCGTTAGCGCGCTTAAATAAGGCGAGGCAGTCTTGGGCAACGTCGTGTGCCACGACAGCAGAGCTGTTGAGGACGCTGGTCAATAATACTAGCTGCCCCGAATAAATGGATGATTGGGTACCCTTGACAGCCCATTGAAAGAGCCTGAACGGAGCCCGAAGGACGCGGAAGAGTGACGACTGACTGCTTCCATCGGCATTTGAGGGAGCGTTTTGAAGAGCATTGTCAGAGGGGGGTGATCCGGGGAGGGGGGGACACTCAGCCCTGGCCCCATGTTATGATGATTGTCCCCCCTTTCCTCTTCTCCCCATGTCGAGGGCGGCTTGGCTTCAAAGGTCGTCTCCGCTTTGCTTGTCCGGGGCCCTCGCCGATGCCAAGCCGCGCGAAACTGGGCTAGCATCCCTCTGACAGAGAGTTTAACGATTGCCTAGACGTGGAAGACGTCAAATGCTCGCTCTCATGTTATTTGCATATTGCATTTAGCTTGCCAAACCACCAAATATAGTCGACGTAAGTCGAGCTTACGTCTTGTCCGGCCGACTAATACGCTATGGTTGACCAGGAGCTCGGCCGAGTGCTCCGCTACCCACCCCGCGCTGACTTGAATAATTACCTGCCTGGATCCAGAGTCGGGCATTTCCTGGAATGGGTCTAGCATGGGGTCCGGTCCATGAAAGACAAGACGAAGGACGGTGTAGTGTAAGAGAGCCAAAAAAGGGCAGCCCTCCAAGCTTGGGATTTGAGCAAGGAACCCTTGCCTTTCCTCATGCGTACATAAATAGTCCTCTCCGGCTTTTTGGGCGCAAGAAGGTAGCCGGCCCAAACGGCGCGAGTCGCCGGTGCGGAGTTGCCAAGAGTTGACCTCAATCAGAGTAAGTTCAAACATGCGCGCTCCAGGAGCCGATGCATTACTACAGGTATTCCTTAGGCTTCATGACAAGAGTGTTATCTTAAATATAGTATCATGGCTGTGAGTGAGGGAAGCGCAAAGTCACACTTTCCTCTCCCTTCCGTCAGGTAGCAAGTTGAGACGAGACACGCACTCGAACAAAGCCACCCTTGACCGCATCGGCTCAGCTACGAAAGTACCTGCAGCGACTGAGTTGTGCTGGATGCATGTAGATCCCTCATTCCTTTTTACATTCAGTGCAAGAAACAGTGACGTATGCTCGCTAGACCGACTGACGATGGCAGCAGGGATGCCTTCACCCCCTGGCTTCTCCTCTCGGCATTGAACCGCCCCCAACCCAAAGCATACCCCTAGAGGCATACAAAGGACCCTTCCCTGCACGGCTCCGTAGATTGCAAGGGCAGCATGCACACATGCCTACCAAGTACATATAACAAGCCTCACCCGCGTCCATCGACTGCTGTCCGAAACCTGCTCTCCGCAATCATTGTCAACCCTTCCATGTTCATATTTTAAACCTTTCATTCTTCTACATTACTTCAGCTGTCTCAGGTCCCCCGAAGACGATATTACTGTCCCATTGACCTTGAAGCACCGCGCCGGGTTCTCTCCTATCGACGACGCTCCTACCATAGTCACTCATCTACAACAAGCACCACCATTGTATCTCAAAGGCACCCGTCCATCATGTACACTGGACAGAAGATCGCCTTAGCCATTGCGCCATTCCTGCTCGCCGCCCAGGCCCTGGACGTCCCCAACGCCTGTAGGGCCATGTGCGCTCCCATCGATGATCTCGAAAGGAGGTGCGACGCCCGCGATGGCCCCAACGAGCAGACCGACGAGACAAATTGCATCTGCGCCGACACCGCCGTCGTGCGCACAATTTTCCCCCTCTGCATGGACTGCATCCGCCAAAATCCCGCCACGAATCGGGGCAACAATGACGATGCTGATGCTGAGGATATCAGGGGTAAGCTTTTTGTCCCATTGCATTGGCTCTCTCCCCTTGGTTCCTCGATATGGCCCCTTTATTACGTTTGACGGCGACTTGGAAGCCCAAATGAAGAGAGATACACACAAGGATGATCAAGGAGCGGGAATGAGCTCTACAAAGCCACTTCCAAGCCACTTCCAGGCCGATGGCTACTGACGGGCGACTCTAGACGCCCAAACCTTCCTGTCCAGATGCGGTGCCGTTAGCACCGCGCGATACAGCCCAGCGGCCACGAGTGTCATTCAGAGCATCAGTGCCTCTGGTACCTCCCAGGCGACTCGGACCGGCGGTCCCCAGGCCACCGGAAGCACAGGAAGCGGTTCCAGCGGAGGCGCAACGGCATCGGCCAGCGGCAGCCGCCCTACCGCCAGCTCCCAGCGCAGTGGCGCCTCGGGCGTGCAGTTGTTTGGTGGCGTCTCTGCCGCCGGCGCCTTGTATGTCGCCGGCGCTTTTGTCGCCGGAGGTCTGTTGATGTTGTGCTGATGGAAAAAACACTGCTTCGTCTTGAGACTGGTTGTGCCGTATGCACACTGGATCCGTTACGATACCATGACCTCATTGACTTTGCCAAAAGACCTTGCCAGAGATGGAGTGCCTGTCTGCTTGAATATAAGGGTTGAAGTGTGGACGCTGCAATGACAAAGCCGGCAAGGCTCCGCCCCCCTTTACGAGTCTTGCGCTTTTTTTGACTTGAATCAATGCTTTCCAATATTAGGTTCTCGAATCTGTTCATGAACTGCGTTGTAAAAGGTGATTTGGGAGATAGAAGACAATGCCCCTAGTGAAGGGCTCGCGAACGGGAATATGAGGTTCGTCCCCTTCCATGTTTAACAAAAACAGGCGACAAATTATCCAGGACAACTTCGGAGTGGTTTGTTCTCGGGACATAAATCAAAGGCTTTTCCAATCTCTGATGCCGCTGTTGAAACTTAACGAGTACTTCAACTCTGTGTATGTCCCACTCGGTTCTCCAGAGGAGAAGACGAATTTGTTTCCGTACAACTTAGTGGATTGATGGCTTGACTATCTGTGGTCAAAGTCATGCGCTTACGCACGCTCTGCTATGTCTGAGTCCTCCATCATGCCAAGGGCCAGTTCTCAGACAACAACTGGCAACACGAATGCGACTCTCTACCCCCGAACTTTTCCCCTAGAGCCGTGAATGCGTTCTTGATTCTCTCTCATCTCCGAGTGCATGAGCTCGAACCCGTCATCCTGATTCGTGTGCACCGGAGAATGAGGGATTCTCTCAAGTCCAGGAGGCACAGGGGGGCAATGCACGAACGCACGGTGATGTGGCTCACGCCTGGTGTATGCCCCCCATGATCCGGCAAAAGACGAAGAATCAAATGACAAAGACAAAGGAAAAGAAAGCCTCTTCCGATAGGCGTCATGGTGCCGCAAGGGATCAGAGACCTTGATAGTCAAAGGCACCCGGAAACAGCTCGGCTGCCCAAGCTGGAATTAGTGGAATCCCGGCATCTTCATCGAGGCCGAACGCCGTATCCTCCGCCATTACCAAACCCGTCGGTTCCTCGACGTATTGGTGATTCCTAGTCATATAACCAATGCCAGCCAAGAAAGGAGTGCCAAAAGCGTCCAGTTTGGTACGCCAGAACAAGTAAATGCCACTCAGCACAGGAAGCAGTTCCCCGGGCAGGATCTCTGGCGGGAATCGGACCTCGTGACCGATGGTTGGCCACCCAAGACTCATCTGGCGCTCGCGGTTTGTGACGATGCGTATGCCCCAGCCGCCGGCCGCGGGGGGTGCGACGAATACAAGGATGATGCGTTCGCCGTTCTGGCCATCAATGGAAAACGTGTCTGCGTGGTCTCCAAGGGCGGCACCAATGCGGCGAGACGAGCCGTCGTGGTAGTCGACCTGGAAGCACAGCGGGCTCACGGATGCGTGAATGGCGGTAATTCTCGCCAGCTCTTCCTCGGACTTGCCCAGGATGAGCACCTCCCCGTGCAAAAAATCGCGGCTCTGGTCTCCTGTGAGCACGGGTTTGCAGAGGCGCATGTCGGCCGGCGGCGGCTCCGGTCTCCACGTGAGCTGGCACGGATCAAACTCATGATCGGCCCACCGCAGGTCTATGACGCGGCTGATGTCGGGACAGTTGAGTACCGTCATGGGCGTGTGTATGAGGTCCACGTGGGCCACAATGCCTCGGATGGTGCGGCGCTTGGTCGACAGGCCGACGACGAAACTGTCGGCGTCGACGTGTACCATGCGGCTCTCCTTGGTCTCGTGGCCCAGCCGGATGCGGTCTCCCGTGGCGAGGTGAACCTCAAGGCCAACAATACGACGCTCGTAGTCGTACCGCGGTGCCAGATTCAACTGTGATGCCCGACATGAGGCCAGGGTTTGTCCGCCCGGAATCACGTCGGACTCTTCGTCGTCCTCGTCGTACCGTTGCGCTTCTTCTTCGTCCACGTCTTCTCCGACGTCCATTTCCTCTCCGTCATCGCCAAGCACCGGCAATGGTTCCGGATCGTCCAGTTCTTGCCCCTTTTCAGACTCGTCGTCTTGATCTTCTGGGACCTCCTCGTCCGGTTCAGGAGACTCGCGCACGTTTTCTTTGCTTCTGAATTCGTGGTGGTGGATGAAAAAGGTAAAACCCGTCACCCAGTCATTCCTGGGAATCTTCACCACTTCACAACGTGCCTTGCGCTCACAACGGGGGTCGTCTTCCTTGTAGCGGTGAGCAAAGGACTCCATCCAGTCATTCTGGAGGATGTCAATGGCGGCCAGAGTTCCCAGGTCGGTCCAGACAATCATCAGACTCGGCTCGATTGTCGTGAGTTCCGGCAAGTTATTCAGAAGCGTCGGTGTGTATATCGACCTTTTCAGAGGTTCGGGAAACACGAGACAGCCGGATCTTTGCATGGAGACCTTCTCAAGCTGGGGAATGAGCGCTCTGAGGTTGACATTCTTGCCAGCCCGCATGAACTCATACTCCCTGGCAAGAACGGGACACTGGTCTTCCCAAATGCGTCGGCGGTTGGAGAGCCCATGCATCTGGGTCTTCCCCGACAGCTTGCTGGCCCCCCAAAGATCTTTGAAGACTTGCGCCCAGTCGACTGGGCCTTGTCTCTCGTAGCGCCCTGGTTCAATGAGGCCGCGCAGAAACGGCATATCCTTGAAGAGGCGTATCTTCCAGGATGTGTTGGTGAGGTGGCAGTTTGCTGCCATCGCCGAGGCCCTTCTCCACTGCATCAACGTCACAACGTCCATCTGGGATGCTATCATGGCTAGCACCTCCGCACTTAGGCGGGTGAATGGATCAGAGTATCTGACCGTGAAGACCCTGCTTGGGTACTGGTATCCGTGCGAGTCTTGAAGGCGCGGGAGTGCGGCGAGATAGACGTCGAGGGGCTTTATGGCCACGGGGGACATGGCAAGGTGCTCCAGGCCCGAAAGGAACGGAACAAAACTCCAAGCATCGAGTTTATCGGTTCCTTCGTAGCCGATGTTAAGTTTTGTCCACGTTCTGCTGCTATCCTCGTCATTGCTCAAGGACGACAGAGCATCGTGCAGTATCTCCTTGTCAAGCTCCGGCACACCCACATATGTGCGGAGAAGCTCGTAGCAGTCTTCATGGAAAGGCACCCAGTAAGGATGCCCTTCGCAGCGGTAGTATCTAGTATCGCCGTTTCAGATATGCTCCGAATTCTTCGCGTCTCTTGCGGCCTTGACTTACGCTTTGAGCGACAGACCGGTGGCAGTCTCGAATGACGACTCTTCTTGGTCATCATCTCCGGCAAGATCGGACAAGGTTACACTGGAGAAGTTGGCTGGTCAGAGTCTTGCCCTCACCAGTTTCACAGGTTGCCCTGGATACAAGTGAGTCTGGATCGGGGTCACCTACTTGTAAGGGTACGTGCTGGCCGGGTCGTCTCCCAGCAGGCGTACGTGATTTAGCCAGAGTGTCTCCGTATTTCGATTTTCGAAGAAGTCATGGGCGACACCCTGTTCGTCGACTCTGCCACTTCTTTTGTCCACGGGCTGTCGTGGTACTTGTCGCGTCAGGAAGACGCCGCACAACGCACAGTCAACCTTGTGGTACTGCCAAGTCTCTGGAATGACAGCACTCGAGAGATGAGATGGAGGTGCACTCATTGCGGAAGTTTGAATCGAGACCCAAGTGCCGTGTGAAACGCAGGCCGGCGGCGGCAAGAACCAGACGTGTGAACGGTACCAGCCGAGATGAGTGGGTAAGCGAAGCAATAGAGAGGTTGAGAGCTTAGTGGAGGGCCCCGTGTAGCAAGGAGAGGTTGTTATCAGGGAAAGGGGTGCTGTTGTGGCAGAGAAAAGAGACCTAAGAGGAGGGTGGTGGAGGAGAGGGGAGGAAAAGGAAGAATGGAGGGGGCGGGCTGTTGTAGTTGAAGTAGGAGTTTCGTGCAAACGAGCTCTGGGACGTCCTGGTGATCAAGAGAGACGCAGCCAAAGAACAGCCCAGGGCCAATGAATTGGATGGAAAGTGGCAACCTTGTTGCTGGGGCTTCATTGGTCCAGGGGGGGGGAGTGACCGGCTGAACAGCTGCCAGCACACAACAAGACAGCCCCGAACGCCAAACGACAAAGCACCTTTACTCGCGTCATGCCCGTTGTTTATTTTGTGTGCTTCTTCAAAAAACCTTTTGTGGAATCTCGTTCCTGTTGCCTGCCTCGAGGCCTGAGGCGCCCACGAGCGCTGTTTCTCCCCCCCCAGCGCTTTGAAAGACGCCGCAGAGACTCGCCACGCCCGACCTCCACCCTCTTCTCGCATGGTTCTGCCAGGTTTCTTGCTAGGCGGACGTGATTCTGTCCTTTGACCGCGGCCGGGATGTGGCTCTGGTTGCCCGTTCGGCTCCCACCCCCGTCTCCCCCCAACGCGACGACAAAACATGCACGCGGGTTTTTGATTATCCTGGCTTCCACGCACCCCCTTTCGCGCCATTTTCCTGCGTCGCCACGCTTGAATCTTGTTCAAGTTTCGAGCCACATGTTTCTCCGTCACCGTTTACTTGTTGCTGCACGTTGCTGACTTGATCCCTTTCAAAAGGGGCTCCCAGGTCTCGCACAGCTGCGGAACTCCAGCCACGAGAAAGAAATCGATTCGAAACGGCGCAGTTCGAAATGCAAACCGACGCTAAAAACAAGTGGACAGCGTGTGGATTCTACAGAGGTTGAACAAAGCCGGCGCTCTGCATACCTTTCCACCTCCCTTTGTGGTCACTGGGCTGGAAATTCTCGCCTGCCAACCAAGTAAAAGCATTTGTAACAAGCATTTTTTGGTCTGTCGCGCTCTTGAACCGAAGCACCCATCCGGAGAGGGTAGATACCCCCCCCCGCCCTTTTGTTCGTGTCCTTTTCCACAAGGCTACGTGCTAATGTTCAGTCACTTTATGGAGGTAGAGAAGAATCTTTGGCAAGCAATAACGAGTTCACATTGTCCTATCTAAGCAAGCGGCCCGCTATCCCCCTCTGAGCCCGGAGAAGTGGCTGAGCCACCAAGCAGGATCGTGTTTGTTTTGTCCTATCTAAGCGAGCGTGCATTATCATGAGCATTATCATGAGGTCCTCCGGCCAAGCATGAGCATTTACTATGGGATTCATCGATTAGTAGCCTTTATTAGGCTACTAATAGCCGCCAATCGGGGGTTGGGGCTTGGTGTACTTGGGGGGAGGGTGAGGGTGAGGGTGAGGGTGGGGTTGAGGGTGGGGTTGAGGGTGAGGGTGGGGGTGAGGGTGAGGGTGAGGGTGAGGGTGAGGGTGAGGGTGAGGGTGAGGGTGAGGATGAGGGTGGGTGTTGGTGTGCTTGTGCTTGTGGTGATCAGCAGTCTTGGCCTTGTCGCCGTACGGGTTGCTGGCTTCGCAGTTCTCCGTGACGACGTAGCTGCCCTCGTTGCTGCCGGTCAGCTTCTTGCCGTCGGGAGCATAGATGTCGAGGTTCAGGTAGCCGGCGCCGTTGGTGTTGCCCCAGAGAATGCGGATGGGATAGTAGACACCGGCCTTGATATCCTTGTAGATGGTCTGCGGCTTGTTCTCGCCATACCAGAACTGAACAATATCGGCGTTCTCGCGGGTCGGATACTTAACATGTTTATCACCAAACCACATGAGGGTGACATCGTCAGACTTAGGCGAATAGAACTTGTACTTGCCACTCTGGCAGGCGAAGAGGAACGTCCGGTACTCCATGGCGGCGTTTGCGTAGGTCTTGTTTCTGGCGTCCGAGATGAGCGCAATGTCGGTGACGACGCCGGACTCAAGAGGCTTCTGTTTCAGGAAGTATCTGAGGTCAAACGACTTGTAGCTGCTGCTGAAGTCCTTGATGAAGGGGTTCGAATAGCGGTTGAACTTCACACCGGGCTTGCCGCAAGTGGGAGTAGCACAAGGCTTCCTCGTCGGTGTCGGGTAGTGCGTCGGCTTGATGGGCGTGGGCCTGTGGCAGCTCTCGCACTGGAGCCTATCGACCTGCCGGATGAGGGCCTTGAGGGTGGCCTTGATACGGCGGACGTCATCCTTGCAGCCCGTGGGGCCGTGCTGGAAGCCGAAGTCGCCGTGGTTGCCCCCGTGGCCGTGGTTGCCACCGTGGCCGTTGTTGCCGACTCCGCCGTGGTTGCCGTCTCCGCCGTGGTTGCCACCGTGGCCGTTGTTGCCGTCTCCGCCGTGGTTGCCGCCATGGCCGTGGTTGCCGCCGTGGCCGTGGTTGCCACCGTGGCCGTTGTTGCCGTCTCCGCCGTGGTTGCCGCCGTGGCCGTGGTTGCCACCGTGGCCGTTGTTGCCGTCTCCGCCGTGGTTGCCGCCGTGGCCGTGGTTGCCGGCTCCGCCGTAGTTGCCGACTCCGCCGTGGTCGCCGCCGTGGCCGTGGTTGCCACCGTGGCCGTTGTTGCCGTCTCCGCCGTTGTTGCCGTCTCCGCCGTTGTTGCCGTCTCCGCCGTGGTTGCCGGCTCCACCGTGGTTGTCCCCTTGGCCTTGGTCGTTCCCGTAACCATAGCCACCCGCCTGGATATCGTGGGCTTCGTTCATCTCTGGCGTCTCCTGGACGCCAACGGCCTGCTTGTCGGCGACGGCCTGGCCCTCTTGGGTGAGGGCGAAGCCGTTGCCCACGAGGAGGGCGACTGCAGCAATGCTGAACTTCATTTTGCCGCGTTGGAAAAAAAGAGGTTGAAAACCTAACAATCAAAGACCAGTCGGGAAGATGTGGCTGATGCTAGATCTCAGGCTTTGCTGTGTCACTGAAGCGTGTGATGGTGAGCTGATGAGGAGAAGAGTTGGTTTGGGGGTCCGTCTGGGCTCACTTTATAGTCGGATGGCAACCTGTTCTGCTTCTTCTGTTCGACTCCATCCATCGATTACAAGACTCGGTCGAGTCCATTCTGTTCGACCTAGGTTACGCAGGGCATAGCTTTGCTGGAATGTCCCGACTAGTTCTGCTATGGAGGCTGGAATCCGCAGCCCAGGCGTCCAGGAGTAGCAGACAGCCTAAGGCTGGAGAAAGAGAGCGGCAGAGCCATATGGGCCAGCATGGTGTCGGTCCCGATGGTGCGGGAGGCGGGAAGCCGCTACTAGGAATTTGAACAAGAGCGGCAAGTTTCGAAAAGAGGAGAATCTTTCGTGGAAGCGGGGAATAGAGTGCTCACCAGAGACTCCCTTGACAAGATAGTGTCAAACAGAACAGCTACGCTAAGCCAAGCTGCCGGCCCAGTCGCCCTGGGGGAGCATTCCACTTTTGCCGTCGTAGCTTAGCACGCCAATCACTCTGGCAGCGCAAGTCTAGCTGGCATGCCGGTTGCCGGAGTGCGGCACGTGAAATATAGGAGGCTAGCTAGCTAGTCCTCGCTGCCGTGGCAGCAGCTAGTTTGAGTCGAGGCGAGGTGCTCTCTCCCTTCCCCTGGACTAGTCGTTCGTGCAGAGACAAAGGTCAAGACATGAACTCAAGACTAAACTCGGCGACAAGGTTAAGCTGCAACGTGCAAATAAACCACCATGACGTAAGTAGCCGCTATCTTCTCAGGTTTCTTGCTGGTTCGGAAGGGTCTTCACTTCAAGTCTGTCCATCTTTCAGAGATGGGTTCCGTTTGACCCTTGGCCGGGGTTCTCAAACCGACTGTCTTTGCCCAAGCCCCGGCACAATCAGATTGAACCATTGCCACACCACTACCTTTTCACTGCTTACATGCTGCAGCAGAAAATGTGTGCCCCTCTCGATACGTGTTCTTGCCCTTGAAGCCGCACCAGCAATGCAGCCGCAGAAGCTAGTTCCAGTTCACTCTTGGCCCAGTGCAGCGACGCCGTCGACGGCCTCTGCTGCGGGGATTGCCATTCCTGTGCTGGAGGCCACTGTCGCTCTATGCCACTGCAGACCTGGGGACAGGCTTGCAACGGGCTGGGCAACGATCAGAGATCTGTCGATTCACTGGCCATCTGAGATTCTGTCTCACTGAGGCCATGCCGTTTGGAGCGTTCAGCGTCGGCCTAAATTTCTCGTGACAAATGATGCGATTTCGGAACAAAGCATCCATGAGCTCACTTAATTTCGTCTTTCCGCAATGTCAATGGATGTCCAGTTGCTCTTGCGGCACCCGTTGATCGAGCGGCGTGGTGTGGCTAGCAACACTGGGCCTTTTCCCGGCCAACTCCATGTGCTCACTGCTTGAATCAGCCGAGTTGAGACATGGACCAAGTCTAGTACACCACTACCAGGTAGATAGGACAGCGACATTTATGCGGAGGCTCGAAAAGTTCAGACGACAGGAGTATTATGGTTCGGCATGAGGGACTTAGACTGGACAACGGCGTTTCGTAACAATTATATGGACATGTCGAATGATGGGAAATCCCTTGCTGTCAAATTTGTAATCACTGGATGATGAAAAGGACTAGCCTCCAGTCGTGCAGAGAGGCAAAAAAGGGTTGAGAGAGCCACACAACTCCACAGCTTGCGGAGCAGAGTGGCTTCGTTTGCCAATGACTGCAGCGCCCCTGTCAAAAGCCGTTCCGGAGCTATTGGGTGACTTCTGGACTGGCCCTCGAAGCTTCAGACAGCAAGACGGAGAAGTGGCTGATGAATGTCGTTGCACGCGCCTCACGAACTGGGTAATCAATTCACTGCGATTTGGCCAACTGGATGACGAGCTGGGTATATAAATTACATGTAACACGATAACCGCATTACGAGCGCACATCTCTGTAGCAGTTTCAATCCGGGGCATCGACCCGTGGCCTCCTCTGCCCGCTCAACCCGATTTTCACTGCGAAGCTGCAACTTGCCTCTTTCACGGACACAAGACCGAAACCACCCATAGAGGCGAAAGCTGAGCGTAAGTTTGCGGTGCGGGGATGGAACGTTTTCTTTTGTACGAAGCAGATTCGACCGGTAACCGTCGGCAACCCACTCCTCCCCTCGATCCATTGTCTCGGGCTGCTAGTTATCGTGAGGAAGAGATGCGGCAGGCAGCTCAGGAACGATATTGATCGCCCATCATTGGTCGTCAAAGAGGGCCAAATGCATCCACAACGAAGTCGACACTTTGCGATGGATTTGGATGCCAGATCCCGGCTCCTTGTCGAACCCCTCGACCTGTATTTCGTGGCCGACTCTTAGGCTAACCAAGAAGTATCTGGCGCCGTCTTGTATTCAAGCAAGTTTTACGAATACAGGGGACTGTTTTGTATTTTCCTTTCGCAGGGCGGCCAAGTGTCTGCATCAGCCACATAAGATCTAGGTCTCCCGTGAAGTTCGAATTGCATGTGTGCAGCATGATCAATCCAGACTGTCGGCCCTGAAAGTTTAATGGACTTCAAGTAGCAGTTTTCTTCCTGATTAATGTATGATCGGCAATATTATATGTACGGACTCACTTTCAACCATGATATCTAGCTTGCCGGTCCTGCATCGTGTAGACGGCTCAAGCTCACGCGTCGAATTCGTACTTGGTATCCAGTACAGTACGATCTTGACAGAATTTGTGTCAGGATGTACAGTCTTGGCCGGGACATGGGGGATTTCATCCTGCATTCCAACCGGCTGCTATACGTTTTCAGGACCCGGCGCAAAGTGTTGATGCACAGGCCGGTCTTATTCCGAGACATGCCTTTCGAAAAATGGATGGCCTGCAAGAAGAGTGTCACGGTGGCTTCGGTCGTGATGGAGACGCATGGCTAAGCCGCTCGGTAAACGCTCGACTCGTTGCTAGATATCTTCCCGGACCAGTCCTTTCATTTAGGCCGGTAAGCACTAAAACTTGTGGAAACGTTGACCTTGAGTCCGAATCAAATGAACCGAGCGTTGTGAGTGTTGCCCGCAGTGTCAGATCAACTGCACACAGTGGCCAAGTCTCGCCACTACAGTCACGGAACAGTCTCGAACAACATAGATGTCTTAAATTATGTACCCTCGATGCAACAACTGGAAAATGGCAGGAGTCGGTTTAGTTTAGTTTAGTGTATTTTCCGTCCAGCAACTTTTGGTCGCTCAGGTCTCCGCAGGGGAGCACAGGACGTGCTGAGCTAGCAGGTGTCTACATGCTACATATCGTACACTTCACCCACTATCCAGCATTTCATCGGCTCAACGGCGCTCATGACAAACCTGTTGCCCGTCAGCGGGACGTCCAGGCATGAAGAAAGCTGTCCCGTGGTCAGATCAGCCAATTTGCTTCTGGGGCCTTGCAGCCCTTGATGACCTCGGCGATCGCATGGTCGCGAGACCTTGACGCCGCCCGAGATCGGAGCAGGTAACAGAAAGGATTGAGAGGAAAGGTAGGGTGAGAGAGGAGAATGATGACCGTCTAGTGGCGTGGGCAGATCCCTCCGAAGAAGGAGCTCGCTTTCGCCAGCCTGACGAATTTGTCAAAGTCCTTGCCGATTGCGCGGTTGATGGCTGCAGCCGGCCAAGGTGCAAGCCGCATACGATGCCGTGGCGCAACCTTTCTGCAGTAAAAGATGTGTGCTGGCTCTTTTCGTCTTCCGCACGAGCACGTCAGTCGCGCATTGTCGTGACCAAACCTTTCGTGGTAGTCAGCAAAATCCCCATGGTGGGTTCTTGCTGCAAGCAAGTTACGAAGCAGGGGCCGAGAGCGCCAATTCTGACGGGCAGCTGGTTGTGGCTTTAAGCCTCAGGTCTCTGTATCGCTCCGGCGCAGAGGCTTCCCACCAGGCCTTGAAAGCCTCTTCCGGCTGCTGTCGGGCAATCTTTCGCAGGTGCGCTAGCGTCGGGACGTTATCAGCGGGTTCTGGCAGTGATGCTCCCGCCTTTGCCAGAGCATCAGCCTCCTCGTTGCCTGGGATGTCAGCATGGCCGGGGATCCAATGGACCTCCACAGCTCCGTATTTTCGCGCCAAAGATTGAAACTCAAGGAAGACCTCTTGCGAGGAGTCGCTCGGCGTGCCCGTAAGCATGTTGCGGTCGCGAGGTTGTCGAGGCAGACAAAGATGCGGTCAGTTTCTGGAAGGCTCACCGCAGCCTTCAACCTCTCAACGCACCTTTCGCCTCAGCGTCGAAAATCTCGGCGGGCCCGAGACGGCCCTTGTCGCGCAAGACGGTGGATCCGTCCCGATGAACAACATAGCCATATCCGGCGTGGCCTTCGGTAGAACGGGACCCGTCGGAATAGACGACCAGAGTTCGGGGCGATAGTGCCTGGAGCCAATCGCGAAATTTCTTCGCCGTCTCATTTTCGATGCACTCTGCAGAGGCGCAGTCTGCTCTTCGACAAATCCGCGCTGCAGCAAGGCAGGCCTTGGGCAGCTTGGTAGCAATTCGTCGGAGCGCCGCAGCCTAGTCCGGAAGGGTTTTGGCTGCTTTTGGTACTTCAGCTTGATCATTTCATTCAGTATAGGGGCTTTTGGCCTCGACGTGCGCTTCACGAGCGGATGAGCTTCGTCCAGGGATTTGAGACGCGCAGCAAATGCAGTCCGGCGCGCCTCGAGCAGCAGAGGGACCGGCGGTATCCCTGCCTCCCGGTGCAGAACATTCGTTGGTGTAGTTCTCCACACTGGCAGGATAGCCCGAAGAGATGTGTAGAGTGCCTTGCTCATCTTCTTTACGAGGTGTCCGATCCTGGACGGTCCTTCCTTGCCCGGCTTGGTCCAGCGCGGGCGCGTAGAACCAGGATACCAGACCTCCGCCGCGTAGAGCAGCACTGGAATGACGCAAGCGCAGACCGCTCGTCGCACAGCGCTCGGTAGAGGACCATGCCTGGTGTTTGTCAGTCTCCTGAGATGGAAGGCGACTGCTTGCGCTGGCCGTCCATTTCTCGACATGAGTCTTGAAAGACAGAGTGCTGTCGAGCCAGACGCCGAGCCAACGCATCGCCCGGCCCGGCCGTTTCTCAAATTCGCCATGGAGCACTGGCGGCGCCGTCTTGGGCGTCGTTCGAGAGAAGTGCATCACTTCTGTCTTCTCAGGGTCGAAGGAGATCCCGTTGGCGGCGCCCCACGATACAAGCTCACGCACATGATGAGATGCTTCGGCGGACGTCTCATCCAGGCTATCGCCGACGCAAAGGATGGCAGTGTCGTCCGCATAGCCGAAACGCCCTTTTGAGCTGCCCAAGCGGTAGATTGGTTCCGTATACAGTAGGAAGAGGATCGGCGAGACTGGCGATCCCTGTGGCAGCCCGCACTGGAGAGGCGATGAATTCGTTGCGATATCTTGATAGCGGATGCGTGCCGACCTGTCTTGCATAAACGAGCCGACCCATCGCGCGAGGTTCGGTGGCCACCCTTGCTCCCGTAGGCGAAGGATCAATCTGTTGCGGAGGACTGTGTCGAAGGCGCCCTGAATGTCCAAAGTCACCAATGTTGCAACCTGCTTGCAGGCAAATGCCTCCTCGATGTCATGAATCAAGGCAGCAACGAGATCCACGGCCGATCTCTTCGGGAGCGCGCCGGCTTGTTGTGGGTGTAGTACGCCGAAATGGACCGAGGCCCACGCTAGACGCCGTGCGATGAGCCGCTCGAGGCCCTTGCCGAGACAGGACAAAAGGGAGATGGGGCGCCAATGGCAGGAGTCGGGTGCAACGGGGCTAATCATCTAGGGTAGGTCGGGGTTATGTCGATAGCAGCACCATGCTCGGCCTCGATATGAGTAACAGGCCTAACTGACGATCGACCTCTACAGCCTGGTATTTCTCACCATAATTCACAGCATAACTATGTCAGGTACGTCTTAGGGCTGCCCGCCAAGAGTATATGTGCTTTCTTTTTCCACGTGCATAATGCGTGTAACACACACAATGACAACATGGTTCTGCCTTAAGCCGCCCCTCTCGCCGTCCGAAGTCACGCTGGGCTTAATTGGTTGCTTTACCGATGTAACTATTCCTGAGTTGGTTCATTATCCTGGGTAGAGGTGACTAGTCTGAAGGTTAACAAGATGATGAGGCAATGATGCACCAGGAGGTCCGTTGCCGAGTAGCAGCCCGCTCAGAATCATCGATAGGGTTTGCCGTCGGCAGAACACAAGCACCAGCAGTGGGGCACTGGAACATTGGTTAGGTAGGTTTGCATGGCCAGCTGCAATCATCCGTCCTACAGGGAATGGACAGAACACCGCTGATGCGTACTCTAAATTCAATCGCTACTGGTGTCGACAATCCAGCCATGAGAGTGCTCGGTACAGAAATCTTGGACAGCTTTTCACAAGATCTGCTTCTCAGTCAGTACTTGAGCATGCTTGTGTAAACATTTCGTCCTAAAACGTCTTCTTGGTTTAACCCTGCTCGCAATCTTATCAGCCGGTGCCAAGAAAAGCTGGTGGCCGGGGTAAGAAAGCCCAAAGCCTTCGGTCCTTTTTCCGCGGGAAATTTTGCAGAGCATGCTCTTGGGTCATCCTTGAACCCCAACGCCAGTTGTTTTTTCCGTGATTGGCGGAGCATAGTCGAGTCGAAAACTCTTGTTCGTGATGACAGCGAACATTAGTCCCTTTACTCTGCAAAGAGGAACAGATCCGCAACGTTGCGCTTCTTCAGCTTTACGAAGAATTAACCCCTGAGCCGTACGGCCCTGACATCTTCGTGTTTACTTGGAATCAGCAGGCCAAGCTGGGATAGAGTGGGCTGTTCCGCCTGGCATGCTCACCAGAAGCTATAAATAGCTATGCAGTGATGAGTGATGTCAGAAAACAACACTGAGACTCAAAGCCCAAGCCGAATAGACGGTCACGGCGAAGTAACACGGAAATAACGCCAAGGAAACAAAATGACAATGAACACAAGACTACTTAGAGAACGGTCCGACGTAGTACGCAAGCTGTGCTGTCCAGACTAAGTCATGAATGTGTCCTCGCCAAGTTCAAAACAAGTCATGAAATCAAAAGTAAAAGAATGCAGATGAACAGGAGCTGAATTCGAGCCGGCCAGAGAAAAGACGAGAGCAATCGTACCGCCAGACTCACCGGCCTACGAGTCCCCCACTTGGCAGGCTCGGCAAGCAAATTCATGGGCCGGTTATCCTGGCCGTAATACAGTTATACAGTAGTTAGCAAAGTTACTGAGAAAACAAGGGCTCCAAGAATTCTTTGTGTATACAGAGTAGAGGGCAAAGGCTTGTGGAGTTTGGAGTCCACCCAGTGTGAGAAATATGGTTTGTATACCCAAAGTGGCACGAGTCAGCCATCTCTGTCAGTACATGTAGTGACATAGATCCCGTTCCGCTTCCCGCGAGGCCGAACGGGCTGTTCGTTGCCGTAACCCAATATACGAGTCAACAGGAGAGCCATTGGCGGGCCAGTGGACCAGGGGTGGAGGCAGAGCCCCTGAGCTGATCTGTCGCATGTGTCTAGCCAAAGTATGTAGAGAGGAAACGTCCCAACGTTGACAAAGCCTGGCCTACTTGTGCTGTACGGTATAAGATATGTACAATCCGTGCGTGTAGTGCGCTGCATGCGCGTGCGACTGTCATCATCCACCAGCCTGAAAGCAGCGTGGCCCATTGTATGATCCGGATGATCTCAACATACCAGGGGAATAAAGTGGTCTATCTGCTATGTATGTATATATAGACATACAGTGTACAATTTGCACACGCTGTCCATGTATCACTATGAGCTCCGTGTGACTACAGCCGGATGGACGTCGAGAAATGAACAACGAAGTTGACCCGACAGCCATCAAGGCACATTAGCTTTCTTCCTTTCCCCGTTTCTCGTAACGGGAAAGTAGGGTCACCACTACTTGTACATGAAATTGACGATTACTGGCTCAATTGGCGATCTCCCGCAGAAGCTAATGGCAGCCTGGGGTTGGCAACTCGCGGCATGGTACGATTTCCCACCGGTAGCATGTATAAGTACTGCGCAATACTTATTACTTGGCGCAAGGGAGGAAGTCGGTAAGTTCCATACTGCACTGTGTAGTTGGATAATGCAGACCTCGAGGAATCTAACGCAGTCGTGTGCCTAGAATATGTGTATATCCGTGCATTATATACTCACAATGGAGGAGGGTGGCACGGATCCAACGCGGCTTTGTGTCATTTAGATGAAGTACAGGCTTGCCAGAATGCTCAGACTTATGTCGAATTCCCGAGATAGCAGAGAGACCAAGAGTGCAAGAAATGCTCTTTGCTCCTACTGAGCGCCCCGATAATGGATTAATGCCACAAATAGCGTGTGGACAGTCATGCGAGATTTGCTCATTCAGGCACCACTCTCTTCGTATCCTTCTCCATACCGGCGCCGCTTCATCCGCATGCGGTCGTTTTGAAAGTTGGCCTTCAGAGCAAGGGTGGCCAGGCGGCGGACCGTCTGACAGGCATCTGGCTATCCATTGCCGGAATGTTTGTGTGTTTATGCCGCCGTGCATTATGCTTGGGTTCTCCACGCGGAGATCATACTGGGACTGGCATGACCTGGCTGTCAGAGCTCTGACTATCAGTCGCTCCTCTTGTCGTAAAGCCAATGGCGCTCACGTGGCTCAACCACCGGGAACTTTTATTCTTACGCTTGGTCGTGTTGCGTCAACTCTACCGGCTGTTCATTGAGTTGTTGGTGTGTCAAAGACTACGCAACAGGGCAATGACCGAGTATTTGAGTGGCAGGAATTCTCTGTAAAGCAGTGAATTATACATAGCCGGGATATCCCTGTCAGTATGCATGTGCTTGTGCCCCAAGGACATGCTTGTGTGCCTTGTTCGGTTTCTAGAGTTTTCTCGCCCGGGACCGGATATGCGTAGTGGTGGACCTATAGCACGACGTATAGTAAGGCTCCTCGCGAAAACCCACACAAGACTTGCAAGCGATGACTCGTCCTCGGAACGGAAACAACAAGAAAGAGAGGGAAACACAGCCATTGTGGATCCGGTTAAGTAAAACTTCTTTTGTATCCTTACACGTACAGTACATACCACCCATGTTTCCCGTTGCCTATTTTTGGAACCTAGATAAAGCATCGTCACGTATTGGTGAGCGAGTACCGTATTTCGTACATACTGTACATATGTGCTCGTCCAGGGGTCGTGTCCATGTACAGTATTGTCACCCGTTAGTCGGAATCAACCGCAGTGCACTGCCTCCGGGCGACCAAGCCGCCCAGGAAGATCTCTGCCCTCATAACATGGAGCAGCCTCCCGCTTTGGGTAAAAGAAAACAAAAGAGACGTGCCGTGGACCGTGACTCTCGGCTATAGCCAGCCACTGGATCAAGATTGCGCCTCAGCCCTATCAGCACTGCCCGGTAGATTGCCCCATCTACGTTTCCACAACTAGCCCGGCTTTCTACTTATACCAGGGCAAGAGTACGCCAGTCCATAGCTGCGTCTGACGAGACTGTTCAACAAGGACGAGGGCTCGGGAAGAGACGTCAGGCTGCCATTTACGAGCAATCTGAAAAATCGTGCTATATTCTCGGGATCGTGAGCTCAACTAGACTTGTCATAAAACCCAGGTGGCGGTTCTAGCATATGAACTTAGCCTTCGCGATCACTAGTAGGATTAGAATGTGAAGCCAGATACACGAGAATCCATGCTGTATTTCCGTTATGACCAGATGCTGGGAATACGAGGACAAGCTTGGAAAAGTCGTCGGGGCTTCTGTCACTTTGGAGCCGGAGATCCAGCGGACTTCGGGTTCACGCGTTTCCTAGTATATGCTCATGTACCTATCTATACTGAATGGAGGGCCTCGTCCACCCAGAATTTGGCGTCAGATACCGTACGAGGTACAAGATGCCAGTCGGTGACTGCCCGAAGAGAGTGGAACTCTGGAAGCCCCCCCCCATCCATGAAGCTGCATGAAGAGCGCTCCACGTCCGGTCGAGGGCGATGACGGATGTCGGCAGCTCCGTCCCCCTTCTAGAAACATAATCATCAATGCGACCAGTGGGTCTGGTCAGAGTCTATAAAGAAGCCGTCCCTCTCTGAAGGGGGAGGTCTCCTCTACCCTGGATGAATTGGTGTCATATATAACTTTGCGTTCAGTAATATTCCTAATCCCTCAACTCCCCAGTCTGGCCCCCGACGTTCGTTCACGCTCTTATTAATTACTCCCAAATATCAAACAAACAAGTCACTCGCTATGCATCTGTTCGGCACCGTCGCTGTTGCGGCGGCCCTTCTCCCGTCAGTCTTGGCAACCAACGGCACTGGGAAGTATCCCTATGGTTCTACCATCAGCAGGTGGACCGTTGTGCCCGTCACGGACCGCTCCTCAAAGCTGGCACCTTCGGATACGTCCATCAAGTCTACTCCGGTGGAGACCGCCAAGTCGACCGACAGCTCCAAGACGCACGCTTCCAGTTCGCTTACCACCTCGCGCAAGACAGTGTTCACTCCCTCCAGTGCAGCAAACACAATGAACACGGCATCAACTGCGTATCTTCAAACCTCTACCACCATCTCCACCACCAAGTATGAGACCGCCACCAAGACCGTCGTCTCGACCATTACATCTTGCCCTGCTTCGGCCTCGGGCTGCACAGTCGGCTCGGTCGTGACGGCCATTGCCACTGCTGTTGCCAGCCAGGTTGTCACCATCGACCAGCCTTCCAGGATCACCACCACCCCCGTCTCGCTCCGTGACGTTATCCAGGTCAACGTCACCGTCAGCGTCCCGGACAGGTTCGTCATTGTGGGAGGTGGAGCCGTCTACTTCCCCGGCCTGTGCGATGCGTGCGGCCACTTCCGCGTCATCTTTGAGAGCCCTGCGCTGCTCGAGTACCGCATCGAGCCCTGCGCACCCGAGGAACGCAACACCGCCATTGTCAAGGTCAACGGCGAGTACCGCTATCTCGGCTGCAGTGGCGACGAGTGCAACAAGATGATCATCGGCGTCGACGGCGTTTGCCGCATCGCCGTGTGCGCCGGCAATGAGTGCAAGAAGAACCTCGTCTGCCAAGACGGCAAGCAGTGCCAGTTTGACGCCTGCGGTCATGAGTGCTTCGAGGTCCGAGTTTGCGCCGAGGCCAAGTGCGAGACTCCTGCTCGCCCGGCCCCCCCCCCGGCCCCCGCTGCCGCCCCCAGCAACTCCGTGGTCAGCCCGGAGATCTCTGCCGCCATCGAGGCCAAGGTGGTCATCTCGGGTCAGGGCAGCGTCACGGGCCTCATCAGCGCTGTTGCCGAGGCCAAGATATCCGTTAAAAGCGGTGCCGGCGCCGACGTCTCTTCCAAGGCCGCTGCTTCCATCAAGTGCAGCGGCAAGGGACCCGGAGCCGGCCCCGCCCCTTCTGCCGTCCCGGCCGCTCCTGCTCCTGCTCCAGGACACAAGGAAGCTCCCGCATCCATCCCGAAGGAAGCCCCTGCTTCGGGCCCCAAAGAAGCTCCCGTTTCTGGTCCCAAGGCAGCTCCCGCCTCTGGTCCCAAGGAAGCCTCTGCTTCGGGCCCCAAGGAATCTCCCGCCTCTGGCTCCAAGGGAGCCCCTGCCTCGGGCTCCAAGGAAGCCTCTGCTTCGGGCCCCAAGGAAGCCTCTGCCTCCGCTGCCAAGGAGGCTGAGAAGGCCCCTGCCACTCCCCACAAGATTGCCGACGTCCAGGCTTCCGCATCTACCACCGCCAAGCTCGTCACTGTCGAGCCAAACACTCCCAAGGGCGAGGCTCCGGCCTCGGGCGCCGGGTCCAAGCCCGCCAACGGCCAGGCTCCCAATTCCAGCGCTGTTCCCCAGCCACCCGTCAAGCCCCAGGACCAGGGCCCCAAGAAGGAGCAGCCTCAGCCCTCCACCAACGCCCTGACTGCCGCCGCTGGCAAGTTTGCCGTCAGCTCCCACCTCCTCGGGGCCTTTGTTGGTCTGGCTCTCGTCTTTTAGACCGCCAATGTTTCTCTCGGGCTCAGTCTAAAGGGCCCCCTTTCCTCATTTGTCTTCATACTGGCCGGTTAGCCAGGACGGCCGCCTTCGCCCCGAGCCACCATTACATGCAGCCCACACGAGGCATTGGCCGAGCAGCTCACGCTCAAGGAGTTGAATGCGGCATTTTCAATACTCCTTTTTGCCACCCTCAGTCATTATTGCTTACTGCTTGGGGCTTGAGCGAACATATATAGACCTACTTCTTTCCTTCACGTAGGAATGCAATTCTTCTTCTGATTCATAGCTCTCGTTATCTGCAACTGCTCACTACTGGGCTAGAGGCCGGATCCTGGGGTGACTATCTAATATGAAGTATTGGACGTAATCCATCCGCCCGTCACCCAAAGATGTCTCCCACGCTGTTACATCTGGGTCGAGATGGAGTAGTTGCATGTAGGGCAATAGGTCATGTCGTTTGGTGTCGCGGGATACCAGTCCTTGCCGTAGCTGGCGTTGAGTGTGACGGAGCCGACGAAGTCACCAGTTTCGAGCCGAATCCACGTCTCGGCCTCGGCGGCGGTGCGAAGCTTGTCGCGCGAGACTCGAACCTGCCTGGAGCCCCGAATCCAATGCCCATACCCGCCGTACCCAGAACGCTGCCCGAAGCAAAGGTTGACGCCGTTGCCGGTGACCGTCATCCCAGGCAGAAGCCGGTCCCACTTGTAGCACCAGGAATCGCCATGATCGTGGCCCGAGAACAGGGCAATGAGCCCTGGCGTCGAGGCAATCGCCTTCATGAACGGCAGGTCCTGGCCGCCGTACTGGCAAGAGCCATCGTTGCGGCCGTCGGAGCACCACCCTTGAGCCTGCGGAGCGAGCGGATAGTCGTCGTTGATGCCTGGCTGGTGGTTGGGATGGATGCTGTCCCGGCCATGCTCCGTCTGCAGCGCCTGCGACGCGTTTGTCGGGATATGCACAAAGGCTAGCGACGGGATAGTCCGGCCGGCGCTCTCGGCGATGCGTGAAGAGGCCGCCTGGAACCATTCGACGACGCTCGTGTCAACCCAGCCCGGCTGGCTGCGGAGAGTGCCGTCTGCGTTGTGCTCCTGGGAGTAAAGGCCGCCGCGGCTGTCGAAGAACCAGAGCAGCAACTCGGGGGCGCACTGCGACTCGTGACAGTCTGGCGCATATACGGGCAAGTAGTAGTTGGAAACACCGGCTTTGATGCCTGCGACCATGCTCAAAGTGAGACTGTTGGGCCAGAGCTTCTCCCGCGCCAGTATGTCGACCCCGGAGATGTTGAAGCCGTAATCGTGGTTGCCGTAGGTCGAAGCCCAGAATAGGTCGCGATCCAGGAGAGGTTTGACGATCTGGTCGATATACACGGTACTATTCTCCAGAAAGGCGTTGTCGCCTGTGATCAGGTCGCCATTGAGGACGACCAGGCCAGGAGATTCCTGGTCAAGCACCTTGTCGATGACCTTGACAGAATGAATGTCCTGCTCAGGCCCCCACGAGTCCCAAGCATCTGATGAGTGTAAAGAATCGAGAGGTTAACTGCAAAGTCGACGCTGATAACTCCGCCCACGCTGAATGTGTCTGTAGGCCGTCCAACCATCTCTGCCAGAGAATTGGGATGGGCTGGAACAAAAAGACAACATGGTGTGAGACATTGAACGGAGGGACTCACTCTCCCCGAAATGGAGATCCTCAAAGATGGAAATCTGAAAGTTGCCGTTGTCGTCAAAGGTGAGCGGACTGATGTCCTTGCTGCTCTTGCTGTACAGGTCCTGATTCTTGGTTGATGCCTTGAGCAGCGCCGTCGGGGTCGGCAGCGCCGCTTGAGTAGACGATGCCACGAAGGCAGCCAAAGCGAGCAAGATTGGCAGCATGATGATCCCGGCCACAGCTTCTCGGTCAAATGCCAGTGTTGAGACTTTGAGTCCACTATCCTCAGTCACCAGAGAATGGGTTGTTAGTGTAGCAAATGCAACCTTGAGGTGAGACGACGGTGAAGTTCTGTGTGAACTCCGAGAAGCATCAAATTTATATGCAGGCAAGACGAGGGCGCCCTGTTCAGGGTTCACAGTCGGCAGGACGTGAGCGTGTGGCCCCGAAGAAAATTGAAGGCGAACAGACGAAAACCCCAGAGCATTCTGAATGTACTTGCGCCACCCGCGCTTCTTGTATCATGAGCATGTCGACATGGAAACTCCCTCGGCTGACTAGACGACAGCTGGAATTTAGATAACCAGTTGATGCTAGAATCAGGAACCTAGGGAGGGACAATGCGAGTGGCTGAATGGCGAGTCAATGATGGAGCATTGAAGGGTTATCCAGAATAATAAGGATAAGAAAAAGAGCGGTGTGGTTTCAAAGAAGGAGTGCTTAGAGCATTGTCGGCCTGTTGGTTCTATTGTCCGCGCGTGAGTGTTTCGGAACAGATGAAACTAGGCCCAGATTCATATTGACTTGTACAGATTGCTATTGTGCCCCCAAGGTTGGACCGCCGACTTTGACTGTATGTACACGCAAGGATCATAGCGAGTAGAAAGCATGAGTGACGCGCAGCTTCGGATGATTTGATGGATCAACCGAGAAGATACAGCGACGAATCTCTTTCCCCATGTTCTCTTCACTCTTCTGCTCCCAACGCACTCGGCATCCCGATAAGATACTGGCGTAGCAGAGGTTCTCCTACTCGTTTCTCCCGTGCTCTGCAGTGAGACACAAGCTTATCTGCCGCCGAGTCCAACCACCATTGGTAGACCGATGATCGGATGAATGCTCTTCTCTCCTCGGTCGACTACGTCTCCTTTATGCTTCCACCGTATCCACCCAAAGTAGCCTCGATATCACCTCGAACCATCGCCCGGTCATCACACTTTGCATGTTGTTCGTTCGTGGGGTCCCGACTGATCCTTCCGACACACTTCCACCCAAAAATTACGCCTTCAACGAGCGCAGGACTTGTCGTGTCGGTTGAGAAGTCCATCGACGCGTCTGATAGCGGTTCGACTTGGAATGACTGTCAGCATATTAGCCAAGCCTGAGATACGCGCCGTGGGGGTCAGGTAGGGATCTCGAACCATCAGAGAAATTCCGCCCGTTCTCATGGAAGTGTCGGGATCCCGAGAAGATTTCAGAAGGAGACACAATAAGAGCTCAATGACTGGCTTAGGATCACCTGCTGGAATATGCGAGTGGACAATCAGAGAAACAAGATCGCCTCGCGATCGATGAGTCTGCCGTGCACCTTGAAGCCCATAAATAACCTAAACGATTCGCCCGCGCTTTTAATGGAGTACGACAGTCAGATTCTGCAATGATGCCCTGCCTGTTTGGCATGAATGCGTTCCGTACCTGAGTTGCTGGTCCATTGATCGCGCGCGTGACGCACATGCTATGCGAGATCCCCACGGTTCGGATTGATCTTTCCACTACCCCAGACGACACACAATGCTTGTTACGTATGCGAACTGTATATGAGACGAGTGACGTGTGGAATGAGCAGAAGCAGATCTGATTCATCTGGTTGGCGTCAAATTAAGACAATGGTAGTTGAATCGGCGGCTACGATCATTCATATATGCGACTTCCCGGTGACGCAGAGGGCGAATTGCAGCGACTGACGAGTTAAAATGACGGACAGAGCCATGGTGCAAATAATGAAGTAGAGCATTGAGCCAACGCTGTCGTGATCAGTATGCAAGGAAAGGGCAATACCGATGCTCAACAGGCCGCCGATCGCATCACGACGATGTGAAGATCTTTGCCACTCAAGCGGGAGATTGGGACTGCCCCTACAAATCTCCAAGATTGCGGAGAGTAAACAAATTGTATTTATGTGGCTCGATGTGAATGGTCCGGTTGTAAAAAGTTGCTCGAAGTCGAATTAACGGTGCCAGATTGGAATGCTCAGCGAGCATGCCCGCACAATACTGAAGTCAGCAGGCGTTTTTATTAATTTCGCAAACAAGTTCATGCTGGACTTAATAAGTCCCGGTGCGGCTTTGGGCTTACATCTCCCGGGGCGAGAAGGTCACACGTGTTACAGAGAGGAAGATCATTGCACTTTACGTGCTTGGTTATCCCGGGCCGTTGAAGGGGTTCGTCGTTCCCATCTTCCTGTCCGAGGAGACTAAACCTTTCTGGGTTAGCATTTATAAAGACCGCAGTTGGCCCGTTAAGAGGTTAACAGCTCTTCTACGTAGCTGAGAAGCAAAGGCACTGGGGACGAGGCTTGATTACTGGGGCCTGACGAGAATGAAAAGCCGCAATAAACTGCAAGCCAGACAGTGAGGTGGCTGACACGTGCTATTCAATAGCGCCAAGACTCGTATCCAGCTCGACCCAGTCACTTACAACCGCGGCCTGATCGGTGGCTTCCGCCAGGTCGTCCAGAATGAAGGTGCCGGCGCCCTTACGATCGGTGCTGGTCCTACCTTTGCGGGCTACTTCCTGCAAGGGACTTTGAAGTTTGGTGGTTACGAGTTCTTTAAGCAGCAATCCATCAACTTCATCGACTACGACAATGCCAGGAATAGCCTCATCGCCGCCTTTGCCGAGTTCTTTGCCGACATTGCCCTCTGCCCGCTCGAGGCCACCCGTATCCGATTAGTGTCCGAGCCTGGCTTTGCCAACGGCCTCATCTCCAGTTTCACCAAGATCGCCCGCCAGTAGGGAATCGGGGCTTTCTACTTTGGTTTTGGCCCCATCCTCTTCAAGCAGTACGTACAGCCAAGCTTGATCTCTTTCTATCGCCCTTAAAAGTGAGGGTCCCATACACCATAACCAAGTTCGTCGTCTACGAGAAAGTCACCGAGCTCGCCTATAGCAAGCTTTTCGACAAGGATAAGACAAGCGACGCCATGCAAACCACCATTAATCTTGGTTCCGGCCTGATTGCTGATTTTGCCGCCGCGATCGTCTCCCACCCTGCCGACACCATGCTTTCCAAGATCAACAAGACCAAGGGTCTCCCAGGCGAGAGCAATGCCAGCAGACTCATCAATATCGCGAAGGAGCTTGGCCTCCGGGGCTCTTTTAGCGGTATTGGTGCTCGTCTGTTCATGGTTGGTGCTCGGACGGCTGGCCAGTTCGCCATCTACGGTACGTTTTGAAGGATTGAAGTCGTGGGAAGCACAAGCGATGATTGCTAACACATCCTTCTTCGGCAGGTGACCTCAAAAAATTCATGGGAGCTGTAAGCTACCCTTCTCACTGAATCTTGTGGAGGTTGCAAGTCAAGACAGAGCCGCTGACCCGTTTCGGCTAGGTTGGAGGTGTAGAGATATCGAAATAGGCGTCCGCGAACGACGAAGCGTGGATTGGTGTACTTTGATAGAAGTATTTTCATAGATAGAGAATAGAGGTTCTCGGAAGGGTTTCTGAGGCAATCGATACTTTTCGGCTCAGTGCCGAGTACCCATCCCTTGGCCACCCCCGGCAGTCGAGAGGCTTCTCCGTTCCCGTCTTCTTCCTCCGAGGGGGCCAAAGCTTCGCCAAGAAGGCCCGCTGCAGTCGGGTTTATGATGCCTCCACTATTACCTCTATGTTGCATTACGTATCTTGTCATTTTCCGTCAGCTGCAGCTCCAATGCACCTATCATGGCTAATCTGTCCGAGGTCGATCTATGATGGTTTCAACTCTTAATTTTCACGGCAGGCGGATGATTCTTGGCCACATGACGCTGTTTCCTCTGATTCTTCATTTCGGCCCGTTCTAGAAGCTCGATGTGTCATTTACGTGCTCTGGAGGCCGTGATTACACCGTTAGCTCTCCGTGACCACATCGACACTTCATGCAAGGACAACGATTTCCTCTCCAGGTAGCCACCACAAGTCGACTTGAATCATCAAATTATAACCCACTACTCCTTCCCGGTACAGGCTAGCATCCCCCCCTGTGGAACAGCCCGCGTGAGAGTAGCGGCGGTGTCGACTGTGAGTGTGTAGACTTTTCCCAGAATGGAATACAACCCTCGTGTCGTGCGTTCGCGACCAGATGGCCTGCTTGTCGGCAAACATGGCCGACAGGGAGGCTGAGTTTCGCCTTTCTCAACCGGCTGGCCTACGAGGCAACCCAAACCCGATTTTTCAAGTTTGCAGTTCGGCATGATACCCGTCACAAACAATGCCTGCGTCTACCCCCTGCCAAGTCTTGCGTGAACCTCGAGCTTCTCAAACCATGACATGTTCTCCTGGACATTTCAAACTCGGGAGGAAGCTTCACCTCGTAGCCATAAGCGGATACGAGACACGCCGTTATATCTACACCTCGTGGGTCTTGTATTTTGTCCTTGGTACCTGTTCTGTAGATGTCAAGTTGGGTCGAAACGTAACACCAAGCCACAGACCCAATAGCCAATCGCAAGTTTTCTCACCACACGGAATACTACCCCGGCAAGACATATCGCTGGGAGCCGTGGGTTATACCACAGGCAGTCACTAATGACATGCCTCTTGACGTGCCCTCTCGTTGCGCTTTATTGGCGCGCTCTCAGACACCGTATCCGTATAGTATGCGAACAGAGTCGATGATCCGAGTCCGACACGCCGACAGAGGTGCACTCAAGGTGCATCCGCCTCTCAACCCCCAGCGCCGCCCCCTAATATGCTTCATGGCTGGCTTCGCGCGTGATCGTGGCAGTTGCATCTATGTGCTTGCGATGTCTCCTTGCTGCCTGGCCCAGAATACTGCAGACCTCGACAACAGCCAATCAAGATCTAGACGAGACTCTCCGTTGCAGTGGTGCTTGCAAATCTCGACAGATGCCCTTGACGCTCTTCATCACGTAGCACTCCAGAATCACCACATGACCTGATGAAAAAGTGACCCTCAGCACCGTAAGCATAGGGTTGTAGTGGTGCGAAAGAGACGAGCTCTCGTCGGTCTTTTTGGTGCACCAGCTCCGCGTCGAACCAGTAAACTGAGCTGTCTTACAGCATCTTGACGACCTCTTCGTGATACCTTCAAACTCCTTTTAACTGGAAGTACGTATCACTCTCCCAGCTCCTGGGACCATCAGAGGCAAAATCAAATGGACATATAAGTCCAGGTGCGCGTAACTCCTACTCGCTTTCTCGACGTCAACCCAACCTCTTCAACAAAGTCTAGAATCAGAACATCAAACCAAAACGACACTTTCAAGATGAAGTCGACTCTGGCTCTCTTCCTCACAATCCTCTCCTCCACATCCTCTGTCCAGGGCCGTTCCTTCAAGAACAACGTGCCGACATTTGAGGTTGGCCCTGATGCCAAAATCATCGGCAACAAGATTGAGTACAATGACCCAGACTGCGACCCAACCCTGGAATGCCACACAACAAAGCCTTGCTCGAAGCCCGGCACCGCGCCGACTTTGGCGGCAGACAAGAAATTCTTCGCCTGCTGCCTTGCCGGCCAGCGCCTCCTTGGCAGCCCCGAGACGGCTTTCGACTGCTGCGCCGATGGCCATGACCTTGTAGGAGCGCCCGATGTCGGCTTTCGCTGCTGCCCGACAGGCTTCAAGTATGACGGAAAGATATGCAAGCCAGTGTGTGCAAACGGGAAACAGCTGGTGGACGGGAAATGCGTCTGTCCTGTGGGCCAGGAGGAGGGCCCCGATGGCAACTGTCGACTCCAGGTTTGCCAATCCGGACTGAGGTCTGGTAAGACTCTCCCCCTTCCGCACGGATTTCATTCCTCCGCAGGCATCTGCCGGGCTAATCTGGCAACACATAGGGAAATGCTACATCTTCTTCACCGAAAAAGGCAACATCTTGGGCCTCCAGAACGACGGAAAATACTACGCCGCGCCGGACAGCATGGTCCACCGCTGGGCCAAGCTCCAGCTCTGCAAAGACCAAGAATGCACCGCCGACCAGGCCATCAGCCCCTCTGACGGCGTCTACATCCGAGACCTACACGGCGACATCCCCACGGGCGCCAACAAGGGCCAGTGGATCAACAATGCCGCCAACGGGGCGCACCTCGAGCGGACGACCAAGTTTGCCGAGGCGGGCCACTTCACTCTTACCAAGTGGCCGTGCGGAAGATACTGCCTGGGCGGTGTTGGTCAAGGCGTCGGGGCTGCGTGCCCGGCCGAGACCGTCAGCTTGACATTTTACTCGCAGGACCCGCAGATGTGCTTCCCCTGGGACTTGACCGAGGTGCCCTGTGACACCAAGGCCATCACAAACAACTGCATTTGGAAGTCTGGAAAGGAACAGTGCTGCGGTAAGATTGACTGCTCGGCGGCGGGCAAGTGATTCTGGCCATGCCGGTTGCACCAATGCTGCCTTGTTCTCTCTGGCTGAGGTGGCAGAAACGGAGTAAATGCGCTTTCCGAGGTTGCCAAGCCACTTCAAGGGACAGGGCGGTTGCGTTGTGATTTCATCAAGTACGCAAAAACAAGCTCTCGAGATCCAGGGCCATGGAAATACTTCGTGTACACGTAGTAGCCAAGCAATTCAATCTCGGCCTCTCCGTGATCTTATAATGTTACAGATCAATGTTGGCTTCCCACGCTTGTTCCAGCTTAAGCTTACTCCCGCTGAGCAAACAGGAGCTGAACAATCTATGAACCAAATGGCAATGTATGTTTCTAGGCCAGATTCCTGCGGCTCAGCTACGGTGTGAGCAGAACAATCAACAAGCGTTACAGAAATTCCAGCGACACCAACTCTGCTCTGTCCTCGCCCGTCGGCTGAACAGCGAGGCCAAATGGTCTTCACACTTGAACCAATCATGCACTGCTGCACCCTCGCCACAACCCAAGTATATAAGTGACGAGCTTGCATTGCAGTTCCCGACTTCCTTCCCGTCAGTTTTACCCGTCAGCCTACTCTCCGCTTGAGCTCAAAACCTCAGATCTACAACACATTGAATACTCGGACCGAACAGCATGTCTTTCTCCTCTGGCAGCCATTTTGCCCCTCTCAATCTGCCCTTGGCACGGCACCAAGCGAGCCAGGCTCGACTGGATGACGCCGAGACTACCCGTCCAGAGCAGGACGAGGGTGACAGCAGACCGGCTCTTAACCAACCGTCTGCTGGCCACAAACCTGCCCTTAAGCGCCTATGGGCAGGTGTCAAGGATCGCGGCACGGCATATGACATAGAATCAGCAACTCTCCAGCCCTCGACCACGCCAGTCTGCAGAAAGCACGAATGCCAAGTCTTGGGTAGCTACAGCTGGCAAGTCAATGGTCCGGTCAAGTACAAGATACCGGGTAAGTGTCTCGAGCGGCTAACTATTCGATGTATCTCAATGCTAAACTGAGCACGATAGGCTCTGCACCAGTGTGGAAGCAACCATTTCAAGTGCCGTTCAGGCTACCGAAAGACAGCATAATACCCACCCAGGATGAGGATTCTGCTCCTGTTTCCCACTATCCATTCGAGCCACTATTTGAAGCCACAGGAATAATGAGTCCGGAATTCCTCTTCGACAAGGTGGATATTGTGGTCAGCCGAAACAGCCTCAGAAAGCTCATCGAATTCTGCGACACGGGCCATAGACAAACCTTCCGACTCAACCTGCTTATGGTTCATAATACGTTATTCATCGAGCGCTGGGAGAAGGACGTCAACTGTCTGACCGGACAGGCCTACGGCTTGGGGTATGACCGCAACTTTGAGCGAGAATTTACCAAGTTCCCCGAAGGGGAAGAAAACAGTTCAGGAAATCATCGATGCCTCCGTTACCTTCTCGGGGACTTGAACTGTGTGGTGCAGTTCGAAATTGATGCTCGCTACGATAAGCCGAAGCCGGCGGAGACTGATGCTGAGACCTCGCACGTCGAGCTGTCACTGGATCAACTGTCCATAGCAGACAGAACAAAAGCCATACCGCAATCTGCAGTAGCAGAAATCAAGACGATTCAAGGAGCCAGGGACCGGAGCCGAGATCTGGCACAGCTCTGGTTTGGTCGAGTACCATGGCTCATCACCGGTCACCACACTGCCGGTCTTTTCACGAGCATCGTGATTGCAGACGTCGCACCTAAGCTGGACAAGTGGGAGAGAGACAGACAGGTCCAGCTTCGCAAACTGGCAACACTGCTCACCCGATTTCGAGATGCGGTCACAGGATTCGGGGGCAACAATTGCGTGGCGATTTATGAGCGCAATTTAAAGGCTCCCACGATTCGCGTCTGCGAGTCCAACTTAGGCCGAAGAGCGCTTCCCGATGACTGTATTCAAAAGTTCTGGGCGTCTGAATAATTCGCCAGGGGTAACGGAAGGAAGTGATGGGATGCCTTTTGCATTCCGCCCTGTCTTTGTTGCGTGCTCAAAAGACCGTTGGGAGCAGCTGTTCTTTCTCGAGAGGGAAAGATGAACACCTTGTCGAATCAATCATCGAAGATTCCTGGCGGAAAGGCCGATAGTCGTTAGTTTATGACAGTTGTCTATTCTCATGTTGCATCTAGTGAAGGAAGCCATTGCCGCGAAAACAATAGCCATGAAGCAAGTTTCCGACTTTGGAGTTGCCGGGTGGTCTACCGTGGCAGTTGGTCCCACTTCCTCGAAATCCTGACTCAAGGTCGGCATATAAGATAGCTTTCAATCCATTGTCAGCCCGGGACGACGGAGGCGTTCAAGTCGGCAGGTGATATGAAATGATAGCCCTACTGCGGTACAGAAGCCCGTCTTATATACTTGACGATATTATATACGATATCATGGCAAAGTCGGCTCAGTTTACGCATCAATACAAGCCACAACGAAATTCCAGTGTGCAGCCAAGATGAACCACTCTCACCAAGAATCCTTTTTCGTTACAGTCAAGTTGCCCAGTTACTCGACTGGCCAAGAAACTATACTTTTGTAGCCGACATAACCAAGTAGATCAGATGAGCCAGTCGCGAAAGCCTAACCAAAGGATCCGACGATATAGTTACGTGTATGGTACTCGTTGAAGAAAGATATATAGTTAAGCTGCAGTTTGGTCAAGATGGAGAGTAAGTTATTGCTTAATCGTGCTAACTAGTATTTTACCAGATCTCTCAAAGAACAGGCGATAATTTCGTATATCCTGTGGCAGGCTTAACAGCCGCCCTTCGCTTAGTTGGATGGCCGGAAAGGGAGTACAGATGATCTCACCAGACATTATTATATTGTCACTTAAAGAGGGAGAGAAACCCTACTCAACTGTGTAAATCACATTGCGCCAATGCCTGCTGAAAGTTACAAGCTAGTGGATCATCCAGGTTATATTGACCTGGCCCAGCCCTCCCATTCTGTCGATGAGAAGCCCAAGGCGCCACTGGACTCTATTCCATGATAGCCCCTCTGAGCAGTAAGATGTTTTCTGAGTAGCTTACGCGACATGAGGACTACGCAATGGGAAGTGAAGTACTCGGCCAATGACTCAAATCCCTAGATATCCCGAATAGTATTTAGAAGTCCAGGCCAAAGGGGATATAGAAGGGATTATACAAATTGGTGTAAATAAAATTTCTACCTTGGTCAAAGTGACACAGACATTCTAACGAAAGAAAACAGAGCGACACCAGAAATAACATTGGTAAAACACGCATAAAATCCGGAACCACCTGAAGATGGAGCCTACAGCCATATCCGTTTCCAGAAATTGGGGCATATCTGCACGCTTCAAGAATGAAACTCCATTCCAACGACATCCAGCCACTCTGACAAGCCCCGTCGTTAAACAAAATTGAATCCCAAAACAGGACAGATTGGGCCATCCATCTCGCCCCATATCCTAGTCTAGATACCTCCCTTCCGCTCAAACAGCTCGCCGATTGTTTTGCCAGCTAGGAGCAGCTGCATGTCGCCGTAGCGAGGGCCGACAACGGTCAGCCCGATCGGGAGGCCGTGCTCTCCGAAGAACCCCGGGACATTGAGCGTGGGAGCATGGAGAATGGTCCACACGACGTTGAACACCTGCAGTTTGAATGTCAGCGCACGGGCAATGGCGGCGGATTTTGAGTCCTGCGGTGCGGTGAACATGTGAAACAGACACCAAAGAAGCTGTACTTGGTAACAATGTTTCCAGGCTTCAGAGGTGGTTGTTCAACGCCCAACAACGACAGCAGGGACACTCACCGCGCTTCCAGTGTCCCAGAGCCCCTTGGGTGCGTCATCAACCGTACTGGGCGTGACGACGACATCGTACCGGCGAGCAATCTCGTCCCACTGCGGCCGTAGTCGGGCCACGCCGTCATACGCCTCCAGCATGTCCCTTCGGCTTGGATCGTGCTTATTCTGCACGAGTGCCTGTAGCGAGGCGTGCAATTTGGGCTGAGACTCAACAAACTCTATGGGTCCTCTGTTAGCATTCAGTCTTTCCGATATTACACGTCAAGCGTCGAATGAGCGTCAGGAACGAATAAAGCCCTACTAGATAGAAACGCCGACCGAGCTTCTCCGGCAACGATAGTCTCCCGCCACTCGCGACACTTCTGAAAGGGCTCAGGAAGATCGAAATCTTGAATCACAGCGCCTGCATCAGCAAGCAGCGACCGGGCCTTTTCCCAAGCCTTCCTCGTCCCCGACCCGGCCTGATCCCAGACAGACGTCTTGACAAACGCAATGCTCGCTCCTTGGATGCTGAATGGCTCCGGCGGCTGGCTGTAGTCAAAGTCGAGCCGGTATACCTTGGCAAGCAAGGCGAGGTCGTCGAGAGTGCGGGCAAAGAACCCGACTGTATCACAGGTAGTGGAGAATCGACCGACGCCCTCGGTAGATACCAGTCCCCACGTAGGCTATCGCCGTTCCTTTCAGTCAAATGAACAAATGGCTGGGGTCGTCTGTACCCGAGGAGGAACCAGACGACAAAGGGGTCATCACCCCTGATGGATTTAGAAAACCACCCACTTTGAACGCATACAACCCATTAAACGCTCCCGGCCGGATGATGCTGCCCCCGGTCTGGGTCCCAAGTGCAATGGGAACCTGATTGTCGCCCACGGCGGCGGCGGAGCCCGAACTCGAGCCCCCGGGTGTGTGCTGCAGCGAGCGCGGGTTGCAGCACGAGCCCCCCTCGACCTTGGCCGCAAACTCGGTCGTGGCCGTCTTGCCGAGAATGAGGGCTCCCGCAGTGCGGAGAATGGCGACAGCGTCAGCGTCTGCTGCTGCATTGCCGTCATCCTCGTTGATGCGAGAATTGTATCGCGTTGGCATGTCTCCCAATCGTGTCAGCTTCATTGGACTCAAGACACCAAACATGCAGGGAAGCAACGGGAAGGTCGCCTACCTTTTGTTAGCAAAACATCCTTTATCCCTACCGCAACGCCGTGCAACGGCCCCCTCGCAGCTGGAGGCAGGTCATCCAACCTCTTCGCCTCGGCTAGAATAGTATTCTTGTCATAGTGAGCCCAAGCCTTCACCTCGTGGTTCCGCTGGTTGAATCTCCCAATGAGTGCCTGGGCATACTCTTGGACGGTGACCCGCTCTTTGTAAACCAGCTCGCGGATCTCGGTGGCGGTGCAGAGATGCAGTTTGGACAGCTTGTTGGCCTGAGAGGCATCCTGCTCGCCTTGCGCACGAGACGACTGAGGGTCAGGCGGTATACACGCTCCGTTCTCATGCGTCGTGACCATTGTGTTCACCGTGCGCGGCAAGACAATGAGGCTTGAGAGACGAGTGCGGTGTAGCACCCGATGGCTCGTCCGCTCAAGTGACTCGGAACAACCTGATCGGACTCGAGGAATTTGGGGTCGACGCAAGAGCCCCAAGACCGAAATTCTTTGTGCCACTCTTTCTTATTAGAGGCGGATCATGGGTCGGCCTGACATGTCGAGTCTCAACTTCGGGTAGAAGAGACGAGACTGGGGGCCAGAGAGCGGGGGCTCAAGATGCAAGGCCTCGGCCAGGCCACCGAGCCAATGACAACGTCTCGCTTGTCTCGACACAGGTGAGGACCAGAAGCGCAGAAGCATGCTACCCTGTTGGTGAAACCCAGCTACCTCTATGATGCAGTTGAAGAAAAGAAACGCCCGCGTATACAAGCCATTACGCCCCACAGTCCTAACTCTTGTACATACAACTACAGTGTCACGGCATTGTCCTCCAAGCGCCCCAAAAGCATAACTGGCACAATACTTGATACATGTAGCTTTGAGTCGACAGCAGGGGAGCCAGGGGGAAACGCGAATGCCTCCTCGTCCTTCATTGGTGCCTTTTGAACTCATGGCAGGCACATCGATGAGCCGTGCTCATGCCGCTGACCGACAGCACTCATGGTGCTGCGCCAGCTCCAGTGCTGTTTTTATTGGCCTGTAAAGCCAGGACGGCAGACGTGAGCTTGTCAATTTTCCGGTTCATCTCTGCGACTTGAACCTCTATCCCGGTGGGCGCCTCCACGTCGTCGTCGTCTCTCTTGTCATCGGGTCTCAATGCATTCATGTCTCGGACAGGCTGCCACTGGTGATGCCGGCTGTGCCCAGAGGTTGGCCTGCCGCGCGGCAGCTGCACCCTTTCCCTCCTCTTCTTGGCCCCTCGATCATCCTTGAACACGGCCAACTTGTCATTACTAAACTTTCGCCGAAAGAGCTCGTAGAGCTTGATGGCTGCCACAATAGGAAGATGAGTGACTTTCAGCAGGACAATGCGGCCTGCGCGGAATTTTTCGTCCCTGGAGAAGACGAGGCGCAGCGGACGGAAGATGACGAGCGCGATGAGGTTAAAGGGCGGATAGAAATGGGTGAGCCTGTTGCTGGTGCATGCCTCCATGACGTAGACACTGTACACGTAGAGATACTCCTCCTTGGCATGCGTGATGACACGAGAGAAGCTGTTGGAGAGCATACCGGTCAGGGATCCGGTCAGCAGAATCGAGGTCAATGTGACAAAGATGATCATGAGCGGAGGCCCAAAAAAGGGGTCAATGTCGCTCATGATGTCGAGGCCGACGTAACTCGACCCGAAAAAGATGCGAGTGAGGATGCCCGTCATCTTGGAAAGGTTGAAGGAGTCCCGCCCTACGAGGGAAAATGTGGTCAAGAAGCCCAGATAGATGATGACGACGAGAACCATGAACTTGATAAAGTCTTTGCCCATCTCCTTGAGACAGGGAATCAGGGTTCCCCAGTAGGGGCTCAGACTCAGTATGGAGCAGATGCGCGGCATCATGAAGAGCGCCTCGAGCGACAAAACATCGAACGAGAGGCCGATGATCTTGGGATCATGCTGAACCTGGCCGACGATTCCTGCAGACAAGGCGGGATTAATACACATGAAGGGGGGGGACGGGGGGGGGCGGCCAGTAGCAACTTACGCAGCGTGGCGAAAATGAAGCCAATGAGGATCATGATCATGTCAAACAAGTTCCAAATGTCGGTTGCGTAGAATATGGAGCCGGCATCCATCCACTCGCTCAACTCGTCGTAGGCAAAGGCTGCTATCCATATGAAGAGAGTGATTTCGGTGGCAGTGATGTGTGTCTCGACTCGGGCCACCAGGACGGCGTAGTAGAGGCACAGGAAGATGGCGAAGAAGAGCACTTCCCAGCTCTTGAGATACTTGGGGACGCGCAGGCGAGAGAAGGGGTCTGACGTCTCGGGGTCGTAGAAGGTGTGCCCCTTGGTTGTGCGGACGGACAGGGAGTCCCAGAAGATGATGTCGCCGTTCCAGATGCCGCTGACGATTCTCTGCACGGGATGCTGGCTGAGGAAGCGCTTTGCGTTTGCAATGGCGGCAATCTCGAGGGCGTTGAGGCCCCTGAAGGCCGACGTCGGGTCAGCATCGTCGGACGCGTCCTCGTCGTCGTTTGTCAAGCGAGCGAGGGAGTTCTCCATTTTTGCTTTTTTGGAGGAACTGCCGGCTGGCAGCACGTGGGCTTCCTGGCGGGGGCTAGCGAGCGTACGGGGAAGCAAGGGCGACGTTTCGGCCGCCTCTTGGTCGTACGAGCGCGGCTGCTGTGGCTGGGGGCTTGTGACATCGTTGGCGTCATCGTCTTCGGCGTCGGGTATCTCGTAGAGGCAAAAGTCCATGGCTTCTCGCTCCGAGAGGCGGGCAAGTAAGCGCCAGGCGACAATCTCGCAGGCCCCGGAGCGGGTCTCGCTGAGGCCCCTATGCTCTTGATCGGCGGCATAATGCCACTTGAGCGCGCTGCACAAGGTCAACCAGTCAGCTTCGGCAATGTTGAGGACGGATGGAGAGGCGTACAGCAGAGCGTGAACCGTGGCCGGGTTTCTGCAAGTCGCCTTGAGGTGGTCGACGAGGACGCGGACGCAGTTGCCGGCGGGAGTCGTTCTAAGCTGCTCGAAGGTGCTGGGGAGCTCAATGGCATCCACGAAGTAGCTGTGCCGAGGTCAGCGGGCATGGCGCGGCTTGCTGGGCGATACGCACACGGAAAGCTTGGTGGCAACCTGGCGAAACGAGTCGTCGTCTTCAATCTCGGGCAAGTCAAACTCGAGGCGGACCGAGACCGGGCTCATGTCTCGCGTGGCCAGCGGTTTCGCCCTGAGGCGGATGGGCATGTTGACGGCTGTTTGCTGACGAGACGATGCGGGCGGGATCGCGCTGGCTCGCCCGGCGCGGATGCTTCATCGGGTGCCGGGTCGGTGAGGCTGCGGGACGAAGAGAAGAAGAAGAAGCCCGTGGGGAGGGAGAGGCACGAGGGAGCGGAAGGTTCCATGGAGTTTCAGCTTTTGCTCGTTGGTTGCTTCTCGCTAGTGCTTCAGGGAGACAGGGCAGGGGGAGGTCACCGGGGATGGCCTGGATTACAGGGCTGCCCTCTGGAAAGCGGCTTATTGGCGCCGGCCCGTGCGGGAAATCAGCGTCCTGAGACTCCTGACGCCGTGGCGAGTAAGTTGCCTTCAAGCAGCCGCCGAAACCCCCTTTTTTATTAGGGATTGAAGATGCCTGTCGGCTCTTCGGCCAGGTCGAGAACCCCATTTCCCCACGCGCTACTCTCGCATTAACAAGCCGTCATCACGCCTGACTCGATCCTAGACTTGATCGTCAGTCCGTGGGCACAACTGGAAAGCCTTTTGTTAGAGATGCCTCGCTTCCCGGCAACACACGGCGGCTCGGCCCCTCGTCTTTCTTGCCAAGGAAAGATATCGCCAAGGGGATGTATTCCGGAGTGCATCAAGGGAGATTCAGCTGCCCACAGTGCACGAGCCAACAAGCGGTCCATCCGTAGCGGTGGGCAAGGTAATGAATGATCAACAATTCCGACAGAAGGTCAACGATATCTTGACGACACCAGAGTCCACGACTCCTGTCCCTCGGTTTCCTCCGGGCGGGCGCCAAGAATAGATTGGCCTCCCCTGGCGCCCGTAACAATTATTCCGCGAATCAATCTTCGTCGTCCATCTACATTGCGTCCAAAATGTTGGCCGCGCTTCCGGAGCCCGAGACTGTCTGACGTCTTATGGCCTACGGTGCAACGCTATGCTGACTTCAACTCGGAGCGGCACGGACGGACGGCCAAACTTGCAAGTCAACGACACCATGGCCTACAGGGTCGTGATAAGAGGCTGTCGCGATGGATAGGCAGCCATGTATATAAATAAAAGCCCGTCGTTGAGGTGACGTGCTCTGCCTGTCTATACAATTCGCATCCACCTTTTGGCTTACAGGACCAAGCTCCACGAGAGAATACCGCTTTTCATCCAGGGCCTTCTCTCGCCCCAGTTCTGTCTCCATCTTCAGCTCAAGCCAGGCCTGCACATCTCATCCTTGAGCCATGGTAGCCCTCAATCCCCTCGTGGCCGCCGCCGTCCTGGCCCTCCTCGCCACCCCCAGAGCCCAGGGTGCCCGCACATTCTCCAACTCGGGCACCCTCAACGGCTGGGACTTTGTGCGGCGCGAGCACCAGGGGACCGTCACGCAGGTCGACAACGTCAGCTACAAGGCAGGCGGCACGGCACTCAAAATGACGCAGCGGTACGACGCAAACTACAGGGGCCGCTTCCACTCCGAGGTCGACCATAACTACGGCTACCGGCGCGGCGACGACCTCTTCTACGGTTTCGCGTTCCGCCTCTCCGACTCGTGGCAGTTCCAGGACCAGTCGTACAACATTGCCCAGTTCATCGCCAACCGCCCCGGCGCCGGCTGCGGTGGCGACGACTGGATGCCTTCGGCCATGCTCTGGATACAGGGGAACCAGCTCGCCTCGCGCATCGTCAGCGGCCACTACCGTCAGCCCGACTGCGGCCGCAAGGTCGATCCCCTGCCGAACCTCGCCGTCGTCGAGGCTGGCAAGTGGCACAGGGTCGTGGTCCAGGCCAGGTGGGCCAGCGACAGCTCGGGCTTCTACAAGATCTGGTTCGACGGCAAAAAGGTCCTCGACCGCCGTGGCGTGGCCACCACTCTCGACGACGACAGTGTCTTTCAGTTCCGCGTTGGTCTGTACGCCAATGGCTGGCACGACGACGGCCACATCAAGGGGAGCCAGGACTTCCGCCAGGTCTGGTTTGACGAGGTTGCCATTGGTACCGAGTTCAAGGACGCCGATCCCGGCGAGCAGTAGTAATAGGGAATCAGGCTCTACATCCAGGTTCAAGGCGCCCTCATTGGCATGAATTACCGCTGTGTAGGCTCATAGTAGACGCCTTGGGTAGACGCAAAGCTCGGTGCATGTAGCACATTCTATCATTGCATATATTGACACCATACAAAGTAACGTCTGCAGATTCATCAGGTCGAGACCGCAAGCCCATCAAATCCCATTCGTCGTCTCCAGCATCTTTCCTCACGAGCTCTCCGCTGTCTGATGCCTATCCCCCGCCGTAAGCTTCTTCGTCAGCCAACGTCGACTGTTCGCTGAATCTCCGTTCGTCGTCCTCCACGGTGCGCGACCCGTTGTGTCTTGACGCATGATCCGCCTTGCGTCTGTCCGTGCTCGGGGCCTTTCGGAATTTCCTGCCCCGCCGGGCTGCCGAAGCGCGCTTAGCCGGTGTCTCATTGCGCGTCAGGCTATGCTTCTGTTTCTCGTCTCGCTTCTTCTTGCGGGACATGTAAATGGACCGCCCCGTGGCAAAGAGAGCAATCAGAATGGACGCCATGGATAATGGATGCTATAGTCTACCGCCTGTGCTCGTAAAAGCAGCTGACGACGCCGGGAGAGTAGCGAAGGTGGAGGATGGTAGAAGACGGGATTCATGCTGCCACGGTCTCCATTCGAGACGCTCAAACAACTAGCGTCACGTGCCACTGACAGCAAGCTTTCGCCCAAGCGCCATCCGACGCTCGCGGCGATTCCCTGACGGACACGGCCAACGTACACTGTGGAGCATTGACCTGCGAGGGCCTGCCTTTGTATGTATATGAACGTTCATGGTCCTGCAACAACCAAACAGGACCGGCGGCGACAATCGCCCATCAAAACAGGGTGCCCTCGCAGCTCTTTTGCTCAGAGGAAAGCATCATCCATCTCTCACCTCTTCCTCCTCTGCAGCAAGCAGTGGCGGCCCCACTTCCTCCTGAACCTTGGGGGAACCATCTCAAGGTCAGGGATCCATAGAGTCCGTGCGAGCATGTGTGTATTGGCCGCATCGAGGAACGGCTCGCAGTTGACAACTTCCCACGTCTCCGTGTCGGCAACGTAGTCGGGCTCATCTGGCGGCAGCGCGCCTGTCCTCTCGGGGTACTGTGTGTCCACGAGCAGGGAGCACATTCGCAACTCGACGTACTTGCCCAGGTCCTCTTGGTTGCCATCGTTGAGCCCGCTCGTTGGCAGCCATGTTCCGCTCCACAACCCAAACCCGACCTTGGCCTCCGAGAACTCGCCTGGCAGCAGGCCACGGAACGCAGAGCGCACAAACTTGGGATGCATGTCTCGCGGGAGAAAGTACGACGAGGGGAACCGATACCACTCCTTGGCGAAACACACAAGGTCCTCTGGCCCGCCGACGACATATTGCCCCTGGCCGTCGCCCCATAGGGGTTTGTAAATGTTCATGGGCGCATGGAATGCGCTGTAGATGCCGTAGATCCGGGCCAGGCTGATGTCCAGCGACAAAAACAGAACGGCGCCAACGGCGAGAAGCCTCAAGCGCGCAGGAATCTTGCCCATGAGTGCCTTTGGATTCGAGGTGCCAATGGCAGACAAGAGAATGTGTAGAGACATGGAGGCGTTGAGCGCCAAAAAGGGATAAAGAGGATACATAAACCTCTCCTCCTTGTGTGGTTGGGCCGTGAAGATGGCCAGCCACATGTAAAATGGCGCCACAAACACGATTGTCCGCAGCCCTGACTGGAAGCCCTGTCCGGACGCCGAAATGGCCTTCTGGATCAAGAAGAGTGGAAGGGCCAGAAGAGCCAGTATGAACCATATGTTGAAGTTCAAGGCCAGGTTTCGGAGGTAAAAGTCCCACGGCTCGGTGCCGTAGAGCTCAGGGCCGCCCGTCGACGAGAAGATATTGTATTTGACAATGTTCCAGGTGACGACTGCAACCTTTTTGTAGAAAAAGAGGTTGACCACAAAGTCGACGAACTTGGAAAAGGTAAGCCGAGCATCAGCCGCAACGCGAGGCAAAGCGCACTCACCAGAACCATCAAGCCACCCACAACACCTCGAAAGGAGCGGATAATCGACTGGACCAGAGCCTCTCTGTCGCTAAACAGGGCGAGAACGCCTTCCTCAAGCACAAATGGCAGGCAGAGCGCCGCGGCAAAAGGCCATCCGAGGATGCCTGCCACGGCGAACCAGAAAATGCCCTGCGAGGTCTTGAGACCGCCGCGCCAATTCATAAACGAGGCCGCTCCCAGCATGCACATGTACATGGCGAAGCTCGACGGCAGGAATGCGGTACTCGCGTGAAAGTTGCCGGGGCTGGTGACGGTGGCGATGAGGAAGAAGAGGCCGATCCTGCCATTCAGGGTAGAGCTGACGGCCTGGAACATGATGGTCTGGCAGAGGGCGCAGAGGAAGGCGAGGCCGTAGCGCACAAAGTAGAACTCGGACACCTTGGACGAGCGAGTGAGCGGCCAGAGTCGTCAGCGCCGGAGCCTGGACGCCACCTCACCTTTGTAGACTGCGGCAGCAGGCGCCGCGCATTGCCGACGATTGCGTGCAAGGCGACGTAGAGCCAGCTGCGGATGGCATAGTCAGGCGAGTACTCCCACGTCTGCAGGCCATAGCCGTGCGAGAGATAGTGCGAGGGCTCCCAGTAGTTGAAGGTCTCGTCGCAGTCCTGGATGGGCGCAAAGAGGGCGGCGAGGAGACTGGCAGCCAGAAAGATGTAAAAGGCCTTGATGGGCTCGATGGGATACGGGCCTCGCCGCCTATCGCGAGCGCGCAGTTAGCAGCAATGCACCAGGAGGATTCCGAGAGACAGCGCTCGCACTTCTTTTTCTTCGCATGGCCGGCTGAAGGGTGCTCGAATTGCCTCTCCGCGGCCGGGGTTGGAGGCGCCATGGTCGCTGGTGATGCTTGGGGGTTGGCCGAGGCGCAACTTGTTGGGGCGGGCCAGACGCTCATGTCAGCCTTTACAGCGGACCCATAGGACCCCTGTCGCAGAGGCTCTCGGTGAGCTGCCGGTCAAGATGCGCTAGCTCTGCAGTGCAGATCCACCAAAACATCCCAGGACCCTCCAAGCGGCTAACGTTTTTTATATTTTTTCCTCTTCACGCCCCAACTCCATCTCTCATCTTGGACCAGCAGCGCTTTTTGACGGCCTTGCTATCGTTATACATATATTCACTGATACGGCCTCTTGTTCCACTCACTTTACCATCTTACCTTATCAATACGCTGTACAAACTTCTTAAGCATCCGATCCAACGGCCATCCACGACGCAACTTAAGCGCAAAGCTGCTCGCGAAACGCATTCTTCGACGCCCTCGAGACTGGGCGCCATGCCGGGGTTCCAGATCCCGGGCCTCGGGCAGGCCAAGCCCAACGAGACTCTGCCGCCTCTGCCGGCGGACATGCTCGCTGACGCCGCTCCAGTCGACCAGACGCAGGAACCGCATCACCAGGCAGAGGCCCCGGCACCGACCGAAACAAAGAAAGAGCAGAATCAGCCAGACGCCGAAAATGGTATTGCGCAGGATCAAGCACAGCCGGACGGAGACCCCATGGCCATTGATCGGCCAGAGAATCCTCCTTCTCTGACCTGTGCCTTGGAGGCTGCCATCGGAGGGCTCGAAGACACGAACATGACGCAAGCAGAAGCTCGGGCGGAACCGCAACCTGACGATCGCGAGCTGCAACCCGATCAAGGTGAAAATCCGGAGTGGGAGATCGACTCCTCCCCGTACGAGTCGTCGTCAGAATCCAGCAGCTCCGACTCGTCGGACGAGGACTCGGACAACGAGCAGTATGAGCTCCTCGGAGTCGAAGAGACGGCCCGGCTTTTGATGGAGATGGACGGCGGGCTCGACGACGAAGGCGAAAAGGGAGACAAGGCAACGTCCGCCGCCCAGCTGCGAACCAAGAACGAGCTCCCGGAGGAACCCATCCCCAAGCCTGACATCACCGTCACGCCCGAGATGAAAGTCGAAGAGCTCGGCTCGGTGGAGCACATTGTCGAAGGCACTATTCTTGTCAAGGCCATCACCCCTGGCGAATACCAGGTGCTTGACACGGGCTCCGTGCTCTGCACCGAGGACCGGGTCGTCATCGGCGTCGTGGCCGAGACGATTGGCAAAGTCCTGCAACCAATGTACACGGTGCGCTTCAGCTCACAAGACGAGATCAACGAGTTTGGCGTGCAGGTCGGGACTAAGATATTTTATCCGGTGGACCACGCGTCGTACGTCTTCACGGAGCCACTCAAGAGCCTCAAGGGGTCCGACGCCAGTAACATCCACGACGAGGAGGTAGGCGCCGACGAGATGGAGTTTTCCGACGACGAGAAGGAGGCCGACTACAAGCGCGCTCTCAAGAACAAAAAAAACAAGAGCAAGGGCCCTGGCGAAGGCGGGAGGGGCGGCAGGGGCGGCAGGGGCCCGCATCCCCTGCGCCAGGAGATGGCGCCCGACGGCGAACTCAACTACGACGACGGGCCGTACAAGCCACTGGCCAGACCCCCCGGCTTCGGCAGCGGTGCTGCACCCGGCGAGCCCGTCGAGCTGCCCCCGCGCCCCCAGTTCCAGCGCGGTGGTGGCCGGCGCGGCGACCGCAGAGGCAGGGGAGGCAGGGGAAGAGATTCGGGTCGGGGAGGCGGTCGCGGCGGCTACGACCAGCCCAGAGACGGCCACTCTCTTCCCCCCCGAGGCTATCAACAGCAACCCCCCAACCAGCAACCCAGCAACGCGTGGCCTTCAAACATCCCCGCCGGCCCGACGCAAGGCTCCGCGCCGTCCATGCCCGTCTTTGGCTTCCAGCTCCCTCCCGGCTGGCCTCAGCAACCGCATCATCAAGCCCACGGCGCGCCAGTGACAGCGCCACCGCCGCCGCCACCGCCACCGCCACCGCCAGGCTGGCCCTCGCAAGATCCCGCGCAGGGGCACCAGGGCGTCAACGGCACCTTTGTCAACCCTGCCTTTGTAGCGGCACTCATGAGCCAGATGCAGGGGCAAAACGGTCAGCAGCCGTGGGGTGGTCAGCAGCAGCAGCCACCGCCGCCCGGGGGCTGGTCATAGGCCATCGAGCGAGTGCGTGTTCGGTTCTGTATCATGGTTGATGATGCATTGTCCAAGATCTTCTGGCTGTGGTTTGAATAATGTTGACTCGGAACATCAATTGTTGGAGGTAGGTTCGGCAAGACCGGCGGGAAATCTTGGAGTCACTGGCTTCACGTAGGTAAGTGTGGCATCCGCTTTCAGCATGGGACAAAGAGGAAATGATACCCGTTGCTGCGTTTCCAGCAGGATAAGGAAAGGTCCATTCACCCATCCCAGACACGGGAAACATGGTGCTACTTCTAAAGCAACGTCTTTTGTCTGATTTCAATCACCGTCGGGCAGAGCTCGCCGGCACGGCTAACGATACTGAAAGCATGCTTGCAAGACTAATAAAAACACTGTCTGGTATCCTCTCTGCTTCATCTGTTCCACGCAGGCACGGAGCTGCTCTACAGCTCACCCGGCTCGTCCTTGGTCTCGTCATCAAACTTGTGGAAGCCCAGCTCATAGACCAGGCCGAGGGTCATGCGGGCGTGCTGGAGCATGTGGTCAAAGGACAAGTGCTCGATGACGTCCTTGTGCGAGTGGATGTAAGGGTTCGAGTTCTCAAAGGCCGACTCGATGACAAACGCCGAAGGGTATCCGGCCTTGGAGGCCGAGGCATGGTCGGAGCATGCGTAGCCGCACTTTGTCATGACCCACGGGATATCGCAGTACTAGGAGAAAGTCAGCGGAGGTTCAAGGGGCGGGCTGAGGGTGGGTCGACCAACCTCATCAATGACGGTCTTAATGAAATTTGTTAGGTCGGGATCGACGAAGTCGTCAATAACGCCGACGCTCTCCTTTTTGCCGGCGTCCAGCGTGCCCTTGACGTATCCTGTCATGTCTTGCTGCAGCATGGCCTTGACATCGCGGCCTTTTTTCGCGTACGACTGAAAGATGGCCTGGCTGCCGAGCAGGCCGGCCTCCTCGGCGCTGTACCAGTGAAACTCGATGGTGTTCTGAGCCTTGCCCTCGGTGACACGACTAGACCAGAGTAGAGCGCGAAAGACCTCCATGATGGTCACGGTGCCACTGCCGTCGTCGTCGGCCCCCGGCGCAGGCATTAAGGAGGGCATCAACATGTTGACCGAGTCGAGGTGAGCGCCAATGACAATGGTGCTGTTAGTCCGGCCCGGGATGGTGGCGATGACCGAGTGCTGCTTCCACGAGTGGGGAAAGCTCTCGACGGAGACGGTGGCGTTTGCGCCGGCCTGGTGGACCATTTCGCTGAGGTTGGACAAAATCCAGTCAGAGGCCTGCAGGCCGGTCTCGGTCTTGTAGTAGCGCGTACGGTAGCTGGAGAGGTGTTGGAGACGCGCCTTCATATGCGACTTGTCGAGGCGCTTGGCCAGCTTGGTCACCTCAGGTTTGTGGACGCATTTCTTGGGGTAAGAGACGCGGGCCTGGCTGTGGAGGCGCCTGGAGCCGAGATGGCGCGAGTTGGTAATGTCCATGAAGTTTTGGCCAATCTGTCCGACCAAATCAGCATGCAGTCGTCAGGGTGGACAGACAAGGGGCAAGGCAGCAAACGAACACGTCTCAGCTCCCATTTCTCCTCTTCAGTCACCCACTTGGTCTCTCCCGGCGCCGTCTCTATCAAGAAGGTCGCGGCGGCCGGCTCGAGGACGGCATTGCCGTCAGCCTCGAAGGGTTCGATGAAGCGGGCCGACACGGCGGCATGCACGCAGGCCGCGAGAATAGCCTGGGAGAACCTCATTGTCGCCCAAGATGGGTGGGAAATAACAATACGTCGTGGGGGGTCGTTGATGCTCGTATCGTCGATGGGATGGAGGTCCGCAGGCTGCGCAAGTATAAGCAAATGTCGTTGAAGAGGGAGCGAGGAGGACAAGGGGATCCACAGGGGACGGACGTGGCTGTTATCTGTATTGTGTGACGATTCACTTATCAACGACCCACAGGTCGAAGCGAGCACCCTGTGACAACAATAAGGCAAAATGAATCAGGAATAGTTTGTTGTTGGAAAGGGATGGAGACCGAAACCAGTGCGGCGACATCGGGGGAAGCTACATGCCCGATTAGGCAAAGTGGATGAGGTAATCAGCTTTCGGGAACTTGAGGCTGCAGGCAGCAGGTTGCGGGGAGCATTCAGCGGAAGCTTTGCCTTTGGGGGAAAGGCCAGGCCTGACATTCCAGCACCGTTAACAGTCGCCTGCCATTTCTTCCGGGCGCTGCTGCTCCGAAGCATATGTTTCTCGTCTAATCGGACAAGAGTATTCTCGAATTCCTAGGCACTGGCGTCTCCCAGCGCAAGTCCAGCCCGGCACGTCGCCGACTCCTCGGCTCCCCTCGTGACACAGAGTCCCGTCCCTTGGGTTCCTTGCAGCAGTGGCGCATGCAACACTTGTGCCACCTGAGACCTCCGATGCCAGCTTGCCAGCACACGGAGCCGCTGCGGAGCGGCGCGGGGCGCCAGGGTGAGACACTGTCGGTCCTTGTGACGGTGCATGTGATGCGTGGAAAAGCACCAGCTGCACCTTCAATGACGGGGACTCTATTTCCATGCCCCCATCTATACCTAGCATGAAACGTGATGTTGAGAGGCAGCGAATGCCTCTTCTTCAGCACTCGGACGTCAAGTCATCGTCCATGTCAACCAGCTCACTGGCGGTTGGTTTAATTGCCTATACTGTAGTAATATAGTTAATACCGTGAGGTACAAACCTGGATGCCAACAGGTGCCGGGTAGCTCTGATGCGTTGCGGGGCGGCGGTGATCGGGTCGGCTGCTCCCGCGCCTCCGGACAATATCCGGCCCCTGCCGAATCCAGATACCTTCTTTTGTACTCGTCGACTTCATCTTCCATCTGCCACCAGCCACCATCAGCCCATCCGACAACGTCTCTGGAGCAGCATCCCGTCTCACCGATTCGGCACAAACAGGGACGTGACACGACATCCGCTCAGCCGGAGCCCCAGACAGAGCAGCGTGTAGCCAACGTACAAGGCCGCGATGAGGCATGGTCCGATGGCCACGTTTCCCTTGCTGCGTCCTTCTCCCTGGATCAGGATAGCAACGGTGGCTTTGTACATGCCGAGAATCATGAGCCCGTGAACGGAGAAGCTCATCACAAAGAACTGAGTCTTCCGGGAGCAGCGACTCGTACCGGAATGAAGCCAGCCGTCCAGCAGCATCCCCATCATCATCGTGAAGACGCAGCCCGATGACAGGCCAAACAGGATGAACCACAGCATCCCAGATGGCCAGAGCCAGAACTCGTATAGCCGATCCCCCGAAATCTGCCCGCTCATGATATTCGTGTAGCCGGCTTGGAGCATGAGGCAGGTGAGGCCCATGATGACGATGCATGCCGTCGTCATGCTGACTCCCAGCCATGGCGCCTTCGCGTAGTAGCCTTGACTGCTGATCAACCTTGCCATCTCGTCTTCCTTGTTCTCGGCCTCGTCTTGCCGGCGCGACTCTTCCTGAGATGCAGAGAGTGATCCGTCTCCGCTGCATTCGCAATCGCGAGTCTCACCAACGGCCAAGCCAGGGGCCTGATGCTCGAGTCGGGGCAGCTCCGACTCGACGCCGCGCCATTTCGAATTCGACATGACTATGGTCAGCATGTTGAACAACGGAGCCGCCAAGAGCAGTATCGCCAGAATCTGCCCATATGTCCACCGGTTCTCTTGAACTTGGATTTGCATCGGCGGGCTCTCGCGCGCTCTGGACAGCTTCAAGACTCCCCACAGCATGGTAACAAGCAGCCAGTAAATCTAATGGGCGTCAACTTGTCAATCTCGCAGCCGCGACCACACGGATGGCCAGCAGGGGGAGAGAGATGGATAAATCCGCCAACTCACCTCCGACAACATGGAGCCAAACAGGTCCAGCCACATGCGGAGAGTGTAAAAAGAGCCAAGGGCTGGCAAAAACACGAGGTATGCCACCATGTCTCGCAGGAAGCCGTGTGAGGCACCCTCTGGCTCCGGTCCAAGCATCTCGGGCGGCGCAATCCGCATTAGGAGCCTGGAAGCAGCTCTACTCGCCCTAGGTCGGATCATTTCGCTAAAGAGTCTGGAAAGGGGTGAAAAGGCTTTGACAACGCGCGTGAAGAGGCCAAAGATGAGGAGAATGGCGGCAAAGACTACCTGTTGTACGCCTCTCCCGAGTTCAAAATCAAAGCTGATTGGATTTGCGCCCTTTGATTCGTCATGATCGAGCTCGACCGCTTTGCTCCACATGTGCCGAGCGAGGCCCAGGTCAAAGTAGCAGATGGCCGCGGTGCCGGGGAGGATGCGGCTCACCGTCCCCCTCCAGGCGAAGAACTGAGTTGGTGCCATGGCCACGAGGAGCAGCAGCAAGACAACAACCACGAGCACCAAGCGGATATTTCTCTTCCGAGGGAAGGCGTGTAGGTAGCTTCGAATGACGGTAAGTCCCGCCAGGTGCGATACCGTCGAGAACCACGCCAGATAGACAACGATCTGCCAGTGGTAGGCGGCCAGGTTGTCGTATAGAGACAAGAACCCGCTGATGAGAATTCCAGCGCCGGTGAAGATTTGCAAATCGCACATGGTGATGATTGTCTTGAAGGGGACAGGTAGTCACATCAGCCGGAGCAGCCCTTGATCTTCTCCCGCCGCCCTCGCACGTCAAGCCTGAGCACCTGGATACATGCGACATACCTCGTTGAACGCTTGGCCGAGATTGACAGATAGCCCATTGAGGAAGCGAGGAGCGGGAAGGCGGCGGCCAAGCTCTCTGCTCAGCCAGCGGACCGACCCGAGGAACCTCTGGTCCGCGACGTTGGGGTGCCAGGAGTCTCGCCGCATTTTGCAAGAAGAGCAGGATGCCGCTACATCCACGCCAGAACCAGAGGCCATCGGGGTCGCCCTGGCCAGAAACGGATGCTGGGTGGGATCGTACACGACGAAGTAGTTGGCGGCCAGCAGCAGGAAGGTCATAAAGGCGGTGCCGACAAAACTAACAATCACCTTGACGCCATGACCGTGAGCATGCGAAGATATCACGCGGGATCTCTGCTGGTTGACCTACCCCGGTGCCCGATATATCCGGGTATGACTCGAGACGAACGTTGGAAAAGTCCAGACATGTCTCGTGCAATCTGGTGGCCCGCATGGCGAGGCGTGCAAAGTCTGGAGAGGTGGCATCCAGTCGGCAAACACACCTGTTGTCGGCCTGGCTTCTTGACTAGCGCAGCCAGAAGTCGGGCAGCGGTTTATGCGTCGGCCATGATTTGAGATTCATTGGGGTCTTTCGCCTGGATTATATAGCTAGATGCTCATTTGACGCCCCGGAGAGAACGTATGTATCAGCATGACGCCTCGCGGGTCGGGAGCGCGCAGGATGCCGTCTAAGCCGCTCCTCAGCGCGCCCGTAAGCCTTGCCCCGGACTTTGGGGGCCGAGCCAAGTCGAAACGAGGGTCTGGGAGAGAGGCCCAAGGCCACAGCGAAGCGTCCCCGGCCTCTCGTTTCTTTTTTTACCCGCCTTGAGCCCTCTGTTTCACTTTTTGGCCTGAAAGGATCGCCTCCGCTTCCGCTTCCTGACGCCGCGATCCCCGTCTGCACCAGCTGCCAGCACACACTCGTGGCCAGGAGTCAGACACGACGTGACAATGTGCAGTAAAGCATGGACGAAGCAAGAGAAACAAAAGCTCCCCTGGTGGCCGATAACAGGATGCTACCGCAGCAGGAAAAATGATTAACATAGAAGAGAAACGGGGTCTATCTCTTGTCGCGTAACGGTTGAATCGACAACCGATAAAAAAAGAAACGAGGTCGTGAGTGCAATAAGGTTGCCGCTGCACGTCGGTGGCTACGCAGACAGACCCATCCTGACTTAACACGCACGGCGTGTGACGCCGCCCACGGGCGCCGACCCCATCAGTGATGTGGACAAAAGGTCCCTTCGTTTGCTGCTTTTCTTGTATTCACAGCAGTGCTGGTAGAGTATGCACTCACGACCTGTCCAGCGAGGAAGAGTGCGGAGAAAGAACAACTCGAGGGCATGGGTTGTGGCGCCGTGCTACCACTTCGTGGCCCTGTTCGCCCTTTGTTCCTCACCCCCCCAGCGTCTCGCGCGGCAAAAGCTAGTCACCAAACGAGGCTCCCTTTTTAACTTTTCTATTTTCTCTGCCTGTGATTCGCGAGGGCGCCCGTGGGCAATAGGACGGGCACACAGACAGGGCATGGGAGTGGTGGCTCTGTTCAGTCTGCCTGTTCGTCTGGGGGGACTCTATTCCCATCCAGAGACAAGACTCGCGTCGACACGGCCGCCCGCCTCCCCTTTGTCTGCCGTAAACTCGCCTTTGGTCTCCCAGGTTTCCCTCCCACGTCGAACAATCCGCGCTTGTTCTGAGCAAAGTGCCCACTCCGTTTTGTTCTTCGCCGCCGTCTTCCCTTTGTGCAGTAGCAACAACAGCGCCGGACGGCCTTGTCGAATAAAAGCGAAGGGGCCAAGGGAAAAGGAGCCTGTTCTCAGCAAAGTAAACAGGTATGCATTTCACTTCACCACCCATAAGTAACCATACAGACCTTCAGACCGAATCCCGCCGCTCGGTATTCACAGGAAATCCTCGCGTGCAACCAAGAGGCTCGCATCACGCAACCTTGGACATCTATTCACACCATCAGGCAACCTCCCGATCCTCAGCTTTCGAAAAGATAGGCAGGGAATCATCAGACCGCACCTCTCGAAACCATCACGCCGTTCTTCCCGAAACCTCATCTTTGCTCATCCACATGTCTTCATACCAACGATCGAGAATGGAGGGCGCGAAGACAGCCTGGGCAGCGCGACCCGAGACCAAGAGACCCTTGAGGCTCACCAGGCTTCGCTCCAAGCTGGCCGGCGCACCCCCCGTCATGCAGGGCCACCGAGGCCCTGCCGGCCGATCCCGACGACATCCCCATGATCGAAGTGCGCCACAGACTTCCCCGCTCTCACCCCCTGAGCAAGCGCAGGATCAGGGTCATCTTGCGTACCAGTCGATCGCAATCATCGCCGCCACAAGAGAGCCACAAGCCGCCAAGAAGGTCCCTGATTCGAATCAAGATCCGCCCGCGTGTCGATGGCTCTGGCACGACCGGTCGCGGGCAGGAGAACCCAGTGGCCAAGAATGAGCCGATGGACGAGTGTTTCGACAACACCGGGCTGATTCACATCCCGGCGGCGGCCTCTCCGCCCCCCCTGCCCGTCATCCAAATGCGGCTCGACACAACCCAACTCTCATACGAGGCAGACGAGTCGGGTGGCGCCATTGATCCCGATTCTCTCGTGATCAAAGAGGAACCAGGGTTCGGTGCCGGGTCACCATGAGCTCTCGCATGACTCGGCTCGAGCGTGGACAAGCATTTCTAAGCCACGCGTCCTGCCGCCGGGAGGGGAGAACTGGACACTTATGAGGGCGTCGCGGATACAGAGTCGACTTGGCTCCGACGGCGCTCCGCTCTTCGTCGCTCACGGCGGGGAACCCGAACTGCAGTCTGCCGATCGAGGTTCATCACTGCCAGATCATCGTCCAACCGCACAACACTTTCTCAACCACGCATTGTTTATTTTGCAGGTTAACAGGCTCAGCTCGCGGAATCGCGCGAGACTCGGATATGCATCTTGGCTGTCCACTCTATGAGCGCCACATGAGTTTTGACTATTGGTTCAGCGACAACGTTTCGAGGCAGGATTTGCGCCACGATGTACTAATGAGTGGACTGAACCGGCACTTGGGCCGCAGACTACGCCGGTACTAGCCCGGTTGTCGCGGAGTCAGGCTCGGAGGTACTGGATTCGTTCGTTATGAGTGGCCATTTGTCGAGAGCCATGTTTCGGGCCACGAAAAGCAACGGTGGCTCGACCGCAGTGATTTTATGAGGCTCAAACGTGGGCTTGGACGAAAACGTGTTAGGAACAAGGGAGGCAACTAAAGGGAAAAGACTGTTACTTACTATGGGTAAACTTGGTATAGCTCGGGAGATAATGTAATATCAAAGAACCAATCATGCACGCACGGCCCGGGGCTCTTGGTCTTCATAGTCCCATGTCGTCGTCACTCGGTTCATCGTCGGAGTCCTGGCCTTTACGCTCCTCTTCCTCGTCGCGACGGGCTGCCTCTGCGCTTGCGCCAATCTTGCGCACGCCCTCGACGACGGCGGTTACGAAACCCCGGTTCTCGGCGAGTTCCATGGCGCCGACGCCTCGCAGACTCATGACGCCATCGACGTCGGTCTCGAGCTGGGTTGTGCTGGCGCGCATCTTGGCGGCTCGGACTTCCTGCAAGTCGCGCAGCAAGGAGCGGACCTCAGATGAAGAGTGGACGTCGTCGGCCGCATGGGCGAGGAGCATCTCTCCAAGCTCGAGCCAGTGATACGGCAAGGCCCCCGAGGGCGCGTCGGCCGTGCAAGAGGGCAGAAAGGGAGGGGAAAAGACGACCTTTTCATCTGACATGGAATCGAGTCGCCTGACGTTGCCTAGGCCGTCGGCACGGGTTGCAGGTGGCGGCGGCGGAGACCAGCCCTTGGGGTCGAGCGTTGTCTCGTGGTAGATGATTTCGCGGAGAGAGTCGGGGTGGAGCCATGGCGGTGGGACAATGTTGGCCCTGCGCTGCTTCTTGAGCAGGAGGGCAAGCCAGAGAGGTAGGCTGCTTCGATGGGGCGGGCGGAGCGTCGGTGATGCGCCCTGTTTGTGCGGCGCGGGTTAGTCAATGGTCGCAGAGGCGCATTGTGGGCTATTGGGGGAGAGGGACAAGGGGGAGGAGGAGAGGGAGAAGGAGGAGAGGGGGAAGGAGGAGAGGGAGAAGGAGGAGAGGGAGAAGGAGGAGAGGGAGGAGGAGTAGGAGACAGGAGAGATGCTCACGGCGAGGAGGTCAATGCTCTCGAGGCGCTGCCGCGGAAGCACCGTCACGAGCTCCATCTCACAGAGGAAGGCAACCTCGGAAGGGACCAGGCCTGGCGGAAGAGGCAGCGCCATGGCGTGCGGCGCGGCAGCGACTAAGGGTGTAGAGATGAAGTTGCAATGCCAGCACGTGGATCTTCGGCGGCCCCCATTTCTCGAGCCACCTAACTTACCCCGCCCCCACCGCACCTCGCTGGCGATAAAGCTCTGTGATGACTAAACACATCAGCTTCCTTGGCTGCTCCCCTCCGCCTCCTCCTCTTCCCCCCCCTCCACGACATCATCTGCAGTCATCTTGCAGCTCGACGCGGTATCCCGGAGGTTTCCCGGAGTCGAAACACGCGCACTTGCCATTGCGCTCCTCGACACTTGCCACCGGCAACCGGCTTGCTCTCCATTCAGCTCGAGAGCGGGAGATGAGCCGGCTGGTCATGATTGGGGCAGCCAGATAGCCGTGGAAGCCCATCCCCAATCCGATTCGTTTTCGGCGACACACGCATCCCGGCCTCTCTGCCCACCACATTGTCGGAGCTGTGTCACACGCCACTGCGCCTGTCTTACTCGGCACCCCGCCTCCAGTCTCCATGCCCGCCTTTCTCCCCCCCGTCCGCTCCGCCTGATGCGTCCGGACTACCCAAACCACGGCACCGACAGCCACCAGAAAGGGCGGGAACATAGGGTCTGCGAGTGACGATGCGCGGAGAACTACCGAGACAAGTGGCGTCGCGGCTTTTCCTTCGCCCATCGTCTATGCACTGTGTTGCAAATATCCGGCCTCGTCGAGTCTGGGGAGCCTCAAACGGCTGAGGGCGATGGAGGATTGGGCATTTGCCCTCAATTTGCCCTCAGCTGGGTCATGATGCTCAACCACTGATGCTACTTGGCACAGTCCGCTCCAAAAACGGTGGTCCGAGGCTCTTTTCAAACAATTCGTCTCTTTGGCCGTCGACGTTGCTCAATGTCTGCAGCCAAGGCTTAATTGTCCGCTCATCAGCCCACCCCTTGAAGCACCATTTGCCCGAATAACCTGCTTCAGAGACGGCATAATTCATCTCGACCGAGCTAAGAAACCCGGTTCTCGTCATTCCATCTACGTGAGCACACAGCATACGACCGTGGACCGTATCTGTTGGGCGCGGGTTTTTGTAGTTTAGCTGTTGGAAGCAGCATGGCCCGAGTCCGCCACTAGCCGCCCCGGCCGGGACGCTCCGAATCCTCATCCCTTTGGAGCTCTTCACCGATCTTCGAGTCGTGCTGACGCTTCCGCCTCGTAGGGCTGACCGGGGACTCCGGAGCTGCAGCAACTCAAACACCAACGCCGGATGCAAGTCACCACACCCATGTCTCCCGGGGGTGCAACCGTGACCCATGCCGCGTATCCAGACTCTTGCCGGCTGCTACGTTGCGCTAGACCCTCGCCTGCCCGTCAGCCCGGGAGAGCGGTCAGTCAGTCCATGCCCTGGAACCGAAGCATCTGGTCCGCCATGGTGCAGACGCCTGCACGTCCAGGCATCGACGTGTTGGGTGCGAACGACCCGGGAGCCTGGCTGGCATAGCCTCAAAGAGAACACCTCGACGCCCTTTGGGAAAGACGCCATCATCTGTCAGACCACGCCTGGATGGCTCATCCAGCCCTCCCGTCACCTGATCGTGACGCAGTACAAAACACCCCCGTCTCCACGGCTTGAGCCGGACCGATATACAGCCTTTTTACCCTTTCAAGAATCGACTCCCGACACTTATACGTAGTGCCCCCGGTGGCCTTGGCAAGATGAACAGCGAAATGCCGTAAGTCGAGCCCAGACTTTTCGCGGCACCTGTCTATAGTTCCCCGATTCTGACGGCCGGGTGGGATTTATAGCAACCAGACGGGAGATGTCATGATGACTACGTCCTTTCCAGTCTCGAAACCACGGAGAGCCACTCGTGCGAGGTTCTCCAAGGTGCGGACCGGGTGCGTGACTTGTAAGTGCCCGCTCTCCTCCGGGAACTTGGAAGGCGTAAAGCTGACAGTGAGCAGGCAAGTAAGTCGGCAATGCCACGGCCCCTTTTGAAGATTGGCGAGAAATAGAGGCTGACTGCCCCAGGCAACGCCACGTCAAGTGCGACGAAACAAAACCATGCTGCAGAAACTGCATCAAATGGGCCGGGGTCTGTAGCGGATACGAAAGCCCAGGCGGTCAATCGGCCCCAGCACCAGCCAGACCGGCCAGGACGGTGCCCAGGGCCAAGGAAGCGATGAAGGCAGAGAATACGGTACGGCCTTTCGCCGACGAAACAGCGTCCCTACCGAGCCAGACCTCCCCCTGGCGTCACAGCAGCGAGCCGCCACCGCCGCCGTCTGTCGTGCCCGAAATACAGCCTGCGCAGTCACGGCGATGCGTTCTTGATGATACGTTCTGGAAGGAGACGATGCCGCAGCTCGTCCGCGACAGCGACGCCGTGCGTAGTGCCAACCTGGCCGTTCACACGCTTATGCTGGCCAGAGGCCTGGTTCCCACGCGACGGCCAGGGGCGGCGACGGCGGCCGACGACTACGGCCGAGCGCTTGACTGCTATGGACGGGCTCTCCGGGCCACCCGCCAGGCTACCAGCGCGAGCCACGCCGACCTGCGCGAGGCTGTCCTATGCTCCCTCTTCTTCGCCATCTTCGAGACGGTCAACGGCGACCAGGCGGCGGCGGCGGCACATCTGCAGAGTGGACAGAGGATACTGGACGCGGTGGCGCCGGCACAGCGTCGCGATCCCTCGGGTCCCCAAAGCTTGCGAAGCCAGCTGCGACATGTCGTCCGCTTTCTCGCGCTCCAGGCTCGAGGGGCCTACTCGTGCCTTTCTGCTTCCCTAGGGATGGTGGTGGACGGCAGTGGTGCCGAGCCAGATTTGCACTACGTGTGAATCGGCCAACTCTTGCTTGGTGTAAGATAGAGGGCGGCACGCACGGTTTTCGAATCGATGACTCTCCCACGAGCTTTGCGCTCCAGGAATGACAGCTAGTTCCTTTAGTTGCTGGCCAAGAGGATTAAATCGCGAGCAGCGCGATCTGCCACACGGAATCCTCACGCGCGCCAGCCACAGTATCTCATGAGTCAGCATATAGCTTTCAGACTCGGTCGGTGGACGGCCAATGAGAAGCGCCTGTTGGCGGTGTTGAATCGTTTGCTGGGCTTCGGGGGCCGAGCCTATACGGATACTCTTTAGCCCCAAAGCCCGATGTAGGGCAGAACTGAGAACAACTATGACTATGTGTGAGGAAGTGACGGCGTCTTTGCTTATCATGAGTCGACTGCCTCAAGCAAGGAAGAAGATACCGCAGCTTCACCACCTGTTTTAACAACAAGTCTGAAACCCAGCCACAGCTTTGGTTGACACCTTCTTCAAACAAATCGGCATCTTCAACATAGCCCGTCATCACCATGAGCTCTGCTGCACCAGAAAGGGGTTTCTTCGACGCCCGAACCTTCAGGCTCGCAGCCCACCTCTACAAGCCGGCCCCTGGATCGCCCAACCGCCACGGCGCCGCCATCGTCATCTGCCACCCTTGGACCTCCACCAAGGAACAGTCGCCGGCCAACTACGCATGGCTCTTGTCCGGGGCCGGCTTCGTCTGCCCGGCTTACGACGCGGCGCAGGAGGGCCAGCCGGAGGGCCAGCCTCGCCACCTCGAGGACCCGCACCGCCGCGTCGAGGACGCCAAGTGCGCCGTCACGTACCTCGTCGGTCTCGGGACGCCCGTCGGCCGCGACAGGGTCGGCGCGCTGGGCATCTGCGCGTCGGGCGGGTGTGCCCCCTTTGCCCTCCCAGACGGACCTGCGCCATCAAGGCGTGAGAAACCGCGGCGGCAGTTTCCGTCGGCATCTTGGCGCATCGCGGCTTCGACAAGGTCGATGAGGCCTGCGGGAAGCTCGTCGACTCATCTGCACTGAACAGAGGGGATCAAGGCTCTAGCTGGGTTTCGAAAGTCGCCGTGTCCAGAACGTCCGTAGCCACAGACTCGTCATGCGAAGTAAATCGCATCGCTTTGAAAATATATACCTTTTCGCAGCACTATTTTGGGCCGTGACTGATTGGGTTAGTAGCAGCGATGGTGAAGCTGTTTTTAGAATGAGTCGCCGTGCAGCGCACCCGGCCGGCATAAGGACCATAATCCTGAGATTGGCAGTTGCATGGGCGCTCAGAAACACAGCCGTCCCGGCAAATAAGCGCCTCTAGCCTCTCCCCCAAGTCTTGCACAAACGATGCTGTACAGCCTGTGGCGGCGGGTGGGGGAATGCGGAAGCCGAGCCGCTTCCGACCCCGGCTCCGACGCCGGCGTCGGCTGCCGCGATGGGTCGTCATCCGCCGCCCACTAACATCGGCAACGACATACCCCTAGCATACATATATCGACAACGCAACTTCGCAGCCATGCACCCCCTCCCCAGCGCCTCCTCGCCCACCCTCGTCCTCGCCCAGCCGAGCGAGGCCGAGCAGGTCCGCACGTGGACGCAGACCCGTCCGTGGTGGGGCGCGTCGTACACCCCCGAGGCCTACGTGGCGCGCGAGCGGCTCCTGCTCGGTGTCCCGCTGGCCCGCGACGGGGGCATGACGCCGTGGATCCTCACCGACGGCAGCGTTATTCCGGATGACGAGGGCCAGGAGAGCCGTCGCCCCGTGCTCGCCTCGTGTGAGACGCTGCGCAAGCGCGCTCTCGTCAGGGATGCTGCCGATGGTGTCGTCAGAGACGTCTGGGCTCACGGCGTGGCGAGCGTCTTTACCTATCCCGAGTTTCGTCGTCGAGGCTATGCCAATAGGATGATGACGCTCCTGGGCGAGCACTTCGCCGCCCAGGAAGCCGCCCGGCCCGGCGACGCCGCCTTTTCCGTCCTCTTCTCCGACATTGGCACCAGGTTCTACGCAGAGCTGGGCTGGACGCCCTACGAGAGCACCCATCTCTCGTTCCCCGTCAAGCCAGCCTCGCCGGGGTCGTCCCCGGCGGCCGCCACGCCCATTCTCGATGCCGACCTACCCGCCATGGCCGAGCTAGACGAGCGGATCATCCGAGACCAAATCTCGCGCCCGCCCTCTGATCCGGCCAAGACCCGCGTCGCCATTCTCCCCAATCTCGACACCCTCCGGTGGCACTTTGCCCGCGAAGCCTTCATGTCAAACCACCTCTTCGCCGCATCGCCTACCGTCCACGGCGCCATGTACACCCCTCCTGGCGCCCCTAATTCTCGCGTCTGGGGTCTCTGGTCGCGGAACCAGACTGGCGGCAAAGAGCACGTCGAGAAGAACACCTTGGACTTCCTTCGATTCGTGGTCGAGGACGAGGCCCTGTCCGATGAGGAGCTGTCCAAGGCCATCAGGGCAATCGTAGGCCACGCCCAGGTCGAGGCGCAAAAGTGGCTATGTGCTTCCATGAACCTGTGGAACCCCCATGAGCGAGTCAAGAGGCTTGTCGCCGCCATGGCAGACCTGAAAGCCAGATACGTCGTCCGAGATAACGACAGCATCACCAGTCTCCGATGGCTGGGACCCAGCCCTGTTGCCGGTGTGGACTGGGTCGCCAACGAAAAGTTCGAGTGGTGCTGACCTGACACGTCTACATGCTGGACGCCAAGCACGGGTAATAGAAGCACACGAGCATCGTCATCATCCATTCGTCTACCCTCTGATTCCGTGAAAATCATACCGCATGACAGCCGCAACATCCGTGACTTGCTGATCCGCTCCACGCTCTCAAACTCCCATGCAGACACTCCCCGCTCGAACATCCCCGAATCGAACGCACAATCAGTAGCTCCGCCCAAACATGACCCACTTCTGCGCCTTGCCTTGACACTCCGGGTTCAGGCAAGCAGTCTCGCCGGGGACGAGCTCGGGACCGTGGGGCTGCTCAAAGGGGACACAGAGACTCTTCATGCCCATAGACGGGAGTTTTTGGTTCTCGGGCACGTCGGGCTGGTCATCGACTCGGGTGGTGAGCTCCTTCATACGATCCTCGCACTTGCCGTCCAAGCAAAAGGGAATGAGGACAACGTTCTTGTTGTCAAGGGCTGGTAGCACGTCTTCCCACTTGGTCACCTTGATGCGATGCTCGCGGAAGGACGCTTCGGCCTTGTTGTACATGTCCTTTTGAATCGTCTCGAGGAGCTCGGGGATCTTGGTGCCGACTTCAGCAATAGCAATGGTCCCCTTCTCGCCCGTGTCTCGTCGCGCATAGCTGACAACCTCCTTGGCCGCATCCTTGGGGCCAAACTCGATCCGCAGGGGAACACCCTTGAGTTCCCAGTCGTTGAACTTCCACGCAGGGGTGTAGCCCTCCCTGAAATCCGACTCGGCTCGGACGCCGGCCTTTTTCAGCGCAGCTCGGATCCCGTTGAGCTGTTCCTCGTGCTTCTTGCGGTCCTCGGGAGTGGTACTCTTGTTGATTCCCACGGGTACTAGGATTGTCTGCACCTTGGCGACGCGAGGAGGGAGCACCAAGCCCTTGTCGTCGCCGTGTACCATGATCATGACGCCAATAACACGGGTGGAGAGACCCCACGAGTTCTGCCAGACATGAATGTGCGAACCCTTGTTGGCAGGATCTTCGACGGTGATGTCGAACATTTTGCTGAAGTTCTGGCCCAGGCAGTGGGACGTGGCTCCCTGGATGCCTCGGCCGTTAGCAGGGACGTAGCCTTCGACGGTAGTGGTGTAGTATCCGCCGGCAAACTTCTCGTTCTCCGTCTTGCGTCCGCGAACGACGGGAAGCGCAAGGAGCTGCTCGTAGACTCCGGCGTACAGCTCCAAGATCTGCAGGACCTCCTCGCCAGCCAGCTCCTCGGTCAGGTGGGCGGTGTGGCCTTCCTGCCACAAGAACTCTCGCGTTCGGAGAAAGGGGGTTGTCTGCTTGGCCTCCCACCGGATGACCGAGTTCCACTGGTTGAGTCGGAGCGGGAGATCGCGGTGGCTGCGAATCCACTTAGAGTAGTAGGGGTACATGACGGCTTCGGAGGTGGGACGGATGGCGACGGGAACCTCGAGGTCTTTGTCGCCCCTGCAGGTAAAGTCAACATTGGTACAATTGACAGGGCCGAGGGTACTCACGCCTTGGTGACCCAGGCCAGCTCAGGGGCAAAGCCCTCGACGTGGTCCTTTTCCTTTTCCAGCGACTTGGAGGACAGGAACATGGGGAAGCTGGCCTCGTCGACGCCGAGGTCTTCGATGCGCTCCTGGAACCACTTGCGAACCGAGCTCCAGATGTACATGGACAGGGGGCGCAGGACGAAGAAGCCCGAGATCTCTTGGTAGTACTCGACCATGTCGGACTTGAGCACTACCTCTTGGTACCATGCTGGGAAGTTGTCCGCCTTGGAGACGGTGATGCCAATGATGTCGTCCGTCTTCTTACCCCCCACGACGGGGAGATTGGTCTTTTTGGCGGCTTTGGCCGCCTTTTCGGCGGCGAGCTTGGCCTGCTTCTCAGCCTTTTTCAAAGCACTCTTGGATTGCTCGGCGGGGGCGTCCATGGTGTCGGCTGGCTGCTTCGTCGAGGGAATCAAGGGGATTTGGATAGCGGCACGAGAGCAGCGAATGATGAAGACGCGGGAACCGAGCGTGGGTGAGTCACCAGCTCGAGACTGGAATAATGAGGTCCTCGGGCCGCACCTTGTGCTGAGAGAGGGCACGAGGGGGGGGTGACTCTTGTCTCTCTCAGCTAAAGCTGCCCCGCCAATTCACAATGTCAAGGAGGGGCAGCAGCAAGTTAAAAATTCAGACCATATGCATGCTGTCCAATCAGCATCTAGCGCGCTTCAGCTGCTGTACTCCGTACAAATCACCAGGTACTTTGTACCCCCTGACAAAGCGCCGCCCAGTATCCTTCCTGGCCCGCGGAGCTGGAAGAATCCAAGCTTCCGGCGAAAAAGTGTCGAGGGGCAGCAAGTCGGAGTCTTCGCAGCAGAATACCAACTTCCTCTCCAAGACGACCTCCCCCCTCTCGCACCCCGTGTCGCCGAATCGTCGCAGCGTTTCCACAGCCGTTCGATTGCGCCGGCAAAGCTGCCGCATCCATGGCGTCCATGTTCGAGCAGCCCCGGAACGGCACCCTGTTCCTGGGCGGCCAGAAGATCTCTGGCTCCGACATCCGCGATCAGAACGGTTCGTGCTTGTCCTGTCGCAGTGCCAGCGGCCCGAAAGCGTGCTGATTCGTCCCAGTACTGGCTACTCAGGCTATTGCAAATGTCGTCAAGAGCTCCTTCGGCCCCAGCGGCCTCGACAAGATGATGGTGGACGATATTGGTGTAGGCACTTGCTCAACGTGCGCTCTCTGGCCTTGAATGCTCATACCTCCTCTGCAGGACGTGACGGTTACCAATGACGGCGCAACCATCCTCAGCCTCCTCGACGTCGAAGACCCGGCCGGCAAGATCCTCGTTGATCTGGCGCAGCAGCAGGACAAGGAGGTCGGCGACGGCACCACCTCCGTCGTCTTGATCGCCGCCGAGCTCCTGCGAAGGGGCAACGAACTCATGAAGAACCGCATCCACCCCACCACTATCATCACAGGCTACCGCCTCGCCCTTCGAGAGGCTGTCAAGTACCTCAACGAAAACGTCAGCATCAGGGTGGAAAACCTAGGACGCGAGTCGCTCCTCAACATCGCCAAGACGTCCATGTCCAGCAAGATTATCGGTGCCGACTCCGACTTCTTCGCCGATATGGTCGTCGATGCCATGCAGGCCGTCAAGACAACAAACATTCGCAACGAGACAAAGTACCCCGTCAAGGCTGTCAACATCCTCAAGGCCCACGGCAAGGGCATCCGCGAGTCGATGCTAGTCAAGGGCTATGCTCTCAACTGCACAGTTGCCTCGCAGGCCATGCCTACGCGCATTCAGGACGCCAAGATTGCCATATTGGACATGAACCTGCAAAAGGAGAGGATGAAGATGGGCGTCCAGATCACCGTCGACGACCCCCAGCAATTAGAACAGATTCGTGCCAGAGAGTCAGGCATGGTCCTCGACCGAGTCGAGATGATCCTCAAGGCTGGTGCCAATGTCATCCTGACAACCAAGGGCATCGACGACCTGGTCCTCAAGACGTTTGTTGAGCGAGGGGCCATGGGCGTCCGGAGGTGCAAAAAAGAAGACCTGCGACGCATCGCCAGGGCCACCGGCGGTACCCTCCTTAGCACGCTCAGCGATCTCAACGGCGACGAGCGCTTCGACCCGTCCTACTTGGGATATGCCGAGGAAGTCAGTCAGGAGCGCATCTCTGACGACGAGTGTATCCTTGTCAAGGGTACAAAAGCCCACTCCTCTGCCTCTTGCGTCCTGCGTGGACCCAACGACTACTCTCTGGACGAGATGGAGCGCTCCATCCACGACTCTCTGTGCGCCGTCAAAAGGACCCTGGAAAGCGGCAGCATCGTGCCCGGCGGCGGTGCCGTCGAGACGGCTCTCCACATCTACCTCGAGGAGTTTGCCGGCACCGTCGGGTCCCGGGAGCAGCTCGCCATTGGCGAGTTCGCCCAATCGCTCCTCGTCGTGCCCAAGACCCTGGCCGTCAACGCGGCCAAGGATGCCGCCGAGCTCGTAGCGCAGCTCCGATCGCGCCATGCACTGTCGCAGCGCATCCAGGAGGGCGACGGCAGCGAGGACGAAAAGACGATTGCGCGGAAGAAGGGCTACAAGAACTACGGGCTCGACCTGGCGCGCGGCAAGGTCGTCGACGAGCTCAAACTGGGTGTCCTGGAGCCCAGCATGAGCAAGGTGCGGCAGCTCAAGAGCGCCGTCGAGGCTTGCATCAGCATCATGCGCATTGATACCCTCATCAAGCTCGACCCGGAGAGGAGAGAGGAGGATGACGGGCACGGCCATTAATGACGGGCCATGGCGGGCTGCAAATAGACGTGGATACGGTGCAAGACGTGCAATGAAACCCTCGGGGTCGCCTGTGGCGTGTATGTTCATCTTCAGGTCAGCGGACGGGGCTGTTGTGGATATATTCCGGGGGGTTATTGTGAATAGGTTCACCAATGGGTACTTTGTAAAGGGCGAAAGGCTTGAGTATGACCACACGGTATTGGAAGTCGCGAGTTCACGGACGACTGGCAAAACGGCGGTCTGCTACTTTTTACACAATGCGCGCAGTCCACGTCTAAGAAAACAGGAGTTGCTCCCACCAGGGACCCCCGGCACGTCATGTCTCGCCTTCTCCTGGGGATTCTATCCGTCCCATGGCCGTCCCAAGACAGCAACCGTACTCGTACACCGTCACGCTCTGCTCAACCGACGATCAGCAGGCCGTCCTCGGGGAAGTCGTACTCGGGGATCTCGAGGTTGAGGGGCGCAGGACCCTTTCTTATCCGACCCGAGATGTCGTAGTGGGAGCCGTGGCAGGGGCAGAACCAGCCGCCGAAGTCGCCGGCCTCGCCGATGGGGACACAGCCGAGATGCGTGCAGACGCCTGGGGGCTCTTGTTAGCGCGGATTCATTCTCAACTGTGCCTGGGTGCCGCTTGTGGACAGGTTAGACGAGGCGGCGACGGCTTCTTACCCAGCATGACCAGCCACTCGGGCTTCTTGACGCGGTCTTCGTCGGACTGCGGGTCGCGGAGGGAGGCGATGTTGACCTTGTTGGCCTGGTCGATTTCGTCCTGGGTTCGGTGCCGGATGAAGACGGGCTTCCCTCGCCACTTGATGATGACCTGCGCAATGAGGATGAGATGACGTGCTGGCGGGGGGAGCGAAGAATAGGATTGGCTCGGTGCTTACGTTCTTGCCCTCGGGGATGGCATTCAGGTCGACCTCGACCTTGGCCATGGCCAGGACATCGGCAGACGCGGACATGTTGACGAGAAACTCTGTTTTCCCACGCATCATCAGCACCCCATCGCAGCAGAGCCAATGCCAGCAACATTGACACACCACGTACCCTGAACAGTGCTCTTGGCGCCCGCCGCCGTAATGGCACCCATGGCGCCGACCATGAAGTAGGAAAAGAGCTTGGTGGAGTCCTCGCCGCTCTTGGACATGTATTTGCCAAAGTCGGGGATCTTGTTGCCGCTCGACTCGCCGCCCCGGAACGGGCTCGTGTACGACGACGCGCCGCCGTCCGGGCGCGCGGCCGTTGTGCTGAGCGCCCGCACCGCTGCCGGCGCGACCGGCTTGCGGGCGGCGGCCGACCTCAGCAGGCACAGGCGGGAAGCTGTCGAGAGCGTCGCCATGGTGTGGGGCAGGGGCGAGTGTGGGATTCGATCGACGGGAGGAGACGTAGGTCCGGGGCGTGTCGAGGATGAGGCCTTTTTTTTTTTACCCTCGTTGCGGATGGGCTCGAATCGGCTGTGATGATGCTCGTGCCGAAGTTTTGGGGGTGGAAGCAGCTTTGGTGGCCTCAGGCACAAGCTCGTAAATTGGCGAGCGCTGATTGGTTAATTTGTGCTCCCTGGATCAGGCGCTCGGTACGTCACTTTCAACCTCTTTGAACCTCGCCTAAGTCAGCTCACCCACTTGGGGGCACACCCACTTAAGGGCACGTCTCCACAACACTAACGCGCCGACTAACTCGTACATCACAACCGCGAATTCTCGTGCATCTTATACTTAATTATTATTAAAAAAACATTATTCGAATCAGCAATATCTCAGCTTTCTAAATATACCGAAGATCAGCTTTAGAACGCTCTAGCTAATATTAAATTCGGCATAGGTTAAGTATAGGCTAGTCGGAAGTAGGGTATTCTAAGGACGATACTTTAGAAACGCCTTAAAGGTGCCTAACCGAAGAGAGAGGCATACGAATGCCATTAGAGGCTTAGCCGAGAGCAAGAGAAACACCTCCGAGATTAGGTTCTTGCCTAAGCCGCCCTTAGGCTCCCCCTAACGTATCTCTAGCTAAGGAAATTCGCCGGCCGTATTATTACGGCTATAGGCAACACCCGCCTACTTAGAAAACACTAGGTAGTAGGCTTTTTAGCCCGAAATCTAGAAGTTAGCACGATTAAAGGTAAAGCTCTCGATTCTGCTCGTATTAACGGCGCTTCTATAGCCCGGATTAAGGAGTAGTTCTAGTTACTTAAGCTCCCGGCTTTATAGGCTATTCCCCCGGAATTACGCTTTAATATAGACGAGATAGGTATCCTCGAAGGCCTCGGCTATAACGGCCTCGTGCTAAGGAGCTTAGAGAAGAAGGAGACGCTTAAGAAGCGGCTTAGGTCGCGTTATTAGACTATAATAGTAGAATACGTCTCTACTACTAGCTAGGCCTTAACTCCTCTTATAATCTTTAAAGGTTAGGACCTTTAATACTAATAGTTCCCTAAAGAACTCGACTTTCTAAAAGATTAGGACTTTATAGCCTCTTTAAAGGGCTAGACGAGCGACTCTATCGTAATTTAATAGCTTAAGTAGGTCTTTATCCTATAAATAAGAAGCTAGCTATAAGGCAACGTCCTCTTAATTATAGATAGCTATAGAAGCTATTAGACTAACGATTTTATATACGAATACTTCCTATATAGTATATATCTCCTTTTCCTACCTCTATACGCCTCGCACGTCCTTTAACCTCTCGATATCTCGATTTTTTCGCTAATTAAAGCTACCTACCGACGTTAACTTTAAAAAATCGCTTCTCTCGACGATATAGCACTAATTAGTAAGGCACTTTTCCTTCGCTGCTATTATTAGGCCCAGTAGGCCGGCCTAACCGAGAAAAATATTAAAGGGGGGTAGCGAGGGATAGGACTTTAGCTAGTTAATATAGTAAAGCTATTAATAAGCCGCTTTATCTTGCCCGCGCTATTAACGCCGTTACTACTAAAGAAGAAGAAGAATTTAAGCTTAATAGACAATAGCGATGCCCTTAAAACACCGAGACAATCGTAGGAAGTCCGTAGGCTTATTAGGGGGCTCGAAAATCGCGGTTAAGTTAACCGTACGATCCGTATGCTTTTTAGCAAAGTTAGCCGTAGCCTTAATCGTTAGAACACGCAGCTTATAACGGCATAGCTATGTATACAATAGCTTAAGCATTAATTATATCGTCTACGGCCTTAAAAGCAACGAAAAATCGCCTAAGATCTAAATTGCCGGTTTATACGGATTAAATAAGTTATTAAGACGAGGAAATAGCTTTAATGCGCCCTTAAGCCGTCTGCCGTCGTAATAGCTAATTAGAAGGCGGATTTTAAAGCTCTATATAGAAGCTGGCAGCTAGAATAGTAGGAAAACACTATAATTAAGTATCGCGATATAAAAACGCGGCTTCAATTGCTATTAGAATATGCTGTCTTGGTTATGTGAGACGTGCCCTTAAGTGGGTGTGCCCCCAAGTGGGTGAGCTGACTTACCTCGGCTGACTTCGAAATGGCTTCAATCTGCGCAGAGCATTCGGAAGTGCTCAATCGACTTGCATAACCAAACGCGACGCTTATTTCGACGAGGGTCATGTCCTCTCATGAATGGAATCTTGCACCGAGTCCGTGAGCGGTGTTGCTCTCTATTGTATTGTTATGCTTGAGTCGCCCCTCATCAATGCATCCGTCGCAGCTCTTCAATCATGTTCCTCATGTCTTCGACGCTCGGCCCAAGTCCTTCACAGACAAGTTCCTGCTTCGCCTCGTCCAGATCCAAAAACCTCTCCACCATCTCCCCATCCACGAACCGGTACGGCCCGTCTCCTTCTCGTGCCTGGTTCCGAAACGCTCGCCACACGTCGAAATGGATGTTTCCTGGCGCGTAAATGTACTCTTGAAGCCTCGCCTGGAACGTCATGAGGAGATCTTGGTACTGTGGAGATATATCGCCAAAGAGGTATAGCGTTCCGTCGACCTGCGTGGAAAACCATCAGCACGAGCAAGGCAGGCTATGTCAGAGGAAACCGGGCTGCTCACCGATCCGAGGAATGCCTTGGGATATACTACGGCGTTCTCGGTGGACGCGACGTGTAGTCTCCGCATTCGGTTAATCTGCTCCCCGATGTTCATCTCACTCGTCACTTCAAGCCGGCTCCGGTCCTGCTCTGTGGGTGCTTCCATGTTTCTCCTCAACACGACGATGTTTCCTTGTGCATCCGCCTCGAGCCATCTGTTCTCGTCCAGGTGGCACACTGAAGTCGCCCAAGCGGGCTGATAGTGCCGCGCCCGCTCTTCAAGCTTGGCTCGGGCCCCGTCGAGCGGTGGGATAAACTCGACCAAGGAAAGAGACTGCATCAGGTCAACGACGCCAATCATGTTTCCCGACACGTCCAGGTCGACTGGGAAAGATGCTAGCCGGTACGCCGCAACCTTTTGCAACGAGCCAGACACGGTGGTGTCCTCGCTGTAGCTGTAGACGACGACCGTCTTGGACAGGCCGGCCACGATTCTTTCGCCAATGACGCCGAGGCAGCGGCATGCACCTTTCAAGTCGTGAGACACAATCTGGTACACCTGCCGGTCCTCCCCCACCCCGAGAACCAGTATACGGCCTCGAGTGTCTCCATCCTCCACCGCATCGTCGTCGGCGATGAAGCTCGTCCCCACGATGAATCGCTCCGCAAGAGCACCGCTGCTGTCCGGCAGTTCCGCCCGTATCACGCACTCCACCATCTCCAGAGACGTAGAGGCATTCAGCACTAACGGCTTGCCCAGCTCCTGGAAGATGATTTCGTCGACCAGCTTGAACGCACTCGTGATTATCTCCTCGTTTTGTACCAGCTCCTTCTTGATGCAGCCGAGGCCAAAGGCCTTCAACCCGGGTGAGTAGGCGACTCGGCGCACCGTCTCTTGCACCGGCAGGGCCTTGACGTGGGTGAGACGCTCTTTGTCAATGTGACAGAGCCGCACATGTCCGTCCGTCGACAGCACTATCGAGTCTGGGAACGCTGCCGAGTCAAACGGTGCCACATACGTTGCATCGTCTGCCGTAGTTGCCGAGTATATGATTCTCCCCTCTGCGCTGTAAATGAGACTGGCGTGCTCCGTCGTGGCAAAAACGTTGCACGTGCCGTCGTCTTGTGGGAGAACATGCAGCCTCGCCGGGCTGCTGCCCAGAATCACGCTTTTCCGACCAGATATGGCAAAGCCTTTGACAGACACGTTGAAAGTGACGACGTTGCCGTCCTCCATGGCAACCAAGAGGGTTGGTCCCGCCACACTGGGTGGATGAAGCTGGATGAGCACAATGTCCCGTGGCACGGACGCGCTGTCCTCGGTCTCCCGCAGCGACTCGCCGTGGATCGGCTTTAGCGAAGCAAGGTCGACGACCGAGATGGTGCCGGACGACCACCAACCGACCACACCGAAGTCTTGTGGCTCTCGAGCGGCATGTAGGCACGATATCTGATCCGACAGCCCCGTCGTTGGATCGAGCGCCGCCTCCTTAGTGGTTGCAGCCAAGTCGCCGAAAAGATTGAGCGACACCAGGGTCGAGCCGTCGACAGCTAGCAATGCCCACTTGGAGTTGGCCGATGCGGCAGTAATGGTCTTGCTCTGAGGGGCTTGCCAAGTGCTTACCGCAATGCCGGCCTCCGAGTCGAGCAGTGTCACCGATTGGGGCGTGATCTGAAGCACTTGACCGTTGGACAGGTCTGTCGCCAGAAGCGTCTCCCTATCCAGCTCCAAGCCCTGGAAGGCATAGACTTCTTCTATACCGCCATGTCGATCGAATCTCAAGACTCTCGTCTCGGCAATGAACGACAACACGATAGTGTCCACCTCTTCGGCGCCGTACGACCGGAGGGTGAAAAGCCCCCGGGTCCCCTGGATCTCGTCGAGAATGCCCTGGTCGTCGAGGCCCACACCGCTGCGGATACTGCGCAAGCTCCCGTCGCGGTATGCGCCACAGCCAGCGACAATCCTCGCCTGACCTGACGAGAAGGCATTGCCGAGCTGGCTGTCACCCTCTCTGTTGCCCATGTCCATGATGGCGAAGTCGAGAATGGGCGCATTGTTGGACAAGGTTTTGACCAAAAACATGGTTTCAGACTCCACGTCAACGCGGAAGAGCTGAGAGTCACCATGGTGCGAGGCCAGAAAGAGAGTGTTGTTGCCCATGTACACGAGGCTAGAGGCTCGAGAGGTCAAGATGGGCGAGTCCTGGTATTTCATGGGAGACACAGCCATGCCGGTCACGACTACGCCGGTTGATTCCACCGTTGTCTGGATTGTCAGTATGTCCATGCGTCCGTAGTCGTCGGCGAGAAAGTAGTGAATGCCATTGTAATCGGCATAGGCAACGTAGATTTTTGGTTCTTGAAGCGCCGAGGACACGCTCGAGTAGGTAAGACTGTCGAAGTAGGTCAGGAGCGTTTCGCCGACGACTAGAACCCCGCCCAGATGGGCACGGGTTCCCTCGTTGTTGCGCACGTGGTATCGCTTTTCTTCAACGATGGGTACGGGAATGAGCATGGACGCATAGGGATCGGGGATGACGTGGTCGAGCTCCCGTTCCTTGTGGGGATCAAACTTGGAGACGTCGTTCCCCCTGTCGTCCTTTGTGAGCCTGTAGACGGCGATTCGGGCCTCTTCATGGTCGAGCTGCGTCTTGTAGAGGAATGCGATCCTCGGGTGGCCAGTGCGGCTATGGAGAAAGGTGCTGGCCTTCATCCACAGCTCGGTGAGGCGGACCTGGTCGAGGGCGACGAGTTTTGTGGTGACGCCCTTGCGGGTAGGCAGCCGGAAGACGTTCAAGACTCCCTCCCACAGGTGCATGGCCATGAACTTGCCCGTAGGGTCGACAAGACACTTGTTTTGGCTCTGGGAGTGGCGCATATACTGCTCGGCGGTGTCTTCTATCGTCTGCTCGACGGTATCGAGCTGGTTTGTCTCGGGGTTCCATGCCACGTTGAAGTACTGCAGTCGATCGGTGCCGATAAAGAGCAGGTCGATGTCGAGGTCTTTGGGCTGCAGGCGTTGGAGCATGGAGATGGTGCCGTAGATGAGCTTGGTGTGGAGGCAGGTGATGCCATCGTCGGTGAGACGCCATATCTCGAGTCGATTGGCCTTGCTGGCATGCCGCAGGTCAGCAAGCCGGGCGAGACGAGGGGGCGTGGCACTTACGCCAGCACGAGGTCCTCGTGATGGGGGGAGAGAAATCGGATGCGCAGCGCATGGCGGATGCTGGTGGGCTTGTGGACCGGGGCGACGTAGGCCATTGCGGGTCGCTAGGGGGTCGCTAGGTAGGACGAGGCGCTGTGACAGAGGGATGAAGCTCTCGAGGAGAGCTATGGGAACGCGTGCATCTCTCTGCGACGCAAGACGAGAGTCTCACCTGCAGTGCGAGCAGTCGGAGATAAGGGACGAAATGGTGCACAAACGTCACCCAGGCAGGTAGGGGCGGTTAGCCACTAATTATGCCACTGGAGCGTTCGGCCGGCTGCAGCCCGGACCCCACTGTGGCTGACACACCAGACCCCGCAGTATCTTGGGGTTGTCCGCTCTGCAGGGGCAGGATCCCCTGACATGGCACGTGAGCAAGGAACTCGGGCCAAGGGGGGGAAACGGCATCGCCTACATCGTGATTCGTGAGCAGCATCTTTAATCAAACCTCTCTTAAGCTCTCGACGACCTTTGATCTGATGCAATCCCCATGCCGAAAAATACAGGTATACCGCACGGGTAGAGTTTGAGCCCACGCCACGTCCTGGTTTGTTTGTGTAACTGTAAAGTGTAAATTGTAAACGCCTCTTCAGTCTTCACCTTATCTCTCTCCTCTCTAGCCTACGGAAATTCAACGTACGGAGCAGCGCAGAGAAGCGTCATCTAACGAAATGGAACTCATCCTCAGCTGTTTCATACGTGGTGCTGCCTCGCACCGACTCCTGCGACTTAGATTATAAACCGACGAGGACAGCCAAGCCAAGAAGGTCTGTTGACTTGAGTCCTGAGACTCCAGATTCCAGAACCCCTTGGATAAGAGCACCTAGCACAAACAGGATAAGAAGAGAAAGGAACAGTGGCCAATGTCAGGCGACGAGCTTTTCGCGCAGTGCATCGTTTAGGTCGGCTGTCGCTTCCTCCTCACTGGCACCATCATCCTCATTGACAGGCACATCGTCTCGCGGTGAGAAGCCATCATCCACCACGGCCGCCGCTTACAGAAGCTGCTGAGGGTGGCCGAGTACATTGCACTTCTTCTCCGACTCGGACCCGGGCATACTGGACAGGGATATCTTCATGGGCGCCCAGATGCTGCTCGTGGTCTGTCTAGTCGCCGCGTTCGGGGCCGTGATAGCCTCTCTCGGGGCCTCGCTGTAGGATCCGTGAGTGCTGGGCCTGGGCATTGTTGCCCCCGGCTGTCTAGTCGGCCTGCCTTGGCTGATGCGTGCTCCACCAACCGAGTGCGATCGAGGAAGAGGGTGCCCTGTCTGGAGAAGGATAGAGATATGCCGCGCCGGACGAGCACCGAGCAAGCCGGGGGCCCCCAGGATCAAGGCCAACGGAACCTGGAACTCCAACAATCGATTGGGTGCGTGTGGGTAGACTTGTGGATGGCCTTTAAGATGTCGCGAGTTTTTGGACGGGTCGTCAATATTCACAAGGCGTTGGCCGACTAAGGCGGCATCCAGGGGATAAGCAGAACCTGTGGCTGCGCGGCTCGCTGCAGTAACAATCTTTTCCTCGACCTGCATTGGCGTTATGCTATCCTTATATTCTTCGCAAGTATAAGAAAGCTAAAGCTGCTACTGGCATACCTGCCATGTCCTTTTAAACGCAAAGCCTGCAGATTTGCATGTAAAACATCAAATGGCCAACAAGGCTCGACACAAGACAGGCAGCAACGCAACCCCAATGAGCCATAAGTCTCCCAGACAGAGTTAGATGATGACACAAACCACATCTACCAAACGCTGAAGTTTTCCACCGGAACCATTCGCTTGACCAAAATCTCAAAATTGTTCTCCGAATACAGCTCTCGCCTCAACAATGGCCACGGCTCTTATTCAACTTCATCTCTTGAAACGCTGCCATTGCACATTCTCGAGCTCATATGTAAGCGCTTGGCGCAATGTGAGTCAGCGAGGGCCAGCCTATTCTCATTTTCTTTGACCAGCAAGGGCTGCTCCTATGCGTCGAGGAGGCAGCGATTCGAGCGCCTCAACATCTCGCTCGTGACCTAGGACAAACTCCGCGCCGAAGTGAACCGATAGAGCGAAATTCTCAGATCCGGCGGGTACGCGTGCTGCGTGCATCGTGTCAAGATCACTGGGTCCATCCCGTTTGGCCGCTGTGACTACTACTACGAGCGGTAGTTTGGGGACGTAGAGGAGCAAGATGAGAAGCCGGAAGACGAGGCGTGGACTGGTATCCCACGCAGATGCAGGCCTTGCATATTCACTGCTCACCAGAGCATAACCGAAAACGAGATGATGACACAAGACGAGGCGTGGCAGGCGCTTGCCGGTCTCATCAAGGAACTTCCCGGTCTCGCCGACTTGGTATTTGAATCCCGTGATCGAATCCTCTGATGTCTCCTCTCTCGCGCTACACCGCCATCATCCCAACAGCCGTCTGCATATGATTTACTTTGATATCCACAGCCTTCAATTTCCAGTCGCAAACGGAGCGATATCGACTTGGATGAACCAACACTCCTTTCATCGCCGTGCTTGGCTTCCCTTGCGACACAGCCCGAAATACGATCTCTTCCAGACTCGGGCGTCTCCGCAGTCTTGTTCTTCAAGGTGATGGAGTCACGAACGCGGGTCTCGTCGCTTGGAGTCAGAATACCGACTTCACGGTGCTGACGGCCCTCGAGCTGTTCCATGAGGCTTCGCTTGACATGTTTCAGATCTTGACCAGGACGGCATAAGCCGGCCAATTCCGCTCCCTCGTGTGCTGGCCTTGACCTGTGGCCTCTTACGGAACACGGCCGAGTCCTAGGACAAAGATGAAGCCTCCAGCTGCTTCCAGAAAGCCCTAGATCCGCTGGAAAGCGTCACGCTACGCAACGTAATCGGCGAGGGGACATTAAATGCGCTCTGCCATCAGCACGCGGGCACTTTGCTTCATCTTGAATTAGATGCACCGACGAGCAGGTACCAATGCACCGTGTTGAGGAGCTGCAAAAGCGACGTCCACGACTGAGGGACTTGAAACTGCCCGTGAATCATACCCTGGGAGATACTCAAGAGGTTGCCTTCTATCGGGCCTTGGGAAAATTTCCACGACTTCAACGTCTAGGTTCACGGCTGGACGGGAATCCTAGTCTTGCAGATCCACCGGAGTATAAAGGTGGCACTCATCAACTTGGCCATTGACGCCTCACTGGCCCTTTCCATCTTTCAGACCATTTCTACTGCACAGTCTCAGGCCCCTTAATTCTAGAGTCAACACCAGAAACTCCAGTATCTCAGAATATGCTGGTGTGGCGTGGAATATATTGAATTCTATCGCGACTATCCCTTCGCAGAAATAACGACAAGATCGATAGCGGGGTGGCTTGCACGTCCCTGGACATGCGAGAGGGTTCAGTGGGGGAACGACGGGGACAGTTCAGTGCCTTTGCCTCTACAACTCGGGGGGCTGACCTCTCACTTCAGCCATTTGTAGAGCACCTACAGGACACGGGGTCTATCTGGTCCAGATCAATAGGCCCGACTGGCCCCAAGGCTCGAATCGCAGAGCACGGTCGATGCTGTTCCCGTCTGCGACCTCGTATTCTTAGTCCGGCACATGTGTGTAAGCATGGAGGAAGCCGCTGAAGGGGGGAGGGGGCGAGAGCATTTCACATTCATGTATAGCTTGACGGCATGGCACGCCGAGGCAGCCAATAACGTGCTGACCACGCCGCTGTCCTGCAGCTTCTGCCTAATTGAGCCTGCTGCTGCTCATGCAGCCGGGTATGGATCCTTGCAGACACTAGCAAAAGGCAACCAGGCGCTTCAAAACGGAGCATCTTGCCGTTCGGAGCCGTCTTTTGTCCCATGCCCGCCTAGATACAGAAAGTAGAAGAAGATGCAAGGATAGAGCAACTTCTTCTGCTGGGGCGTAAGTGTCTGACGAGCTGGCAAAGGTCGCTGGTGTCACGGCATCCAAAACGACAGGCAACTTCCTCTACGTCAACAGCATCATTATTTCAACGCTTCTGCCCGACGAGAGCGCCCATGTATGCTGCTGAATGTAATTCGCTTGAGTTGCCGGTATTTGAGCGGCTCCCGGTTGCCGTGGGCCCCCTTCCTCCGCAGCTCGTATGGTAACTGACGCTGTGGCTTAGTCTATATAGTGAAGATTCCTCCGTCTCTTCCGATCGTCTACAGCACGTCGGCTCTTAGCAGATCTAATGCCCTGCACAAGCAATAGTCCTGCTTAGGCAACTTGGAGGAGACGACCGGGACCGACGCTGGCTATGCCATCACACTCACCTCTGCTTAGAGTGGGCGGATGAGCCAAATGCCCGTTCTCCTTTGTCCGCGTCCACAACTCTGGCCACATGGTGCCATCGTCACAGCCCAAGGCAGCTACCACCTGTTCTGTGGAGCCGTGTGCAGGAGGGACATTGCCACGGGCAAGATCTTGCTGAGCGACAGCTATGGCACCAACAACACCTTCAAGTCGATAAAGACGCTCGACTTGCCGCCGGCTCCGGCAGTGACGTGCCACCTCCAGGACATGCCGTCCACCTGTGCCGGTCACTAAGTCAAGGCCGTCGAGAAATGGAAGGCAATCGTCGAAAAGGGCATTGCGAAGCAGCTGCTGCCCGCGCCAGGGACCTGCACGGCACTGCCATACCGAGATCCGGAGTGAGTATACATGGCTCCCATCTGCCACCCCGCGAATCTTTGGGACTGCGAGAGAGGCCACAGGGTATGACTGGTTCAGCAGATGCAGGATAGGGCACGGTTGGTCTCCGGGCCACGCGTTCAGCCCATATCTACACCAGCAAGCACTTTGTGGCGGATTATTAGGAGCAACTTAAGTCAGCCCGAACCCCGAGCTTGTTTGGACTGAAGGGGTAGAGTAGGGTCATCGTTTCTCGCTCGGAAGAGTTGTTAATTGTCGTGATGTCCATGTCTGATGTGTTGTCTTCTTCTCTGCAGAATCTTCGTGACTATAATTACTAGACTTCCAGCCATCGCCTGTTTTCCCGTCTTGGACTTGCTTTTCCTCCTCCTAACTACGCTACTTGCCTTAGCGGCGGGGACCACTCCCGCCACCAGCTACTCTATCCCTGTGAGTGGCATAAGGCCGCACCTAGGTCATATGCCCACAGCACGGTCGATATATATTGCTAAGCGGACTAACGTTAACGAGGCTGATAGAGTAATACCTATCTGAAGACGCTGACGTGACTTGGTTTATAGAGGGGGTTGCTGGCAATGTAAAGTACGGCCTATTACGCGGCGTTTTGTTGGCCGATAACCCTGGCCGTACCATACGCAGCCCTTCATTGGTGGCGGTGGCGAGGCTCAAGAGGGTGTCTGGTCGACACTCAGTGGCAAGGCATCGAATCATACACCGTGTCCGGCCTTCGTATCCTTGTGCAACACCCACATGTTGGATTCGAGCTAGACCTGCCATTGGTGGTGTGTCTAAATCGGGAGCAGGCACATAGGCACACTACCAGAGGCTACACCGAGGGGCCATATGCTACCCGACGTAGGATGACGGTCCCGAACGCGGTCGACGGGACAGGGCAAGGGTCTTGGAATCAGGCATTACTAAAACGCCCTCACCCACGCAGACGATGGCTGTTGCCATGGCCCCCATCTCGAGCTCCTCTCGCCCGAATCGACCATTGCATCTCCGTCTCGACACTGTCAAATCGAGCGCAAGGTATCTAGCAACGTTGAGTATCCCTTCACGGCAATGTCACAACCTTCTAAACCAACTCGCAAGGCAACCATGGAGTCGTCTCACAGCTCCAGCCCTTATGATGGCATGCAACAGGGCGTCAAGGTGCTACACCCTGGCAGCGACGAGGCAATTCAAAAAACAAAGATTGAGTAGGCTAAAGGCTACCGTCGCCGGTTGAGTCCCAAGCTGACGAGCCTCAGCATAGTCTTGGTTCCCGGTCTGGGTGCCAATCCACAGACAAGCTGGGAGTCGCCAAAGACAAAGTTTAGCTGGCCGACTGATGCAAATGGCCTCATCAGCGACTTTCCCGCCGCACGCATCCTGCTCCATATGTACGAGTCGGCCTGGATCGGCCACCGCAAGGTCAACCAAAGCATCATCAACGCCGCCGGCTCGCTGCTCCAGGGCCTGGATTCCCATTCGCCCAAGAACACCCCGAGACGGCCCATTGTCTTCATCGGACACAGCATGGGAGGTCTCGTCATTGCAAAGGCCGTGACTCTTATGGAGACGCAGAGGGAGCAGTACCCCAACATGCTCGAAGCGGTTGCCGGCGCCGCCTTTTTCGGCGCGCCCTTTCGCGGTGCCAACGCTGCCCTTTGGGCCGGTGTTTACTGCAAGCTTGGCAACAGCATGGGCAAGGACTACAAGCCCCAGCTGCTCAGTCTCATGGACCCTCAGAGCGGGGAGCTCAACGAGCTGAGAAACGACTTCAAACGGCTTGCCGCCAGGCTACAGCCCCCCATCTCGCTCTGCTGCTTTTGGGAACAGCACCCGACAGACTATGCCCAGTTTGTAGGCTTGGCTGATCCCTTTGGCCTGGTCAAGAGCCTCATGCCTCAAACCGTCAACGTCGAGGTTGTCACACAACATTCGGCGACGCTCGACGGTGCGCACTGGGAAATCGGTCTCGCGTGCGATCACCGCGGGCTGGTCAAGTTTGACGGGCCAAAGGACATGAATTGGAACCAGAGAGTGCGCGATCCTCTGAGGAAGATGATAAACGCCGCCCCCTTGGCCGTCCGGAACCGCCTCAATGCCATTCGCGACGTCGATCATCAGTTGATTGGCGATGTTACGAGCGCTCTGGAGACTGCCCCAGTCAGTAAGAAGCTAGACGCCCTCTCGAAAACCTTGAAGCCGTCGTCGTGGATTCCCAAGCAACAAGAGTTTATCGAGTGGCTCGACCCGGCTTGGGCCCGCCAGCCAAGCCACAAGGACACGGGCGAGGACCATGTCGACTCCTGTCCAGCTGGCGGCTATATATGGATCCGTGGACCCCAGGGTCGTGGGAAGACGAGTGCCACGCTCGCCGCCATCGCCGAGGTTGAAAAGCTGCAAAGACGACTCGAGGGTCCCGACGACCAGGTGCTCAGAGCCTATTTCTTCTGCAACGAAAAGGATGAGTATTCCACGGCAGAGGATGTTCTCAAGTCGATCATCACGCAGCTCATTCGACAGCAGAGGGCACTGGCCGTTTACGCCAAGCAGTTTACCAAGAACAAGGACCGCTCCAAGGCCCGAGCCCAGGCAACTGTCGAGAATCTATGGCGGGCACTGGACGACATGCTCTGGGATGAGCTGGTCGGGACCCGGACACGCGTCTACTTTGTGCTCAACAACCTGCATGCCCTGCCACGACCTTCGGATTCCACGGACAAGCTACTGGCGTACATCAACACGGCACTTAACGACAATTTGAAGGAGGACGACAAGAAGCAGCTCTCTACACGCTGGTTCATAACCAGCAGAGAGGACGTCGACAGCGTCGAGGCAGCATTGGACGTCGAGGGCAAGCGGCTCATCAACCTCATGGACCCAAAGTACGAAGATCAAGTGCAGCGCGAGCTGCGCATGTACGCCAAGACGGGGCTCGAGTCTCTTGCGAGCAAGAAGAATTACAGCAGAGCGCTGCGCTACTTGGCCGGCGGCCTGATCGGCGGGCGCGCGAGCAGCACCCAGTGGATCGACGTCATGTATATGCTGCTACAGGAGCTTCCGCAGGGCGAAGAATATGTCAACGTCCGCTCGGAGCTCGAGGCGATGCCCCACGAGCTCCAGTCGCTGCTCAGCCACTCGTGGCAGGGGTTCTTCAGGTCCAACGAGGGCGACGTGCACAAGATGAAGGAGATGCTTCGCACCTTGGTCCTGACATATCACGATCCCACCGAAGCGGAACTCGGCGTGCTCGCAGGCTTCTCGTCAAGCAGAGCGCAGAAGACGGAGCTGCGCGCCTTGGTCGACAAGTGTAGACCGCTGCTACGCACACGTCTGGTGCGCATCCGAAAGTCCGGAGAGGTGCACACAGTTGTGGCGTTTGCGAGTGCCGTTGTCAAGGAGCACTTGCTGGAGAATTCCAAGGAGCTTCTGGGCCTGGACAACGAGGAGAGGAAGTGGCAACACGGCATAATTACCCATCGCTGCTTTGCGTACCTGTACGAGCGCTTCGACGTCGACCCAGAGACGGCTGGCCGAGACGACGAGTCAGCCGACAGCCATGCTCCTGATGCGGATACGGCCATGGAGAGCGAGGAGGGCGATCAGGAGGCCGACGAGGCGGACGAGGCAACGATGGAAGATGCCAAGACGAGCTATCCCGTCAAGTGCTGGCTGAAACACGCCAGCGAGGCAACTCTCGAGGTTGCGCAGGAGCTCAGCCAGGAGAATGACTTTTGGCAGCACGATTCGCGTATTCGCCGCCGATGGCTGGACGAGTACGCCAAGACCGAGATCACGTTTAGCCACTTGGACCACAAGACGATGACGAGCCTTCACATTGCGTGTTCGATAGGGTTTCGGGAACTCGTCGAGGCACTGATCCAAGAGGGCCACCAAGACCAAATCAATGTCCACGACAGTCTCGAAAACACACCGGTAAGAGCTCCGTGCGATGGCGTCGTGCAAGACTCGAGCTAAGCGCAGTTGTCAGTTGCACTTGGCGGCCTACTTTGACCAAGTGAGAATCATCGACGCGCTGCTGAGAAGCGGCGCCAAGATTGACGACCAGGGCAGCGGCGGCAACGAGGAAACGCCCTTGCATATGGCTGCCCACCAAGGCCGCATCGATGTCATCAAGAAGCTGATTCGCGAAAAAGCCGACCCGAATGCCATAGCAGCTGACACGGGCCCCGTCATCAACGCCGCCATTTGTTCCGGCGTTGGCGAAGCAGTTGACCTGCTCATTGCCTGCGGCGCGTCGCTCAATGTGACTCCAAACGATAAGGACATGTGGTACACTCCCGTGGAGCTTGCTGCTTTGCATTGGAACCTGCCCATGTTTGAGTCTCTGATACAAAAGAGCTCGGACAAGATTCCGCCCGCCCAGTATAGCCAGGCTCTGGTCCTGGCAGCGTATGCCGGCAGAAACGACGTCTTTGAGAAATTGCTTGGCTTCCAACACGACCAGAAAGACTACCAGGAGGCGCTCGAGGCGGCGGCCGAGGAGGAAAACTGGGAGATTTCCAAGATGATTCTGAACAAGTGTCTAGGATTGGACTGTGACGAACTCTTCTATCAAGCAGCCAAGGGTGCCGAGCCGCAAGTGTCGGTCCTCGAGACGGCCTGGAAGTACGCCGACTGTGCCATCTCTCCCGAGACACTGGCCAGGTCGCTCTATGACGCCACCGACATGGAAAAGGAGTCGACCGTAAGGTTCCTGCTGGACACGTGCCGCGCTGATCCCAATGCCACAGGCGAAGAGTAGGTGGGCGAGACGATGTTTGAACCACTATGGAAGCTGATGTATGGAAACAGGTTTGGAAACGCCCTGACAGCTGCTGCGTTCGACGGCACCATAAACCTTGTCCAGATGCTGGTCGAAGCCGGCGCAGACGTCAATTCCCCCGACGGCTGGGCTCTCCAAGTAGCCGCAGCAAAGGGCCACTACGACGTCGTCGAGATGCTCCTGGAACAAGGCGCCGAGGTCAACGCCTGCACCGACAACCCGGCCTTCCTGGCAGGCACGGCGCTTCAGGGAGCCTGCGAGGCAGCCGAGCTTGAGATTGTCGGCGTGCTGCTCGATCGAAAAGCCGACCCGAATCTCGGCCGCGGTCCCGAGTCCCCTCCGGCGGTAGCCGCGGCTCTGCGAGGAGCCGAGGATATTCTCAAAAAGCTTGTCGATGCCAAGGCCAAGGTCAACGTCTTTGACGGAGACGATGAGACGACGCTGCTTATCAAGGCCACGGCCTACTTGCAGGTGGAATCGCTGCGGCTCCTTCTCGATGCCGGAGCCAGCGTCAACTTGGCCGACAAATATGGCAATACGCCACTGATTACTGCTGCCGAGATAGACGATGAAGAGGCCGTCGAGCTCTTCCTCGACTATGGAGCCGACATTTTGCACGTCAATGATGATGGCAAGAATGCGATGCAGATAGCCCTTGAGGAGAACAGCGAGGACTCTCTCGAGATACTGGTTGACCGCGTGTCGAATGTCTTGGCATCGTTGAGGACTAGACGGGACGCAGGAAATACCGAGATTGCACAGCTGATACGTGAAGCCATTGGTTCATCGGAGGATCAAGGCACCGAGGTCGATGTTGAAGAACAGCGCCCGACGGAACCGCAGCAAGAACACACCAGCGTTTCTGGGACTGTTCGTGTTGCAACGCCGCCCCCTAAGCATGAGTGTTGGTCTGGAGATGGTCAGTATCGTTGCACCGATGGTTCGACGCGTGAGAGGGAGCTCGAAGGCAGGTCGCCCACACTGACGGCGAACTTCTACGAAGCGTGGCGAGACCAACCTCCTTCGCCCACTGCCGATGCATACAGGACCTGGAATCAGCAGGAGCAGCAGAAAAGGAGCCCAACTACTCAGTTCGATGCGTCTCAGCAAGGGAAGCAGGCCGATTACAAACATGAAGACCCCGGCCAGCTTCAAGATCCCGGCCTCTCTCAGTCCATGCCCAAGCCTCCAGACGAGGGGAGCACGCCGCCTCGACTACCGCCAAGGCCATTGCCGGATCGAGGCCCAGTACGTCTCCATGGCCAGCCCCGGCCATCAAGCCACTCTACTCCCAATTTGATGCACGAAGCCCCTGCAGCACACCAGTGGCATGCGCCCGGTAATGGGATTTCGAGCCCAGAGGAATGGCCGGGTCAAGGACGGCACGGACACGCGCCGTCAGCATCACATGACGGAGGTGCTGGCGCCGGGAGTTCGTGGCACCACCAAGAGCCGGACCCTAAACAGAAACGGCCGTCCATATTCAGTCTCAACCGTACGGCGCTGAATGGGATGCTGGATAAAACACTAGACAAGGCGCTGGAAAAGGGAAAGGCCATGCTGAGCCGGGATTCTGACTGGAATAAAACGCCGAGGATCTAAAGGCTCACCACACAACGTCACATGGACATCTTCCTGTGCAAGGAGCAAAGCCAGTCAAGGGGTCTTTCACACCAGGGAAAAGACGGCATTTTACCAGCTTGACAGTTATCCAGTATATATAAAGCTAAGTATTTAATTTGAGTATTGCTATTTACACAATAGCATATTGCTGTTTGCACACTCGACCTATTTTTAAGATACGTACTAAAGCCAGCCCGCCCCGCCTATTTATACCGCGCGCGCCTGGCAAGTACCCGTACCGCCTAAATGCCCGCACCCGCGCCTGCGCCCGCCCGCGCACACACACAACCCGCACACACATAAGAGGCAATAAAGGCCACATAACGCATGCCTCTCAATTCGCTCAAATAACGCATTTCCGGGCCTTGAGCTCGAAGTTGCAACAATCGGCCCGTCAATTGACCCGGCTCCTCCTTGGCCCTTACGGCTGTGTAGGCGGCGGCGGCGTCGCCGCCTCAATTGCATCCCACTCAACGATCCCTCCAACGCCTGACGAAGCCGGCTGCCCTGACGAAGCCGGCTGCCCTGACGAAGCCGGCTGCCCTGACGAAGCCGGCTGCCCTGACGAAGCCGGCTGCCCTGACGAAGCCGGCTGCCCTAACGAAGCCGGCGGCGCGCCCCTCCTGCCGCGTCCTCCTCTTGATCCCCTTCCCCTTGTATTTCCTCGAGCTAATGATCCTTGTTGTGACGCTGCGAGAGACCGCGGGCTATAGCTAAGTTCATTAATCTCGTCGCGCCCCCGGCGCCTTCGAACGCTTGCGTTAAGCCGCCTTGAGCTAGCCTGACTCGAATTAGGTAGCTGGGATGCCCTTATAGCCGGCTATGACTGTGATGCCGTCTATGATGCTGTCTGTGATACCCTCGCTGTGAGGGAGCTTGGTATAGGTAGCTTATTATTACGGGGCCGGCCGCGTATAAAAGTAATAACGTCGGGGTCGCGGATTCGTAGCAATGGCTCCTCGAGGTCCTAATAGTAGTAATTAGTATTAAATTTACCTAAAAAGGGGGGGGGTCTTTACTAACGGCTTCTTAAGATACTATCGCGAGAGAATATCACGCTTTTTAAGCGTTAACCTAGCTTAAAGGCGTTAAAGGATCGTGTATATATAAGGCAGCCTAAGTTAGTATATAAATCGCCCGCTATAAGGCCGTAATAGCTATAGCTCCCGCGTTAGTAAAGGCATCGCGGCGAGGGCAAGCCTATATTATATAGTAAGTAGGTTAACTGCTTTATATGTGATTTTTATACTAAGATCCCCGAGCTAAGTCTGCCTAAGGAACTAACGCCTTTATCGTATCTCTTACCGGGCAGCCGTTTATATATATATTATCTCTTTATTCTTAATTATCTATATAAGGGCATCGTAAAGATATAAGAGGTTAGAGGTGCCTATAACTAAATAAGACTTTATATCCTTATAGACGGTCTTAACTAAGCTATTTACCCGCTGCCCGAAGTTGCGATATTAGCTAATAAAGTAGCCTGCCTACTACTTACGCCACGGTATATATTCGTTCGAGATATATATTACGATATGCCCTTAGTATTAACTAAAGGTCTTATTAAGCTGCCGCTACGCCTTATAGAAATCCGCTTTAGTTTTCGAGTAAATAACGCGCTTCTAAGCTAGGAATATTCCTTTATAGCTAAATTTGACTTCCCTATCGTTTAGACTAAACGTAGTAGCGGTAGCGGCGTTAGCGGCTCCTTATTCGGTAGCCTCTTAAGCAAGGATAGCTTCTACTTCCTAAGGGACCTCTATATTAATAGAGTTTTTAGGGCTATTAGGATCTACTAAGTCTTTCTAGCGGGACTAGATTCGAGCCCGAATATTGCTATTAACGTAGAATATATAGAGTTATTATTACGTTAAGGGGAAAATATAAAGGAGGGCGTTTTTAAGGGCAGCTTCTTTATCCGTAATAACTATAGAGGGCTCTTATACCCTAACCTATATATAAAGAGCGTTAAGGGACTTATATAGCTACTAGTATCCCTCTTCTTTCTCTAAGTTAATAAGGCTAAAGGCGAAGTTAGCTAGGGACTTTTAGTTAGTAACTCTAGTAACCTAGAAAAGGAAGAGACTAAAGCGGTTAGTTTTATATATATTATTAAGGCTAAGAACCTTAGGGAAACGTTTTTATATCTTTTAATACTATAGATAGGTCTATAATACGCCTTAAATCTTATTTTTATCGTATAGGTTGAATTTAACGTAATAAGGAAGATCGCTTACCTAAAGATACCGTAAAAACGCTTATATTACCGTTATACCGCTAAGAGCTTTAAAACGGATCTTTTAGCGGTCGTTATAGATATCTTTAATATAAAAGAACGCTATTAAAGGTTTAGCTTTACGTAAGATAGTTAATATCTCTTAAGCTAGTAGTACTTTATATTAAGAGAGGTTCCGCTTAAGAGCTTACTATATATCGGTCCGCCGGCGATAAATATTATATATAAAGGGATTAAGGGAAGGCCCGTAGTTATAGCGATCCTTAGTAATATAAAAATCCTACTTCTAAGCTTCCTCGTTACGTAACGCTATTATAACGAAGCGGAAGGGGCAGTTAAGCTTTTAGGTAGAAGATTTACGTAGCCTAGTGCTTAAAGAAGCTTACCGCGGGCTACGATCGTATATAAAGAGGAGTCGTATTTATAGGAATATACCCTTATATTCCTATTTTACTGTTATAAAGAAATAATAGGCATAGGGAGGCCTTATAGAATAAGCTAGTAAAAAGAGGCTCTATAATATAGTCTAAGGGAATAACCCTTAAAGATAAAGACCTCTACTAGACATCTATACCTTCCTCTAGGAAAAGCGGGTTAGGATAAGCCTATCCTTATAAATAAAAATATGGATAACATGCATAAGTCAATTATAAGTAGAACGGATACCCTATTGCCTATTTTAGCCTAGCGGTTCTAAAGATATCCGCGATACGAGAATAGGTAGGGCATAGAACATTCTAGTTAAATCTACTACTTATACTAGAACCTATAGTCTTACGTTAACCATTACGTTATAATTAGACCACCTACTAAGTTAGGAAGACATTCTATATATAGAGCTTTTTAAGCACTATAGAAAGTGCTAGAAAGCTAACTAATTAGTCTACTAGTAGGCGAGCAATGGTCTATAAAAGACGAAGGATTTCCCTAGGAGTAGTAGATAGAATAAGTAAGTTTGCAAGCATCCTTTATAACGCTATTCTTTTAATATATTATTTAGCCCCTTATATACTCGTTATAAATTCCGGACGAAATCCTACCCTATACTCCTTCGATCGATCTTTCCGCTTATATTATTAATTACCCGATTCTGCGCTTATTGCTTATACCTTCTTATAGGTTATAAGCCCGGCTTCTCTATAAGTCGGGTAATAACTTCGAAATTCTAATACTAACTATACGACCTCGAATTATCTAAAATAGGCTCTAGGGATAAGTTCGAATTTACTAAACTTAAGGGTAGTTCTAACTATACCTTCTAGGCTATTCGAATATAGGCTCTTTTAGTTAGGGAGAAGCTTTCTACTACTATATAGTAAGAAAATTACTCGAAAATAAAAGAAGCACTTACTTTGATTTTTCTTCGCATTAAAGATAGTCCTTTAACCTAAATAAAGTATATAATAAATGCTAAAGAGGCGTAGGATAGGTTAAAAAACCTATATAACCCTATTTCCTTTACTTCGAATTACCTACTTATAAAGGGGCCTTTTAATACTTTAGTAAGGGATTTCGAATCCCTAGAAGGCTACCTAAATAAGGTAAAAGAGGTATTCGAGGAGCTAAAAGCACGGAATATTATAATTCCGGAAGTAGTTACTATAGCTTAGATTTTAAACAGCCTTTCGGGCTTGTTTTCTAGCTATATAACTAATATAACGCAAGCTCTTTAAAATAACTTAGAGGCTTTTAATCTAGAGTCTCTCTCTAGTAGTCTTATAGACGAATTTAAGAGGACTAAGTCTCTAGAAAATCCCCCCGAGCAGGCTTTCTTTACTAAAAAGCCCTAGAAAAAGATAAAAATTATATTATAATGCACTTACTATAAGAAGAAAGGGCATCTAGTTAAAGATTACTACTATCTTTACCTAGAAAAGGCCCCTAAAGGCTTTTCTAAAAATTTAAAAAATTAAAATAAAGGAATACCTTTTAAGAGGCCTAGAAAACCTTTTATAGAAGGAAATCCTATTAAATTAGACTCTTACGTCGATAAGAAGACGAAAAAACCCTCTTCTCTATATATATCGGAAGTAGAAAAAATAGAAATCGATAATTAAACGGACGAAGAACCGGAAATCGATTTTTCTATTCCTCCTCCTACCCTTAAGGTTATAAAAGCTCCGAAGAAGAAGCAAAGGTATATATCTCTTCGAATATCCTTAAAAAAGCCGTATTTAATAACAGGCAAATAGGACCTTTAAATTCCTCTCGAATTAAAGACCTTATATATAAGGTAAAAGAGAAGGAAATCCCTTATAAAACCTTAGAGAATAGAAATTTCTATAATTTTATATACGATACTAGTGCTACTAGGTATATAGTATCGGAAAAGAAATTCCTTATTAATTTTCGAACTATCTCTACTAAGGTTAATTAGGGAAAGGCATCCTATATAGTTATTAAAGGCTGCGGAGATCTTCTTTTTAGATTTCTAAATTATAAAAGGCTATTTATCTTAAGAAACTGCCTTTTTATACCCGAATTAGGGGTAAATATTATAAGCTAATCGTATTTTAAAAATACTTATGCCTTTATTAATAGCAAGGAAATTTTCCTACTAGATAACTAGGCTAATATTATATCTAAAGGAAAATAGTAATATAACCTTTATATCTTCTCTTTAGAAATTCCTTTCTTAAAGAAAAAAA